CCCCCAGACACCCCCAACAAAAAGTACATAGATAAGAGGAAAAAATTAATATACAATCCTATGCTAAACCTAATAACGTTCTTTCATTCTTGATGCAACAGTACGTAAATTACCATAAACTTTACCTGGAGGAGAACCTAAAATCAATGATACCACAGATTCTCTAGCCATTCTAATATGAGTAAAACCTCCTAAAATATGGATTTTTGAATCAGCCAATACAATTCTGGTTCTAGTAGCATTCTCTATGGCAAATTTGGTTTTACCATCTTTACCAGCAATTCTACCAATAGCTCTTGATAAATGATCACCAGTTAAAGTTTTAACATCTTTAACTTCAAAAGTTTCGATATATAAATCATCTAATCTTAATAAGGCTATAGCATCATCTACATCAAATCCTAAAGTGAAAGCTTTGACGAAATCAGCTCCCTTTTGTAATGCACCAGGATCAGTAGTATTCTTATTAGTTCTTAATTCAATGGTTTTAGTCTTTAAGTTCATTCTAACTTGTAATTTTAAATGATCAACCAATGGTGGATAAATCTTTGGCCATGTGGTTTTTAAAGGTGTTAATCTATGTGGAGGTACAGGGACTTTTCTACTTTCCAATTTAACTTTCATTCCTGCTTTATTAGCAGCTGTGAATTTTGGTTTTCCACTTTCATCAAAAACAACTCCTGAAACTTCTTTCTTGGAGACTTCAGTTTCTTCAGTGGGTATGGTATTAACGTCAATCATTTCATCATCTTCAGGTTCATTAATTTGTTTAGAAACTGTAGGTTCTAAATTTTTTATAGCTGTAGGAGCTGCCATAGTTAAAATTTTTGCTCATCTCGATGCGAAACTGATAAAGATATTTTGATCGGGGCAGAGATGTGGGATTTTGAGTCAGTGACACGGTAAGAGGATATGTAAACCATTTGAGTCGGATGATGTGATGACCAGGTAATGAATGGTGAAATTAGAATCTCCATAACTCATCTCCCAGAGGTTTCATGAATAACTCCATGAATAATGGTCCTTTCAACTCCAAACCAATCGTGAACAGCAACAAACATCCTCTTCAATCTCCTCATCACTTAAAAACATTAGATTAATCTTAATTCAAACACCTTATCTCTCACACCTCCTTTTATCACTTATCTCTGATTCGCATTCTCAACAATTTCCATAACTATGGCATCATCAATTCCCTATGATCCAGATTTTGAAGACAATAATCCATTCTCTTCCCAGATTCAAACACCTACACATTCAATACCAGCTTTAAACAATTCCATTGAAGATGAAGCTCCTGAAGATGACGATAATGACGAAACTAATGACAACGATAATCAACAATCCAATAAACTAACACAAGAAGAATTAAGACGATTACTACCTGAAAGATTCTCCCACAAATTCCTGATGAAGATCACCATCACATCAATAGAGAAGAATAAACCAGAAAACCCAATTATCAAGTTTGATGCCTCAATTGAAAATTTACCTCGATTTAGACAAATCAGGTATAAAGATATTAGGAGAACTTATCAAGAAGTGGTGAAATTTAATAAATATTTAAGTGTATCGAATTTAGAATGTTTTGTCCCACCAATTCCTTCTTCGGTTACATCATATCCCAATGGAGGTGAAGATGAAAGTAAGAAATTGATGATTAACTGGCAAGAATGGTTTGATAGAATCTGTAATAATCCTATCATTATAAGGGACGAAGAATTTGTATTTTTCATTGAAAATGATTTTGGATATTCTGTCATCAATAGTAATAAGAAAACATCTGTTGCTAGTGGTTTAGTAAGGAAAACTTTAAAACAATTGGCAGTTCCATATGACGAATATGAAGATTTATCAACTTTCAGACCTTTAATCAAAAATTGTTATCTTACATGTTCAAAATTAGTAAAATTATTGGATAAGAACCTGAAAAATGAAAAGCTTTTAGCTACTACTATCAACGAATTTTCTACAAGATTACAGGAATTATCAAAAATTGAAATAATTCATCCTGGGATGAAGAATATGTGGGAGAAATTATCAAAGATTAAACTCATTGAAGCTGATTTATTACTTATTCAGCTGTATAATGATATGGGGATCTTAGGTGATGGACTTCAATATTTATCACAAGAATTCTATGAGATTAAAGAATCTTTAACTAATCGTCATTTGATTATGAGAGAATTGATTCAAGCCCAACAAAATACTCAAGCTAAACATTTGCAAGCCAATAAGATTAAAAGTAAAAGTTCGTTGGATCCGATTAAAGTTGACGAAGCTATCAGATCATTAGAATATGCTACTAAGACCGAAGAATCTCTTAATTTACAAATCAAAAGAATATCTGGAGAAATGTTGATCGAAAAGGATGAAATCTTGGATTATACAGAATTGAAATTACATAAATTATTAAAGAAATTTACTTTGAATAAAGTTGAAAATAATAGGAAGATTTTGAAACATTTAGAAACGATTAGATTAGATATTAGAATAATTGATGAAAAGGGAGGATTATCAAGATTGAATAGAGAGAATTTGAGTAATTTAAAACACAATTTGATTCAATCACAAAGTAATAATGGAGATTCTTGGTCTTCAAGAACATTCAGATCATTGAATGAAGAAAAAGAGACTAAAGAAGAAGTAGAAATCGACTTTAAAGATGAAGATGTAGATGCAAAGAATGCTGCTAATTTATTAGGAGTCGCAACATTTTAGAGCCATCTAGACTATCCCCTGAAGGTACGGGACATCATACGGTAGCCAAATAGGCTAATATGTAAAAAAAAAACAATAAGTAGAAATATATTCACTTAGTTAACTAAAAATCTGTTTTCAGCTTCTTTCCAGTTAATAACTTTCCAAATAGCTTTGAAATAATCAGCTTTAACATTTTGGTATTGTAAGTAATAAGCATGTTCCCAAGCATCAATAGCAACTAATGGAACTAATGGACCAGTAACAGTATCTTGGTTATAAGTAGTAACAACATCTAATTTACCACCATTTTCTTTATTCTTAACAATAAAAGCCCAACCTGAACCTTGAATACCGGCTAATTTACCGTTGGTAACAGAGATTAAGTTGTCTAAACTTCCATATTGACTTTCAATAGCTTTGGCTAAGTCAGATCCTGAACTTGGAGGTTCACCACCACCTTGTTTTTCAGGAGCTAAATTCTTCCAGAATAAACAATGGTTAGTATAACCACCACCATGGAAATTAATGTTTTTTTGTAATTCGATGGTTTTTTTAACTTCACCTTTAGCTTGAGCTTCAGCGTGTTGTTCAATGGCAGTGTTGTAACCAGTAACATAAGTTTGATGATGTTTAGTATAATGTAATTCATTGATTTGACCGGAGATATGTGGTTCTAAAGCACCAAAGTCCCAATCTAAATCTGGTAAGGAAACTTTAGTTCTAACACTAGTAATTGATTTAATTGAGTTTGGTAAACTTCTAGCGGTGGTTCTGAATGATGATAACATTTTTGTTGATTGAAATTGAGTTTTTCAAGGAACTGACAAATTCGATTATAATTCTCACTTTCTCATTTGCTCAGGTTTGCTGTGAGAATTGAGCGATCCCATCATTTTTGCAGCCATTTTTGAGAGAGTTAATTGTGGGAAAAAATGGGCGTAATGGTAGTAGTTTTGATAGCATTTATGTGGACAAGAGGTTGGTTTGAAGGTTGGATGAATTTTAAAGAGAATCTTCATACTGGTTGGATGTAAAAAACGGACTTATTTGTTCGGAGGTTACGGTCTATTAAGGTTTACAATGTGGATCTGGAGTAACCAGGTACAACAATAAGACATGCGTCATTTATCTTTCGACAGAACGACACAACAGAAACCTAGGTCAGAATACTTTAACAATTTCGGTCATACTTTAGGTCAGACTTAAGAGCTAGGTCAGGAAAAGAGTCAGAGTTCAATATTTCAGATATCTATTATCCCCATTAATTTCTCAAAGCCCTAAGTCTTTCAGCTAATTGATCTTCCTTTTCTTCAGTCATATTTGATACTGGTGGAGCATTGATTTCAACCTTAGTCTCATTCAATCCTTGTTTCATCTCAATACCGGCTTCATCAGCTATTTGGTTCATTAAATCATCAACTTGTTCTTGTGGAGTGGTTAATGCATTAACATTATTGGTGGCACTTTCATAATAATTAGTAGAAGCATCTAAATCTTCGAATTGATTTTCAAATTTATCCATTACCATGGAGATTCTTTCTAAATTCATAGTTTGTAAAGCTTTATCCATTCCTCTTATAACATTGGTCATATTACCTGTAACTGATCTCATAGTGACAGCTGTTTGTACACGTGAGGCAACAGCATCTATTCTTGATGATAATCTTAATAAATTTACTCTTTCATTGGCTTTACGTATAGCATTTTGAGCGTATAATTGAGCGATATCATTATTACCTTGAGTCATAGCCTTTTTAACTTTGGCTTTTTCTTGGAGCTCTTCCTTTCCAGCCTTAGTGGCTTGTTTATTCAATTGTTTGGCAGTGAATTTAAGTTGAAATAATGATTGTTCTAACCCTGACATTCTCCTATATATATTTCCTCACTGCTTATCGATTTTCAGTGAGCACTTTCGGAATGAGCCGCGCACGATAATTTAGAAATGAGTTGTATTTATTCATATGTACAATTAGTCCAAATCATTAGCTTGCAGGGACATAATCTCATCATCATCATTGGATGCTTGATTTTGTTGAGTACGAGGTTGTGGAGAATCATCATTGGTGGAAGGTGTGGTGGTGTTAAAACTAGAGGCAATAACTCCATTATCAATGTTAAGTTCATTAGTACTTCCAGCAATGGTGACTCCAGGTAAACCACTTATGACGTCTAAGAAATGATTTGAGCTTTCATTGGTTATAAATGATCTTAAATTGTCGGATCTATTGGAATTTCTCCCTTCATTTTCGAAAAATTGAGAGAATCCTCCAAATGTTCTTCTGGGCTGATCATTAGTTCGAGTTCCATTGGAACTGCTTGGTGTCATGTCGGGAGTATTATTTGTCCGTAAAGAATTGGAAGGAGATACTCTTTCGGAATTTGAAGTGTCGCTTCCACTACCATTTTCAGTATTGGATCTCGATCTGGATCTAAATTCTTCGATGAAAGTCCTAGCTGAAGGTGGTAAACGATTTGGTGGACTATTACTTGAACTGTCATTATTTGAATTGGCTCCGGGAGGTGAACTGGAAAACGCAGCTGTGGCAGCAGCATTAGCGGTTTCTCTACCAATTCTTCCTAATCCAGGGAATAATCTAGCAGCTCTTTCTCTATCAACTCTATCGAGTCTTTCAGCTCTTTCCCTACCGAGTCTTTCATTCCTTTCAGCGAAAGTTTCAGTTCTCAAAGGATTAGTTCTGGTTTCAACAGTTACAGGAGTTGGTCTACCCACTCTTGGATTTGTTGAAGTATCTACACCAGCAATAACTCCTTGATTAACTTCATGATTTAAGATCGATGGTCTTGACAGATTAACATCCGATGCTAAGGTTCTGAAAGTTGAAGGTGATTGATGTGGAGGGTACAGGAAACAATATAATTCTGAAGAATCAACTTCTGCCATTAAAATTTCCAAACAATTTTGAATTTCTCCAATGATGAAATTAATTTCAGCAGCAGAATATCTTTGTTGTGTAGCTCTTGTTTCTGTCAATTGAACACCTCTTAATAATTGTTCGATGAATTGTGGCAATGTAGATTTAATCTTTGAAATTTTGTATTCTTCAATGAGTTGTTCATCATTAGGGAAATTAGTAGGTAAGATGTTCCCACAACAACATTGAATAGCCATACAATAACATTTCAATGCAAGTAAACTATGGCCCATATATAATTGGGCATATCCCAATTGAACCCAAGCAGGAGTTGAAGATATATCATAAGTTAAAGCTTCATTCAAATCATCAATAGCTTCAGGGAAACATGTTAAGCCTATGAAAGCAATGGCTCTGTTAATCAATATTTGAGGTAAGTTATTTAATGATTCAGCTACACAGTAATTTGTTGCTTCGGTATAAACTTTGATTGCTTGGGCATATGCAGAATTAGACATTAAATTATTACCTTGCTCTCTCAATTTGAGAACAATAGAAAGGTTTTCATCTATAGGACCATTAGCTGATAATAACAATTCCAAATGGTTCTTTAGTTGGAATTTAAAACCTTCAAATAATGCTTCAATTGGCATATCCTCAAAATTTATATCACTATATCTTTTCAATTCAACTATCACACTCTCTAATTTGCCATTAATATAATCACGTTCTTTTATTATTGAGCTGTATGTTGAAGAAGCGTTCTTTAAAAATGCTGACACTAATGCTGATAATGTTAATACCTTGGACTTATCGGTCAAATCTGGGTTACTGAACTTCAATTGATATTCGAAAGTATTTCTTAAGATAGAATAAAATAATTTCCCCAACTCTTCATTTCTTTCAATTGAATATTTCTCATGACTTAACTTGTCAGGACCCCTTCTAGCACCGGCGGTTCGTATCATTTCCAGGGTAGTCTTTTTCTGTAAATCATAATGTGAAGGTTTAGGTCCTAATAAGATTAAAGGAAAATGATGAGTTAAAGATTTACTTGGAAATCCCCAATTTTTCCTCTGAACAACATCTTGCATAACATGATAATCCATTATCTCGTCAATGAGTGAATCTACCACTATTTCCAAAGAAAAAAGTAAATCTCTAGTTTCGAAGTTCTTAGATCTCAGTTTGACATTATCCACATTCATATCTTCACCTTCTTCATTAAGTACATCTCTTAGCTCCGTTTGATGTTTGACTATGAGTAAATGCTCTTTAATAGCACTACAAAACGCATATTTGTAAGCATCTATATTGGCCAAAGGATCAATGAATTCCATGGGTCCTTTGTGGTTGGGTTTAAAGTGTAATTACTGCGAATCTCTCAAAAACTTAGATCGCGGGAAAAGGTCACATCTTTATTTGTAATGTGGATATCAAATTCTAATTCAAATGGCCCCGTTTTTAGTTCATCGGGTGAGTCAATGCCAACAGACCTAATCACAGAAGGAAACTGTGTGGAATCATCAAGAATAAGAGGATTTTTAAGTATTTCAAGATTGAGTACCGATGATTCTATCAATACTCATTTGGATGGGATCAGTAATGATAATTGTGATAAATATTTTAAACAAGTAATGTTACCTCAATGGGATATGAGAGGTAAAGTAATAAGTTTCTGTGGTGATTATGCTGCAAGACTTCGGAAAGAAATTCATGAAGATAAACATGAAATCCCCAAATTTGATCTCAGATTAGACCCTTATGCTTTAAAAGCCCATCAACAAAAGATCGATGAAAAATTCCAAAAAGTTGAAGCCATCGAAAACTGGGTTACTAATGAACAATCTGTGGAGCGTATTATCCATGAACGGTCAGTGACTGTTTTAAATCAAAAATGTTATTATAAAGATTGGTATAAACAATATCTTGATTCAACTAAACACTTGTAAATATTATTCCTTCAAACTGTAAATAGATCTTTAATAAAAGAGAGTACTTCAAACATGCGATTTTATATATAAAAAATGGGTTCGTTATTTATGAGCTGCTGCTGCTGCTGCATATGCAAAATTTTTCTTATCAGGTTTTTCCTTGATGGCTGATTTCGGTCTAATCTTTTTAGCAACGGGTTCCTTCTTAGGTTTGTTATTAAGAGTTGGTGATGGGGGTGATTTGGTTTTAGATGCTTTTGCTACCATATCTTTAGCTATCAATAAACAATCAATCCATCCATAATGAACTCCTAATTTGACATCTTTACCGTTTTTATCCACCACTTTCACATCATCTTTGACAGGTAAATCATCTTGACTGATTCTTTTCAAGAAGATTAAGTCACCTCCTTCTCTAATCAATTCAAGAATCAAGTATCCAAAGACTTCCTCTCCTTGATCTTCAACTTCTTCTTCTTCACTATCAACTGCCACGGTTTCAAACTCGTAATCATACATCAGATAGTCTCCACCATTATTGGCTTTCAAATCAATCAACATTACATTCAAAGAACCGTCAATGAAGAACACTCTAGCCATATTAGTAATTATTGTCACAACAGGTTTGGCATTGGCTTTCAAATGAGATTCATGTTTCTCAATCAATTTTTCAATCAAACCATCATTAAGGCTTTGAGTTGAAGGTCTAAGTTTCTTAGATAATTCTGACTTGAAAATCACGTCTAATTTAAGAATCTTTTCGTTTTCTAACAATAAAGATGAGATTTCCTTGAACTTAATCTTATTGATTAATGGTTGAGGAGGTATCTTTGGTGACGGAGTTTTAGGTTTTTCAACGGGTTTTGGTTGTGGTGGGTTAACTTTTGCAGGTGCCACTGGCATAGGTTTGACTGGCTTGTCATTTATAGTCAAATTACCAACTGCTGCTGCTGCTGCAGAAGCATGATTCATATTGAAATTATTATTGATATTGGTTTTGGGAATTATTGATGGTTGTTGATAATATGGCGATGATACAGGGTTAGACAACTTTCTTTGAAGTTTTGGTACGTTATTCATACCGTTCATAGCCCCCATATTGTTAAAAGATGTGTTTTTACGGATTTGTGATGGTGAAGGTGGTAAACCAGACTTATCGTAAAAATTCCTCTGAGTGTTATTTATAGGTGATTGTTGAGGTGGAAGTTGTTGCTGATTCAAGTTAGGTGTAGTCATACCTTGTGGGACCATGGTGGGAGTAGTAATACCTTGTGGGGGTATGTTCTGTGGAGGTGGTGGAGGCATGCTTTGAATGGCTAAACCTTGAGGAGGTGAATAGTTAACAGCTTTGGGACTTACATTCATAGGAAATTTCTTGATCTTAGTAGCTGGTTGATAACTTTTCTTAGCTCCAACAGTAGGAATGAGATTGAAATCTGAATTATGGATCTGTGTGTGTAACTTTTGTTGGGAACTTGATTTATTGACATTCCTATTATATCCAGTTTTAATTCCTGGGGAGAATGGTGAACTATTACTTTCATAGGGTTCAAATCTTGGAACTTTTCTTCCCCAAATATAATTGGGATCATTCCATTGTACACTACTGAACCAATTACAACCTTGAATTTGTGGAATAGTTAATCTTTTACCAGGATCAGCTAATAAAATTTGATCAATTATTGAAACCACATCAGATGGTAAAGGTAATGATGGTTTGTATGAATATTCGACATTAATGATTTTTTCAAAAGTTAAATATTCAGTTTGACCTTTAAAAGGAGGGTTTCCATTAAAGAATTGATATAAAATACAACCTAAAGCCCAAATATCCGATTCAAATCCACATGAATTATGTTTCAATAATTCTGGGGCCACATATTCAGCTGTTCCTACAAAAGAAGCTTTTCTTTCCTGCTTCTCTTTGGTGACATCGTCACTTATGCTCTTGTAATCAATCTCATCACCATCATTAGTATACTGATCAGAATCTAATAACTTAGCGGCACCGAAATCGGTGATCTTCAAATTGAAATCAATACCTACCAATATGTTTTCTGGTTTCAAATCTCTATGTATGATACCTTTCAGATGGATAAACTTGACAGAATCAATCAATTGACACATATAAAATAATGACACCTGTTCACTCAATGAACCAAACTTTCGGATAATAGACAACAATTCTCCATACTCCGCAAAATCAAGAACAAAGAATAAACTGGAGTCATCTTGAAATGTGTAATACAATTGAACAATCCCTGGATGTTGTAGACCTAATCTATGTAAAGTAGTTTTCTCGATATTCACATATTTGATCTTATCTTCTTTGACTATATGTCTCTTGGAAAGTACTTTTATGGCATAAGTCTTATTGTTATGAATATCAATGGCAGAATATACTGTGGAATAAGAACCTTCTCCTATGGTGTTACCAAATTGATAATCTCTAGCTGATCGTTTTTTTATCTGAGTTACCGTGGATGACATTATGGAGGTGCCTGCTATGAAATGATTGGCTCTATTAGTTTAATGGGACGTAGAGTCGAAAATATTCTTTGTTGGATCTAAATCCCAATGATCAAATGCAAATCAAGTCTTGGAATTTCAAAGTCTTAAGTTGATTCAATGGACTATGTTTGAAACTGACAGTGTTGGTTAATGATATATAGGTGTTCAATATCTAATCCAACGCTTGCTAACTGATTTAAAGTGTTGATGAATGTCTGAACTGATGATTCTTTGGGGTAGATGGTTTCTCGGATTGAATCAATTTTTTGGACACTATTTATTTTCTCAATCAACAGTTAACTTTGGGCGAGTCTAGGTTTCCCCCTATTTGGAAAAAAAATCGATTGATTTGGTTTTGAAAGATTCGAAGATAACGCAATGGACGGGTGTACGTTATGGAGTTCTTACGGGTGGAGGAATTTTTTCCGACGTGAATTGTGAATTCGTGTTGTCAAGCCTTGACAAAATGATGTAATGGGAAAATGTGAGATTGAGGGTGGGAAAGAATAGATGAGAAAAGGAGGTGTGAAGGTGTCTTTGTGTGGGGGCTGATACTAAAACCTTTGTTATCCAAGTGAAGATATAATTGAGAGATTTAAAAGAGTATCGTGAATTAGGACCTTCAAGAGAGTATTCAAGGTAATATCATATAAAGGTTGTTGGGTTTCAGATAGAGGAACTACACCAATGTTTAACTGAGCCAATCCAAATTTTACATCCACTCTCAACTCAACATGAGCCATGATCTCTATAAATAAGATCTCTGATTCCGTGGAAACCTGATCTACCACCCTCTCCTCACTATAAGGTTGCAAATGAGTGAGAAAATCTTCGCATCATGTCAGGAAGACTACTAATCCTAAGGACCCTTGGAACCAAATCGTCTCCTTTCTGGTCGACCCTTATACCTTCCAGGACCTTTGGTACCTCAAAAATCTTAAATAACAATTACCAGACGTTGAAAAAAGTCTTCGATGATGAGAAATTTTTCAATAAATTTCATAAGAAAGACGTAGTAGGATTATTCAAGAACGAATGTTTATCAAGTCCTGGAGCATTAATAGATTTTTCAAAAGACAGTTTGGTTATTTCCAAAAAGCTTGTTTCAGATATGCTTGATATTCACAATGAAAACGACAAACTTACATACATTAAGAAATTAGATCAATTGAGTGATATTTTGTGTAGAGTTATAGATGTAGCAGAGTTCATTAGAAATGGTCATCCGGAACAAGCATGGACGGATGCAGCTCAACAAGTTCATGAAATATGTTATGAGTATATGAATCAATTAAATACTAATGTGGAGTTGTACACCACTTTAAAAGATATTCTCGAAGATAAGACGATCACTAGCAAGTTAACTGAAGAAGAGATTAAAGTGGGTGAATATTTGAAAGAAGATTTTGAAAAGTCGGGAATTCATATGGACAATGAATCAAGAAATCAATTTGTAAATTTAACTCAAGAAATCAGTTTAATCGGTGCTAATTATTCTAATGGTATTAATTCATTGGATTCTTATTGGTGTGCAGTTGAAAAGTATGAGTTTGAAAAAATCCAAAATCTGGCTTTACAGAATGATATACTCAGATATCAACTGAAAGTACCTCAAGAAATGAAGAAAGCCAATCCAAACTCCGTTTTCATACCTTTAGCTGATTATATTCCTTATTCAATTTTAAGTGATTGTTCTTATGAACCAATCAGAAGAAAAGTTTGGATTGCTTATCACAATTCTTCAAAAGATCAAATTCAATTACTTAATGCTTTCGTTAAGTATAGAGCAGTTTTAGCAAAAATGCTTGGTTTTGACTCATATGCTCATCACCAATTGCAATATAAGATGGCCAAAACTCCTGAAAATGTCATGGCTTTTTTGACCAAGATCCAAAACTCATTATTGGATCCCAAGAACAATGAAGATGGTAATGGATTAATCAATGAGATCAAAAGTCTTTATAAATACAAAGATGATGCTGATTTTTCTTTAACCAATGAAGAAATCTTTAACGAGATCAGACCCTGGGATAGAGATTATCTCTTACACAAATGGACTTCAGACCAACATGAGAACTTACAAGATATAAGACCATTTTTATCAGTTGGAACTGTTGTTGCTGGATTGAGTAAATTATTCACCAGTATTTATGGTATAGAATTAATTGCTGAACCGGCATCCAAGGGAGAAACCTGGGATAAACAAGTGAGGAAACTTAAGGTTTTTGATGTTGATAATAATAAAATCTTAGGATACATCTATGTTGATTTTTGGTCTCCTAAAGTTTACCCTTCTCATTTCACAATTGCCGGTTCTCGTAAGCTTAATACTGATATCGGCACTGAGTCTTTAGAATTGACTAAATCTCAAGCTCAATTAGATGAAACTGATACTTATCAATTACCGATCATCTCCTTGGTGTTCAACTTCCAAAAGAACACTTCATTATTTAAGACAGAACCTAGTTTATTGACGTTAGATCAAGTAGAAACGATTTTCCATGAAATGGGACATGCTATGCATTCAATGGTTGGTAAAACTGACTTACAAAACTTGTCTGGTACCAGAGCAGTTACTGATTTCGTTGAATTACCATCAGTTTTAATGGAATCATTTGCCAAAGACCCTCGAGTTTTATGTGATATTGCTGAACATTATTTGACTGGAGAGAAACTTACTCCTGAATTATTACAACAACATCAAAATCATAGAGTTTTACTTTACAAGACCGAAATCTTCATGCAATCTAAAATGGCCTTATTAGACCAATATTTACATAATAGTGATACCGTGGAAGTGATAGCCAATAATTTCGATCATTTCGACACCACCCCAATTTATCATAGTTTGGAAAGCAAGTCCAAGATCTTTACTGACAATTGGTCTACTTGGCACGGTAAATTCCTTCATTTATTCTCCTATGGTTCAGTGTACTACAGTTATTTATTAGATAGGGCAATTGCCGATAAAGTCTATAAAGGGTTATTCGAACATGATCCTTGGAATAGACAAGCTGGGGAGAAGTATAAACAAAGTATATTGAAATGGGGAGGTACTAGAGATCCGTGGATCTGTTTGGCTGATGCTTTAGATAATAAGGATCTTGCTCCAGGGGATTCCAAATCCATGGAAATCATCGGATCTGATTTCAGTTGAGGTTGATTCATTATCCCAGCTTATCTTGGCTACATTTACCTCCAGCATATACCATTCCCGTACTACCCAATCGCCCAGCGGCCCTGTAAATAGTTAATGGCAATTATCTTACCCCATATGATTTTTTTCGCTGCTCTCTCTCAGAATTTCCTTTGCAAAAAATTTTTCACAAAGTCAGTTAGTGATAAATATAAAAGGAGAGAACGTCTCTTATTCAACTATATAAAGATGTCAAGACAAATACGGAGAATTCAACATCTTCCCCGTTTCACCTTTACATCAACAAATTTCATATCTCGTCCAATCCCATTGACTCAAATATCACCAGCATCCATAGCACTTATAAGAGGATTCCATAATTCCCGTACATTATGGAACAATTTACCACAATTTGGCCCTGAACCTAAACCTTCAAAGTTCAAAATCACCAAAGATAAATTATTAGCACAAGCTTCAGGTCCCTTATCAAGATTATTGATCCATATCAAATGGCCATTGAAGAGAAGTAATAAGCCATTTTCAATTGATGATGTCTCCACATTTTTCTCTTGGTTGGTCATGGGGAATGTATTATGGATAGTTTTAGGTACTACTACCTTTGGATTGGTCACTATGTATTCTTTGCATACATTTGAAAGTGCTGGAGACGTGATCCACGGATTCTTCAATGATGATGATTCCGAAACTCCAGAAAAGAAGAAATCGAGAGATGACGGGGTTGCAGCTTATTTAACAAGTTCCATATTATCTTACGGTTTAGGAGTCAAGATTAATTTCTTTAAGGGAAATGTTTTACCTGAATTTAACGATGGGAAGTTGATTTTTAAGAATTTGGAAATAATCTCCTTAACCAATGAAACCGGTATGAAATTCGATTGTAAGGTCAGATCCTTAAGTCTTTCATTATCGTTCGGTAAATGGTACGATGGTAATGGTTTAATCGATAATCTTGAAATTTTCGGCTTAACAGGGAAATTTTTCAATTCCACCACCCCACAAATCATCCCATCAGAAGACACTCCAATGGTTTTCAGAAGATATCATGATAGTATACACTTCCAATATGATATGAATGATCAAGCTGATATAATTGAAGCACCAAAAAGAAGTTCCAGAATCGATTCCAATTATGAAATGAATTCGGTTAAAATCCATGATTCCTCTATTGAAATTTATGATTCTGATAATTCCAAGCCTTTGAAAATATCAATTTTCAATTGTGATATTCCGAAATTAACGGGTAAAACTTTATTAATTGATTTCTTCAATGCTAAAGATGCCGCAGGATCCATCAATGATTCAATGTTCACCATCCATAAAAAGCAAGATCCAAATACTCCCATGGAAGATGAAATTATTCGATTCAAAATTGACGGTATTGATATTGGGAAATTAACATCCATCAATGCCAAATCAAGATTCAACTGGATCTTCAATGGTAAAGCCGAAGTTACAGCTGATATCAAATTCCCTAACAAATTCAAAGAAAATTCCCTTTTCAATTTTGATGAACAATACAAGAAGATCACAGGATTGATAGGTAATTTGATTAAAGATATCGGTGATGTCAATGAGACAAAGAACCCCGAAACAGACAATAATGATGATACGAAATTAATGAAAGGTGCTTTGCACGCCATCTACGAAACATTTAAAAATAACGACAATGATGATTATCATAATGAACAAAAAGATTTGAACGAATACGTTCTAGTCAATGCCACTATTAGATTTAACAACTTGAAAGCTTCTTTACCTAAAGAATTACCTTTAGCTCAATCAAGTAACGTTCCTTTCATCACTTTACATGATTTGAGAGCACTTATTGCATACATTAACAAACTCGAGGATAACATTTCCCCTATTGTTGTCAAAACCACTGTGATTGAAAAACTTTCCAACCTTTACAACTTTGAAAAGTTAACTGATACTAAGATCTTCGATGTCATTGTAAGTGACATTTACGATGAGTTCTTGAAAATGGTTAAACTCGATGAGAAGAGAATCATTGAAGAGAAATCAAGTTTATGGTCTCATTCAATTGCCAGTCAATTGTTGTTATTAGGTTTAGGAGTTATAGTTTAAAAGGAGCACTTAGTAAGATAGCTTAAGCATTTATGTACATATATTTATTTTTATCCTCTCATTTTTTAATCCTCTCTTATTATTTCCCCTGTTGCCTTATTCTTCTTTACTACTGGAATACTGAATTTAGCTCTTGAACCAAGTAATTCTTGAGCTATTTCATCATTATTAACTGATTTTGCACCTAATCCAAGTAAGAGTCCTTGTTTTCTTTTTTCTAGGTTCGGCTTGGAGACTTTCCTTTCATTGGCTTTGTTCCACCCCATACCTCGAAGAAGGGCGGCTCCAAACTCCTCGACTGGTATTTCTTTGTAAGCTTCTACACCATCCTCTTCTGGATCTTCTACCTGACTGGAAACTTTGATTTGTCTACCAGTATCTTGATAACTTTCATCTTCCATTAGTGACTTCCTAGCCTCTTCTTCTCTAGTCATGTCTCTCTTCAGATCTCCAGTGACTTTGACCAGCTCTTTAGGTTTTATAGTTGAAATAAGTTCATCAGGTCGTATCACTATATCTTCTTTTATCTCTTCCTTCTTTTCAAAACTCTCTATCGATACTTTGTTATCTTCGTCGTCTGAGTCATTCAATACATTTATCTTCTTGACTTCCTTTTCCGGTTTCTTTAAGGTAAACTTACCCTTTTGGGCCCCTTTCAAGTTAAACAGTATTCCCATCTCAGAATTTCTAAAGCGCGTATCTAAACACTTTATCACAAATGCAGAGAAGTTTGGATGGACTCCTACGGACTCAAATTGTTGGTTCGGAGAACTTCATGAGCTACCTGCAACTGGAGATTGACGTCGCTTCCAGTCCAGTGGAGGAAAAATCTGAGGAATATTCTGAAGTAATGACAGAAGCTGATGAAACAACTGACTCGCAAACAGATATAATGCCTAGCGTGATCAAGAAACATGTGGATTTAGGATCAATTTTGAATGGTAATAAGAAACCAAAGACCCCTAGTACTCAAAAAATACCCGATAAGGTGTTAGGAGTGAATTTAGGATCCATCTTGAACGGTAATCGCCAGCCAAAACCTTTATCACCAGATATTGATACTGAATTGGCAGACGTTTCAAATGCTGAAACTATACAGAATTTGGAGAAAGAAATATTCAAGAATAATAAAACGGTCAATTTGAAGGACTTTTTAGGTAGACCTAAAGTACCAGAGATAGTAAATTTGACCTCAGAACCAGATTTCGATGAAGCTATCACACCAACAGATTCATTTTATGATCTGGGTAATAGAATTTGCATAAAAGAGATGATATCACCCAAACCTAATCTGCTTCTTGTTACCCTTAGCATGAATAAAAGTTTATTGACTTCATTTAAAGATAAGAAGGTACAGAAGAAGAAGGTCTCAGCCAAAGATCTTCTCTCCAAACCAAAAGAATCCTATAAGATCACTTTGAAAGTGGATAAGGATGCTTTAGCATTTTTCAAGAAACTAGAAAACCCATTGTACAGTAGTAGTAACACAAAATATATCAAATCACCCAGATACCTCGTGACGTTAAAGATTGGAAGGGAACCAGCAAAATTGATTCAACAGAAATTACAAGTGACAAAACCAAAGAAATCAATCTTCGCTGTCATGATGAAAAACGCTGCTGTTGACACTGTCAAACTTACACCTTTACAAAAACTCAAGGAACTCGAGGCTCCAACATTGAAAAGAAATGATTTCCTTGTCGTTGACGACACGAAATTCGAACATCGACAACTTGACCTAACTCCTAGACATAGAAAATATTCACCTGAATTTTCCGAGTCATTCACTTATTCACCAATTGAATCTTCAACGGCAGAGTTGGCGTCTGGAGTAGAAACTATTGAATTCGACCAACGACAAGAAATGTTTCGGAATAGGTGTAATATTCTAAATCCTATGTTTTCTCATTTATATGAATTAATTTCAGCTCCCAAAGACCTGCAATTGTGGACCCACTACTTTGAACCAACAACTACAGAATCGCTCATGTTACTGGATAACAACAAAAGAAGATTGAAAGACTGGGTATTCAAATCATTTGACAAGTTAAAGAACCAATCTTTCAAAAATCCCAGAAGGCTCAAAGTGAAAGCTAAAAAAAGAGATGAATTTTTGGATTTCCTTGCCCCCGATGATGATTTTGATGATGGTCCCGATTTATTCTTGCCTGTTTTGATCATACAAGGAAGTACAGGTATAGGTAAATCTGCTTCCATTTACACTGTGATGAAAGAATTAAAAGGTTACGTTCATGAAATTAATGCCAGTCAACCTCGTTCAAGAAGAGATTTATTGGGGATGTTGAAAGAACTTTGTACAACTCATTTAATCCATAAACAAGACGAAGAAGGTGAGTTCCAGAAGGGAATTGTTTTATTGGAAGATTGTGATATTTTATTTGAACAAGATCGAACATTTTGGACTGTGGTTCAAGAAATCCTTGAGATATCCAGAAGACCCATTGTTTTAACCTGTTCTGACCCTGATGTCATCCCAAGACCAATCTTCGATTACGCATATGACCACGAAGCTGTCTTGGATTTCGATCATAATCGTCCTAGAGACCCTCAATTGTTCAAAGATTACTTATGGGGCTGTTGCCTCGCTCAAGGATATGATGTTTGTGAAGATATATTGAATAGTATCATCGATGAGAGATTCGATTTGAGGCAATTACTAATGAAATGTCAATTGATTTGTCAATCAATGGCCAAAAAGCCCGCAGTGAGATCGGAACCAAGGGTCGCTTCTTTGACAGAAGTGGCTAACTCGCTAGAGGCAATGTCAATTGTTGATGATTGGAACAACAATGCATACAGTCAATTGGGACATTCTGAATTGCCCAATGAGTTCATTGATGTATATTACATTGATGAGAGTACTCAATTAAGACAACCACTTGCATCTCATGAACTGACTATAGGAGATTATATTCTCGAACAAGCTTCCAAAGTATGTGATCCTTCAATAAGTCCACAAAAAAGAGACCAGAATGAGATAAGATATACTGTTAATAGCTTCATCGGGTCAAGATCTAAACCCATGCCAGCTCTTTTAAGAGGATTGAATTTCTCCAGAGATAGAGCCACCAGATCTACCGAACTTCTGGATGAATTTTGGAACCTGGAACCTGTGGGTATACCTGATAATTCCAACACCATATATACTTCCTCATCAACATATTTGACACAAATTGCTCCTTTTGCGAGGTACTGGAATGGTCTTCAAATTGCTTTGGATAATGCATCTAAGAATAATATCGAGCAAGGTAAGAATATAAAAAGAATTTTACAATGGAGAGAGTTCCAAGATAAATCCAATAAAACCTTCCGAACTTTGCCTACAGCCAAACATTTCCATTAAACTATATAGCATAATACATTAAAAAACTTAGATAAGTTGAGATTTAGTTTTGATTCTTCCTCCACCAAACCCTCTCAAGGCTTTGTGTTTGAAATCGAGAGCTTGTAACCTTCTCCAAGCTTCTTCAATATGATATGGCATGATAGGTCTAGCCAAATTACTTGGTCTATCGAAAAGATATTTCCTCTTTCTTGTTAATGAAGTATCTTCAATATTCTTATGCAGTTTTTGGAATACTTTCTCTTCGAGATTCTTCACCTCCATGGCTTCTTCGGTTAATGAACAAACCATCTCAAAAGTTAGGAACCCTAAGATATCAATAACATCATCATGAGGTCTTGATTCGCATAATTGACCTATCTGAGCCCATTCTCTGAATCTTTTAGCTTTTCTAAAGGTAAATGAAGCTTGTCTACATTCTGACCAATGAACGTACTCTTCTTTTGTCATATTTCTTGTTCTATCATCAGCCATTTTCAATCTTTTCAAAGATGCTAAAGTAGCAGCCTTTTCATCGTCATCGACTTGTTCAGCTTCTTCACTAGTTTCAAGATGTTGTTCAGAAAACATGAACTGTAATTCCCATGGGAGCCTTATTTTCGACTTTTTATATTTTGTTAACATTTTACTGGTATCACTTGCACCGGGAACACTGCCTGTGGTACCATTGGCAGCTCCAGCATCATTTTCTATCAAAGATTCTGGTCCACCACTTTCTTGATCCTTTGCATTCTTACGAACATCTTTCCAGGATAAATAAGTTCGAAGTCTATTCACTTTAGCTTTATCATGCCTTATCAAAAATATCACGTCTTCGGGTATTATTGATCTAGTCCCTCTTAAAGCTGCTAATTTAGTAGATTCCATTAAAATATCAATAACTTGACCTCTAACAATATCTTCTATTATAGATGTTGTTTCTACCGGTTGATCATTAGATTCTCCCAGCACAAACATCATCTGTTGAATTTCAACTCTGTATTTATATTTATCAGGTTGTGACATCTTCCTTAATAACCTGTCCAAAATCTATTATCAAGCCCTAACTAAACTATATGCTCTCCCAGAATCTGTCGCGAAGTTTCAATTCCGGGTAACCTTTTATGCCATCTATAAAACATCAACTCCATCAGAAAAATTTTTTTTCTTCACTACATATTTTAAATGGTATGTTCTTACAAATAATAATTATTATGATGACAAGCAGGCATTTGGCTCGAGACTTTTTGTCGATGTGGAAGAAACCAAGCTACCTTACACCATCTTTCGGCTGATTATAATTATAATTTTGTAAAATCATTATACTAACTTTTCAGATTTTTCTAACCTAAGATATTTCCTATTGGTATCCTTCGTGTTCTTGCATGATTTGATATCACTATAGAGTTTCTGGAACCATTACCTAGGTAGGCAATGTTTTTAGAGATTTATAGACACCAATATTATTCGTATACTTCTGTCCTATGCTATAATGATTAAAATCAAAAGAACTATTAAAGCTACTACCAAAATCCCTATACACCAATCACTACCTCTTTCACGATTTTTTTCAATAACCCAATTTATTCTTTTCAACCCTTGTTGTAATCTATTGTCCACTCTATCTAAGTTATGGTCAAGGTCATCTAACATCATACCTTGATCTTCTAGTTCATTACCCATTATCATTGCTTGTTGATTTAAATTTCTCATAGTTTCATGAATAGAATCTAACTGAAGATCTTGATCTTTAATCAATTCTTGTTGTTGATATTGATTGAATTCATTATCAATTCGATGTTTATCATTGAAAGGATTCTCACCATCCTGACTGATTCGATTTGACATAGATGTAACTTCTCTGATTCTTCTAGGATCATTAATTTTACTATTCCATGATTTCATTATTGATTGTTTCTTGTCTTCTAGCTTATTCAATATATCATATCTCTTACTGATGTCTTCATTGGTTAAATTGAATTGTGCTGGGGATTCTTTAGAAATGTTTAATGCTTCATTCAAGTCATTCATGATTTCTTCCAACTCCTGATAAACGTTGTTGAAATCAAGCTTTAAGTTCTCATTAACAAACTCACTGGCACCTAATCCCTCTAGTTTCTTCAACTGTTGCCATGCATCTTCCTCCACTTCATTGAAAGGATCCGAACTCATTTCTTAGCTGGTTATTATTTATTTGAGTGGAAACAAAAAGGTTCGCAGATTTGAGATTAATGGATGAACCAGTTAAACCAGAAGTAGTGGAAACTACCACTAAAACTATAGCTGTCAAGGAAGAATCTGTTGAAAACGGTATAGATTCATCATCGGTAACTCCTACAACTAATCCTGTGAAAAGACAAAAGGTATCAGAAGAACCCAAAGAAGAATATGAGTCTAGTGAACCAGTTCACGAAGCTGTGGGAGGTTCTTCAGTGAGGAAATATCTTAATAAAACGTTGACTGTACATTTATTAGAAGGTTTAAAAGAGGTAGGTAAACGAAAACCTGAAGATCCATTGAAATGGTTGGGAGAATTTTTGATTGAAAGATCTAAAACGCAAAATAACAATCAATAAATAGAAAGACATAAGAATTGGTCAAATTATGGTTGGTGTATAATAGTTCTTTGATAGTCCTGTGAACTTTAAATCCAAAACTCCTCCATTGAGCTGGTGTCAGAGCATTAAGTCTTTACCGGCACGTTTTAGATAAATTTCATACAATCATAACCCCGATTGGATCCACTAAAAAAAAACCCAAATATTGTAAAATAGTAATATAAAGTAAATTGACTCTGCTGTCCTTCTCTGTCCCCAATTAGAGTGTACAATCCATACACGCTAGCAAGTTAATAGGAATAAATCAAATGATGCGAAAACATCACGAAAACAAAATGGCTGATAGACCTTATTATGATCCTGATAGTTTTAATCCAGGGTATCTGGTAATTTACAAGCCAGGAGTTGGGTTGGTTAATCCTAAAACTGGTGTTCCATTGACTAGTTCAATTCAGCCAACTATTAATAATACCAGAACTGGTCAATATAATCCAGGAGCTAATATTGGTATCAAAGCAATGGGGAGTGAAAACAAAACTTTGGACAAAAATTATGTTTATGATTTGGAATTCAATGAATATTTTGATTTGAATAATTTATCTGAGTTGTTTAAGAACCTTTTTTGGAATTTCTTTAAGAATTATTGCAAAGTATTGGTTTACCAACCTTTAGAGATTGCTAGATTGGTATTACAAGTAGGTAAATTTGATTTTGGTACACCAAAGCCCAAACCTATTACCCACAAATCAAAGGAAAGTGAATTAAGAACTTACGAAGAGTCAGATGAAGAGATCAATTACTTCCAATCGACTTCAGAAATCTGGGATACTGGTTCAGAGTCCAATTCTTTATCAAATTCTGTTGAAAGTAAATCTGCTCTCCATAAGAAATCTAGAAGGAAACACAAAATTGACCCTGTTTCCAAACATACCATTGATATACTTTCATCAATTGCTGCAAAAGATGGACCTAATGGATTATTTAGAGGATTGAATGCTCAATTTTTATATCAAACTTTATCTCATACCATTGAAGCATGGATAACTGGATTTTTGTCACCATTCTTGGGCATACCAGACCCATTCTTCTTGGATTTAACCCATTCAACTGAACCTAGTAAATCCCTTTGTTTATCGGTTGCTGCTTGTGTTCTTACAGGAATTATTTTAATGCCCTTAGACTTGATAAAAATCAAATTAATGATTACGAATTTTACTAAACCTTATAAAGAAACTGATGAAACTAATGACAAACCTGAAGCTGAAGATAAAAAGGATGAAAAAGAATTACCTACCAGATCAATTAGAGAATCAATTAGGAATTATCCTTTACCATTATTAATTAAACCACCAGTTTTAGTAACATGTTTGACCATATTACATCAATTTTCAACTAGTGTTTTCCGTAAATCAGCTCCATATATTCTTTTCATTAGATTCAATATTGATTCTTATTCCTCACCCAAGTTGTATACTTTATTTAATTTGATCTTGCTGATAATGGAATTTTTCATCAAATTACCTGTAGAAAATCTATTAAGGAAGGAACAAGTTAGATTCTTATTAACACCAAAACCAAAAGATGTTAAAAAGATCGTAACCATTGAAGATGCAGAAAATAATTTAATTGTTGAATTCAATGATGGTTATAAGACGGAAAATAATGAAAGCACTTTTAATAATTTATGGCAGAGATTCACCCATCTTGGTCTTTTCAATGGTTGGAGAGTCGGGGTCTTGAATGTTATTGGATTTTGGGGTTATAAGATCATGAAAAGTGGTGGGATAATGGCTGAAGAACGTTTTTAGTTAGTTGTATATAGTTAATATTCAGTTCAATTTCTTTTTTTTATCTCGTGTTTTCCGATTGCTTATCATAGTAAAACATCCCACAAACTCCATGGCTAGATAGTCAAAAATCCCGAAGGAGATTCCTTATCTATATCTGTATATCTGGAGCTTCCTTCCGATGGGAAACAATTAAAACATCAGTATGCGATAATAATTTAACAGAACAATAACGACAATTTAACAATATCTGAAACCGTTTACCGTTGAAACGTTCAATTGTCATGAATTAAATTAAATGAAAGACAATAGATTTTACAATGTTTTCATTGGCTTAGGACGGAAAAAAATTCCTCCTTCAATAATTTAACCCAAATCGGAAAATTTTGTAAATCGATCTCACTTAAGACATTAGAATAATTTTTTTGACATAAGTCTAAAAAATAGGACCGTTTGCATTAGAAAAGGAGTGCATTAGTTTCGTTAAGCCAATGAAAACCGCTTATAATTAAACCTTTGAAATTATGCACCTAGAAGTTAGAAGACGAAAAAAATTTTAGTCTCCAATACAGGACTATTGTTTATTCTCCGTTAATCGTTTAAGGTACTGGGACTACTTTTCTTATTTAACGGTTGACCAATAAAATACACCGATAAACAAATATCAAAACAGAAGATTATCAACAAAGAAGAGAATATACAGTAGAATCATAAAATCCCGTCTATTATCATTTACCTATTGATCTAAAAAAAAATCTCTTAATATACATAAAAATCAGATCTTTTACAATCATACAATGTAGAATGTAAAACGATCTTTAAATCAGAAGAACTATTTCTTTGACTTTCTTAATCTTGAAAAAATCAGTCTTTTACTGGTATGCAGTTTATTGGTTTCGGTTGAATTAACAGAAAATGTAGTTGATACAGGAGTTTGTAATTCAAATTCACCATATCTTGGAGTTGGTGGTTCAATTACGAATCCTCCTCTTTTATAATTATATTCATTATTAGAATAATTGAAATCCATATCTTCTTCTTCGTCAATTCTTGAAATTGGTGATAATGATGAATTGAAAGTATTAATTTGAAGATTCTTGGTATTTCTAGTAATCTTTTGAATATTCAAATCTAACTCATTGTCAGAACACAAACTTGATTGATCGATTTCTGGAGATGTGATGTTCATAGTATCAACTAATGAATTACTTGAATGGTTGATTGATGAATAAAGTGAATTGATGGATTTGGTTCTTGATAAGGTTGAGTTTGAAGTGGATGTATTGTTATCCAAATTTGGTTCAGGTAATGAAATATGATTCATGATATTCAAATCATCATAACTTTCATAGAATTTGAATACAATTTCATTCATTAAGAAGTTTAAGAAATCTTCCCAAAGTTTAAACACTGAATTCAAACTTTGCATTTGATATCCCATTGAAATCTTAAAATTTTCAATGATTGTTGAAATAATTCTACCGACTAATTTTCTATGAATAGTCAAATCTTCATCTTGTAAGATATTTAAAGTATTATTCAAAATGGATTGATTCTTAAAGAATTTATAGTGTAAATTACTCATGATTTTGAACCATTCGTAATTGAAATCTTTTAAATAATAGAATCTATAGTTCCTTAATTTTTCAGATTCTAAGTCACTCAAATTCTTTGCTGATGAGGTATTGCAATGTAAATCTTGTAAGTTAATTAAGAAATAATCAATTATCTCTCTATAGAAAGTTAATAATTGATTGATATTTGGTAATAATTCGAAATAATTTAGGTTTGCACTGATTTCCATTAAATTGTACTTCAAATCTTGATAAACATTGTTCCAGAATTGATTAGATTTGATCAAATCCTTAATACCTACAGGTTTATCCATATTGGAATATTGATTATATAAATTATCAAGTTCATCATAATCAAATTCCTCATCATCTTGTCTTGAATGTTCAACTTCTTCATCACTACTAACTTCTGAATCATTTGCTTCTTCGGCAAAAGTATCAACAATAGTTAAATTATCAGTTGATAAGTTTGGTAATCCAGAAACTGAACGTGAAGAAGCCCTTCTGAATTGCTTTAATTTTCTCATGTATCTTAATTTTGGTGTTTTACCATCAACTTTTTTAGCTTTCATGTCTTTTAAGATTTCATTATAATCACCAGTGACCTTCTTATAGAAAGAATATCTTAAGATATTGATGTTCTTCTCATTAAACAATAAATCACCATCAGTACCATGGAATCTATTTAAATTCTCATTGGTTTCATGAAATACACATTCATTAATTAAACCATTAAATTTCTTTTCGTATCTGGCAATTATTTGTTCATATTCAGAAACATCAACATAATTACTGGTATTCAAATCAAATCTTTTCTTTGAAGTGTGATGACCACTTGATTGAGAAGATTTGGTGGATTTGGTAGATATAGATTTGGTATCATCATTCTTAGAAGACTTACCGGAGCTTCTTATTGATTGTCTAGAACTTTTGCCCTTTCTGGTATTATTCATTTGATAAGCACCATTTTGATGGGCAACTATGAAAAGATAAGCTGACATCTTATATTACAATTGGGTATAATAAAACAAAGTAAAAAAAAAACTACTAATGATTGGAATTTTTGTAGTAACAAAAGAATATAGTTAATGAACTAACTTGAAAGGAATTGAATAGTAATAGCTTTGATTAAGCAACAAAAAAGTATTTTAAATAACGATAACTTGGGTATAAAAACTGACACAATTTTTTGGGGAAATTCACAGTCATATATGGAAATTTGGAATAAGATTCCTAGCCACTCACTTATGAGTTAGTGCTTGTACATAAGGCACGAAACCTAATTGAAAAAAAGTCGAGTGTCTCCAATTTAGCTCATAATGCATGAATAGAGGTTTTACATCATAGTGGTTTTTGGCTGCGAAACTACCTTATCCAAAACCGTTGGACCTCAAAATTCCTGTATCGTCAAGTGCCTCGCCCAACTTTCTTTTTTGCCCATACATTTTTTGACTATAAGGTTTTAACAAGTATAGAATAACCGTGAAAATCAAAGTTATCTTTACTGTTTAAAGAAATTATAAATTCTAAACTTAACTTGCTTTCACGCAAAAAAAAAAAGGAAGGGAATAATCAACACCTAATCAAATAAAATTGAAAAGGTGTAATTTTGGTTATCAATGATAATTACACAAACTATCCACTACACTACCTATTTTCCGAATTACATGTTTTGTCTCAGTACACTATAGGGGAAGATAAGTGTACTCATGCTTTTATGATACTTGAGTTTTTCATCATGGTATGAACAGTAATCTAAACTTCGTATACAAGTGTTTCATATCACAGTAAAGTCAAGGTTTATTCTTAGTAAATCAACGCAAATTTCTATGATTTTAAGTTTTACTCCTATTATTATGAAAACTGCCTTCACTTAATTTATCAATTTGGTTCATTATTCTATTGTTAGTTTTAACGGTTGATGCCATATGTCGTCCATTGAGGTTTTTCTTCCAACAATAGTGGGTCAAGATTTAGTTTGTTCCACCAACTTTAACTTGAAATAAGAGATTGATTGATATCATTTCTTCAAATTTTAAGAGGATTTAAACGTTTCAAAATCGTCACTTTCAAAGCTTAAAAAGTTTTTTCCTGTGTATTTTCGTGCAAATGCATGTCTCTGCAGCTACCGGGAACTACTTTGGCGGAAAAATTTGCACAAAATGGGGTTTGATTGGGTGTCTTGGTACCAGTAGTTTTGAGTTTGGCGTCGCCTCCTTTACTTTACACATCAAGGTAATATATAACCTCCCCGAAAGGTTTTAACCCACTTAAATTTATCTTCGTTTAATCAACTCTTGGACATTTTGTGTTTAGATTACATGGGATAGTGTTAAATGCTACATGTTAGAGAATTTAGTCAATCACAAGTTGTCATAACGTTTGACAGTGTTTAACAGTTTAATGCAGATTTCCAGTGCATTAAAAATTTTATTTTTTGCGTTTGCTAAGGCTAAACTTGTCTTTCCGAATTTGATTTTCAAATCTTATGGACTTAAAAAAGTGCCAATTGGTAGATCTAAGAATTCGTAAATATTTTAAAACCTACCACGATCTCTAGGTTTTTGTTGAACTTTCAGTTGAGTATCTTTAACCTGAATACGGTACCTGGTTTAAACGCGATGAGTGATAACACCATCGCACTCGAATTTGGGGAACTGTTACACGAGTAATCTTTCTTTCACAAAGACTTTGTAATAATAGGGATTTTCCCCAATAATTAGAGAACCAAATACGTTCAATTGTTTACTAGGATGTTGTTTTTTCTTCAATATGTACCACCTTGGTATTTATTGATTCAACTGCATGAGGACGAAAATGCCTTGTTCAAAGGAACTCACGGGAAACCGATAACCTGATGTGGTTACTGGTCACCAACCAAGTACTATGATCTTTTTCGTAATCTCCTTTATTGGTATCTCGACGACGATGGCGACGCCTCCTCGCTAATTTGTTATAACCAACAATGCATCGGACATATGTTCTTGATCATGAACTCCCTTGAACATATAACAGAGTAGAACAATGCTTAGATAATCACGGATTAAGTTTTGTGAGCTGATAGATATTACTGAAACATTCTCTTGTATAACCACCATTGATGGTTGATTATCAACAGATTCTCATCCAAAAATTTGCTCCTATTACGGCTTTTTGGTACCCCCACTTTAAACATTGACCGTGGAAACTACAAAACTGTCTATTGTTAAATATCTAGGTATTCAGGGCTATTGGTCAATTGCTGATAGAATTGGTGAAATATCTCGATTAGTGCCACCAGTTACTTATTTGAGAAGGTTTATACCACTTGTTCTTCTCTTTTATGATAGCCCCCTCCTTTCCCACAGCTTCGTTTCCTAACCTGGGATTCCTAACCTTTAACACTAGCTTTTCAGTTACTTGGCAATAACAATAAGTCCAAATAATCTATATTAAGTTGAAACTATAAGTGTATGAAAATTCTGCCAGACTTCACCTTTCCCTTTGCGGCTGATTACTTTTAGAGTTAAAAGATTAAATCTTATTATAAAACTGAACATGTCATTTCGTCCATATTTATCACTCATATGAGAATTTTGGTTGATACTTCCAGTGGTTTTGATTTCGGAGGCAGAGGTGTACTGAGAGCAACTAATGTATTTTCATATAATTCCTTCGTTGAAACATATTCCTAATCAGACGAAACCTTATTGATTTCACCTGTCTTAACATCGTAGATATAACCAGTTATTGGTATATCTAAAACAAACGGATTTGACTTAATTATCTCAACATCATCTTTAACACTTTGATGCAAATCCAGAAAGGGTAAGAATTGTAAATCTGTTTGTTGACCAGTATCCTTAAGAAGAATTGACTTCAAGTCTTCATCCTTGAATGTCAACATACCACAATCCGTGTGATGGATGACGATTATCTCCCTAGTTCCTAATAATTTTTGAGAAATAATTATACTACGTAGAGCATCTTTGGCCCTACCACCTGCATTCCTGACAACATGGACGTCACCTTCTTCGAAACCTAAACTTTTAGCTGGGTCAATTCTAGCATCCATACATACAAGAATCAATGCTTTCTTGGCTGGTGGTAAAGCCAAATCTCCTTTGGTAAAAGTTGAGACGTAGCTTTTATTATTTGATTCAAATTGTTCTGCAAGTGACATTCTTTCCCTCTTAATATCCTGACTGAGTAATTAACAAGAGTGGTGAATATCCAGAAAAAGAGTTAGATAAACGATCTTATATATGAAATACTGTGGCTCGACTCCACACTACATGGGGTTCACCCTTTTATCCTTATCTAATCTGTAAATCCCGATTATATAAGCGATTCTGGTAACAATCAAATCAATGGCCATTTCTATTGAATCTTTGGCCAAGTCTACCTTGGATCCGTCTATTTCCTGCCAATTGATAGGAACTTCCTTGATTTTGATATTTTGAATAGTTGCTAATAATAAAACTTCTACATCAAAGATCCATCTTTCTGTATGCATATGAGGGAATATCTTACTTATACTGTTATGGTTGAATAACTTGAAACCACATTGTGTATCTTTTACTTGTCTGATACCAAAAACGTAGACTAAAGTATGCAAACCATGCATCAAAAAATTCCTAATAAAGGATCTCTTAACCACAGCATCCGTGTTTACCATATGTGCACGTGAACCTATAGCGACTCCTGGTTCATCAGTCAATTCATTATCAAAGAACTGAATCAATTTACTGATATCTGAGAACTTACTGGCTCCATCAGCATCAGCAAATAAAGCATACTTACCTGATGAGTACAATAAACCGTGTGTAACAGCCCCTCCTTTACCTCTATTTTTAACGAACTTTACCACTTTCATTTCATGTGGTTTAAGATTGAATTCTTCAGCTAATGAAAGAGCATATTCGGCTGTACCATCACTACTCTGATCATCAACGATTAAAATTTCAAATTTCCCTGGATAATTTTCCTTCAAGTAACCTATGCATTCATCCAACATGACTCTCAATCTCTTGGTTTCATTGTAACATGGGATGATCACACTCAAATCAACTCCTTTATCTACATATTTGGAGTTTCCAGTTATTCTATCAGGTAATGCAAATTGTTCCTTTTTACTGTCATTAGTGATATAAAATAACTCACTTTTGAATGGGGCTCTTGGATTGTGTGAGAACAAATATATAATGGTGTATAAACTTATTATAAAACATAACAATAAAGTTATTCCCAATGTTATTAGATCCATGTCTCTACACGTTAAATTTTCAACCCTCGACGCACTCTCAATACACGATGTTGCAAAATCGCATCTTATCCATCTAAACTTAGAATCTCGAATTTGCACTACTGATAGATTTTAAAAGGGTAGGAGGAATCAAAAGTATACATTACAATAAAATACATTATTTTGCTATTTTGGTGATTCTGTTGTTCAAACATCTAGCATTATTTACAAAAATTTCAATCAATTCTTCAAATCTTATGGTATTACTACCATCTTTGACTTGATCGAATCCACTAAACAATTCTAATACATCTACTTCCAATTCTACTTCAAACGACTTTTCATTTTCGACGATTCTCTTCCCAGTTGTGGCACTTTTCAGTTCCTTAGGTTCTGTTACTCTGGTTAAATCGAATCTGGTAACGGTTGGTTTGTGTTGGAATGAGTTTCTTTGCTTGATTCTTGTTTTCTGTGCTTTTGTCTTCTTCATCATTGGTTCGATTTGATCATTTTCTACAGGGTTTTCAATGGAAAGTGATAATCTTAAATCATACATGGATGATGGGTTATGAATGAAAATATCACTTTTTCTCACTTTATTGATAGCAGAATACCTTGGTGGATTGAGCTTGTTATCCTTTGATACTCTGACAGTCTTTGGGGCCTCGTTTCTATTTCTTATATAATAAAAGAAATCAGTAACATCAGATTCTAAAATACTGAATTTTCTTTTGGGTTTCGAAGGATTTTTTTTATTCTCTTCTTGATATGATTTTTCTAATTCTTCGAAAAAGTTCATCATTTCATTGAATCCGACTTCATGGATACCAGGGTCGAAATATATGTTGGATGTATCGGTATAAATACATTCAGTTGAGACATTAATGTTCAACCTTGCATTCAGTTTCTTATCCATGATAGTTCCAAATTTCAATTCCAATTCAACAAAAGGTCTAGTAGATTGATTGATTTCAATAAAATTTGCATAGATCCATTCAGCAATGGTTCTTGTTATACTAGCAGGTGGTATTATACCTGTAATTGAACATTCTAAATCAACACTACTAGTAGTATTTGTATTAAAAATTGACTTGTCTGACAAACTTTCGATAGAAGGCTCAAGTGGATTATTAACCAAGATATCATTAGGATTTCTTCTTTTAGTTGGTATCCATTCTTGAGCCCATACAGGTGGTACTTTATATCTTTTTGGCTTGTTCTTGGACTTCAACTTGTTCAACCTCGTTATTTCATCCTCTTCCGTTTGTTGTGATTTATCTGTTGAGTCACTGTTACTGTTCCCACTTTCTTTCTGGATTTCATCAGTATTCACTTGTGGTTCTTCCGCATCCTTGGTTGGTGAAGGTTCTGGTGTTGCATCGGATTTATCATCATTCAACAAACTCACAATTGAATTTCTTTGTGGGTTATTCTGTATGTTGGTGATCACTGGATTCTTGGTTTCGATGTCACTTGGAGTATCATCGTTTAATATCGATCCAACATTCATGGCTGTACGTATGTTTTCAAAAATGCGAAAATATTAGAGATGAGAATATGAGGTTGTTTATGCATTGAATTATCGTTCTGTCTAATCAATAGATGAGTGAAGGGTCCTCCATTGAGTATTGTATCCAACTTGTCATACAGTTTTGGTCCTCTAAATGTTTCCACCTACTGAAGGCTCCCACAGTACATATCTTAGTGGTCGAAGTATTCGGACAATTGCCGTATGGGTCATGGAAGTAGCCAATATCTCTGAACCAATGAATCTTGTCTTTGGGTGCAAATAATCCAAGACCAACAGAATGAACCGGAGCATCTCCCCATCTTTCATAGTAGAAATTCCCTGTCGAGTCAAGATGATTGAACCACTCAGTGTAAGCTTCTCCACGGAAGAAATCCATATCGGCAATCTCAAAATTGGACCAGAAATGACAAGTGGAATACCCCCCAGTAACCTTGTTCTTTTCGGGATGTTGTTGGTTTTCCAAAAGCCATTGGAATGATCCATTGGGATCAACGTATTTGTAATTGTCTCCTTTGTTTAAGAACTTTAAGGTTTCGGGCCATAAAGTTTCGATTGACTTTTCGATATCATATAAGTTGACAGTAAATCCATAGACTTTACCGGTTGTTTGCAAATATTTGAATACATCGTAGTCGATTTCTGTATTGAATTGAACGTCTGGCTCGATTCTCCAATAATATCTATACTTCTGTAATTCAGGGAGTTTAAATATTCCTCCCAGATAAAATCTACACATATTGTGATATGATTCTTTTTTGGCATATGCTATGTCCAATTCATGAAATACGTTCATGTTCTTCGTTTGTTTTTGCACATCTATTGAGTCTGGTTTATTCCATAATTCAGGAGGAAGCGTGACGAACTCTTTGGGACCTGGAATCAATTTGTCCATCCTTGTTTTGAATCTTTCACTGAAAGGTTCGTCGTTTATGAACATGTAAGGATATTGAAATTTACTATTGAAAGATTTTTCAAACTTTTTGATTGTCTTTGCTATTTTGGTCAATTCGCTATTTCTGACCAAAGCTATTATCACAGCATCAGCTCGATCGTAATTGGGCATTTCCGATTCCGTGGGAGGTCTGATACCCGATAAGTCTGAATCTTTTGGTTCGTGTATTTGTTGTTTCACCAATTCTTCATATACTTTATTGTTTTGCTCCACAATCTGTTGTGGTGTACCTCTCTTGTTTTTAGGATTTATGAACTTGAACTTCACATTCTGTGGTTCGATGGAATACCCATACGTATCGAGTGTTCCTGGTTGGTATTGATCGGTTGCATGCTTCAAGTAGTAGTTATAAACGTCAGAATACCTAGATTCTTTATCTAGCCTTAGGACTCCACCAATTGTGAATAGGACCACACAGATTATGACCACTATTAGGACTCTCGTTGGTCTTATATTCAATGCTGTTATCATACGTGATGAATATGAACTGGAAGGTTTTTCTCTCAACGAATTTATATACTGAATCAGCCTTGTTAACTTTGGCTCGTAATTTGAGTGTTTCGCATCAAAATATATCTGTTAAAAAGGTACATAATACAACATCGGGGCAGGAATGAAACAAATTTTAGTGAGAAGCTTTATTCGTTTCAAGTCTTCATTACCACCTCTATCAACCCTAGAGAAGTTTAATTTTAGAGTGTCTACTCATACTATCAATCAAGTCAATGAAAATATCGATGAATATTTAAATCAGCCCATAGTTTTGAATGGACATTTGAATAGGAAGCCCAGATTGATGGCTAAGAACTCGTTTGCCGAGATAAGAGATTCAAGTGGTAACTCAGTGCAGTTGATATTCCGTCCTGAATCTACTGGAGAAAAGCATTTCCAAACAATCGAGAGTTCAATGGTTGAAGAATCTTGTAGCGTAGAAGGACTTGTCAAACTTAAGGAAACAAGAGATGGTTCAAAGCAATGGGAATTATTGGTGACTAATTATCAAAGATTGAACGAGTCAAATTTGGATGCTGCTAGGTTGGAGAACTTGAAGCATACCAATCCCCAAGATCTACCACCTCATTTCAGGTATTTACAATTGAGATCTAAGAAATATCAAGACAACTTGAAGATCAGGAGTAAACTCTCCAACTTGATAAGGTCTACGTTCATTGAAAGTCATGATTTCACTGAAATCGAAACTCCGTTGTTATTCAAATCAACTCCAGAAGGTGCTAGAGAATTCCTCGTCCCCACTAGATCTTCCAACTTATTCTACGCCCTTCCCCAATCACCTCAACAGTATAAGCAAATCTTGATGAGTTCTGGATTTACTAGATATTTCCAACTTGCTAAATGTTTCCGTGATGAAGATTTACGTGCTGATAGACAACCTGAATTTACTCAGGTCGATTTGGAAATGAGCTTTGTTTCTTCAAGTGATCAAGTTCAAATCGTTGTGGAAGATGTGATATATCAAGTTTTCAACAAAGGTGCTGAGTTACCCATGTACATAGTCAACGAAAAGGGTAATTTAATCGAGCTTAAGAATTTCAACAATGATAAAACCCAATTTACCAAATTGACATATCAAGATGCATTGTCCAAATATGGTATCGACAAACCTGATCTCAGATTTGATTTAGCCTTCAAAAATTTGAGTGCATATTTCACAAACAACAATGAAGATTTCCCCATCGTTGAAGCATGTGTTTTAAAGCAAGGTCTTGTTGATGGAAAGATTCCAAAGGCTTTGACAGATTCTTTGAATTATAATAGACGTAAGCCTTTTGTCATTGGAATCAAAAAACCTGCAGATATAAAGTGGTATAGAAAGTTTGTGGAGAAAGGAATATTGACTTTACGAGGAGAAGAGACTGCTATAGATAATTTTCTTTCAGTGGAAGTAGGTGACATTGTTGCTTTCAGTGACAGAATGGAGATACCTTATGAAAATCCTACCCCCCTCGGGAAATTTAGGCAATTAGCCATATCAGAATACGACAATAAATGGCAAAGACCAATTGAAACCTCAGAAGGTTTGATTGATGAGTATGATGCTTCGAAAGTCTTTGTTGGTAGTTGGGTGGTGGACTTCCCTTTGTTCAACCCCACGGATGTTAGTAATGGTGATGAAGCATATCCTAGTTATGACAAGTCGAATTTTGAATCTACCCATCATCCTTTCACCATGGTCAAGACTGAAGATTACAAGAAATTGTCATCTGACCCATTGGCTGCCCATGGTGAACACTACGATTTAGTTGTGAATGGTGTGGAAGTTGGAGGTGGATCGAGAAGGGTTCATGATGCAAAGTTACAACAATTCATCTTTGAAGAGATCTTGGGTATCGAGAATTATAGACAATTATTCGGTCATTTATTGGACGCTTTGAGTATGGGTTGTCCACCTCATGCTGGTTTAGCGATTGGTTTCGATAGATTGTGTGCTATGGTGGTTGGTAGCTCCAGTATCAGAGATGTGATTGCGTTCCCAAAAAATCAATCAGGCGTTGATATGGTTGTTGAAAGTCCCACACTGGTAGATGAGAAAGTTTTGAAAGAATATTTCATTAAGAGCCTATAATGTACATACTGTAAATAGAAATAGAAACGGTAAACCGTCTAATTTCTGTTACGACCTCTATTTTGCTTTTTGAATGGTCTACCACTTTCTTCACCATCATGGTTGTTGGCTCTGAATCTGTTTCCATCTCTAGGAAGAGGAGTGTTGTTCGCGTTAGATTTTTCATTCAATTGCTGCATCTTCAAATGGATTGGTTTGACTTGGATGTTACCAAATTCAATTTCTTGTTGTTTGACTAATTGTTTCCAATCGTATTTTTTTCTGAGGAATAACTCCATAGACCAATTTTTCCAAACCAACTTCCCGTAGATACTGTCCTTGATGACTTTTGAATTTGATGATAATTCGGTAGCAATTCTGTCCTTGTACATATTATGTCCAATCGTGAAATCCCATAACTTATCAACGATATGGGAACCATATGAATTAACTGCAAGAGTTGAGATCTTACTTGTGAATAAATTCAAGACTCTCTTTCTCAATATAGATAATGGCTTCTGTTCGTTCGGTTGAATTACTAAGGAATTTTCAATAACATGACTGAAGACACCATGTAAACACATTTGGGTGAATCTTGTTGAAGGCATTTGCAATAAGTTGTACCACACGCAAATAACGAACCCAAAGTCGTACTGCATCAATTTTTCAAGTAAGAGGGATCTTCTTCTTTCTTCGGCTGTTGGCCAATCATCCCTTGTGTTACCTAAAGTGGATTTTGATAATCCTAATATCTTCTCGAATAATTCAGGATTTGGATTCTCTTGCAAGTTATTGTCATTATTCTCAATGGTATTGTAATCGAAATTGGGAGTGAATTTCAAGAACAATTGTTGGATGATTTCTTCTCTTTGATAATTCTTTTGTTCGATGGAAGCATCTATAACATTGGTGCTTAATTCCAAATTCTGATTGTCGTTGATGGACAATAATTTCGACAATTCAGGAATGATTTGGTCAAGAATGAATTTAACTTCAACAGATTTTAATTTGTGTAATAAGGATTGAACAATGAAAACACCGGTGGTTGATCTGTTACATAATTTGATAATTCTATCCTTCATATATAATTGATACAATCTTTCAATATAGTTTAATCTGACACCAGTTCCTTTAATGAGTGACTCTAAGAAATGAGAACCTACTGAATCACTCAACAAATATTCAACAAAGGCTTCTTCTTGAGAATCTTTGGGCAGCTTATCACTCAAGAAGATTAAGTGCCACATGGATCTTTCTCTATCAACAATACCTTCAACCTGCAATAAAAGCTGTAAAACAGGGGAAGCAATTTTATCAATAGCCAATGATCTCATTGCTTTGGTATCTTTATTAATCAAGATGGCTTTAACAATCTCTCCAATTTGGGATTTGAAACTTGATGGAATTTGGAGTGATCTGTTGAAAATTTCATTGTCTTTGATTTCAATCATCTTTCTGGCAATTTTAGACTTCTTGGATCTCAATGTGGAATTTGATAAAGTAGATGAGGGTAATTCTTTACCTGAGATAATTAAAATGACTAATCTCACCACATGTGAACCATATTGGTTTGTTATTAATGAATTCAATTCCGGTTTTAATTCATTCAACATTGACAAGAACATATGTTCAATAGTTACACCTGCTGATGGGTTTTCATCAATTTCATCTTCGGCTTCTTCCTCTTCACCAATAAGCTCTTTTTCAACCATTGATACAATTCTTACAAGCAAAGTTTCCAATACGTGGGAAGAGTATTTATGAATGGACAAAGCAAAGAAATGACCTTGTAATTGCTTGAAAATTAATTTGATCTGATGATCTTTTCCTATTAAAATTAATCTTTCCATCAATTTCGAACAGATTTGGTTAGTCACTAATTTCAATTCTTTACCTCTTGCCTCCTCCAAAACTGAGCTTACAAAGCCTTCTCTTTCTTCGTCTGTTTCAAAAGAATTCACATTTAAAGTAGATTCTGCTTGTTTGAAATAATCGATTTCGTTGCTATCGACTAACCCGAAAAATGTAGATTTTAACTCACTTTTACCTTGGTTGGAAGAACTTGATGTATCCTCAACAAGTCCTTGTTGAACCTCAGGTGCATTGTCGATAGAGAACTCAACTCCTTCAACTTTTTGGGCTCTTCTTCCTCTAGGTTTGGCCATTTTGATTTTTTTCGCATCTCATCTCTGCAACAAAATCTCCATTCCCAGAAATGAGTATTTCGAAACACCTTGTCTGCATCAGTCAAATTAAGGTGTGTGATATGAAACTCCCTCCAACTTGATATCACTCATCCCATCCTCCCCCATTCATTCGTAGTGTTCGTTATCAAACAATAAATGATAAATTCATGATTGTCAAACGATCGTTCACCAATAAACGCATATAGATAAGACGCAAGGCAACGACATGCAATCACAATAAGAATTGATTGTCCTATAAAATGTGAGCCATTTCTGGACCCGGCTAAAGTGGGATATAAGCGTTCCATTTCAAACACTTTTTACGAGTTTCTCGTATCGCAGTGCGACCCTATATAAAAGAAACCTTATTACCAAGCACCCTTTGAAGACATTTTCTCCTTCTTTTGTGATGATTATGGCCAACGTTATTTCAACTTCTCATACGAAGTCGCTTTTTCCACATCCATGGTATATTGCAAACTGTGATATAGGTCCATTGCCATTATCATTGGATGAGTGGGAAATAATTGAGATTTCCAAGGCTATCAGATCTAAATCTGGCTGGCAAATCAAATATAAAGACAGCGAAATTACTTCAAAATGGCAATCCGAATTGTGTAGTCAATCAAAACGTAAGGAAATCAATAAATTGTTCGATTTTGTCTTGAAAGAATTAGATTGGTATGTTGAAATGGAAAATTCAATACCTGGCTATAAAATTGAATGTGATGACAAGATTGTCACAAGTGATAATGCTGTGCCATTGGCTATAAAAGAGGATTTCATAAGAGAAGTTAAGAGCTTTTCTTCTTCTCTTAAGGAAAAAGACTACCATCCAGGGTCTAACAATCAAGTCTTGGATTTGGTCCATCCTTCTTTATATCCATACCAATATGGCAAGACTCCTACTATAACGGATAACGGTATAGAATTGGTTCCATACTCAGATGAGGTCAAAAATTTCAAATTTGGAGTATCCAAATACTTGATGTCAGATAAATACCAGTGGTTGCCATCACTTCTTACCTTAAAAGATGGAAATTTTTCCTTTGCTTCATACATAAACAATTTGCATCCCAAATATCAAGGGCTATATAAATCTATTGAATCCATATTTAATCTTAGTATACCTGGGTTGAATTTCATTTTGTCTCGTACGATCTCCAACCAAGTAGTTAGAATTGAAGTACCACCAGGAGAGAAAGCATATACTGATGAGTTCAATCAAAAAGTGAAAGATTTGTGGAGCGATGACTCTCTCAGTGATGAGGTGTTCATGCAAGAGCGGGACCGTCTTGAAGAGAGTAAGATTTACAATTTGAAGGAATTGAAGTTCGAATACGTGAAGCCTGAGATGGCACAATTCGATCTTAGAGACTTTGAGGATTTGAAAGTGATAGTTAAGTTAGCTGATATAGAATTAACACCAGAAAATCCTTACTACAAAGGTGGATCTTGGCATGTAGAAGGAACGATCAATGAAGATATCGTAGCAACTATATTATATTATTACGACACAGAAAACATAGGAGAATCTAGATTATCATTCCGTACCACATTTGAGGATCCAGTTTATGAGCAAAATGACAAATTTTACTGCAATCATTTCTATGGAATGGAGAATGATTGCATCATGAGCAGAAACTTGGGATCGGTCGAATGTAAAGAAGATAGGTTACTTATATTCCCCAACATTTTCCAGCATCATGTTGATCCCTTCGAACTAGTGGACAAGTCAAAGCCAGGACATCGTAAGATTTTGTGCATGTTTTTGGTGGATCCTTACAATGATTTAGTCAAAACTACTTATCAAGTACCACCCCAACAGCCAGACTGGCAAGATCTTGTAGATGGCGAGATAAAAGAAAAAATCAGAAATTTGGGAACACAATGGCCAATTCCATTGGAGGAAATGAAAACAGTCAGGGAGGATTTAATGGAGGAAAGATCCATTAAGGACCTCTATGATGATTTAATACCCCCCTTTAATCGGGAATTCTCGTTATGTGAACATTAAATTTGACAAGATTTTTGTGCGGAATATATACGAACATTTCGTAAACCTTTAAAATGGTCAAAGTTCGCCCTTCCTAGCTTTCTCAACTCCTACTCATGAAGTTTCCACATCCATGGTTCCAAGCATACGATGGATACGGTCCTCTTCCTTTGTTGTCAGCTGAATGGGATATCATTGAGATTTCCAAGGCTATCAGATCTAAACCTGAATGGAAATCTAAATACAAGAATGATGAAATCACAGCCAAATGGGAATCTGAGTTATGTAGTCAATCAAAACGTAAGGAAATCAAAGAATTGTTCAACTATGTCTTGCAAGAATTGGATTGGTATGTTGAAATGGAAAATTCAATACCTGGCTATACCATTGAGTGTGATGACAAGATTGTCACCAGTGATACTGTGATACCAAAGGAGATTAAGGGGCAGTTGGTGAAGGAAGTCAAGAGTTTTGCTTCTTCTCTTAAAGAAAAGGACTACCATCCAGGGTCTAACAATCAAGTCTTGGATTTGGTCCATCCTTCTTTATATCCATACCAATATGGAAAAACTCCAACTAGAACAGATAATGGTATAGAATTAGTTCCATACTCAGATGAGATCAAAAACGTTAAACCCGGTGTTTCGCAATATTTTGTATCGAAGAAGTACCAATGGCTCCCTAGTTTATTGGTATTAGACGGAGATAAGTATTCAATCAAGTCTTATATCAATAATCTAGTCCCCGATTTTAAGTATAAAGAATTGTACACTACAATTGAAACAATCTTCAATTTGAGTTTAGAAGGTTTACTGCATGTTCTTGCTCGTACAGTCTCAGAACAAGTTGTCAGAATACCCACTCTCAAGTACGACGAGGGCTACACAGATGAATTCAACGAAAGGCTCAAAGATGCTTGGAGAAATTTGACCAAAATGGAAGATGCTGAATGGACAAAAATGTTCGAAGAGATTGAACAATCCAAGGTTGATAATATCAAACCGTTGAGCATCGAATATAGAAAACCAGAAACTTCGAAATTTGACTTAAAAGAATTCCAAGAACTCAAGGTTATCGTAAAATTGGCTGATATTGAATTGACACCTGAAAACCCTAAATATAAGGGTGGCTCATGGCATGTGGAAGGTACCATTAACGAGGATATTGTGGCAACTATCTTATATTACTATGATAGTGAAAATATCAGTGAATCTAAATTATCCTTTCGTACAACTTTCGAAGAACCTGAGTATGAACAGGGTGATGACTTCTTCTGTGAACATTTCTATGGTTTGAAAGATGAGAGCCCTTTATGTAGGAATTTGGGATCAGTAGAATGTAAGGAAGACAGATTACTTATCTTTCCAAATGTTTTTCAACATCATGTTGATCCCTTTGAGTTGGTGGATAAATCTAAAAGAGGACATCGTAAAATTTTATGCATGTTTTTGGTGGATCCTAACAACAACTTGGTAGTCACCACGGAAAAAGTACCAGTCCAACAGCCCGAATGGCAGGAGTTAAATGATGAAGTAATTATAAAAAAAATAACCGACTTGAACCTCGATTCTGATTGGCCCCCCACACTTGAGGAAATGAAACGTGTCAGAGAAGATTTGATGAAAGAACGGTCGGCCAACCCCAATGCTTATGATGACGAAGTCATCCCTTTTGAGCGATTATTTTCCCTTTGTGAACATTAATATACTTCTCTGTGGCTGAATTCTAGGCTTTTCTCCGTCGCACGCACTCTGTTCCTAGATAATTACGAAATTCTCGTAAATTAGAAAATATATATCGAGAAAATCTTGAAGAGATAGAAAATTCAAAATTGTACGATTTCCAAGAAAATTACTTAAAATGTCACCGTTTCCTCATCCATGGTGGTACCCCTATTCAGGTGTCGGTCCCCAACCCAAATGTGTGAATGAATGGCATATAATTGATATATCCAATGCAATCAGATCTAAACCTGACTGGCAAACTAAATACAAAAATCCAGAGATCGTGGGAAAATGGAGAAAAGAAGCAATTGGTCAATTGGATAGCGAAGAAAAAGAAGAAATCTTTGATTACGTTTTGAAGGAACTTGAATGGTATGACAAATTGACGAAAGATTTGAAAGACTACAAAATTGAATGTGATGACAAAATTATCAGCGGAAATCCCGTTCCTGATTTAATCCGGACTGAATTGTTAGAAGAAGTCAGCAAATTTACTCAACTGAAGAAGAAGGACTACCACCCAAACTCAAATAACCAGGTGGTTGATATCGTCCATCCTTCGTTGTTCCCTTTACAGTATGGAAAAACACCAATCATCAAGGGAGCAGGCTATGAAATCGTTCAGTTCGACGATTCGATTTCCAAAGTCAAAAAAACTGTTGACTCTTGGGGAATATCCAAGAACTATCAGTGGTTACCAAGCTTGTGGACTTTGGAGAATGACAATTTCAAAATCTCTTCTTACGTAAATAATTTACCTCCTAAGAATAAGGACTTGTACGAAATCATTGAAAAAGTATTCAATTGTTCTATTGATGGTCTAAACTACGTTTTGTCACGTTACCAATCCCCTGAAGTATTAAGAATTGACTACGGAGGTTATGGTGAGGGATATACTGAAGAGAAAGATAAAAAATACGATGAGTTGCAAGCCAAAATAGATAAGCTAGAAGAAGAGACCGGTGAAGTAGACTGGGATTTGTATGACGAATTCGAGGAAGAAATCAAAGGTCAATACTTAAAAAAGCTCATCCCCAAATGCGAACAAGATCCAATCACGGAACCATTCAACTTGAAAAACCACAAAGATTTGAAAGTCATAGTGAAATTGGCGGACATTGAGTTGACTCCTGAAAACCCCATCTACAAAGGTGGTTCCTGGCATGTTGAAGGTACGATCAACGAAGACATTGTTGCCACTATTTTATACTATTATGATATCGATAATATAACGGAGTCCAAATTGTCATTCCGTACTTCCTTCCAAGACCCTCCTTATGAACAGAATGACACCTTATATTGTGAAAAGTTGTTCAATCTTCACGATGGTGATCCCATGGTCAGACACTTCGGTTCTGTCACAGCTGACGAGGGTAAGATCGTCATATTCCCAAATTCATTCCAACATCATGTTGACTATTTTCAATTGAAAGACAACACCAAACCAGGTGTTAGAAGAATTTTGTGCTTCTTCCTTGTTGACCCCCACAATGAAATCGTAAAGACTACCAAAGACGTTCCTCCACAACAACAAGAATGGTGGGATGACAATGAAATTGATCTCATCCCTGATTCAATCAGATCCAAAGAGAAACCCATGTCTTTAAAAGATGCAGAAGAGGTTCGTGCCAAATTGATGGAAGAGAGGAGTACTCTTGAACTGGGTGATGACGATGATATGCAACCATATCTGAGAGGGTTTTCTTTATGTGAGCATTAGCATTTTGTTCTGATAATTCAAGTATATACTTCAAAAAGAATCCAATTGATCAATGTACCTACCTCTACGTAAGGGATCTATATCAATTAGTTTCTCTAACAAGGGCCTTACAGCAGATCTGTTGTCTAAAAGTTCATTTATGATGATCATTGCCTTCAAACACCAGCAGTTATCTTTACCGTTGTCTGTAATTTCCAAATCATTCAACTCGTTGATAATTTTCAATTGATCATTCAAAATGTCATGATATTTGTCGTTACTTAATTCGTCAATGAAAAAACAATCACTCAAAAGCCACTCTAGATACACCCATATTGAAGAATCGTCGATATCAACATACATCCCTGTATTTACTAAGGTCAACTCGTGTAACAACAAAGATTCTTTGGATTGAAAAAGAGGCTCGTCTTGATAGTTAAGTTTACCGACGAGATGATAGACTTTTGGTATCAACTTTGATCTATTGTGCCAAGCAGAAAAGTTCAGAATATTGCTATTCACCTTGGATGATGTGAATTTGAACTCTTGTAGATTGATTTTCAAATTTTCTAGGTCGTCATGAGTCTCTAGATTTTCGATTACAACTCTTCTATATTGCCACCCATGGAAATTACGTTCATCCATTGACAAGAGTTTGGACACAATACCCAACTCAAACTCCCAATTTGCATCTTTTCCCAATTGAAATAAACACCACAATCTATGATTCCAAATCCAATAACACTTGGGATATCTTTTCATTAGCACCATTACGAATTTCAATTCATCTTCTAATGTTGATTGTGAGTCTAGCTGATGCTGATGAAAAAGGGACAGTAATGTTTCTCTTCTTATATTCCAGATCGTGTAAAATTCTGGGTTCAAGCCGAGTAAGTCTGTGAGTTTATTCAAAAATTCCACGGTATGTGATCCTTCATTCCTTATCTTGAAAATTTCGTCTTTGAGTTTATTGTACGAGTGAATTTTTTCTTTATCTCTCTCTATCTTAGCCAATCTGGCCTCAGATGAAAGTGTTTGTTTCTTGACGTTATGCCACTGAAAGAATTGTTAGTCACAGATAATCCCTAGTTTTGTTTTGACCTTCTACATACCATTGATTTGGGTTATCGCGAACCTTCAACTCAGTATTTTATCATATCAACATAGGATTAAATGTCCAAATTAGCATTGAAGGGGTCTAGTAAGACTGTTTGTGACTACTTTGAGTTTTCCATCAATAGCATTTTATTTCAAAGAGGAATTTACCCTTCTGAAGATTTTCAAACAGTCAAAAAGTACGACATACCTTTAGTTAGAGTTATTGATGAAGACATAAAATCATATATTAATCAATTCTTAGAGCAGATCAAGAAATGGGTTTATGGTACGAAACTACAAAAATTAATATTGGTTATCATTGATAAGGATTTGGGGGAAGGTATAGAAAGGTGGGAATTTGATTTAGAAAATAATGAAAATATTACTACCAAGGAAAGCGAACGAAAAGAAATTCAAACCATCATAAGACAAATCACCAGTTCTTCAGCATATTTACCCATATTAACCGGCGAATACACGTTCAATATATTGGCCTATACCCAGGATACTCCTATAGTACCAACAGAGTGGGCTGACAGTCAGGATTTGAATCTTCAAGGAGACGTTGAATCTGTCAATTTCAGTAGATTGAAGGCTGGACTGCATACTGTAGGAACTAAAGTGTCCTACAGATTAGAATCGTAGCAAGAATACCCATAAAATCAGGATTTATTCATTATATATGTATTACCTATTCATTATGAAAATTCGTCATGAAATTTTATTAGTCTATCTCTTCCAAAAGTCTCTTTCTCTTATTAATAAATCTAGATGTTCCTTTGGAGCTGATTGAGTAATCGAACAAACTGAGTGACTCGTCTTGTTTTAACAAATTTCCATCGATAGAATGTTCGTTTAGTGTCCGCAAATTGTTGAATTTTGACTTCAAATTCATGAATTTGAATATCTGTTCCTTGTTTAAATCCTCATTAATTTGTGGTAAATAATTATTCAAGATAGACAAATTGTATTGGTGAATATAAAAGTCTAAAATGTACAATATTCCTTCGTTAACTAATTTTTCGGGGCACTTGAAATCTTTAGGATTCAAACTGTCTAGTATATTTTCGTTAACTCCGCTCAGTAATTCTCTTGTTTTCAAATCATTTGGTTTGAAATTCAACGATATGATGATTATCGCTAACGCAATGCAATGTGGAGGCAAGGTGAGGCCTATGGGAGTTAACATCAAATCAAAATTTACTAACCAGCAGAACAATGAATACTTATAGTTCAAATTTATTTTCTTGCAAAATTGTAAGACTAAAGAATCGGTCGAAAAACTTATTTGATTATTGAAATTGAATTGAAGGATTTGCAATAATTTGAATTCTAAACCAAGAATAATCTTCCTCTGTAATTCAATAAAATTTTCTTCGATTTGATTGTCCTTGATTTTATTGGCTACCAAGAGAATGTCTCTTAACTTCTTGATACAGTCTTCGTTTTTACATGCTAAGAATAATGATGCCAAACTAACATTGAAAGGGTCTAACTCCATAGATTTTTCTATATTAGAAAAGTCCTCGAATTCCTCTTCGAATATGTTGAAAAGATAGAATTTTTGGTAATAAATCATGGAGGTATTCAAAACTTTCAAAGGTAACTTAAGAACTTTGATAATTTGAAATAAGTATTGGTATACCTGGTGCTTTCTTTGATTATATATGACTTTCTTCGAATCTGCTATAGTTTTGGAGTGAAGATAAGACAATTCCTTGGGGGAATAGTAGGGTCTTGATATCGATAACAGACTAGTTTTCTCCATGGTGAAGTATGAATTGTGGTTTTTACAAACTCGAATTTTTTAAAAGATGAAGAAATGCGAGTTTCGAGCTGCGAAAAAAAAAGAGAAATAATTATTGATCTATAATATATTCAGTTGATGAACACTGTAGATTATAAATCTAAACAAATTAATTATAAGCTAGATTACTCTTCGTTAGCTTAGCTTAAGCAGCAAAAGATAAACTGAAACCTAATTTGTGAACTGGTTCACTCAATTTTAAAGCATCAAATGAGGCACCTAAACCTAAAGTAACACCTGGTCTCAAAACTTGTTGATAAGATAAAGCAGTTAAACCTGAATCTGAGATTTTAGCTTTGATTGATGATGATGAATCTAATTTGTATTTGGTAGCGAATTCAACGTTAACGTTAGAAGATTTAACTGAATCCCAGGTAGCTTTAGCACCAGCTTCAACTAAAGGACTGATTTTGTGGTAGTAAGCAGCTGAGAAGACAGACAAGTTGTTTGAAGCAGTTAAACCAATTGAGTATAATGGGTTTTTGTAACCTAAACCAACGTTGTATTTGTTGACTTTGGCTGAGGAAATATCATAACCTAATTCACCTCCAACTATGAAACCATCGTGGTTGAAAGTTAAATCAGCAGTAGTTAATGGACCTTTTAATAAATCAAAGAACAATCTGGTGTTAACAATTGAGTGTTGGTAGTAGAAGTTCAATTTAGCATTTCTGTTACCATTTGGAACTAATGAAGTGATTAATTCAGTTTTTAAACCTGGAGTTAATAATTCACTTAATTCAATTTTAGTATCTAAGGAGTTGGCATTGTTCCAACCTTGAGTCAAAGTCAATCCTGAAGCTTTGTCGGTGTATTTACTTTCAATTGAGGCGTTGATTGAGTTATCTTTACCAGTTTTACCTTTAACAGTAAAGTTGACACCGTTTGGAGCAGTTGATTTAATATCAATTGATCCTTGAGATAAGTGGTAGAAATCTCTACCTAATAAATCATTGGTTTGCTTTTGGATATCACTGAATGGAATTGACATTATTGTAGTTGTTTGTAAAAACTGAAAATTAATTTTTGGAAAAACGTTGGAACATCGGATTGGTTGGAGAAGTAGTGTATAGCACATTTCCGAAACATTGACTTTTGTTGGGGACACCACATTCCCGCACACCGGTGCACCTACTCCACAGTTTGAATCATTCCCCATAAGGTCATAGAAACAACAAAGCTGTTTGGGATTAAACCTTCGGGGAACTCGCATTAAGTCATTCCCAGTAGTTTAATACGGTCATTAATTTTTTGACTACCCCAAATCTGGATTTCGTCAAGGCAAATTACCTCACATCATCGAATGATAATTAAGTCAAGTCGAAATACATGACTATCTCCTAATTTTTCAAATTTTTCAGCTAATTGTAGTTTCTTCTACATGAAAGGGGTTGAAATGATTTTTTGATGATTTTTACTTTGATTTTGATTTTTTTTTTGATTGAATTTTTAAATCAGAAATCAAATTATTTTACTTTGGTTGCAAAAAGTGAAATTCACAAAAAATGAAACAAAATAAAACAGCAAAAAAAAAAAACCACAAAAATGACATTTGCAAAATCATTTCTGCAATTTCGATCATTGAATTAATTACAAATCAGAGAATGTCATAGTGGTATGTTGGTTGAAAGATAAATGAGTTTTGAAAGTTTGTTAATAAAAATCGCACAATGTATACTTTGGGTTTTGTGAAGTGTGATGACACTGTTTTGTTATTGAATAGACAAAAGGCTCCTCACATGGGTAAATGGAATGGTGTTGGTGGGAAGATTGACCCCGAAGAAACTCCCATGGAATGCATAGTAAGAGAAACTATAGAGGAAACTGGTTTAACAATCGATAATTACGCGTGTAGAGGACGTTTGAGATGGTTCCGTGACGGAAACGATCTTGGATTTGTTTGGTTATTCACAGGATCCATGTCAGCCAAAGAGATAAAGGAGAGCTATCCGCAGGGTACCAGAGAAGGAATTTTGGATTGGAAGAAGATGGACTGGATCATACACAAAGACAATGTAGGAATTGTTGACAACATTAAGTTGTTATGGCAACACATGTGGAATGGTAAAAAAGAAGACATCTATATAGCTGAATATTCCGGAAATGATCTCGTGAAAGTATACAAAGATGAGAGCGAGACAACAAGATAGTTGTGCATGAACTTGTATATAAATCTATAAATAAATTAAGTAGTCCACAATTTACCGATACCATCTGCACCTACACTAATACACCATGGTTCTTTTGGATGCCAGACAACATCTAAGACTCCTATACTGTCAACAACCTTATGACCACCCAATTTTTTCAATGGAACTAATAAAGGATTACTCATTAAATCGTCATAAACCATTCCGTGGAATACATGAACTGACCCGTCATCAGCACCACTTGCAAATAACGGATAGTTACCTTTGTGGAACGTTATTGATCTGACAGCTTTTTGATGATATCTTAAAGTCTTGTAAGGGGTAGCGGATAAATCAAGGTCATGCCACAAAACTCTCTTATCGTATGAGGATGCAATTAAATTATCACCACGAGGATGAATATCAATGGATGATAAATACCTAGAACCAGGCATCAACTTTTTGATCATCGTTTGGGCAGCCAAGTCGTAAACCTTAATGGTACGCTGGTAAGCTACGAATAATTGCGGTTTAGATGGATGGAATTTTGCATCAACTGTTAAACCTTTATTTTTTCTGAAGGGTGATTGTGAAGAATGTTTTGAAAGTTGGTGGATGATCACAGAAGAGTTCTTTCCATCTGGACTAACAGTTACAAAATAGTCACCTCTTCTATGCCAGGAAATTTTTTTAATGGTATGTTTCAACTGAATTATGACAGAAACATTATTTGATTTTTGAACATCGTTGGGAGGTAACCATCTACCGTAAACCTTCTTAGCCTCACCATTTTCATCAACGTCCTTCTTTTTGGTTTCAAACGTATCATGACCCCAACCACTTTCAATACGTAAATTCGATTTGTTTTCAATATCGAACCCGAAAATAGGAGGAACAGTCATCACAATCTTTTCACCGGTGACAATAGCCAACAACCCGATTTCGTTATCAGGATTCCACTCCACATTATCTACAACATCTTCATCATCGATATCACATTTCTTCAAATCGATTTTCCACATTTCTCTTCCAGTCAAAATTTCCCAAACTCTAACAGTCTTGTCATCACCACCGGTTGCAACCCATAAACCCGAAGGGTGAATCGAAACAGTTCTAATTCTACCAATATGACCTTCATAGGTTGTCGACAATTTGATGGGGAATGGATTCAAGTCCTTTGGTGATGGTAAATCAGGAATCAAACTTTCAGGATCAATATTTAATTTGTTGTGTCTAACTCTTGGAGCCAAGTACAAGTCCAAAGACCTTTCGAAATTTTCTCTTAAACCTTGTTGATAACCAGGGACCTTTCTCAAACTGTTGTATTTTTGAGGAATGATTTTCTTTAAATCATCAATATCTTCATTATTCTTTAAATCTTCAACTTCCTTCTCTGTTAAAAGGTATTCTTCAGGTGGGTTGTAACTTTGTTCATGAGTAGGAGGAAGTAATTTTGGGGCCCTCAAGTTCATAACATGATCATTGATCTCATCATCTTGATCCCATAAATCAAACTGTGGTTCTTCTTCTTCTTCTTTAACGTCTTTTCCTAATTTGATTCTACCATCTCTAATAGCTTTGACGATTTTCATGACCCTTTTGGCCTCATGCTTGGAAGGAACAAATCTCCTTTTTGGTTCAGGTACAGCAGTCAATGGCATTTTTTCCACTTTACTACTGAACCATTCGACAATTGGTTCATAGATGTTGATATCTCCAGTATTTTCATGATTTTCGATCTTTTTGATTAACTCTAATTCTTCTCTACTTATTTTCAAGTTACCTCCCGTATTAGAATCAATCAATCCTGTCCAACCTTCGGGTAAATCAATAGTTTCCAATAATGAATCTAAAGCACTTCCTTTAGCTGGTCTCATTATTCTTTTACCATTGATATCATAACCGATATGTGGCATTTCATCATATGCACTGATTGGGATGTTACCTATAGTGTTGGCAGTCTCGACATCACTATCATCACTATCGTACACTGGTTCGATTTCTGGTTTGATAATTCTTGGTTTCCCATCGGAAAAAGTTGTTTGAATATCTAAGTTTATAGATTTAGGTTCATCCAAATCTGACTCTGACTCTGATAAATATGCACGTTCATCTTCTTCGAGTAATTTATTTAATTCATCGTCACTGTCAAATTCACTTTGCTCATCGTTAAAAACTTGCTCATCTTTGTCTTCAGTTTCAGCATCTTCTTCTTCAACTTCAGGGTGATCAGAATCTTCAGCTGAATGATATACAGTATCACCTTCTTCTTCATCTTCACTGACGTCGATCAAACCCTTGACATCGATTTCATCATCTTCCTTTTCATTGATGTTACTTATATCTCTCTTCATCTCAGGAATAAATTTTCTAAAATCTCATCGCAAGTTTTCGCAGCTAAAATGAATAAAATCAATAGAATAAACCAATTGAACAAACAAGAACTTGGTTTACCAATTGAATCATCATGGCACCAGGACTATAAAGATTCGAATTATATATTCATTTCAAATATTCACGAAAGCTTAAAGCACAAAGATGTGTTGATCATCTTTTCACAATTTGGGTTACCAACTCATTTGAAGTTGATACATCCAGAAACTCAAAATGCTAATAAAGATGAGGCGATGTCTGGAGCACAAAACGAAAACTTCAAAAATAGGAAGAAATTTGCATTTTTGAAATTCGAAAAGTGGGAAAGTTGCGTTATGACGATCGACAATTTGAATGGGACTGTTTTAATGGGGTCGAAAGTTTTAGTAGACCACTGTTGGTTCAATTTGAAGGGCGACGAGAAGGAGGAAGATTTTTTAGTTGACTACAATGAATACTTACCCAAATCCATTGAATCTTCGAAACATTCCGTGAAGAAAACCACAAAAATTAAACCATCAGAAGATGTACCCCAATCGAATGAAGGAAATGAAGACAATGATAACGAATTACGAGATCCAATGGAAAATATAACTCGAAAAAGAGTTATAGGCGAAGTACAAAGACAGTCAGAGGATGAAGAAGACGATTTCAAAGATCCAATGCTGGAATTCTTGAGCAAGAAATCAAAACACAAGCATAGACACAAGCATAGACACAAGTCCAAAGACAAAGAAGAGAAAAATCATTAGGAAGGTGAATAACGCTGGCCGTTTCATTAATTCTCTAATTTATACTTCCAAAATTCTTTTTTATCAATGAGACCAAAATTGACGAGTTTTAAATTACTATTATCGAAATCTCTCTTACATCTTTCTAAGTTTTCTCTATGATCAACCACCTTTATGTTGCAGAATTTTTTTTCAAAATTCATGAGTCCGATCAAATATGAAAAAGGGTTTGTTGGCACGGGTGTATTCACCCAGTTTGGTTGGAATTTAACAATTAATGTACCCAATTTACCTGATATGCTTGTGTCGAAAGTCTCAAATTTCAAAATACATTTATTGTTAGATGGAGTACCTTCTATCAATAAGATACCACGCTTCATTTCTTTCACTTTTTTACCTTTCACTTCATAACCCAATGAGTGAAGAATGTAAGTCCATGTCGAAAAGCTCTGAATTTCCTTATCGATAGGGATATTAATAGGCAAGTTGACCACAAAAGCAAGCAATGGTGATGAATAGTTGGTTATGTAAACCAAATCCTTGTTCAATCTGGGGATTTTACTTTCGAAATTGAATAAAAACTTCAAGATGAAGGATTTAATTATTGAGATATTGAGTAATGCCAAAGGAAGTAGGAAGATGAAAATGGGTAACTTGACAAGTATAACTGGCAATGATATCAATGAAAATCTTGGATTGGATTGGATGAAGGGGGTAATACCAGTTCCCTTATCTCTCCAATTAGAAAACTTTTCCATGTTGGTTATTTAAGGTGAGATTCCAGATCTTTGATGAACCAGAGTGAGAAACCGAAGGGTACTGAAAATTCAAAAGTCCGAAGTGAATTCCGAGATTCAACTATTCAAGAGGGAAGTATTGTGAGGGTGGTTGCAACATTGAAAATCACATATAATTGATGTCAACATGTATTTGAATAGATCTTCCTGAAATAAGTTTTTGTGCATAACACTACCCAGGTAGCATTTCGCACCAAGGTGCATTGAATAACAAAATTCATAATTTAGTATTAGTGGAAGGAATCAAATAATTCCATTTCAGAAAAAACGGAGGCGGAAGCAATCATCGCAACCAATAATATTTGAGAATTTCAGCCAATGAAGACATTGAGACATTTCTTTTGTAGCCAATGAAATTGTGTTCAATTATCTTTTAATGTGATCCTAGAAGGGGATGGCAATAGTTTAAAATGAAGAATACAAAGTGTGATTGGTTGAGAATGTGGTCATTCACAAGTTTGTTCAAATAACCCACTCTTTATTACCCCTTTTAATCTGATTAAGCTCATGAGCCTCTAAGTTCTAAGGACTTATAAATCATGCCACATGAATAATTCACAAAATGAACGGGATATTTTTAAATGAATAGGACGTCTATTGCACAACACGGCGCCGTAATAGAAGAGAAGAGAAGAATTGATCATTTAAACCATTCATTACTAATATACACTAAACAAATAAACTTATGATTAAATTTATAATTCTTGAGAAGCTTTATCTTTACTCTTTTTAGATGGTAATAAACTGTTGTGAATGTTTGGTAAGACACCACCTTGAGCAATAGTAACATCACCTAATAATTTGTTTAATTCTTCATCATTTCTGATGGCTAATTGTAAATGTCTTGGGATGATTCTTGATTTTTTGTTATCTCTAGCGGCGTTACCAGCTAATTCTAAGATTTCAGCAGATAAATATTCTAAGACAGAAGTTAAGTAAACTGGGGCACCTGAACCAACTCTTTGAGCGTAGTTACCTTTTCTTAATAATCTGTGAACTCTACCGACTGGGAAAGTTAAACCAGCTTTAGCTGATCTTGAAGTTGAAGCTTTTTCTGAACCTGAGGCTTTACCTTTACCTGACATTTTATTATTAATTTATTAAATAAAAATTTATTAATTTTTTTTCTTCAAAAATGGATCGTTTGGGTTATTTATACTCAAATGTTGACCCTTATTCGCAGTATGGCTATTAGGGATAATTTTTATCACTGATTATCGTCGCGACAAAAATCATGTATCGTTCCAAAGTTTACTATTAGATGGGATGAAGTTTACGCGGGCGCGATAATGATATATTTGTTTTGTTTTTCGTCGCTCTCAATGATTCTACCTTGTTAACATGAAACAAAACAGGTAATGACGCCAATTGAACCAATTAAATCATGTTATTGATGCCACGAATTGATTTGTTATGCTAAATGCTGGTAGGAATTTTTTACCTCACGCAATTGAAATAACAAAACATAAACAAAGGAAGGATAAGATATATGTTTCAAACTTATCAAAAGTCGTGGACAGTGGCGATAATCCAAAAAGTATTTAAATTCACCCCCTTTGCTCGATTTCTAAATCTCAATTAATTTTTTGTATATTTTAATTTTAAATAACAAATAAATAGATAGAATTAATAATGGCACCAAAAGCTGAAAAGAAACCTGCTTCCAAAGCTCCTGCTGAAAAAAAACCAGCTGCTAAAAAGACTGCTTCCACCGATGCTAAAAAAAGAACTAAAACCAGAAAAGAAACTTATTCATCATATATCTATAAAGTTTTAAAACAAACTCACCCAGATACTGGTATTTCTCAAAAAGCTATGTCAATCATGAATTCATTTGTTAATGATATTTTTGAAAGAATTGCTGGTGAAGCTTCTAAATTAGCTGCTTACAACAAAAAATCAACTATTTCTGCCAGAGAAATTCAAACCGCTGTTAGATTAATTTTACCAGGTGAATTAGCTAAACATGCTGTTTCTGAAGGTACCAGAGCTGTTACTAAATATTCTTCTGCTTCTTCATAGATTGATTAGGAATCTAATCTTTTTTCATATGAATAAATTGTAATGAATTGTATTGTTTGTATATTAGTTAATGAAATGGTGATTTATCCCTTAACTCTTGGCTTGACAGTTCTCTCTATTCGCCATCAATTTCTCTGTGATTGTTATTTGGAGAAATTATTTGGAAATCTACAGGAAACTGATATTGAGTGAAAAAAAGTGCGTCTCTGTTTATTAACATTTGATAGTGGATCGATAAGAACAATAGTCTATTACGAATTGAAGATAACGTAGGATACCAGCAGGCACAAGCTAGTTTGAAATATTTATAAGTGAACAGCTTGCAACTCAATTGCCTCTCATCAGATCATATATGCATCCTAATCGGTGTTATTCTTTTCGTGGGGTCACAAGACCCTTAGGATCGCAAGAGTTTTACCCTAGAATACCTACCAACATATGTTCGATACGTTAACGTTCATAAGTCTTAAAAGTGAAATACCGACCCTTCAGAGGTTAAAGTAGCAAGAATAAAGTTGTGTTCTGTACAAAAGTGGAAATATGCAACCATCGGTAAAAACGGTTACCAAATTAGACTATAAATTGAAGTCAGCCGTCTTTTCTAACACTTATATTTGAAGAATAATCTATAACAAGCAGCTCCAATTCTAAGCACTTCAATCACTTTTGAAAATATTCTAAGGTTTTTTTTTTAATTTAGATCATGAATAATTTAAGTATTAGCAAAATCTACAAATTTTATTACTATAATAGTCCAATTCCGGTTTTATCAGATATCGAAACAATTTTCTTCAATTTATTTAACTTGCTTGTAATTTCATTGGGTATCTATTTGTTGAAGTTGTTGAATCCATTGAATTACATCATTATACAAATTGCTTGAGCCATGGAGAATATGGGGTTAAATGTAAATGCATTGTAATTTTTGTATTTGCTGGGAACATGAGCTCCAAAGGCTGAAAGACTTATCAACCGTACTGATGAACAGAGTGAGTTCAAACAGTATCAAGGATAGTAAAGTATGTTATGGGAGGAGAAAGATATAGTAAATAATATTGAGATGTCTCAGATTTAATATATTTACGTCACCAAAAAATATAATTGGTTTATATTTGTCCACAGAAACTTGCTGATACACAAAGCATGAAAAACTCTTATTACCTCTCTCTCCAGTTCTCCAAAGAAGCTGAACAGAAAATCAATATATTGAAAAAAAAAAATCAAACGAGGAGTACCGTGCAGACCGTTTCTAGGGTCCTGAGCCAAGATATGACAGCTCAGAACCAATGGAAATGTGTTTCCTGGTGAGTGACGTTTTTTCTTCCTGCAAGTATAAAACGTTTCAATTACGAAGATAAGACTTGCTCCTAATTAATTAAACCATTTGCGCTGTTCCAAAGTGGAATTGCTTATCTATTGTTTGACATCTAAGGCTGTTGCCTCATCACATCACCTCATCGGAAGTGGTACTAACAATAGGGGGAGTCGTGGTAAAAACTGTCGCGAAGGTGGCAGTAACTTTTCCCAATTATTAGCGCTTTTGAAAAACCTCACCACGTTTTGATGATCAAATCTCAAAATATCTTAAATAACCAGTAGTTCCTTTATTTTATTTATTCACGTTATTCATTTTTCCTTGAGGGCTTTTATAATTTCATACCCAAGTTTCAACACATTTATAAGCAAATCAATGAATCATGTCAACAACGTCAACGTCAACCCAAACAACACCCAAACTATCTCCAAATTGTACATCTATACGATATAGAAATGACTTGTCAAATTACTTAAAACCAAGAAGTGGCTCCGGTTCACTTACAAGTTCAAATATCAATTTAAACAACAACTCAGGCTTCAACTCCAACATAACTTTCAACAATAGTCCCAATAATAATTCAAATGCAAATAGATCAGAAAGTTCCAACCCAAAAGCCACAAATCTTGATCAATCGAGAAACGAGGATTCACAAATGAATCAAAGTCCAATACTAACAAGAGACTTATCCTCGTTGAAGAGAAAAGGAAGTTTGAGTATAAGTCCAAAAACTAGATCACCAAATGATATAGATCCATTCCTTAAACAATATTTGAAGACTTCGAATTCAAAATCAAATTATTTCTTGAATAATTTGAATGAAAAGAAAGATCTTGAAAAATACAAAAAGAACATTATCTTGATAAAACCAAGGAAATCTTTAAGTTTTTCAAAAAAGTCTTCATCCCCAGTTCAACACAAAGATCAAACAACCACAAAGAAATATGACAGTCATTATAACCTCATAAAGAGAACTTCTTCACCCAAAATACACACTGTTAAAAAGATTAGGAATATGCAGGATGATTCTTTCAAGTTCTTGCCCAAAGATTTTGTTAATTGTAGTTTAGATGATTTGATAATGTTGGTTTCAAGAATGTTAACCAATTTGATCGAATTAAATGATAAAATGGTTCCTAAGGATCAAATCAATCAAGAAGGTGATAAATCAGGAAAAGATAAGAAAACTTCATTAACAAGATACCATTCAAGAACTCCACCTAATATCTCACCAATCAATTATTTAACGAGATTGTCAAAATTTAATAATTTTTCCAATGCAACTTTATTGACTACCATCTATTATATTGATTTATTGTCATTCAATTATCAGCCATTTTTCACATTGAACTCTTGGACTGTTCACCGTTTCTTATTGATAGCAACCATGACATGTCAGAAGTCAATGGAAGATTTCTTCTTCACAAATGATCATTACGCCAAAGTCGGTGGGGTCAACTTGAATGAATTGAATTGTTTGGAATTGGACTTCTTAAACAGAATTGATTGGAAATGTGTACCAACCAAGAACATCGATGGTAAACATTCTATCAAATATTCAAAGAATGTCTTAGATTTATACTACTTACAGTTGGTTGAATTGGTGGGTAAAAATCCCTCAATAAGTAATGTTGTGTATTCTTTTACTGAAGGAGATGATAATTTGCAGAACGATAATAGGCAACAGATGATGAAAGATGTAAATAATGAAATTGATCTTGATGACGATGAAATGGATTCGGATTTTGACTCAGATGATGAATTGGGAGATTTGGAGGTCATTGACAAAACAAAATACAACAAAAAAGGTTTTAGTGTTGACGGATCTTCTTCACCTCATTTGAAGAGGAGATATGAAAATTTATAATGAATTATCGGAATAAGGAAAATATAATTCAAACGGTTTAAACAATGGATATTGCCAGGAGAGCAAGATATATATACCTATGTATATTATGTATATTAGATAAATTAACAGGTTAACTTTGAATACCTCTGTGTAATATCACTGTCTCTTTCGAGATTTTCATGTATGAATTTTTTAAGAAGTGGATTGGGGAAGGATTAGGGAACTCAAACTATGAGATTTAATTGAAAATTGAAAATATGTTATTAACCTATTAATTTGTATCGAAATCATCGATGGTAATCTTGGATTTGTCACACAACAGACGGAAAATAGAACTTTCGTCTTTGAACAAATTCAAAGGGGACTCAAATTCTTTGAGCTCCCCTTTATCGAGAACTAAAATTTTATCGTATTTAATGATCGTTCTGAGTCTATGGGCAATACACAAAATGGTACAATCATTGAATTCATTGACAATGGTTTTTTGAATTCTTGCATCTGTTTCATAATCAACGGACGAAGTGGCTTCATCAAGAACTAAAATTTTCGAGTTCCTGACCAAAGCTCTGGCAAAAGCTATCAATTGCTTTTCACCCAAGGAAAAATTAGACCCTTCACTTTCAACGATAGCATTCAAATGGAATTTGTGTAGGTTCTTGGAATCAGTTTGTCTTTTGACTTCTTCTATAATATCACCATCGATCAAACCAGCTCTTCTTAAAGACTCCCACAAGAGCTCATCTGACATTTCGCTGAAGGGATCTAAATTCTTTCTGATATTTCCTGAAAACAATACAGACTCCTGGGGAATGATGGACAATCTTGACCTCAATTCGTTCAAACCCAAGGAAGCGATATCAATTCCATCAATATAGATTTTTCCTTCAACCAATTCTGTGATCCTGAATAAAGTTGACATGATGGTGGACTTACCTGCACCAGTTCTACCACAGATCCCAATTCTTTCATTTCCCTTCACGGAAAAGGATACATTTTTCAAAACCTTAGGCATACCCTCCCTATATCTCATGGAGACATTATCAAATACAATGTTACCACGACTTGGCCAATGTGGTTCAGGTTTGGTTTCAGCAATATGATAGGCCAGCTCCTGAGGTAAGTCGTAAGCATACTCATGAACTCTTTCGAAACTAGTCATTTCATTTTCTGCCAATGCCAAACTTCTGATCACACCAGCAGCTAAATTGGGAAGGACAAACAGGTAGGAAATGACCAAACCGACAGAAGCAGGACTAATACTAAATACACGATTGATGGCAAGAAGGGTGATCAACAAGACATACGAGAGAGATGTTATGATGATCCTCAAGCTACCCCACCTTTGAACCCCATTCACTAACACAGAAGCTTCATTGGTTTGATTGATCAAAAGATCATTTCTCTTCATGAATCTATCAACAGCGTTATAAGCTTTAATAGTTTCAGCTCCACTCAAACATTCACCAAAGTTATTAATGTATAATGACCTTTGGGTGGACTCCAATCTTTTGATTTCACGAGAGGAAGCCTGATAGTAACTTCCCACTAATGCAATAATTAGAAATAATGGGGGTAAAGCTAAAGCTAACCAGGGTAAGTAAATAATACTTAAAATTAACGTTCCAATGATTTCGGCGAATAAATAGAAACCTAATCTGACATTTTCGACCAATTCATTATCAGCAGAGTCTGTATCCTTGGTGAATCTATTCAAGATTCTCCCAGTGGGAGTGGTATCCATGTAGGACATAGGTACATGGAGGAATCTCTTTATTGCAGCAATGTTGACATATCTTGAGGCAGACAATACAATACTTACATAAAGGGTAAATTGCAACCACATTAATAAAAGACTGAGCAAAGTGAACATGATATAAATTCCAATATAGAATCCATCAGATCCCTTGAATTTCATATCAAGCCAGAATGATAACCAGGTATTCACAAACAATCCACAAAATGTCGAACATGCTGTTACAAATATGGTAAATAAGATCAATATCACTGGGTTGATTCTTCCAGATCCCAATTTCAAAAGACTCTTATAAATTTTCCATTGAATAGCCCTCTCAGCACTAATTTCAGACTCTATCAATCTTCCATCAGTTCTGAGGTCTGTATCAGCTTCTCTAATTTCGGAAACTTCAGTCATTCTGACTTGATCAGCGTCATCTTCAGAATCGGAATTCTCTTTACCACCTTGAGCTTGTTCTGCGTCCTTATCATCCCTGTCTTTATGAGTTAATAAATTAGAAAAACTTTCATTTCTAACACTTAATTCGTCAACTGTTCCGATGTCAATACTACCGTCTCCGTTCAAATATATAACCCTATCACTATAACTCAAAAAAGACAATTGATGAGTGGCTAAAATCCTGGTCTTTTCTCTGAGTAAGCCTAAAAATCCTACCTCCATAATGTGCTTACCAACTCTTGCATCAACTGCTGACAAGACGTCATCCATTAATATTATATCTCTGTTGGCATACATAGCTCTCGCTAAACTCAATCTTGACTTTTGACCACCGGATAATGTAATACCCCTCTCACCAACTTCAGTTGCATCGCCTGCTGGTAAAATTCTGAAATCATCATTCAATGAACAAGCAAAGACCGACTGTTCGTATTTCTTCTCGTCGAATTCTTTCCCAAAAACGATATTTTGTTTTATAGTAGCATTTTGAACCCACGGAGTACCACAAAACACGGATGACCCGTTAACTTCTACATGACCTTCGGTACGAGTCATGAATCCCGACAAAGCATGAAGCAATGAGGTCTTTCCTGTACCAATTGACCCCACAACCATGATAAACTCACCTTTCTTGACACTGAAGTTGATATCGTTCAAACCCTTGAACTTTTTGTTGATACTCTCCTTTTGATCAATAATCTCCTGTTTTTCTACAATGTTCTTGGTATCATCTGCAGAAACATCCTTAGATTCACTCTCCTCGAAACTCTCCCACTTGAATGAAGCATTTTCAACTTTGATGACGGTTTGATCTAAATCTGTATCCAGGGGTAAATTATCTTCATTGAATTCCACATTATCTGAAACTGCTGATTCACCACAGACTAAAAACCCAAAAATTCTCCTCAACGAGACAATACCATCCATCAATGAGCTAAATGCTAATGGCAAAGTCACGAAAAGTTCCCCAAGAAGGGATATTAAATAAATGGATGAAAAAATATTAGCTGGATTTCTTTTATTTGATCCAATGGCATACAAAACCAAAAAAGTCACAGTAGACATAACGGGAGTGATTGAAATAAATAATACGAAACCAAAATTCCTAAAGCTTTGGGTTCTGACAAGTAATTTTGATTCTTTGAGTCTTGCATCAGTGGCACTTTTACAATAACTATCTTCCCAACTATAAAACTTGATAATCTTGAGACTATTTGCTATTTCTTTTAAGATGTTAACCCTTTCATCGGTAAATACTAAAGACTCTCTTCTACTTTTTACCATGCCCCTCATGACGAATATGAAGACAAAAATTGAAACAACGAGAACACCAAATGCAGCTCCCGTAGCAGCTCCCAAATTGACGATCAAAAGGGCAATAACAATAACCAATGTGAAAGGAGCAGCAACAATGTAAGGTGACATGAGTAAAGCCAAATCTAATTTGGCCATGTCTGTTCCTATAAATGTTGTTAGCCTTGAAGGAGGATAATCATGCTTACCTTTGGCATTAGCTTTGAAAGATTTGGCAAGAAGGGCCTTGGTTAAAACTGCCTTTGATTCAGTACCCGCAAGAGTACTATAAAAAGAATAGGCAGATAAAATGTAAAATGAGATAGCACTCAATATTACCGTACCAATTGAATACCCATAAGCCTTACCCAAACCATGTTCAACACCATTCAGCCTCAAGGATACAAAATTGATTATTTCCTTGGTCAATAACGGAATCATGGTTGAAGCAACCTCAGACAATATAGCACAACCTACAGCAAGAGAATATTCGATTCTGAAGGTGCTGAAAAGAATCAACAAGATGTACCTAGCTGACAACTTATAATCTTCAAGATCTTTTTCTTCAGCAACCGTCGAAGTACCCAAGGTCTCACCTCTTGCTTTGCATTTATTTGTCAAATGTTTTAACTTATTGGAATTATTATGCTTATTGAAAGCTCTTTCCAAACGCTCATACATTACCTCCACTTTCAATGTATTATTCAAATTTGGAAGATCATTAGGTCTGATGGTTCTTTTGTAACCCGTACTTAAAATTGGGCTGACCCAGAAGTATAATAAAGTTAGGGGTCTGAATAAGTTTGGCAATTCTGATCTCTCCTCATCTAAGGGTATTGGTGGCACATCACCTCTACTTAAGAAAGAGAAAAATCTCTTCTGCTTTTTCAAATGTTCATCTACCGAACTTAAAGTAGCTTCGTCATCCATTTGAACTCTAAATGGTAGAGAGATGATTATCCGATCCCTTTATACCAATGGAACAAATTATTCGGCGTGCATTGTGATAATAATCTTTCCCACAGCTATGGTGCGGCAAAAATTAATCCCGTATAAGGCCCCATTTTCCACCATAAAAATTTGGAGTTTTCTCGCTCCTAAGCGCAGATTAGCGGATTTTGTTTTCAAAGTATTACTCATCGTTGATAAGAGAAGGTCACGCCTATCGAGTGGCTTGATTTTTACGTTGGACAAAAAAAATGATACTATTGATTATCGTCATTTTTCTTGGGATCTGTTTTAACTCTATTTCTTCTTGCTTGATCGTGATGCACCATATTAGGCTACGATCTTAGACTATTAATGATTGAACTTTGAACTTAAAGTCAGGTAATGAACAGAATTCACGGAACAATAAAGTTGGTATACGCAGTCCCATTCTCTACGGCTTATCTTTTATTTCCGCCAATGATTCAATAGTAGCTTGAAATGTTTTATTTTACGAGCGGAAATACCAAACAGTGTGAGACAATATCAAAAAAGCGGTCCGACCTTCCGAGTGAATACAGAGAAACTAAAACACAAACACATATATTTACCAAACCTCATTATCCATACTAATTAGGTTTTAACATATCAAAAGAGCAGCAAAGAGATTTATCAACATCCATGATAGCTCCATAATTATTGAATTCACCACAATAATTTGGGGCCAGAAAAATAGTTACCAACTTCTTTTTATCAAAAAATTCATACCCGTCTTCAACGACCATATGTCCTCTAACGATAAGATCAAATTTAAAAGTTGAACAGAAATAATCAACATGTTTCTTACCGAAACAGTATGATACTCCACGGTCATTTTTGGGCCAATGAGTCAATGAAAAGGTCTTAACAGATGCATCGGGGTCTGACCATAATAAATCCGCCAATAATCCTTTATCAGGTATATCTGTTGGTCTTTTAATATCTTCAATTTGTTTCAAATCAACCAAATCAGGACTCAAACCTCCATGGATACAAAAGATTTTATCGTTAATAGTTGCAGCAATCGGTAAGGTATTGAAAACATCGACGAATACTTTCCACATTTTGTGATTTCCTGTCAAAGAAGATAATCTTCTTTTACATTCATCATAAAACCCGTAAATTTTAGTAATATTTGCGGATTCATGATTACCTCTTAACATGAAAAAGTTCTCAGGATACTTAATTTTGAAACATAACAACAATAAAATAGTTTCCAACGATTTGTGACCTCTATCAACATAATCCCCTAAAAACAAATAGTTTGAATAAGGAGGATATCCACATTTATTGAAAATTCTTATTAAATCTTCAAATTGACCGTGTAAATCACCTACAATCTTAACTGGAGGGGCCAATTTTAATAAAGTGGGTTGACTTGAGAAAATTGATCTTGATTTATTCAAAACGAACTTGATCTCTTCGGAAGAAAATGGAAATTTATCTTTATTCTTTCTGGTCTTAGTCTTCTTAGTCTTACCAATCTTGATAAGTCTTTCAATAATCCCATCAATATCTACAGGGTAGGCATTTTTGCTATTAATAGATACCATAGCTGAAGATGGTGGGGTGAAAGACACCGGACTTGATGATGTTGAAGATGTTAAGGATGAATTGCTAACATTGATGTTGATCTTATTGACCTTATTATTCAATAAATTAATATTAATATCATCTTTGCGAATCGGTTCCGGGACGGGAGTTGATTCAACAGAATCTTCATTAATAGGATCCAAGTTACCCACAACAATATCACTTTCAAAATCTCTACCTAAATCTCTCGAATTAGGAGATGAACCAAGTGACAGGATCAGATCAGTCTCCTTTAACTCATTGGTCGTAAAAATTGGTGACATGTCACTTTCAATGGAGGACCCATAATTACCTTGAAATGAATTGGATTTCAATAAATTCACAAAGTTATTATCTATCTCTAATGTTAAATCTTCTTTGATACTCTTTTTATTACGTTTACCATAATTATAATTTAAATTTTTTTGTTCTATTCTTATAGCAGAACTTCGATTATATTTTGATAGCGCAGAGCTACGCTCATCAGGATCATTATCTTCGTTAATAGAATCGTTGATTCCATTTAAATTAACTTGGCTATTCGGTAGGGGATCATTTTTTGATGGACTATTTCCCATAGTTTGTCTTACTAATTAAACTTCAAATACGTAAATAGGGTGGACTTTTTTTTAATGAAAAATATCGGTATAATACTCAAATTTGCTGATTACTTAAGTCTGTTATTAGATGAACTTTGAATCTTTATCAGGAACAAATTTAAACTATTGGAAAAACTAGTTATAAGACGATGGTCTACCCCTTTAATAGAAGGCTATGAAAATTTTTATTCGCAGATTGAGGATTTTCTTGACCAAAAAAGTCTTATCGCGACTTTAGACTTTATGCTAAAATTGATGCTGTCAATTAGATCTGCTGGATGTCTTATTATTGGAGATGAAGTATTGAATGGTAAAATATTGGATACTAATTCTCATTATTTTGCTAAGAATTGTTTCAATAAATTAAAAATCCCATTAAAGAAGACCATTGTTTGTGGGGATGACAGAAATGATATAATTGAAAGTCTCAAGATTTTAACTAATGATTGTGATTTCGTCATAACTAGTGGTGGTATAGGTCCAACTCATGACGATATAACTTACGAATCAATAGCAGAGTTTTATAAACTTCCTGTGAAAATCCATGAACCAACAGTTGAAAGAATGGAACTGTTGAGAAAAGACTACCTACAGAACTTACAACAAAACAAAAAAGATGCATTCCTTAGAATGGCCACGTTTCCTTATGATGTTAATGATAAAATTAAAGTAGATTATTTATACACTGACCCTAAATTATGGGTTCCTGTGGTCGGGTTGAACCAACAAGTTTATATACTTCCTGGTGTTCCGCAATTATTTCAACAACTAGTTGATAGTCTTGGAGATCTTCTCTCTCAAAGAATTGAAGGTACTTCATTAAGAAGATATTATGTGAAGACAACTACCAAGGAAAGTGATTTGGCACCTTTCCTTTCATCTTTGCAACATAAATGTGATGAAGAGTTTGGAGGAAACGTCGTTAAATTGGGAAGTTATCCTCACTTCAGTTGGAAAATTAATACTATAAGTATCATAGGTAATGAAAAAGTTAATGATGAAAAGTTAAGAGATATAGTTGAGCAAGTTCTTAAGAATATTGGTGGGGAAGCTAAAGAAATCTCCATTGAGGAAGAAGAAAAATTGACTACTACAGATCCGTAAATTAAATATATTTAATGATTTACTCTAAAACGTTTAAAGTTTACTTTCAATTAATTTGGTGATTTCTTCAACAGCTTTACTGATACCTTCTGGTTTATCACCCATACCTTGAACGGTATTACCTTTACCACCAGCTTTACCACCAATATTGTCTGAAGCGGCTTTACCTAAAACGGTAACATCAATACCTTTAGCAAGAGCTTCGTCTGAAATATAACATCCATGAGCAACTTTGTCTTTACCAGTTATCAAATAGATGGATTTTTCTTTATGTTGTTTCTTGATTAAGTTGATAGCTTCAGTGATAGCTTTAGCATTAGCGTTTATATCAATGTAATCAACAAAGAAAGGTTTAGCTTCTTCATCTTTTAACCAATCATTAACCTTGTCTAAAACTTTCTTTGATTCTTCTTTTTGGATAGCTTTTAAATGGTCTTTGATTGATTTATCGATCTTGTTGAATTTATCGTTTAATTTTTGTTTTTCAACAACTGAGATGGTTAATTGTTTTAATGAAACACCTAATTCTTTGACTTTTTGTTCTTTTAATGGTCCAAAATCCAATTGATTAGCTTGATGTAATTCTTTTTCAAAATCATGGGCGATAGCTTGAACTTTATGAGCTTCAGTACCAGTAACGGCAACAATACGTCTGATACCTTTAGCAATACCTGATTCTTCAATTATAACTAAATCTTTGATTTCACCAGTTTTAGCAACATGAGTACCACCACAAAATTCAATTGAGAATTTATTCCAGTCTTCATTTGATGGGTCGGCCAATAAATCTTTAACTGACTTACCAATTGAAACAACTCTAACAGGGTCAGGATAAGTTTCACCGAACACAGCTCTTAAACCAGTGATTGATTTAGCAACAGATAAGGAGACTTCTTCAGCGAAAACTTCTTTATTTTCTTTGATGTATTGGTTACAGATTTCTTCGACTTTAACGATTTCTTCTGGTTTCAAAGCTTGTTTATGAGAAAAATCAAATCTTAACTTTTCTGGAGCAACTAAAGAACCCTTTTGATCAACACCATCACCTAAGACTTCTCTTAAACCGTAGTTTAAGACGTGAGTACCTGTGTGGTTATTTCTAATAGGCCATCTTCTTAATTCATCATAACCTGCGATAACTGAATCACCTAATTTCAACTCACCTTCTTGTAATTCACCAGTATGTAAAACATAACCAGCATAAACTTGAACGTTATCAACTTTAAATTCCATTTGTCCGTCAATGACTAATTTACCAGTATCGTATTCTTGACCACCTTGTTCAGCGTAGAATGGGGTTTTATCCAATAAAATACCATATTGTTTTGAGTCAGAAATTGAATCAACAAATTTTGAACCATCATAAATGGCAACGACTGAAGCCTTAACATTTTCTAAACCGTATTTGTATGAATCATCAGTCTTTGGAATAGAATCATTAGAATCTAATTCACCTAATGAGTGAACATCTAATTTAACTAAATCACCTTTTGATTTATTGTTACCACCTTTTGAAGCTTCTCTACTTTCTTCTTTAGCCTTTTCGAAACCTTGTTCATCAATATCTAAACCAGCTTCTTCAGCCATTAATCTAGTTAAATCAACAGGGAAACCATAAGTATCATATAATCTCCAAACATCTTTACCACTTAAGGTTTGTTGTGGAGTTTTGGAAGCAATAATAGCATATTGTTCGAACAATTTTTCACCTCTGTCTAAAGTTTTAGCGAAAGAAACTTCTTCTTCTCTTAAGATTTCTAATAAATCATCTAAGTTTTTGGAAATTTCAGGGAAGATTTCTTTATTCTTTTCAATAACAACAGGAGCTAATTGTTCAAAGAATGAACCAATTGGATAGTTCATATACTTTCTGACATATCTTGAACCTCTTCTTAAAATTCTTCTTAAAACGTAACCTCTACCTTCGTTATTTGGAACTCCACCATCAGTAATGGCAAAAGTTAAAGTTCTTACATGATCAGCAATAACTCTATAAGCGGTATCTATACCATCAATATCGTCAGCACCAAATTTACCACTGTAAGGTCTAACACCAGTAATTTCTCTAATTCTTTCGAAAATTGGAGTAAAGACATCAGTATCATAATTAGACAATTTGTTTTGTAAGATTGAAACTAATCTTTCGAAACCCATACCAGTATCAATATGTTTAGCTGGTAAAGATCTTAAAGAAGAATCTGATTCCCTATTGAATTGAATGAAAACGATATTCCAAATTTCTAAAACATTAGGATCATCCATATTGACTAAAGAAGCAGCATTTCTACCACCAATTCTATCATAATGGATTTCAGAACATGGACCACAAGGACCTTGTTCACCCATTTCCCAGAAATTATCTTTGGCATCACCTGGTAAAATATGATCTTCTTCAACTCCAATAGCTTTCCAAAGATTCTTAGCTTCCAAATCAGGTTCTAAACCTTGCTTTTCATCACCACCAAAATAAGTGACATATAATCTGTCTTTATCCAAACCATATTCTTTAGTTAATAAATCCCAACTATAAGCAATGGCTTCTTTCTTGAAATAATCACCAAAAGACCAATTACCTAACATTTCGAAAAATGTATGATGGTAACTATCTCTACCAACATCTTCTAAATCATTATGCTTACCACCAGCTCTGATACATTTTTGAGAATTGGTAGCTCTTTTTAAATTGGCAAAATCAGATGATGGGTCAACAGTACCTAAGAAAATTGGTTTATATTGATTCATCCCAGCATTTGCAAATAATAATGTAGGATCATTATGAGGAACTACTGATGATGATGGCACAAATGTATGGTTTTTGTCTTTGAAAAAGTTTAAGAAAGTTGATCTAACTTTTGATGCTGTCCAGTCGTTACTAGTCATCTTCAAGCTTCTTATCATAAACTATTTGCGTTTGATGAGTCTTTAATCCTCAAATTTTTTTTTCGTGGTTCATCGAGAATTGTTCTCACACGATTTTTGTGCTATGGGATAGGTGCTATTGTTGAACTAGAGATAAGGGTAAGAGGCAAACATTGAACAATGAATTGTCTCAATAACTTTATCCGAACCCAATGTTTTCACCCTTTGTTCGAATTTGTCAATAGTGGATCGTGTACAATGGAGTACACTGACACGTCTTATCAAATAGGTAAATTTCGAGTTTGAGATAAGATTATGGTGGATTATGATAATTTTGGTATACCCCAAGTCATGAGAACTGTTTATCACTCAAGATGTACCTTTATTATCGGAGGTATTGACACGGAATAGCTCATTTCAGATTTATCATGTGAGTTGATTACAGTCACCTCTTCGATGTTGAATACATTTGCACCTCTTATATATTATATCAACCCCATGAGTATCCTGCAGTTTCAACTAACATAACTTCTCTCCAACTTAAAGACGGTTATCACCACGGAGCCTACCATTTCGAGACGAAGAGATCTTGATAAGGTGCGATTTTTCAATGAGATTCGAAAGTAAGTTACTTCATTCCAACCAGCCATTGGAAAGCCATGGAGCTAGAGCTAACTCTATAACACCAACTGCGGCTTACTTATACCCATCTACCGCTCAGGCCAATTCAACTTTTTCGGGAGAAACTCCAGGTTATGTTTATTCCCGTGGACATAACCCAACCAATAGTGTATTTGAAGCTAGAATTTGTGATTTAGAAGGAGGAAAAGCTGCTATTTCGGTCAATTCAGGATTGGCTGCCCAATTTACGGCGTTATCTGCATTAGTGGTCCCAGGGGATAACATAATTCTGAGTGGATTTTTATTTGGTGGTTCCCTTTTACAATTAAGAGATAATTTTAGGGGCTTTGGGGTTGAAACTAGATTCGTTACCAGTTTGGAGATCGAAGATTATGAAAAGTTGATTGACGATAGAACCAGATGTATTATCATTGACTCGATCTCAAACCCAGCTTACTTAGTTGCCGATATCAAGAAATTTTCGGATTTATGTAAGAAATATCAAATTCCTTTAGTTGTTGACAATACCTTGGGTTGTGGAGGTTACTTGATTAGACCAATTGACCATGGTGCCGATATTGTTATCCACTCAGCTACAAAATGGATAGGTGGACATGGAACCACATTAGCTGGTGTTTTCATTGATGCTGGATCTTTTAAATGGTCTGAAGCTACCAAATTTACTAAACTTTGTGACCCTCAATTCGGTTCTAAAGGTAAATCTTATGTTGAATTACACGGAGATAATGCGTATGTAAAACATTGTAGATCGAGTGGTATTATGCTTCAAAGTGCTACATTAAATCCATTTGGAGCTTGGTTATTACTTCAAGGTTTGGAAACTTTATCTGTAAGAGTTGACAGAGAGTGTGAAAATGCTGTTAAATTGGCTACTTACTTGAAAAATTCCCCTTTTGTCAAATGGGTGTCATACTTAGGTTTTGAAGATCATGAAACACATGAGTTATCAAAGAAATATCTCAACGGTCCATACTTTGGTAGTTGTATTTCATTCGCTATAAAAGATGAAAGTGGTGCAGATATAGTCGAAAGTAACAGTGCAAAGGTTATAGATAACTTAAAGATTATTTCTAATACTGTTAATCTTGGAGATGCTAAAACGCTTATTTGTATTCCCCATATTTCCACCAATAGAGGTACTCAAGGAGAATATAACGAAAGTGTTGGAATTGATAGTGATTTAATAAGAATTTCCGTTGGTATTGAACACATTGATGATTTGATTGGTGATTTGGAACAAGCATTCAAAACTGTGTTTGCTTGATCTTAAATAGACTAAATATAAGAGCTTTTGCTATTAAAAGTATTTTTAGATGAGCCCTGTAAAAATATTCATAGATACCAAAGGGTGGGGTTAAAGTGACGAATTCTCCGTGATTATTTTATAAAACAATAAGACTGCTTGGAAAGATTGTCAAGCAGCAACAGTACCATCATCATTCACCTTTTCTGGTTGCCAAACTTTAATTGGTTGCGAAATTTCTTTAGGTTGCGAAAAAGTCTATAGCAAAGATAAAAAGATCAAGAGATAACGGTTTACAATATTTAAAGATTAGACACTTATTAAGAAGAATCAGCATGACCAAGAGACAAAAACTTGAGAGTTTACCTAAATTCTCTGATACCCACAAAGTTCCTTCAGATAAACATGTGGTAAAATACTTGACAGAAGAAAATAAACCGTATAATATACTCAAAGATCGTTTACAACCATTCAAAAAATTAGAAACTAAAGGTGTTGTCCACATATTTGATCACGATATTAGATCTCAAGACAACAGAGGACTTTATGAAGCTACCCAAATTGGTAAGAAGGTAAAAGCCCCCGTTTATGGATTATATGTTCATTGTACTGAAGATTTGTATAATCATGCGGTTAGTGCTTTCCAATTGACTTACAAGATCGATGCTTTGAACCACTTAAAAAGCGATTTAGAAAAATTGAAGATCCCCTTAACTATTTTAGAAGTCGAAAAATCCAAAGATGTTGATAAGGAGATAATTAATTGGTGTAAGGAAAGAGAAATTGATTATATTACCACTAATATGGTTTACGAAGTTAACGAATTAAGATTGGTCACTAGATTATGTGATAAGTTTGATGGCCATGTAAGTGCATATCAAGATAATTGTATCGTACCCCCAGGTGAATTGAAAAGTGGTAAAGGGACACAATATTCCGTCTTTACACCTTGGTATAGATCATGGGCTAAATATGTAAACGCCAATGGCATTGAAACTTATGAGCCCGAAGCTAATGGGAAATTACCAGAGAAAAGTAATGTTTCTTTTAAAGTTCCAGATGATAAAAAATTATCTACTGAACATAAAAAAACCTATGATAAGCTTTATAAGTCAATGTCCAGCTACGATGGTGCTATGAAAAGGTTCCACGATTATGCCGACAACATGGAAGATTACGATGAAAACAGAAATAACTTGACTTATAATGCATCACATCTCAGTGCCCCTTTGGCAATCGGTGTCATTTCATCACGTACCATAATCAGATATTTACTTGATAATAAAATAAAGAAAGTCGATCAAGGTGACGATGGAACAGTTCAATGGGTAAGACAAATAGCTTGGAGGGATTTCTATAAACATATTGTTGCCAACTGTCCGTTTGTATGTATGCACAAACCTTTCCAACTTGATTATAGTGATATTGAATGGGAATACAATAAGGAACATTGGTTAGCATGGTGTGAAGGAAATACTGGTTTCCCTGTTGTTGATGCTTGTATGAGACAACTTAATACCACAGGGTACCTTTCAAACAGAGGTAGGATGATTGTTGCTTCATTTTTAACTAAACATTTAATGATTGACTGGAGATATGGAGAAGAGTACTTCCTGAACCATTTAGTTGACTGTGATTTTGCTTCCAATAATGGAGGTTGGGGATTTTGCTCAAGTGTAGGAGTTGACCCACAACCTTACTTCAGAATCTTCAATCCTTATTTACAATCCACGAGATTCGATTCTGATGGTGAATTCATCAAACAATGGGTCCCTGAATTGAAATCTTTAGATACTAAAAAAATACATCACCCTGATGAAATAGAAAATTATCCTGAACCTATCGTTGATCATAAGACAGCCAGGGAAAGAGCTTTGGAAAGATATGCTGATGCTAGGTAACTTTTCGAATATATATTTTGTTTCAACAATACTTGTCTTTTATGCAATTATTTAAATAATTTTTCAATAGCTAATTTAGCTTCATTAAGGGCATCTTCAGTACCAACTAAGTAAACGTAATTGTTGTTTTTATCACTGGCTCTTGGAACAGTAATGAAAGTTTTAGTTGATTCTCTTAATTTCTTAACAGTGGAACCTGAAGGACCGATGATTCTAGAAAAGCTAGAAGGTTTTGATGAATAAAACCAAGCTTGATAATTGGAAGATTTAGCAGTTTCTAATCTTTCAGTCAAGAATTTCAAAGCTTTTGAAGTAAATTCTTCATCACCTTTTAATCTCCAAGGGATGATTTTCGATTCATCAATTTCTGAAGATAATTCAGAGATAATAAATTTAGAATCTTCTTCTGGTTTTTCATCAACAGAAGGAATTGAACTGTTTGATAATTTTGAAGCCTTTCTGGATAAGTTTTGACCATGAGTAACTTCAACATTGAATTCTTGTTTCAAATAGTTGAAGATAGCTCCTCTTTCAGCAACTAATGCATGATAAGCTTCAGGAACATCTAATGAAGCAGACCAATCATCCTTGGTTAATTCTAAGATTTTAGATTTAGCATTTTCAATGTTTTGTGGTAAACCAGAGATTTTAACAAGGGTTGATTTGTTATCAGCTCTTGGAACATTAATGGAGACATTGAATTCCTTTTCTAAATCTTGACGAATTGAACCGGATGGACCAATAATTAATCTATGTTTTTCTTTGGCAATATCTAATTCTTCAACGATAGAAGCTTTTTTGTTAGCTACCAATTCATTGATTTGTTCAATGATTTTGTTAACGATTTGTTTTGGACCTTGAGAGTTGATTAAATCAGAACCTGAGTCTTCGTTAGGAATGGTTAATAATCTATGATATCTACCTCTTGGAGTAATATCATCACCACCAGCGATACTGATGATTTCTCTCATTTTAGAACCACCAGGACCGATTAAATCACGGTGATATTTGGATTCAACTTCAACGTCAATAGAAACGAATTCTTCGACTTCTTTAATGATTTCATTAAGTTTAGCAATAGCTTGTTTCAAACCAGATTTAGAACCAGTTAATTTGACTTCAGCATAACCTAATTCTTCTTCCTTTTCTTTGTTATCACGTTTGAAATCATATTCGATACCGAATCCATCAGCTATATCATTAATGGTTTCACCACTCTTACCAATAACTCTCGAAATAGCTTTAACAGGAATTTTGATAGTTTCAACGAATCCATTTTCTTTTTCGAATTTATATAATTCTTCAATTTCAGCTTTAGCTCCGGCAACACTCTTTGAAGGACCTCTGATGGTAACTTCATCTTTGGTTTTTGGAGCATCAGCGCCTTGATCTTGAGCAGATGGGAATCTAATTCTAACACCATACTTATCTTGTAATCTGTTAATGTAGACACCTTTAGCACCAATAATTCTTTTGTGGTATTGACTTTCAATTCTTAAAGTTTCAGTGGTTTCATCAGCCCATCTTTTGGAGACAGAAACAATTTTAGCTTTACAAGCTTCAGCAGTTCTCTTATAACCAACAATTGAAATTTCAGATTTATCAGATTTTTCTTTATCATCTTCAACATCAATCTTTGTACCAAATTCTTCTCTTAAACCAGTCAAGAATGAACCGTTCTTACCAATTAATCTTGATAAAACAATAGTTGGCACAATTACAGTAGTTGAATATTTATCACCAAATTCTTCACCATCTTTAACGACTTGTTCGATCAATTTCTTAGCGATAGCTACTTGTGATTTAATACCATGTAAAGTGATTTTGTCACCAACTTTAATTTCAACAGTTTTTGGTTCTAATTCACCCAAAATGGAGTTTAAGACACAATCTCTTGGACCTGAAACAAATTTTTGAGATTTAGCAGGAATTTCGACTTCAACCGTATCCAAATTCTTACCTAATTCTCTTAAAGAATTCAATTCATTATCGACTTTATCAAAACTCTCGTCGGCGTTAGAATCAACGAAATCAGTATCACTATCAGTTTCTTCATTGAACAAGGTAATTTTACCATCGACGATGACATAAGCAATATTCAATTCTTTGGTGATGGAATCAATGGTTGAAGGAACCTTTGGAATTAAGAAACTATCGATGTCATTAATGACTTTATAAGTTTCACGAGTTAATTGGTTAACTTTGGCAACAATAGCTTTTTTCACTGGAACAACAGCATCTTTATCGGAGTTAACAATTTCAATTGGAACAGTTTCAGCATTGATGATAGCATTGATAGTAACATTGTATTCAGATTGTAAAGACTTGAAAAAACCTGATTTCTTTAAATATTGAGCAATAGCTTTAACTAAATCTAGATTCTTATTGGCTTTGGACATTTCTAAAACTTCAACATTATATTGAACAGTGGTTTGTCTGGCAGATTCCTTAGCTTTTGATAATTGGGATTTTTCACCAATGAATTTAACATTCTTTTCACCATCAGTTGGTAATTTAATTAAAACATTAAATTCTTCTAAAATATTATCAATTGGTAAAAATTGATGTTTGGTTGCAGGAATAGGAACTTCATCAGTGAAAATTTTTGCTGATAAAATATCCAATTTAGATTTGATTAATTCTTTAACCTTTAAGACTTCTTCTCTATCACCAACAACAGTGACAGTATCTTTAGAAGATTTATAATCAGGGAATAAAACGTCAACATCAGAAAATTGATCAATGGTAGGTTGTAAGAATTTTTGAGCAAAAGGTTTTAAATCTTCATCAATTGGAACTTTAATGGATAAGTTCTTAGTTTCAGCATTGACAATACTTAAGATCTTAGCTTTAGATAATTTACAACTTTCAGCATCACCTTCAATAGTAACAATAACAGATTTATAGAAGATATCATCTTCTTCAGCAGATTCATCAATAGTTTCTTCATTACCAATATCGATTTTGATATCATATTCAGCAATGATTGGTTTCAAAGTTTTACCTCCTGGACCAATGATTCTTGATCTTAATTTTGATGGCACATTGAAAGATAATTTGACACCTTTAGTAATTTTCTTGATGATTAATCTCTTAGCAAGTTTAACATCTTCAGGTTTACCATTGATGACAAAGGTTCTCTTTTTAGTATGTTGAGAAACAGTTGACTCAATTTTAGTTTTGGTTTCACTAGAAACAGTGGAAACCACTTTAACAAATTCAGGCTTAGCTAAGTTCAATTGATCTTCAGTATCCAAAGAGAAAGCTTCTTGAATAGTTGAAGATTTGAATTTAGGAGCTTTGATAGCATTGGATGAAGGACCCCAAGAAGTTGGTTGAGGAGAAGGTTTCTTACCTCCACCTAAAGTTGGGAAAGCAGCTTCATCATTAATTGAAGGAATTGAGGTTGACATTGAAGCAGTTTCTTCATCGAAGGAAATATCAGAATCGGTAACGTTATCTTCATAACGGGCAGCAATGATTTCAGCAGGAGTACTCATAATAGATAGGACCAATGGGACACTGATTTAACAGGTACAGAAAAAAAATATAAAATTAAAGGATTTGTAAGATTGAACTAATCTGAAAAATTTTGGGCGAGTGAGACACCTCATAACTAACGACAATACGAGATCAACGGTTGTGAGAGTGCGATCTGGAAAGATACACGCATTTTTAATAGGTAAGATAAGTGATATATAATATGATGGAGTAGAGACTTAGAGACAAGAGATTGTGACACGCTAATTTTATCCACTATAAAGTTTCATAAATAATCTCTCTAACTCTATATTCTTCGTTAGCTTCTTCAATATCTTCCCAATTACCAATGAAATCATCCCCTCTGACGATTCCTGGTAAACTTTTACCATTACTATATCTTCTCCAGATTTTTTTGGCTTCTTCATCGGTGCTTAAATCTCTAGCTGTGAAAGTGATTTCATTAGCTTTTAAAATGGTTTGTAATCTATTGGTTTTATGAACGACTTGCATTCCACCAACTAAAGAAGTGAAAAGGTAGACTGGTTGACTTTCAAGATGTTTACGAAGTTCTTCAGGAGAGATATCAAAATCATCATCTTCTGCAGGTTCTTCGACAGGTTCTTCGACAGATTTGGAGACTGGTTCATCGATGGTGATTTCCTTATCTTCTTCCACTTCTTTGACTTCTTCATCTTCTTTGTCTTCATTATCTTCAACAACGACTTCTTTATCTTCTTCTTTATCTTCTTCTTTTACTTCTTCATCTTTATCTTCCTTTTCATCATCTTTTTCTTCCTTAGTTTCTAATGAATCTTCAACCGGTATGACTTCAGAAGGAATGGCAGATTTGGCTAAAGCTTCTTGATTAACTTCTGGTTCGATTTTTTCAGCTTCCTCTTTGGATTCTTCAATTTCTTCTTCAGGTTCTTTCTTTTCTTCAGTTTCGGTATCTTTATCCACTTTGTCTTCCTTCAAATCTTTTGCTTCCTTTGACTCTTCATTCAAATTCTTTTTAGTCAAAACATTATTCATCATAGAATCTAAATCATCAATATTGGAATAAGGGTCTTCATTAATTAAAGCTCCTTCCTTTTTCAACTCATTTAAATCAGCATCATTTTTTTCATCTAATTTTGGTTGTCTTGATCTTGATCTTGAAATTGATCTCAAGTAATCAGTTGAAACAGTATTAAATTTCATGTTATAAGGAGTACTTGGTTCATGTCTACTATCAACATTGAAGTTAGTGTAATCACCAGTTGTAACCAATGAACTATCTCTGAAAAGTTTAGTTTGGTAATTTTCTTGGTTGATTATATCATCTTCAGCCGCAGCAATAGAATCACCCATTGTTGGTTTAGATTGTCTTGATCTTCTATCATTTTCTTCTTCAATAACTGGAGTGGAAAAATCAGGAGGTAACTCATATTTTGAAGGATCTTCTTCGTTAGTTGATTTATAACTATCACCTCTAGCTAAATGAGGTCTCATATTTGATCTGGATCTTGATCTACTTCTTGATCTTGATCTAGCTCTTGCTTCAGATAAGTTTTCTTTGTCTTTGAAGAAATAAGGAGAATGGAATCCTTGTGGAACAGTTTCCTCAGCAACTAATGGTATAAATGAAATTCTCTTGGAAACATCTTCATGGTTTTCTTTCAAGAATGATGAATTCTCTTTAGAAAAGTCTTTGGATAATCTATGAGGATCTTCCTTTTTGATTTTAGATAAAAGATCGTTATGAGATTTAATATCGTTGTTCAATTGGAAATCTGAAAGGTTAGGATTAGAATAATCTTGAGAAGTTGAATAGAAACCACTTGAGGTTGTAGTTGATTCAGTTGAATTTGATTCAGCAACTTTTGCGTCAATTGATTCTTCTTTAACTTCTTCTTTGTCTTCGACTGGTTCTTCCTTATCTTCGACTTCTTGTGATTTAATGGTATCAATAGGAACCTTAGTATCTTCGTCAACTTCAGGATCTTCTTTAGGAATGTACTTGGCATCATCTTTAACTTCACCTTGTTCATCCAAATAAGTTTCAAAATTCTCTTCAGATCCTAGTAAAGCACCTTCTTTCATCAAATCATCTAAGGAAGCAGTTATATCAATGTTATACTTGTTCTTAGTTGATTTATCAGTTTTTTTATACTTTTCCGGATGGATATAATTATTATGAATTGAATCATCAGCAGATCTAACTGATGACCCAACTAATGATGGCGATGATAACTTTTCAGCTCTTTCAATTTGTTCTTCGAAATCCATAGTGTTGAGATTCGTCAAGTTCTGGATGAATGATGGAGATTCCCATAATATTTTATTCCTGTACATAACGCCTTGGGACTAATGTGATTCATTTGCAATTTCATTGGTCAAACGGGGGAAGGCTAGAAGTATTGGAAGAGATGGTTAGGGGGACGGAGGTATGGACGGCGGAGTCATTGAAAGGTTGTAGGAGGTGATAGGGGAGAAAAGCTGGTGAAGCTTGGGTTGAAAAATTGTGTTGCTATCTCAAAATATCACGTGATGAGAGAATACCATATGGAGTTATTGCTTGAATTTGAAAATCTTGGAGATCATGAAAAGACTGGCAGTGGGGTTAGGGTGATTGAATTGAGACTTGGCTATCTTTTTACGGGAGAAGTTCCTTATCCATCATGATTTCTGTCATGATTTACGTCGGTGTTATCTTGAGACATAATTCTGAAATGATTGAAACACGTCTGAATTTTGAAAGAGTTGAGTCAATAGTAGTTGAATAGATCATTTACACGTGTCAGAAAGATATCAAGATATTTTGGGGGTAGTTTGACTGTTTTGGTGTCTGAAATGTTTCATGAATAGCTCAGATGTTTGATAAATGGCTCAAACTTATTGGATTTGGTAACATCGGAAGGGCTTATCAGATGAGACAGATTTCAGTAGTGACGATGAGCTTTAACCTCAACATCAGACAAAAGTCTAGAAAACCAATTCTGATCATTATGGTGTCTTGACAACCCCCAAAATACCCTGTTAATAACTAAACCTCTACCTCATATTCTATAACCATCTCAAACAATACATATCTCACATGAACATATCTCACATGAATATGTTTCACATAACGCATACAAATAACGCACACACATAACGCCCATCCACAACGTCTCTAAGATCTTAAACCGCTTCATTCAAGACAATATTCAACTGATTTACGATACAATCGTAAATTCCAGTACATGTTCCTATTATTAACACACGTATATTTCAATAATTATTCCTAATAAGGTTAATTCTCAAAATCCCTGAAATCTCAAATTTGCACCACCTTTAAATAGTTAAATTGCCTTTCAAACCCCCTAAAGGATAATAATTAATAATGGCAGTTAAAGTTCCATATACTCCAAAGAAACAACCTGTTATTGAATTCATTCCATTTGATGGATTGAAATTCAAAACAGAATTTTGGCAACATGCTGAAGGTTCTACTTATATAGGTAGAATCTTATATGTTCATGGATTCGCTGAAGATTCTAAAATGTATTGTGAATATTTCGATATATTAAGTGATCTTGGTTTCGATATCTTCTTTTTTGATCAAAGAGGTGCAGGTGAAACATCCCCAGAAAAAGACCACGGTAAAACCAATGAATCTTTGGTTTATAAAGATTTAGAATTCATCATTAAGAAGAATTTGGAAAGTATGAAACAAAAAGATCCTAAAGAGAAATTGATTTTAATGGGACATTCAATGGGGGGAGGAATTGTATTAAATTATGCAGTCAAAGGTAAATATAGAGATCAAATTAGAGCTATTGTTGCAACAGGACCAATGGTTTTATTACATCCTTCAACGGCTCCAAATTTCCTTTTGAAAACATTTTCAAACCTTGCTTACAAATTAGCTCCTAATTTTAGATTAGATGCTGGATTAAATATCAATTATGTCACACTGAATGAAAAATGGCAAAAATATATTGCTGGACATACTAAGAAGTTTTGGATTACATCCAATTTATTCCATGGTATGTTACATCGTGGGGAAAATTTAACCAAACCAGAATATGTTTCAAGTTTTGATCCAGATATTCCAGTATTAGTATTCCATGGTACTAATGATCAAATAAATTGGCTTGATGGTACTAAGAAATTTATTGATCTTTTACATGATAATGTTGATAAAGAATTTGTACCTATTAAAAACGCTAGACACTCTCTTGCAGTTGAAGTTGATCCATTAAGAGATCAAGTTATTGATAAAATAGTCGATTATTTCAAAACCCATTAATCTTTTTGTATATGAATGTATAATTTATTAGGATAAATAAAAATAAGTCTCTTTATAATGGTAGTAAATAGCACGAGGGCTAAGGCTGAACTCCCCACCAAACCCTGGCGCGAAGTTTCGTGCCGGCATCAGATGACCGAACCATCAGATAAGTTGGTATGCAGATGGACAAAGATTTCCGTTCGCATAAGTCTGGTGATGCTTTAATGACACCATTTATTATTTAAATATATAATCATTAAAGCCATATCGTTGAAGTTTAAAATTATAATTCGAATAAACAATGGGATATACGATTAAACAAAAAATTGAAATATGTTTAAAGTCAGAGAATAATCCCAAAATGACACAAAGTGATCTAGCTAAATGGGCTCAACAGCAGTATAAATCTGATAAACAACCTTCACAAACAACTATATCGAGGATATTGAGTAATAAGAATGATTTAATAGCATCTAAAGAAGCAGATTTCCAATTAGTTAGAAGGCGGAAGAAATTGAATCCTATATTAAGACAGATCTTGACTGAATGGGTAACACAATCAATTTGGGAGAAATTACCTATTACAACCCCCATAATCCAAAGCACAGCCAATTCTATTTGGACACGATTACCTTTGGAGGTGAAAGATGGTAATGGGATCTTTAATCAGAAATGGTGTAATCAATTCATGAAGAAACTCAATGTCAACTTGGCGGGCAGTGAAGAAGATATTAATGATAATTTTGGTTACAAATTGAATAAAATATGGCAATTAGATGAAAAGCTTGATCTTAAAACTTATCTCAAGAAGATTATCAGTAAGAATGAATACAAACCTCAAGATATATTCACAATTGATGAATTCCAGATATTCTATTCATTACCATTAGATCAGATATTTGATATCAATTCCATTGATAAGGGATTGAAACAATCCTCATCATCAACAGAAAATTCCTTAACAGTTATGTTGGGTACTAACATCGACGGGTCGGAAAAGTTAACTCCTTTAATTGTAGGTAAACATGATAAACTTGATGTGAGTCAAAGTTCTTTCCAATCTTTGAAAAATAATCACCATAATGAACATATAATGAACAAATTAACAGAAACTTATAGAATCTTCTATAAATCCAATATCAATAAATGGATAACTTCCACCATGTTCCAAAATTATCTCTTAACATTAGATCATAAATTATCTAATGGTAAGAAACGAAAGATTTTAATCATCTTAGATGATAGTTCAAGTCATAGGATATTGAATTTGAAGTTTGAAAACATCAAATTGGTATATTTGAAGAATAATACCAGTCACAAATCACCTTTTAATTCCCTTTATAATGGAGTCAATTTTGATTACTTACCTATGAATTTTGGGATCGTACAAGAGTTTAAGATCTTATACCGTTTACAACAATATCTAGAAATGATTAAAATCCAAAGGAACCTTAAATCTGATAAACCTTTGAATAATCTACAAATGAATAATTCTTCTACTGATGTGTTGTCGGAATCAGATTATAATATTCCTATAATCAAAGCCATTGAATGGATAAGAAGGTCATGGGATGCTGTTTTACCAGAAAAGATTCTTTCTTCTTGGAAAAGAACTCACCTTATTAATATAAGCCAATCCTGGCCCCAAGACGGCGTAGATCTCATGATCCAAAACCTAACCAAAATTGACCTTGATTCCAATTATAAGAAATTATCTCAAGTTATAGGATACTTAAATGTTGTATTACCATGGCAAGTAGATGATTTATTAGGCTTAGTCAATGAAAGAACTAAAGCAACGTTAAATTATATTTCTATTGAAGAGATCGTTACCAGTTGTCTTTCAGAATCTCAAATTGATTCTGATAACGATTATCAAGTCAGTCAACTTGATAATTTCTTTAATATCAACTTAAACTCCATGAATGTATTGGAGAACAATTTCAATGGGAACTATAATAATTTTAATGAATTTAATGATAATTTTAATAATGATTTCAATGAAAATGTAAATGTGAATGAGAATGTTAATGTAAATGTTAATGGCAATGGTGGTGATGTTAACGTACCTAAAAGAATGAACCCAGACCTTGATACGATGTCTATTAGTGCCTTATTAGCAGCAGCAGATGAGATGAAGGAAGAATTACCTAGCCAATTACCTAATCAAGTACCTCATTTACAAAGTAATCAAAATCAACCTGTGATTCCAATTCCATCCATAAATGATCAAATGCCATCAAATCAAATTTTAAACAACCAGTTACCAACAATTCCTGAACTAAATCAAACCCAGACCTTGAAAAGAAAATTATCTTCGGTATCTAATGAACCTTCAAAGAAATATAGTAGCCCTATAAATGATTCATTACCTTCATCATCAACACCATCTCCTTATAATGGGACCATTCCATTGTTCAGTAAGAAATTGTATTCCGGGATAACCTTCAAATCTTCAAGTTCAGGTAATTTAACAACTGTTGGAGATAGAGATTTGATAAAGTATTTAAGTAGAGTTGTAGAAGCTGCAAATTTGGATCAAGTGAAGTTCAGTGATCAAACAATCAATGAGTTGAAATTGAATCTTACTACTATTAAAAATAGGTACGATAAACGAGATTGATAGAGTTTTTTTATAGATAAGTCAGAAGATGACGTGGAACAACAACACGTGATTTATCAGGCAACAATTTTTATATTTACAAGACCTTTAAAAACCTCTTTACCTTCCTAATAACGGGGGGAAATTCATTTATTCTTCATCAACATTAATACCCAATTCTTTAGCTTTAGCTTCCAATCTTTTTCTTTTTTCGATTCTTTCTCTTCTGATTCTTGCAAGTTCAGCTTGGATTTCATGTTTTTCCTTTGGGATTTGATTTAAAGTAGCTGGATCAGGCCAAAATCCTGGTAAATTAAACTTTTCATCAGCATTAACACCAACATATGTCATCACCAAAATTGGAGTGAAAAGGTAAAAACCAAACTATTTGTTAGTATCTTGTCATAAAAGTTACATTGGTAGGTTAAAATAACTCGAAGATTTCGATTCTTTCATTAAAACTAGGGGTTTACATACTTTGGCAGTCTCTAACTGAGTCCTTGTAATTCTACTAAAAAATCTTGAAATGTTCATTATTCGCACTGAACTGATTTCCTCAATCGATAAATATGAGTGGATACGCTCCAATTGAACCTGACGTTCCCATTGCTAATGTCTCAGGAAATATGGCCAATGGTGTCCTGGGAAACACTGGAGGTACCGGGAATGCATTGAGTTTAGATCCAAATGAATGGACACTTTATCAACGTCTTAAAGAATCTTCACACCCTGTTGCATTATTATTCTATATAGTTTTTAGAATCTTACCCATATTCATTTATATTTTTGGAACTTTCTTCATAGGTTTCATAACAGAGAAAAATAGATTTATCTTACATTTCATTACGTTGATTTTATTGAATGCAGCAGATTTTTGGAATTTGAAAAATGTTAGTGGAAGATTATTAGTAGGATTAAGATGGTGGAATGAAATAAATCAAATAGACAAATCAGGAAACTTTGAAAATGTCTGGGTTTTCGAAACAGCAGATCCCAATAGATACATCAACCCCATTGATTCTAAAGTTTTCTGGATCTTATTATATGCTCAACCATTATCATGGATGTTTTTAGGATTCTTAGCAGTGTTGAAATTACAATTTTTATATTTACTACTCATAATCATAACAGTATCATTATCATTGACCAATGCCATTGCTTTCACTAGATGTGATAAATTTGGTAAAGCAAATGATGTTGCCAATGGGATATTTGCTAGAGCAAGATCTTCATTATTTTCAAGATTTAATCCTTTTGGATGAACCAATAATTAGATATTAATGTATAATGAGATCAATTCCTCTTGCTTGAATGTCGTTTCAAGAACCGGAATCTTTTTCTTGGTTCTTTACTTACATATGTGATATCATCGTTCTCTGTATAAGGTTTCCTCAGTTTGATGATGCCATTAGCTAATCTAGATTCAAACTGGTCGTCAAAATCAATATCTTTCATTTCAGAAGTAATTTTGTGGATGAAATGTGATATGTCACCTCTAATCTTAGTACTCCAAGTACGGGCAACCGCTTCGGAGGTATTATCAATGACACTAGGACGAGATAAAATTAAATCCAATACTTCATGGGGAGTTAACGGTTTTGAGACTTCGGATGTTTCTGGCAAAAAAACAGATGATCGGGGTGATTTCCTTACTTTGAATTTCCATTCATCGGTTCTGGACTTTTTATCCGGTACATGCTCTCCCAAGTCTTCCGTAAGTGGCTCAAATGCTGAAATCAAGTGGCTGCCGTTTACGGGTGTAAAAGTAGGAGGATTCTCCCCGATACTTGAAGCCACTACATAAGATTTCTTATAGTTTAGATTTGTGGCAGGGATAGTATTGTACATTATGTAAAATGACTTTCTATTTATTCACTTTGTGGAAGTGAGCTTTTCGGTGGTTGCAAAATTTCTGGTTGCAAAATCTTCAAAAAGTTTATTCAATAATTCTAGATGAGTGAGTTTGGCTTGAAGATCCGAATATAAACCTTTCTTTGGAGAAAGCACAGATTCTAATAAATATTTGTGTTTCTCATCTGTGGTGTTATTATAGATTAAGATAGTTTCAAAATAATTGATAAGTTGAGAGAAATTCTCATCCGTAACATCGATTTCTAATCCTTGAAGTAATTCATGTCTGAACTTCTTTGATATAACTTCCGATCTATTGCTGATGATATTAAGAATCAATTGACTCAAAAGTAAATTCAATTCATTATTTTCAGAAATCTTTGTTACTGAATTCTTTAAACCTTCAATCTTAACATTGTTGGGGATTCTCTTGATAATGGAAATGGGATCATAGAATGGATTGGATTGATCATCAGCTCCTTCAATCAATGCTTGGATGAATTTAGGTTTGTTCGTAGAATAATCTAAAAGAATATTCCAAGCTTCTCGATCATTTTGATGTTTAGCAAAATTTATAGCGATTTCTGGATTATCTAATTTATCAATGATCAACAATAAAGCTTTCTTATTCTCACCAATTTTACCCAAGAGATACACCAATTCTTCATATAATTCATTTGTTTCACATAACTCAATAGCCAAATCAAAATTATAATTACTGTTCTTCATTAAGTAAGGTAGCAACTTTTCACGATTGAATTGACTATACAATTCCACCAACTTATCACCGAAGCCTCGAGTGACATAATCATCAACTTCGTTCAATCTTTCTAAATAAAGATAAGTCAAGTAATTCAATTTGTTCTGATTCATCAAATCAATGATAGTCATAGGAAGTATTTCATGACGCTTATCAACTAAGATATCTACAATATCCATGAATCTGGATTTGAGATCACCCAAGGGTAACGTTTCAAATTCCTTACCCTTGAATCTGAGTTGGATCATTTTGGGCAAGTCTTTGATATGATTAACGAGAAGATGATGGGATGATAAGAATTGGATAATATTATAGTCTTTTAAGATCATGAGATGTCTCACCGCTCTTTGAGGGTCAGTTTCAACGTACAAACCCACCAATGTTCTTCTTAATGAGTCATTGTTGTTATCAGCTAAATAAGTTTCAATCGAATCTTCCATCCCTTTAACATCGAACAATTCATGGGACCATTCCTCGATCTTTTTAATGAACTCATCAACATCATCTTCTAATAGAAGGGTCAAGATTTGATTATATATGGATGTGGGTAATGATAATTTGGGATTAGTGGGTAGAATCTTACTCAAATGTTTGAAATTACCTGTTCGAATAAATATCATACTATAAGTTTCCCAGAGTTGTACGATATTAATGACAAATTCATCATCATAATGTTGGGTTGATACGGTGTTCATGGTCAAGATGGTACTTTTAGTATCAATATCAGGTAATTTGTCATAATCAATATCCATTATCCTCGCTAAGAAAGAGCTAGCATCATCCCAATTATCAACTTTCATCAAATGATCCACATGTTGGATACCGATATTTAATCTTTGCAATGGAGTGAGCAAATGTTCACTTATATCCCAAGCTTCAAAATATTTGTCATGTTCAACATACCAATCAAGACGATCTTGTAATTGAATCTCTTGAGCAATAACACCATCTTTGGCACTTATAATGAAATAACGAGTGGATTTTTCACCTATGTGAATTCCCAAATGATAATCATTTAACCCTAAATTTTCAATATTTTTCAAACCAATTTCTTCTTCAAAATCAACTTCCCCTGTTAAAGAATTGATTAATTTTAAGTCCGGGTAGTTAAACTCCCCATTTACAGGTGGTGAATATGATAATACCATATAATAATCATCTTTAAAACTTGATATACCAGCTATCAAGCTATCTAATTTAAAAACATGTTCAATCTCTACTTTCTTCTCTTGAATCGCCCTGAAAGAAATAGAAGCTGTACTGGGTAAAATCCTTGACATGTTCGTACTTCCTTGTTCATCAGCTTTATCTTCATTAGTCTTTAAAGCAATTCTCAATTGCCAAATATAATTACCCCATCCTATCAAAACTCTATCAGTTTCAGGAAATGATACTTTAGACCAATAAAGATCACTTCGTGGAGAATCCTCTGGTTTTTCAATCACTTTGATCACACTTCTTGCGGGGACATGATAGATAGATATACCTTTATCATTCATCCAGATGATTATATCATCAATAGTAGTTATTGATACTATGGGTCCATTATTCTCATCTAAGACCAAATCAGATCTTTGACCCAACCAATTCTTACTTGAATATATAACCTTACCACTCATTCCTCCACTAACGAAACTTCGACTCTTACCATAGTTTTTATCCAAGATCACTGCATGAATAGGTCGTTTAAAGTCATAAGCAAGAATATCTTTTTCGTCCGTTATCGATCCAATTACAATAGTTCCATCCATAGATCCTGTAGCAAAGAATTCTCCATCGGTATAAATAGCCAAAACCGAAGCTTTGTGAGCTTTAAAAGTCCGAATTTGTTTAAATTCATTATCAGTGATATAAATAATACCCGAGTGTGTAGCAAATATGAAGTAGTTTTCATGGAAATTTACACAAGAAATAGGATCTTTATTGAAAAAATTAGGAGGTAATTGTGTAATTCGAGAATACTTCAATTTAGGTGGTTCTTGTTCTTCATCTTCATCTTCATCAGTCCCATAAGTGGTTTCAAATGTAGTATTACCCACAGTTTCGTCATCTCCATCGTCTTCGTCAACACCATTGTCTTCAGCTTCTCCCTCAGATTCACTTTTATCTATAACATCCTCAATTGACATTGAGTTGTCTTCAGTACCCTCAACTTCATTCACAACATCTTCTTCAATTGGTCCATTCTCTGTATCTGACATGAGTGGTAATCGCGAAATAAAATCTCACTGATGGCTGTTGCAAGTAAAGGTATATTAGTACAATGTGACCCTTCCATACGGGCATTGATCATTCAGATGGATGTGGAACGTCATGACATTATTATAGAAGAGTTGGATGATAATCATTTACTCATACATCCAGATAAAGTGCAGTTCATTAAGAATGAATTGAATGTGATGCTATCAAAGAATATCTATAACCCATTTGAAGAAGATGACGGTAATTAGAGGTAATGTGTAATGACTAATATATATTAAACTTATTCTACAGAGGGAGATTTTTCTAGAATGTCTGGGGGTAGGCCAGCTGGGGTATTTGGGACATCTGCTGGAACATCTGCTGGGACATCTGCTGGAACGTCTGCTGGGACATCTGCTGGAACGTCAGCTGGAACGTCAGCTGGAACGTCAGCTGAACCCACATCTATATTCCCATCTAACTTCCCATTGGATTTGGTAGGTGTTTGAGGCATCATATCATCCAACTCCTCGTCAAATTTCAACAACGGTTTGATATCCATTAAATTATTCTGAAGATTGTCATCATTAATCAAATCATCTATGATGTCTGACACGTATCTTGTAAAAGTGTCAGGTTCCATATAATCCTCTTGACTCTTAAGTCCATTATAATAATCGAAATAATAGTTAATCAATAAGTCAGACAAGTTATTGAACAAGATCTTCAAAAGATTAAGATCGTTTAGATAAGCAATGATCTGTTTTTTGAATGATTCCAACTTGGTGGGAATAGACAATTTGAAATGGTTGAAATCAGGCAACTCCTCTATAATGGAGTTGAGGAAATCTTTCAACAATTCATTGATTAAATTATTAATCTCCAATTCAATTTCTAACTTAGCATCGATCATGTTGTTAATGATTTTAGGTAATGATTTCTTGATCAATTCAAAAACACCTGAATTAAGAGTTACTAAGATTTCACCATTCTTAATGACATTGTATAAATCATTAAATCCGCTGGTGAAGTCAATTGAATAATCATTTCTGATGAACTTTATATCAAAATTGTTTAATTGAACTTTCAATATGATCAAATTCTTTAAGTAGAATAATTTTGAGTTGATTTTACCAAGATTGGATTCGGAAACCTTCAATGAATTCTGTAAGATCTGAATACAATTATGAACGATATAATGAGCCAAGTCATCAAATACAATAGAATTTATCAATTCATAGATATTGGATAAGATGGTTAATGCTTTACCTAAAGGTAAATATAATTCAGGGAACAAATTGTCTTCAAACTCTTCATTGAGATTATTCAGTCTTTTGGTATGGCCCATTTTCAAGTCATCAGGGGAAGGTTTATAAGGTAACAACTTATTGTCAATGTATAATTGAATTCTGAATATCAACCTTGATTGGACGTTATTCAAGATGGGATTCAAGATTTCTTGAAGATTGATTTCCTCTGTAGTTTCTTCATATTCATAATAATTCTGTAACAAAGTTGTCAATTGACATAATGATCCTATGTTTTGTTCTTTCAAGATTTTTAATCTGATGGTGTCATAAAAAGGTTCTGTTAAATCTTTGAAATAACCATAAATCAATTCCGAAATGAATTCAGGTATATCACCTATACCGAAAAAGTTCTTAAAACAATTCAACTCTTTATGAAGTAATTTCTTAATAACTGAAAGATTATCTTGAGTAAATTTTATCAAATCGACAGTATCAAATTTCCAATCATCAAACTGGATTAGTCCTAACCTTATTTGGAAATAACATCTGAAAACTTCTATTAATAGCCCTTGGTACTCAACTTCATCATTTTCAACAATTCTTTTCATGAAAACATCAATCAAATTGGGGAAATTATAATAAACATCATTGAAACTTTCTTTGTATCCGTCAAATTCTGCATAAACACTAATATTTATCAATTCTTGATCATTTTTAGTGCTGGATTTGATACCTGATTCAATCTTTCTTAGTTCTCTTACAAGATAATCTTTTATGATGGTTAAAACCCTTGTCATACATTGTCTAAATTTGATCTTATAAGTGTCTATATTCTTGAAATCTTTAAAATCTTCATTATTGATGAAATTTAATGAATTGTTCAAATCGTTAAGGATTTTATTGAAAGTTTTAGATTTGATAAGTTTAGATGTACTGGGGATTGATAATTTTTCAGTTATTTGGTTCAAGTTTTCGAAATTTTTCAATATCAAGTTAATGGATTGGTATTTCTCATTCATTTCTTGTTCTTTTTTCATTAATGCTATAGATTGCTGACTGAAATCTCCAGTAGACTGATTGATATTTAAGTATTTATTTTCAATATCATCAAGTTGTTCAAATATACCACCAAGCATTCGTTGATAATTATGTAAATGAGTGACATTTATATCCAAAGCTGTCATAAAGCTTTCGATCTGAGGATCTTTATGGGAGAAGTCTTCTGATTGGAAAACATCAAGATCAAAATTAAGTTCAAATAATTGTTTCTCGAGTATTTGAGTTTCTTTCTTATTAAATGGATGTAACTTGATTATTGGTTTAAACAGTGCTAAATCAGGAATTGATGATGATTTATATAATTTGGGTTTCTCCTCATGTTTAGAAGATTCGTATGGATTGGGGATATCTGAAGCAATTGATTGAACCAATGATTTACTTCGTCCCCTCATAATATCTGTATGATTAACGTTTACCTATGCCTTAACAAGTGGAATAACTGTGCGATCAGAACAGTGTCGTGGTCGCGATGTCGTTACATTCACGTCTCTTAGCTTTAATACGCATCAGTATTAACTAGGAGATGGATGATCCAAGAGAGATAATATCTGAAGATGAATTGACTGCTGATGAAAATGAAGAATTGATTAATTTACAGAAAGAATATGAGTTGAAGAAGAAAGATTTGTTGGAAAAGAAAGCTTCAAAATTCCACGAGAACCTTAATACCAGACAAGTTAAAAAGGTAGATTTTGAAAAAAGAATATTCAGTTTTGAATTACCTACATTAGAAAAGAAAGAGGTCGATGAAACTGAACCCTTAACCGGGATCCCAATACGGCTAAGGTATTACAAACATGATGAAATAATCCATATAGTTAAAGATATCAAACTCATGAATGTTAACAAGGTACTTGCAAAGATCACTAAACCCGATTATAAAGAACCAAATTATAATAACTGGGCATTTATTGGGTTTGTTGTAGATAAATCCAAGTTATTGAAAACTATCAAAGGGGAGAAGTATTTAAAGTTAAGAATTGGTAACTTTTCCCATACGGTATCCGTGAATTTATTTGGTGAAGGATACCTGAAATATTGGCAATTACCAATTGGGGAGTTGGTGATAATTTTAAATCCCAACATTCATAAAAACCCAAAAGGTTTTGATTTCTTCATATCGGAAAACTTGAACAACATTCTTTCGATTGGTATGGTTAAAAATATCGGTAAATGTAAAGATGATAAATGTACTAATTATATTGATCCCAAAGATCAGTATTGTGATTTCCATCAAAGTATTCAGGAAAAGAAGTTCTTGAAGAATAAAAGAATGGAATTAAATGGATCAGTCAAATTGTTTAATCCCCTTCAAAAACGGTCAGAGTATTTGAAAGAATTAAATGAAGAAAGTAAGATTTTCCACATGAAATCAAATTTTAACCTGGAGAAATTTGTGGACGAAAATTATTTCAGGAAACAAGGAAGTAAGCGGAAATTAGAAGATGAAAAAAGCAAACGGAACCTTGAAGAGAAGTTAATGGCATTAGGAGGCAGAGCCAAATATGAAAATTTAGGACTTTTGAAAAAGACAAAAATTTCACCTATCAAATCAGATTCCAAACCTAAATTGAATTTGAAAGAAGAATTAAAGCTGTTAACTAAGGGTAAAAAGATCAATTTGGGGATGAGTAAACAAGACAAAATTCACAAGAAACAAAAGTGGGATAAGAATATGAATATCTTGAACAATAAGCAAGTTCCACCAAAAGAGGTAACTCTAGAATCAGACGATGAGTTGAATATAGTAGTGAACAAATCAAATTATGATCTAATGAAAAGTTATGAAAAGTATAAAAATAATACATAAAAACGAGCCCAATCACAGACAAGCATAATAATCGTCATCTCTAAAACCGGACATTAATAGGTTATCACCTTTACACTGTGGTTGAGGGGGGAAGGGAAGTTCCATTTAAGGTTATTCAGTAATTTCATGGCTATTACCTAATTATAGAAGGAGATAAGTCGTAAAAACTATTCCCCACATACCGACATTTGCTGCAAAATTCTCGACATCCTCAACAAAATTCAGTTAAATCCTTTATTGCACAGGGACTTAATTGCTGTGCATGTCATGCTTTCGGGGTAAATTATTATTTTGTAGCATTAGAAGTAAGTAAGATGAAACAGTTTTTAAGATATGTATAAGTCTACCCCTGAATCTTGAAGTACGTACTGTGCATTTTGTCTTGTGAAGAGTCTAAAAGGAACATGAATACGGGCTTTAGAACATTATGCGTCAAAAGTCCGTCAAAATTCCGGCGTTCATCAGCAAGTTGCGGACTTAAACCTTTGTTATTTTGATGCTCAATAGGGAATCATAATTTTTTTTTTTTACTTCACATGGTAGTTTATTGAATATATAAAGATCCTAACTGTTCCTTACCCCATAAATAATTAATCTTGAAATCATGGAGATCGAGCAATTAAGAATATTCTTATATGGAATTTTAGCTATTGGTATCGTATATGTGATTCATTTCATCAGGGTAAGTAAATTCAAGAAGGCCCACAATTGTAAAGAACCATACCATTTACCAACTGGATTGTTATCATTACCTTTGTTAAGAAAGGCTTTGCGTAATAAATCCGAAGGTACTTTAGCTGAATTTGCGCAAGATCTTTTGAAAGATCATTATTCTGTTAAATTATCATTAGGTGGTATTGTACCAGTTGTTCTTACCAAAGATCCAGAAAACATCAAAGCCTTGATTGGAACTCAATTCAATGATTTTGCTTTAGGTACAAGACATGCCCACTTCAAGCCATTGTTAGGGGATGGTATCTTCACTTTAGATGCTCAAGGTTGGAAGAATAGTAGAGCTATGTTGAGACCCCAATTTTCAAGAGAGCAAGTCGCTCATGTCAAATCCTTAGAACCTCATATCAAATTATTAGAAAAACACATCAAGAAGTTTAGAGGTGAAACTTTCGATATCCAAGAATTATTCTTCAGATTGACCATGGATACTGCCACCGAATTTTTATTTGGTAGTAGTGTTGAAACTTTGAAAGATGAAAGTATCAATGAAGTCGCTGAAGTTGATTTTGAAGGTAGATTAGAATTTGCCGAAGGGTTCAATGTCTCTCAAGCTTATTTAGCTTCAAGAACCTATAGTCAAGTTTTCTACTTTTTAATTAACAACAGAGAATTCCGTGAAGCCAATAAAGTTGTTCATAAATTAGCTGACTATTTTGTTGATCAAACATTGAAAATTTCTCCTGAAAAATTGAATGAAAAAGCTGAAGGTAATTATACCTTCTTATATGAATTAGCTAAACAAACAAGAGATCCAAAAGTCTTAAGAGATCAAGCTTTAAATATCTTATTGGCTGGTAGAGACACGACTGCTGGATTATTAAGTTTCACATTTTTAGAATTGGCTAGAAACCCTGAAATTTGGAACAAATTAAGAAAGACTGTTTTAGAAGAATTTGGTACTGGTACCAAAGAAGATCTTGAATCCATCAGTTTTGAAACTTTAAAGAAATGTGAATATTTAAAATTTGTTGTTAATGAAGCTTTAAGAATGTATCCTTCAGTTCCAATGAACTTTAGAACTTCAACCAAAGAAACCACATTACCAAGAGGTGGTGGTAAAGATGGTCAAAGTCCAATTTATATTTCTAAAGGTACTACTGTTGCATATTCTATTTACACTACTCAAAGATGTACTGATTTCTACGGGGATGATGCACATGTATTCAAACCTGAAAGATGGTCCAACTTGAATAAATTAGGTTGGGCTTATTTACCATTTAATGGAGGTCCAAGAATTTGTCTTGGTCAACAATTTGCATTAACTGAAGCTAGTTATGTAATTGTCAGATTATGTCAATTATTTAGTAAGATTGAGTCACGTGATTCAGTCTATCCACCTAAAAAGAATATTCAATTAACTATGAATCATAAAGATGGTGTTTTCATTACTTTAGCTTAATAATTTGTATGATAATGATAATATTTATTCAAGTTCTTTGACTCTTACCCCTACTATTGCCCACTAAGGGTGTCCAAAATCTCTTACCCCCCATTTTTGCAACCATTTTGTGATGAGATGCGAAAAAATCTAATGTCCATTAAACGTAAAATGGCCAAAATTTGTACTCATTCAGGTACTTTCCATGCTGATGAAAGTCTTGCTGTTTATATGTTAAGATTATTACCTAAATATTCTGAATATGAATTAGTTCGTTCAAGAAACCCAAAAGATTGGGAAGAAAGTGAAATCGTTGTTGATGTCTCAGGTAAATATGATGGAATTAAATACTTCGATCATCATCAAAGAGAATTCGATGAAACCTTCCCTGGTTATAAAACTAAATTGTCATCTGCTGGTTTGATTTATAAACATTTCGGTAAAGAAATCATTCAACATAAATTAGGGATTACTGGTGATATTGTTGATGTTATTTATCAAAAAATCTATAAAGAATTTATTGAATCCATTGATGCTAATGATAATGGTATAAGTAAGATTGAAGGTGATTATGAAACCAAATTCAATGATAAAAATTTGATGTTACCATCAATTATTTCTAATTTAAATCCAATTTGGTACGAAGAACCAACTGATGAAGATTTTGATAAAAATTTCTTGAAAAGTAGTGAATTAATGGGTTCAGTTTTTGAGAACATTTTGAATTATTATGGAAAATCGTGGTTAAAGTCTAAAGAAATAGTTCAAAAATCTTTAGAAGATAGATTCAATGTTGATGAATCAGGTAAAATTATTAAATTAGGTAATTTCTGCCCTTGGAAGGATCAATTATATAGTTTAGAAAAAGAATTGAACACTGGAAAGATCGAATTTGTCTTATTCCAAGATAGTTCAAGTAAATGGAGAATTTCTACCGTTCCAATCAACTCAGGTAGCTTTGAATTTAGACAAGGTATCAAATCTGAATGGAGAGGTATTAGAGATGAAGAATTAAGTAAATTGGTTGGTATTGAAGACGGGATTTTTGTTCATGCTAATGGATTCATTGGTGGTGCAGGTTCATTTGAAAGTGTCTTAAAAATGGCAAAATTATCTTTATAGTTATTTATTTATTTATATCAAAGTGTTTTAGCGTGGTGTCTCTGACTGAGGAATATCTCTAACCAAGGGAAGCATATGGAGAAACCGATTTTCCTTAAAAATGATAAGTCCTCTATTAGGAAACAGGCGAGGAGACGAGTAAGAGAACCCCTGTAGATCGATTATTCTGATCTTCGGATTTATCTCCTATGTTTACCGTTTTTGATTAAGTGTCGCATAGATATACGAATTCGCGACATTGATCAGGGCTTTATAATCTCGGTTCTCATCTTCAAGCCATTACGAACTACGAATAAGTTAAACCTGAAGATGATTCAATTAGCTCCTGAATTGATCGACAAGATTCTAGGCTACCTCCCCAAAAGAACCAGAGATGCTTTCTATAATATTCCCAATGAAACTCGTGATTTTCCTGCAGTTTATCAATTAGGTTTGGGATTCGGTGGTGTTTTAGTTAATTCAGTTTCTACCTATAAGAAATATGGTGCTCTTCATCCTAGAACCAACTTCATTGATATAGATGACTTCATACAGTATTATAATTCACCACCTTTCATTCCTAGTCCCAAAAGGTTGGCTATATATGAAGATATGAAATACCATGAGTTAAACTTTCCTGATAATATCCATTATATGGAGTCATCTTTTGATACAAATGTCAAGTCAAAATTGACGGTATACAATCTGATTGCTAATCCGCTCCTGCTTTTGGATCTGCTGGTCAAAGAAATAGATGAGTTGACTGCTGATTACAGAAATTTTGATGATTCACTTATAGATAGATATTCGGTACAGAAACTTTTTATCGAAGCAGAAGATGGGAAGTTGGCTAAGCTCGAGAATACAAAGATTCCCGTTGAACTATTAATAAATAATCCTTTGCATGATGTTAGGGGTCTTCCTCAGTGTCTTACAGTTCTACGTTTGACAATAAGTGAAGACCTCAAAGATATTGATTTATCCTATTTGAAGAACTTGGAAGTATTACGTCTTTCACTTGATGGTTCAAACACTGATTTCAAATTGAAATGTCCTGAAAGTTTGGTGAAATTTTGTGTATCATGTAGTGATGATATTACTTTCTCGGGTAATGTCTTGTTACCACCAACATTGAAATATGCTCAATTTCATTTATTCAATTTGAATCATGAACTACCAGAAGACTTAGAAACTATTGATCTCGTAATGTGTGAAGTCAGTTACAAAATTCCAAAAGGGGTTAAAACAGTATATCTCGAAAGTTGTGTTTTCATGGAACCCTTGGAGTTACCTCCATCATTAGAGTCATTGAACATAGTGAATGTTGAGACTATACCTCAAGATTTACTGCACCTTACAAAGTTGAATTTTTTGGTTATTGAAGTGGATGATATATTTCTGGTGAATCCACCCATCTCTGATCCTATCATTTTACCCCCAAGTCTTCGATACTTGAAATGTACCGTTTCAGAGTTCAATTTTAAAATGAATGATGGATTGAAAGATGTTTCCTTCTTGCTGATGAACCCACTTATAGGGACATTCCCATCTTCAATAAAACATCTTGAATTAGGAGAAACCACATACGAAAATATCCGGAACTTACCTCCCAAAGTGGAGACGCTAGAATTATTAAGTATGACTAGCTCAACTGGTGAACCCTGGATTCTACCATCATCTTTGAAAATGTTATTCATACTTGCTTGTGATATTCAGAACATAATTTTCAATGAAGGATTAGAATTTCTACAGATTGAAGGATGTTTTATAACCCAACAGATCATAGATAATTTTCCAAAATCACTAAAAACATTGATTTTGACTCACAACCCTTTGGATCAGAATATCTCCTTTGATTTCTCCAAGTTATCTATCCGAGAATTAGTGGTCTCAGATCTTAATGGTGTCACTGGTTTGATATTACCACCAAGTCTAAAATTACTTTGTTTCATTCGACACGGTGAAGGGTTCATAGATTATGGATTCGAACCTGATTATAGTCGTGTTAGAGAAGCTAGAATTCTTGATGAAACTTCAGGTACTTCTCATTGGATTGTAAATGGTGTATTAAAGAGCAATTCATGTGAGAGTATTGCCGAAGCTTTAGCAGCATTATGAATGATATCATAACCCATGGAAACTATAAGATCTCTCCAGACTCATGGAACAGAACAAACACTTATCAATATATGACAGAAATGTCGTTCCATGTCTCACTTTACTAGGACAAGAAAATTATTTGTCAAATTTATTGCCAAGGTACTGAAGGAAAAACGTTTTTGATGGATCTGATTCATTGTATTCGAACCCTATGGACCCTTTTGCAATCTCTAACACTAAAAAACCTCATAAGAATCATCTCTCTGTAGTAAGAAATAGTGGTACCTACTTTAACTCAGCAAACGGCTTATCTAAGCGAAGGATGCAAAAAGAATAAATCTCGAAGCGGACTGAAAGATTTGCGCAATATAAATTGAACTTAAATCTTCCGTCTTTTTATATCAATCATTTTAGTCAATTGAGCATTGAAAGATAACACTTGACATTGAGCCATTAGAATTGTAAGGTTATGTCAGGTATAAAGAATTCTTCTGGAAGTTTTGAAGACCTTAAAACAAGCGAAAAAGAGACTGTTCTTCATAGTGAAAAATCCAAAGAATACTACCAACAACATGAAGATGAAGTCATCAGAACTTTCAAAGTAGATATTGATACAGGTTTAAGTGATGCTCAAGTTAAGGAAAACTTTGGGAAGTTTGGAGCTAATAATTTGGGTAATGAAGCTACTATCAGTTATTCTAAGATCTTAGCCCATCAAGTATTCAATGCTATGATTATGGTGTTGCTTATATCTATGATAATTGCATTGGCAATCAAAGATTGGATCTCGGGAGGTGTGATTGCTGGAGTGGTTGGAATTAATATTATCGTTGGTTTCATTCAAGAAGTTAAAGCTGAGAAAACGATGGGTTCTTTAAGAAGCTTATCATCGCCAATGGCTAGAGTATTAAGGAATGGAGTAGAATCTAACATCAATACTGATGAAGTGGTACCGGGTGATATCATACACATCTCTGTGGGTGATACAGTTCCAGCAGATTTGAGATTAATCGAATGTACTAATTTAGAAACGGACGAAGCATTATTGACAGGGGAATCATTACCAGTAGCAAAAGACCCTCAAGTAATTGAAGGTGAATGTCCAGTTGGTGACAGGATTAATCTTGCCTTCTCATCTTCGGTAGTAGCAAAAGGAAGAGGTGTGGGTATTGTGGTAGATACTGGTTTAAGCACAGAAATTGGTAAAATCGCCGCCTCTTTACAAAATTCCGAAGACAAGCTAATTGTGAAACCCACCCCTGGTTCTGGAATTATTGGCTTTGTTAAAGCCTTTGGGAAGTCTACTTTAAATATAATCTTGAATGTTTTAGGTACAAATGTTGGTACTCCTTTACAGAGAAGATTATCATGGTTGGCTATATTATTATTCTGGGTAGCTGTTTTATTTGCCATTGTTGTGATGGCATCACAAACCTTCAGGGTAAATAAATCAGTGGCTATTTATGCTATTTGTGTAGCATTATCAATGATTCCTTCTTCTTTGGTTGTGGTTTTAACTATCACCATGGCTATAGGATCTCAGGTTATGGTTACTAAGAATGTCATTGTTCGTAAGTTAGATTCTCTTGAAGCTTTAGGAGGTATTAATGATATTTGTTCTGATAAAACGGGTACTTTAACCTTGGGTAAAATGATAGCCAGGAAAATTTGGATACCGACGGTGGGGACTTATCTAGTTACCAATTCGAATGATGTTTTGGATCCAGAAGATGGAGAAATTTCTTTCAACAAGTCAAGTCCTTATTTCATTAAGCAGTCAGATGAGGAATCTGATTTTATTCCAAATTATCCCTTGGCTAACAATTTCCGTGGATGGTTAGAAACAGCCACTTTGGCAAATATAGCTAAAGTCATTAAAAATGAAGAAGGTTGGGAAGCTCATGGTGATGCCACCGAAATAGCAATCAACGTATTCACTCAGAGAGTGGATTATTCAAGAGACAATTATATTGAAAAATATTCTTTGGAACATATTGAAGAATTTCCTTTTGATTCCAGTATCAAAAGAATGTCTGCCATCTATAAAAACTCAAAAACTGGCGAATCAAAAGTATATACCAAAGGAGCTGTGGAACGATTATTGACTATCTGTACTCATTGGCATGGAGAAGACCAAGATAATGAACAACTCATACCATTGACTCAGGAAGATAGAGAATCAATTGAGAATAACATGAATGCGTTATCATCTGAAGGTTTAAGGGTATTGGCCTTTGCCACAAGAGGTATAAGTGAAAAGGAAGAATATAAAAGGGAATTAGTTGAACAAAACTTGACTTTCCAAGGGTTGATTGGAATTTATGATCCACCAAGACCTGAAACGGCTGGCTCAGTGAAAGCATGTCATAAAGCAGGTATCAATGTTCATATGTTGACTGGGGATCATCCAGGTACAGCTAAAGCAATTGCTCAAGAAGTTGGTATCATTCCTCATAATTTATATCATTATGCTGACGATGTGGTTAGAGCTATGGTTATGACAGCTTCAGAATTTGATAAATTATCCGATGAAGAAGTTGATAATTTACCTGTATTACCTTTGGTTATTGCTAGATGTGCTCCTCAAACAAAAGTACGGATGATTGAAGCATTACATAGAAGAAATAAATTTTGTGCTATGACAGGTGATGGTGTTAATGATTCACCTTCATTGAAAAAGGCAGATGTAGGAATTGCTATGGGAATGAATGGTTCAGATGTTGCTAAAGATGCTTCTGATATCATTTTAACTGATGATAACTTTTCATCCATTTTGAATGCTATTGAAGAAGGTAGAAGAATGAGTTCCAATATCCAGAAGTTTGTTCTTCAATTATTAGCGGAAAATGTAGCTCAAGCTTTCTACTTAATGATTGGTTTGGCTTTCATTGATGATGATAGTTATTCAGTGTTCCCATTATCTCCGGTAGAGTGTTTATGGATTATTGTCGTAACTTCATGTTTCCCAGCCATGGGTTTGGGTCAAGAAAAGGCTAGTGATGATATTCTAACTCTTCCTCCAAACAAAACTATTTTCACTTGGGAAGTTATGGTTGATATGGTGGTTTACGGTACTTGGATGGCTTCTTGTAATTTAGCATGTTATTCATTGATTGTTTTCGAAATCGGTAATGGATTTTTGGGTTCTGGATGTAATGAATCTAATGGTACCGGTTGTAACCTTGTATTCAGAGGAAGGGCTGCTGCATTCTCTTGTTTCACCTGGTGTGCGGTATTGTTAGCTTGGGAATGTATCCATTTACGTAATTCCTTATTCAACATGAGGCCGAATTCAGAACTTAGTTGGTATAAGAGTTTGAGCAAGGATTTATGGGATAATAAATTCTTATTCTTCTCCATCATTTTTGCTATACTTTCAGTCTTCCCAGTGGTTTACATTCCTGTCATCAATGACAAGGTATTCTTACATGCTCCAATCGGTTATGAATGGGGATTGTCTGTTGCATTCACTGTTTTATTCATGATGGGGGCAGAATTGTGGAAATTTGTCAAAAGATGCTACTATAGGTCACAGGCTGCAAAAAACCCTGACCACGAATTGGAGAAGAACGACCCTTTCCAAAAATACGTCACCATGTCTCGTTCCAACACTTTAGTAGTTTAATAATAGGTCATATATTATGGTAAATACTGTAGTTTAGCTGATTTTTAGTCTCTAGATTCTCAAGCCAGAGCTGTTTCTCGGACTGATAGATCAACTTTTTGGAGATCAGATTTCGCACTAAATAAACCCATCACCAATGATTGAAGTATCTGTAAATGATAGGTTAGGAAAGAACGTTAAGGTCAAATGTTTGCCTTCAGACACTGTGGGAGACTTCAAGAAAATCTTATCTTTACAAATCGGAACTGAGTGGGAGAAAATCGTTTTAAAGAAAGGTAATCAAGTATATAAGAACCATATCACATTAGATGATTATGAAGTGGGTAATGGATTTAATTTTGAATTATATTACTCCTAAGTGATTATTTCCGAAGTATAAATCAATGAAATAGAACTCAATAAACGAATTATGCATTAAAAAGACTATAAAAAATAATCCACTGATTTTGATTTATAAAAACTATCAACATTATCATTACCATTAACCGATTTACCATTTATCGTATCGTCATCATTTTCAGGAGATGCTTCGAAAACATTAAAGATTTGACCATCGACCAGATCTTTTTGAAAACTGTTCTTACCATAATTAGTGTGAAGGATTTCCAAAACACTAGCTTTATTACCACATCTATAACAATAATTAGGAGCAGACCAAACGGTTAAACATTTGCCTTCCCAATAATTGACATAACCTTCGTTACACAATTGATGGGCTCTTATCAATTGTACAACATCGTTCTCATGGCAGAATTTATTCATAACTTCAGCGCCAAAAAGATAACCTGCCCCTCTTGGACTTAACTTAAAATCACGAATCTCAAGATCAGGATCTGACCACACTAAATCTGCCATTATTCCATCATGAGGGATTTCTCTAAATCTATCAACTGTTCGTATTTGATCTAATATTTGACAACTGGGTGATAATCCTCCATGAGTTGCAAAAATCTTATTGTCTATAACAGCTCCTAACGGGAGATAATCAAACAAATCCGTAATATATTGCCATACTCTTGAACTACCATTATATTTGTTTAATACTTCAGAGTAAAATCCGTAATTGGTGGTGATTGTTCTGGATTCATGATTCCCTCTGATTAAAAAAATTCGATTGGGATACCTTAATTTCAATAATATTAATAAACAGATAGTTTCAATAGAATAATAACCTCTATCCACATAATCCCCCAAGAAAAGATAGTTCGTATGAGGAGGCAGACCTCCAATTTTAAAGATTTCAAGTAAATCATGAAATTGACCATGAATATCACCTACTAATGTTATAGGACTAGATATTGTCATTATATTGGGAGTTTCTAATAATTGAACTTTCAAGTCATGACAAATAGATTGGATTGTTTCTTCAGGTAGTAGCTTGGCCGGTTTGAAGTCCAATAACTGCGTTAAACAATAATCTAAATCATTGGATATCGTCATAGTGTGGGAGATCAGATCGCGAAAGATTTTCAGAGATGGTAAAAATCGAACCTATCTATTTTAAGTGTTGTTTAATAACAGTGGATAAGATTTCTAAACCACGTTCAAGTTGTTTGTCAGGGATATTTAAAGCTGGAATGATTCTAATGACATTCATACCGGCACTTAAAATCAATAAACCTTTACTTCTACAATCTTCAATAATCTTAGAGATATTGATTGATTCATCAAATTGTAAACCTAATAATAAACCTTTACCTTTTAAGGTAACTTTATCATAAGGTTCGATTAATTTTGATAATTCAGAAGTTAATTTTTCGGATTTATCATTAACAGCAGTTAAGAATTCTTCATCAGCAATGGTTTCAACAACATGACTACCAATTTTACTTCCTAAAGGATTACCTCCATAAGTAGTGCCATGATCACCAACATTAAGAGCACTTTGGATTTTATCATTGATCATAGTAGCACCAATAGGGAACCCATTACCTAAAGCTTTGGCCATAGTAACAATATCAGGATGAGCTTCTTTTGGTAAATATGAATGAGCCCATAATTTACCTGATCTTCCTAAACCACATTGAATTTCATCGTAAATTAATACTGCATCATTTTCTTCACACAATTTTTTTAATTCACTTAAGAACTCGGTATCTGCTGGAGTAACACCTCCTTCACCTTGAATTGGTTCTACTATGACTCCACATGTCTTGCTACTAATTTTAGCTTTGACACTCTCTATATCATTAAGTTTACAAATTTGAACTCCAGGAATTAATGGAGAAAATGGTTCTTGGTATTTTGGATTAGGTGTTACAGATAAAGCACCCATTGATCTACCATGGAAAGCATTTTCAAAACAAATAATTTCTACTTTATCTTGACTAACAGTTTTACCATACTTTCTGGCAAATTTTAAAGCAGCTTCATTAGCTTCAGTTCCTGAGTTACATAAAAACACTTTGGATGCATCATGCATTCCTCCACTATTAATGGTCTTATCAATCAATTTAGAACTCAATTCCCCAGCGTATAAGTTATGGAATAAGTTTGAGCAATGTATTAATGTTGAACTTTGACCAGAAATCAATTCAGTGATTTGATCATTGGAGTGGCCTAAAGCAGTAACAGCAATTCCAGCTATAAAATCAACATATTCATTGTTTTCTAAATCATATAATAATGACCCTCTACCATGAGTAAAGATAATATTTGGTCTAGCATAAGTGGTAGCAGTATAAGGATTGATAATTGTACTGATATATTTACCAGTTTGTGAATCATCTGAAGCTTCAACTATTGGTGCCAATACTCTTTTAGTACTATGTAAACCCCTAACAAGTCTTAATGATGTAGGAATATACTTTAACATGTTGCAAATTTGTTCAGATTTTTCACATCGCGGTTGACTCATCTGACTACCTTTTTGGGAGAGTAAGAAATTGGTGTACGGGTGTGTATGAATATATGAAAAAAAAAACTATATAAAAAAGAAGGTGTTTAACGATCAATATCGATAGTGAGTTCAAGTTTGAACTTATTTTGTCTTCTGAAAAGTTTCAGTTTGATCAATTTGTTGACTTCATGTTTAATCATCGATTCTTCATCTATTGAACTTCCGGGCATATGGAATTTAATACCAATAACGAATATTTCATGATTGAATTTGGTAACGAAGAATTCTTTTGTGGAGTATGTAGACTTGAAATTATCTAAGTTTTCTATATCGGTGATGATGGAAAGTTTCAATTTACTATACTCATAATCAGATGTGGGATATGATAAAAGTAACATTCCTCCTAATGCTTGTACTAGTTTCCAGCCTGTTAAAACAAACAATAAGGAGATGACCAATGAAGCCAATTCATTAATATCCAACTCGAACTTTTCCAGGATGATTTCGGCGATTATTGGTGAAATCAATAAAAAGGTAGCATACGATAATGTTAAAATGTAAGTGGGATTTTTGGTGAGAATGTTAGTGAGTTTATTGAACCTTTCAAATTTATCCACTTCAGGGAAATTCTCGTCATTGATCAAACCAATATTACTGATCCCTCTTGAATGACCTTTAATAATTTTATTGATCTTCTCTGAAGCCAAGATAAATTTAGATGTTACCAAAGTTATTCCTATAGTCATTATTAAAAGAACAAAGTATATCATGTTATGGCCAGATTCAGTTGATGAATGTATATGATGAGAATGGCCACTTTCTTCGATTTCCATTTCAAACAAGAATACAATGAACTCTTCAAAGATATGACTCAATAAATCAAAGCCTACCATGATCAAGGACGCTCCCAAAGAAAACCCAATCAAAACTTCCAATCTGCTCAAACCAAAGGGGAAAACTAATGATGAATTATTCCATGCTTCGAAATTACTCATTATATCTACAAATACTATCACCAATCCTCCTAAGGAATCATAGAAAATTAAGTGAGCCATAGTACCTAATTCAGGAACATTAATCCCAGTTCCAATTAGGAAAACTGTTAATGATAAAAGAAGATGGATCATCGACCAACCTAATTTATATTTTTGATTAGAATTGATGGACTTTACCGCCTCTTTGAATGTGGGGATAGGATACTTATCAGGGATAATCTGTTGTTGATGGTTATATGGGGATGAAGATGCAGTGGAATTGAAAGAATCGGGTTCTTGGAAATAATTCATTGAAACTGATGAATGTTTATACTTATGTCCTTTACGATGTGCAGGTTTGACCGTCAAATGTCCTGTAGTACCATTATTCAGCATGACTTCTTGAGGTTTGAAATTGAAAGGTTGATAGTTCTTGGTTGGTGAAGACAGCCTTCTGACGGGAGATTTTGAACGGAAGTGTCTATTCATTCTTGTGGGTGATGAAGATCTAGTAGGTGATGAGGATCTTGAAACATTAGGAGGTGCCATTATTGGAGGAGGAACATATTGATTAGATCTTCTACTTGTTCTTACTTGAGGAGACTTTAAGGGACTATCAAAGTCATCAGCAAAAATAATGGCCGATTTAGGTCTTGTGTTTGTACTGGGTCTTAAAGCTTGGGTGGGAGAATTTAAAGAAGAAATGGATAATCTTCTACTATGACCAAAGTTTACAATATTATTGGAAACTGGAGTACTTGTCTCTGAAGCATAATCAACATTACCCCCAAAGGAAAACCCTGATGGACGTTCAAACTCATCATCTTCAGCTATGGAATCAGTTGAGAAATTAGCCGAAGCTAAATATCTCAAATCTCTAGGTTTTTCGAAATTCTTCACTTTATTCACTAATGGAGATTCATCAATTGAATCATCAGACTCATATTCATCATCATTACCACTTGGTTGGTAGAGATATGGGTCTTCTAGTTTCTTGGACATAAGGCTGGAGAACGCGCGGTATCTAAATTTAAATGCGAGGTTATGCTGGAAATATGTATTTAAAAGAGGGGGCCCATCATGGAGGATTTTGTTTTGTTATGTAAGCATCGAATAACAGTAAATTAATACGACCATTATTCAAGTCCGTTGAAGTGTTTTCCAAGATTTCAAAACTCTTGATTTTAAACTTACTAGAAGAAGTTTTAGGATGATTCTCACTTAATAAGTTGAAGGGTGAAAACGTATCATTACTCTTGTTAAATAATATCAAATTGTTGTTGTTAATCCGATGATAATCTCCACCTTTTTCTAATTCCTCCCTAGTTAACATCAACGAAGATTCAATCCGTGTTACGTCAAGATACTGGTGTAAGGTATTATCACCATTATTGAAGAAATCAGGTAAATCAAACACCGATAACAATTTTTCATATTTAGTGAAATCAGGTAAAATGTCATGAACTTCAACTTTGTCTGTTGTCAAATCTTTGGGTGTTTTGGAGATATGTTGTAATAAAAGGTTCTTAAAAATCAATATCAAATCGTATAGAAGAATCTTCAATCTCTCCATTTTTGGAGATTGCAATTGTTGACATTCAAGTAATTTTTTCAAATTTAATGCAAATTGTAAACCATTAGCTTCATCGTTCAACACATAGTTGACAATAGAATTCTTATGAATGATTAAAATCCTCAAAAAGATGGATAATAAGTAATCAAAAGATTGGCATACTTTATCACTGGAAAAATAGTTCAACTGGTTAAGGTATTGCAACAAATTATGGAAAAACTCTTCATTGATTTCGATATTTATCGAAGAAACAGAGAATTTCTTGAAATAATCATAAATCACAGGTAAATAATCAATTCCATTTCTTTCACAAGTAAACTTATTACCATCAAATACTAAACTTTTGAATAGTATTGATTCGATGATTTTAGAAATGGTGATTTTCTCATTGATAGGTACTAAAGTAAACAATTCTCCGAAAAATGAATTACTTAATGAAAACTTGACATGAAGATTATCAAGAATCTTCATCACAAGATTTTTCAAATTATTGAATTTCTCTTCATCAGTTAAGAATTTGAAATCTTTGATGATGATGAGTCTGATTAACATTTGATATAAAGGTAAATTGAATTCATGGATATTCAAATCATCTTTGAAGAAATCTTGGAATGTTTCAATCTTCAATCCCGATACTTTATCGAGAAACTCAATAATTTGAGGTTCACTGAATTTAAGTAGATTATCGAAAAGTTTCCTTGATTTCTTAAATACCAAATTACTAAAGAATTTGATTATCTTATCATTGTAGCTGTTAACAGGAACTTTACCAAGTACTTCAAAAACCGTATTGGTCTTCATAAACACTTCTCTATTCAATTCTAACAATAAACAACTATCTTCACCTATGAGAAGTTTCAACAAGATATCATTATAGTCAACAGGAATATCTAGATTATTGGAACATGATTGGAAGATAGAATAGATCAAATTGAAATCAATGATTTCGAATTTATTCATCTTCATCAATGTGAAAGTCATCTTACTAATGATTTCTTCGTTACCTTGTAAAACTTCCAGTTCTTCTGAATGTTGAACTTTACCTAAAGCTTTGGTGGTAAAGAAATTCAAGCATTCAAAAAATGCAAAGTTTCCTTCATTATCTATCAACGAGTTTTTGGTATTTACCAACAATTTGATTAATTGTATCTCTTGTTTGTCATTCAACTTGTTGTAATATTTGAAACAGTAATCCAATAAAATCAACAAAATCTTTTTATTGTTGGTTGGTTCATTAATCAACTGATCACTTAATTTCAAATCCTTTAAGATTTCAATGATTTCATTGGTTTTCAAATAATTGAAAGGTTTATTGACAAATAAATTCACCTCATTCAAAAACCCATCGATAGTTTCATTGCTATCGGCATTAATGTCTTTGGTATTGTTTAATTTCATCGGAGAATCAACAGTATTCTTCGAGAATATGAATTGTGGTATAGGAATCTTAATCTCTGGTTTCTCAATTACAGTGTTCTTATTTGGGGTGGCCACTTCAATAGATTTACTTATAAACTTCCAAACATCTTTAAAATTGAAATAGTCAAATTCATCCTTGGTCAAATCTTTATAATTATTGAAGATTAGCTTGAACAATTCGTAACCGAAATTGGTCTCATTATTGGATAAGGTCTTTATGAGTTTGAAATGTTTGATAGTAAGACGTGATAAAATGTACAATACGTCTAGGTCTAGGACAATGATTCTACTTTCATTCTTTAACAAGCTTTTGACTATGATTCGGAAGAATACTGTTAAATTATCTGAAATGGAATAATATTCATATAATTTGATGATGCCTTGTAATTTGATATGAATCAACTTGGGCGACGTCGATATGACAGACTTAATCTCATCAGTGATCCAATTGACCAATAGATATTTGATCCCCACGGGCAGATCAATAAAAAAATCGAAATCATAAGTTATAGGATTGTTGAATTTGAACTTTTCGAGAATTTCGTCATTCAAAATTTCTTTACCTTTATCAAAAAGGTCGTTAGCATTGAAATGTCCATTGAAGTCCCATAGTTTAAGGATATTCTCGGTTTGTTTATTCTTCAACACAGGAAGATTCTTCAACATTTGTAGATGAAGATCGATTTGAGGATTAGTTAAGGAACTTTCAACAGGCTGACCAGGAGGTAAATAAAAGATTCCTGAAGCTATCAATTTTCTTAAGTATGACGATATGGTGATGGTTTTCAATTGGTATAACTCATTAAACAATACAAAAAGACTATTGAGGTTGATTTCATCCAATCCATCATTATATGAAAAGATTGTATCCAATATTCCATCTTCAAGTATTGATTTCACCGCTACTGACTTATCTGACTTGGTAATGTTTTTAATGAACCCACAAACCATCAAAATGTTCTCATTGGATTTACTGGGATCTCTATATTTACTGATACACCACATTATTACCACTGATAAATTCAACTTCCAATTATCAGAGTCCTCTTCAACGTTTGGTTTAATCAAATTCCCCAATTCTTCATTCAAATTGGATTTATCCAAATAGTCAATGATTCTTAGAACATCATCATTCTTTCTATTGATGAATATTTCACTTTCAATGGATTCCAAGTTAGTGGATTCTGTTGACACCGAATTAGCAGACGGTGGTAAAAATGGCTCGTTGAAAGTGCTTTCAAATGGAGTAAAAGTATTGGGAAAAGAACCAGTTCTTCTGTGACCCGTGGTAAATGGTGATAAAACGTTATTTTCTTCTTTAGTATTGGGATTACCTCTTTTCATACTCAACATCAAACTTTCATTCCTATACAGAATCAATTGAAGCTGTTTCTGAATTCCTTCTATTTCCTTAACTTCTTTATCCTTCTTTCCCCCTAAAAGGATAGAGTATAAAACCTTCCCCACCAAAATCCAGTAATTGGGGATGATGAAGATATTAGAATTCATAGCAAATAATGATTTGATTATTCTTGAAATCTGTTTCAATATACTTTCTTTCAATTCTGCTGAAAGCAAATGATCAATCACAATATTACTCCTAGGTTGTTTATTGTTGAACACCGGACTTCTTTCAATGAAATAATAATTAAGTAATAATACTTCTGCCAAATCTTTGCTTAAGTAATCCAACTTGATGATATCTAACCAAAAAATCTTCACAAGGATCAAAGCCACTAATCTTTGACCGTAGTTCAAGTCTAATGTTTTAGTAAGTTTCTCATATTCTTCATTATTAGTTATTTCATCATTATCATCATCGTTGAATCCTGCGTTGGAGTTAATTATCAATTGGATGATACTATTATTATCTAAAAGTAGCCCATCTTTGAAAAATCGGATAATCAATGTCAAAAATAAATCTTTATCGATTAAATTTTCGATGTATAAAGTTTGGATATATTTCAAAAGATAATTCAACTTTGACATTGATTCTTGTTTCTTTTCAGCATTGCTAATGGTGTTGAACTCCCGAGAAAATCTATATAAGTAATCAATTACTTGTTGTGTCCATTCTTGTAACCATTGAATCTCTTGATTCTCGAGTAAATTATCACTACCTTGGAAATTAGGGGTCTGACTGATTTTCATTTGAACTTTTTTCCTTATAAGTAAAGCATCTCCATAAAGAACACATTTAGTAAACCAAATAGCTCTCATATTGGGTACTTGATTTGAACATAGGATATCAAGTAAGATCTTATTTTTTATACCATGAGGTAATCTGGTGGCAACTTTACTTAATGGAACAGAAGGATCTGCCAATTCTTTGATCCAGGCATCTCTTTTCAGTGATGTTAAAGTTACCTTTGGTGGTAATTTGAAATTATTGGATTCATAATTGATTTTATTGATAGTCTCATTTCTGGTCTTATATACACTTGCTAAATGCTGACTCAACTCTTTCAAGATTTCAGCACAATTTTCACTACTGGAGAATATCGTTGTTTGGATCAAATTCCTGGCGGAATAGTATTCATTAGATACTTGAGGTGCTTCGAACAATCCTTTATTTAAATACATGGAATTGTCCATTCTCTCTTCTTCTTCGATCGCTGACGGCGAAGGAAGTTGTGTGTGATCTTTCCAAGGCTGGAAATCAGGGTATGTTAAATCACTTGATAATTTCCCTCTTTCTTGAGTCAATTGATCTTTGGTTTTAGTATCTAAAGGGTAAATCAATTCGGGTTGATTTAATTGATATTTCAAGGAATTCAATTCATCTTTGGCAGTATTTGAAGGGTTATATCGATTACTAGACGCCAAAAGACTATTCCTTTTGCCATTCTTTGACATCTTTCTCGGAATCTTCTGATTTTAAATCAAAGCTTTTTATGACTATTCTATACCAAAAATAATTTGGTCGCACTTGATGGTTTTAGTGCGGGATAGAGGGACAGGGTTTAAAGAGGTTTATCTATTTTAGGGAACAATTTTTACATACTTACCAATCATCGTCATCGTCTTCTTCTTCATCGGAATCTCTTGTTACTTGCCTTTTCTTCAAGGCGTCGGCAATTGATCCCGCTAAAGTTGTCTCTTCATTCTTTTTAGCGAGTAATGCTCCAGCAAGACCATTACTTATATTAGACCCATTGGCTGTTCCGTTGGTAGTGACAGGAGTAGATTGGGTTGCTGGTGGCGCTGGTGGTGGAGGAGGAGGAACACTCTTACCTCCGAAAATACTAACAGGTGGCTCACATTTTTCCATGAATGATAATGGTGCCCAACCTTCTTTAGTTTCTTCTATATCTTTAACCAAACCCCATTGACCATTTTCTTGGGCCACGTACACAACATCACCTTTAGCTAAAGGAATTGATCCCGCTACCGATCCATCGTAATCGAAATTGACTTTGTAAGTTGGATATTTAGGGGTTTTGGCTGCTGATAATCCTGATGGTGGTGGAGGTGGTGCTGATTTCTTTTGTGGAGGTGGTGCAGGTTTTTTGGCAGGTTTTTGGGCTTGTTGAACGACTGGCTGTGCTGGTTGTGTTTGAGCAACTCTTGGTTGAGGTGGAGGTGCTTTCCTGGCTTTAACTGGAGGTGCTGGTGGTTGAGTTTGTTGTTGAACTGGTTGGACTGGTTGTTGGTAAGTTGGTTGTTGGTAAGCAGGTTGTTGATAAGTTGGTTGTTGATAAGCTGGTTGTTGACGACTTGGTTGAGCTTGACTAGAAAATCCATTTCTGGCTCCTCTATTGTAATACTTACTATAATCAACTTTACTGGAAACTCCTCTTGGTCTTTTAGGGTTAACACTGGTTGCACTCAATCCTTGATCAATCGTTACAGTACCGGATTTATAACTATCGCTGTTCTTTGGACATTGACCAATGACAAACTTAATGGTATGAAATTTACCTGGCTTCTTTTGATATTCAATTGTTTCACCAATCTTGATGGTCAAACCGGGATTAGCTCTCTTCAAATGAGCTACTAATTCAGTCTTGAAATCTAAATTGATGAAAATATCAGGGGTAGTTTGAGTTGGAGAATGTAAAGATAAAGCTATCCAATTATCTTGGTAGCTGGATAATCCCACATAATTTAATCCACCTACTGGTAAAGTGAACTCTTTTTGGAGTTGAAGTTTTCTTTCAACTAAAACTTCGGCAACTACGTAGAAGGAATTTTTTGTCATGATAAAGATTCTTGATAATCTCTTGGACGATCTACCGAATTTGGAGATAAGAATTTCTCCTTTGGCAGAGAATATCACTGTTTCATTAATGGAAAGTTGTTTGGTTATGAAGTTACCATAACCTGAAGAATCATTACATCCAAGATAATCTCCCATAAAAGCTCTGGATCCCAACATGGAGAATCTTCTTCTTTGTTTCCTATTTTGTAATAACCCATTACCATAATCTCTGAACTGCTCAAATTTATTTCCATGCTTTTTGTTTCTCCAGGCTCTTTGCATAACAATAGCAGCATCTTCCTTTCTCTTAAGGTATCTTCTCCAAGCTCTTTGAATTCTAGCAGCCATATTATGCCAATATTTATCTCTCATATCTTCTAAAGCGAATAAAGTTTCTGGAGTTTTGATAAATACTTTAGTTGTACCTAATTGATATTCACTATCAGGAATGAAACAAGATTTCAAAATTTCTTTAACAGCAGAAATATCATCACCTCTCCAGATGTAATCACCAGCATAACCTGTTTTAGGTGATAATAAATAGAATCTTTGAACGAATTTTTCGAAAGTTGTACGGTAAGCAAACCCAGCTCTACGAATTCTGACATTTTCCTTTAAACCTAAATATTTAATTTGATGTAAAACTTGCGAATTATCGTATTCCTTAGGTCTTTTGGTTTGATTTGGTTTGATGGTTCTTATATATGATGGTTGACATTGAGATAAAGTATCAACTAATAAATTAGCACTTCTTTTGATCTTATCAGAAGCAGTTTCTGGTCTCTTCTTATTATCAATCAAACCAGCCAAGATATCTGGTGGGAACAATACACTGGTGATAAAGGAATTCTTAGATGTTGATAACAACTCTAATAAATCTCTTAACATAGCATCTTTATTCTTATCAGTCATACCACCAACTTCATAAGTAACATCACCAGCATAATGTTTAATAATAAACTTACCTTTACGGTCTTCAAAATGTTTATTGCTGGATCCAACCATAGCTAACCTTTGAGCAAACACTTGATCAGCAGCATCAGAATCAGCATGTGCTGTCTTAACCGAATCATTTAATGCAGCAAATAAACCTGGTTGAGGTCTGGTGGCTTCAATTAAATCACAAACCACTTTATTATTGAAATATTGAATAGGTGTCCATTTGATTTGTTCTTGAACATATTCATCTTGCTCTGCTTTTAAAGTCAATTGAATGAAAATTTGTTGTAATTTTTCATTAACATAATTGATACAAATTTGTTCAAAAGAATTGTGTTCGAAAATTTCAAACCCATAGATATCTAAAATCCCAATGGATTTCTTTTCAACTGCTTCGGCAGCTCCCTTTAATGATTGGTTGACTCTTTCAACGATCCATTCGAATAAATTGTTATAAATACCTTTTGCTAAGGCATCTCTTACAGCAGTGGCTTGAACAATATTTAATGGGGAATGATAAGTTGAACCTCTTCTCATACCATGACTGGTTTGAACGATTTTTTCAATGATTGATTTCTTTAATGTTTCACCGTCAGTTTCCAATAAATAAGCAACGAAATTTGTTACACTTTCATCTCTAATGGCTGCATTACCTTGATCATCTTCAACAAATGAAATATTCCCAATCCATAAAATTGATGCTAACATTCTGAAAATATGATCTTGTTCTTGAGCACTTAAACCAATGATCCCCATAGCTTGTAGAGTTTCTTGAAAATCCTTAGTATCATTAACTCCATCAACACTTACACAACCAGCAGCTGATGTATAAATATAAGTTTCAGGACCTTGGATTCCATATTTTTGTTGATATTCGGGAGGACAATTCTTAGTAAATTGATAAAAGATATGGAAATTACGTTCATTGGTAATTTGACTAACCACTCTTTGCTTCTCCAATAAATAATTGGTGATATGAGCAGCAATTGGTTGATGAGTTGATGGATTGAAATAAATCTCCAAATATTTCCCATGTCTAGAACTATTATTATTTCTTAAAGTTTTGGCACAACCAAAACTTTCTAATAAAGGATTAGTAGCCAAAACCATATCTTTGATTCTTGTAATCCCACTATCAGTTTTAGTTTGATCATCAACGGAAACATTCGCTATATATTGCATGATTTGTTTTGCAGCTTCGGTTTTACCTGCCCCTGATTCCCCTGAAATAATCACACATTGGTTATCTCCATAAGATTTCAAATTATAATACATTGATTCAGCAATAGCGAAAACATGAGGTGGTACTTCCAATCTATTTTTCCCCTTATACTTAGTTAAATTCTCTTGAGTATAAATACCTAAATCTTGGAATGGATTCACAGAGATCAAAACATGCCCAATGTAAGTATAAATGGTATTATTCATGAATCTTTTACTTAAATTTTCATTTATAGCTTCATCAGTGATCTTTGATAATAAAGTCAAATCTGAAACTCCCACTTCTTTCTTTTTAGTGATATCAAATTCCGCTTTCTTAATTCCACCCGACTTTGAAGGTGCTGCTTGATCCTTAGTTCTTCCTCTTCTTTTAACCACTGGCATAATTGAGTTAAACTTTAATGTATTTCCACTATGGTTATCGAGATTACTTCTTGACAAAACTGCGAAAACCTTTGGGGGCTAAATCGGCCCATTACGTAATCAGGATAGGAGGCTGCAAAAAAAAAAACCAGAAAAAGGCAAAAAAAAATGATCATTAACATTAAAGAAATCTATACACTTTTAAAGGTTGGGGTGGAGGTGGAGGTGGATTAATGAGACCAAATTCTGATCATTTTGTCTTTCCCTCCACTGGCAACTTTCTTACCATCTAAACTCCAATCAACAGCGAAAACCTCATCAGCATGACCTGGTAAATCAACTACTAATTTCTTGGTTCTAATATCCCAAACTTTTAATGTGGTATCTTTGGAAGAACTGACTAATAATCTATTATCAGCTGACCAAGCAGTTTGATAAACTGGTGCCACGTGACCTCTTAAAGTTCCGATGAAATTACCTTTCAAACCATCCCAAATTTTGATCGAATTATCGAATGATGAAGATACGATAAATCTTCCATCAGGTGAGAATGAAACATGATTGACTAATTTTTGATGTCCTGTCATTCTACAGATTGGTTTACCTGATTTCAAAGGTTCCCACAAATACATAGTAAAATCATCACTTGCTGTAACTACTCTTTCATGAATTGATCCGCTTAATTTGGCGACTTTTTCATATTCTTTGATGGCTCTGGTTCTTAATTCTTCTGGAGATAAATCTTTGATGGAACTTTTATTACTAGTATGATCGAATCCACCTTTCCTTATAACATAATCAGTTGATAAAGCTAAATGATTAATCCAATGACCATGACTTTTTAAAGTTTGGATACATTTACCTCTAGCTGAAATATCCCAAGCTTTGATTGTTTTATCATGAGATCCACTATAGATGATATTTGAACCTGACCATTTAATACATGAAACAGAATTGGTATGACCACTCATAGTCAATTCACAAACTCTACTTGAAGTATCCCAAACCTTGATAGTGGAATCTTTAGATGCACTTGCTAAACGAGGTGAACTTCCAACTTTAACTAAATGTAAAGGTTCCCAGGTTAAACTTGTAATCCATTTACCATGACCAGTTAATGCTTTACCAAGAGGTTTTCCAGTATCAGCTTCCCATAATCTTACAGTATTATCCATGGATCCGGTGGCGATCATCGTTCCACATGGTGAATATGATACACATAATACCCAATTGGTATGTCCTGATAATGTAGCAACCGGTGTGTGGGTATTACAATCCCAAATTCTTGCGGTTGAATCACCAGCTCCAGAACACATTCTACTTGAATTATTAGGAGAAAATTGACAACATAAAATGGTGGATCCATGACCTGCAATGGCAGAACTTGACCTTGTTACAGGTTTGACTTTGAAAATGGCTCTAGGTGTATAAACCAAAGTCATAAAATCTTCTGTAGTCTTGATTTGAGGTTTCAAAACTGATGTATAAAGATCATCCTTAATATCAATCATCTCTGTCTTAGACTCATCTTTGTCATTCTTATTAAGTAAAGCAAATGTATACGGTGTTGGGTCATCGGAAGTTCCTTGTATTTGATTCAAAAGTTCTTCTAATTGTTTCTCAGTTATGGCACCAGGAACTCTGATTGAACCTCCAACGGATTCACCAGTATCCGATGCTTCGAATTTTATTAAGATGTTAGGTAAATCCTTAGGAATCAACGGCACTTCTTGTACTTGTTGAGCTTGTCTCTTTTGTTTTTTCGATGGTGGTGGTATAACGGTAGCCATATTAAAATCGATGAGATGAGATTTTTTGAGATGCGATTTAGATATTTATTCTATACAATTTGATTTTTTTCACTTGATTGGGTAGGAGAAGAATATTTCTTCAAGTAAGCCAAAGAGTAGATCACAAATATGAAGGCAACAATTACACCTAACCCATTAATGGCAAAGGCGACATGGAAAGAATTTCTTATGGCTTGGGTTAAAGTTTCAATTGACTGCGGCTTACCTATTGTGGTATAAACTTCGGCATTAGTACCGATAGCAAAACCTATAGTCACAGCCAAGAATGCTGCAGTTAAAACAATTGATGAAGCAGCTCCAACTTCCGTATTTGGTACTAGGGACAGTAAAATGATTCCCCCCGTAGGTAAACTAAAATCTATAGCAAAAGGCAATATTATCACTGAAATGAAGTTCTGTGCCCAGTATGTTTGATGTACGGGTCTGGTACCAACAAGAATATTACTTACCAAGAATGAACATAAGGACACCAACATTAATAAAGGTACGGGGAGTTTCTGGAGCGAAATAATTGCTAAGGTAACTGAGATGATACCTGATGGAATAACTGGTAGGTAATGTAAAGCTGCAACTACAGGGGTTGAACCAACAATCAATTGATCGAATCTTCCTGTATTGAATAACCAAATTCCAAATCCAGCCCACCCACAAAGCATACATAACAAAACAAAAGCTGTTTCTGATGTGAAAATTCCTCTGTGTATCAAAGGATATTTACAGAATTTTATTTCATAAATCATACATGCACCAAATAATAAACATCCAACGATAAATATAATATATGTATAAGGATTTTGCTTCCAACCAGCAGCAGCTCCTTGTACCATCATTGCCACTAATATTATTATACTTGGTGAGTATAAAGCCGTTCCTATAAAATCAAATGGAACTCTTTCTGTACAATAGGTATCGACTCCATCAGGAATAATCAAGTAATTGGCTATACTCAATAATATAGCTATTATGGCAGCTATCCAGAAAGCCCAAGGCCACCAAATTCTTTCAGCAACAACAGCACTTACCATTAATCCTCCGAAAAATCCAATCATGGCCGAAGTACTAAACGTAACCATCATGATCAATCTCTTGAAACTGGTAGCTGGATATATGGTATTAGCTAACAGTAAGAAGTTTGGTAATGTGCAGGCAAAACCTATACCTGTAACACCTCTAAAGATGGAAAAGTATACAAGATTCTCAACATAACCTGTAAATCCAACCATCAAAGCTCCGAAACCAACTATAGCATACCCAATGACAATTAATCTTTTGTACGTATATAAATCACCTAATTTACCGGCAGGCAACATGAAAGCGGCGGTGGTTAACGGCATTGACAATGCAAGCCATGATTGTTTACCTAAATTCTCTTCAATATGGAAAAATCCTGGTAGAGGTAACAGTGGGACTTGAGATAAAGTCACCTGTACCATAATCTGTACCATTGCTACCATGAAAAATAAAAGAAGTTGTCTTATACCTCCTAAATGTTCATATCTTTCCAGTTGTGAATCCATAGTCTTTTCACTATTCTGTGTTTCTTGATCTTTGTTCATGATTTGAATAGAATATGCAATTTCACTGTATAATCGTTCAATGCTTTAGAAAATTTTTATACAGAATGAACTTAGACATAGTGGAGGTTACTTTACTTATATAGTGTAGAGACTTAGGTTATGTACACTCTTACCACCGAAATTGCCCGACGATACAATTACTCAGATGTAACTTAATGATCAGCAAGTCTACAGTGTCTGGGCATCCAAAATAAATAATCGGGTAAACTCAATAGTTTAGTTTCTTATTTATTACCAATATTACTAAAAGGATGAAAATTAATAAAGTTCGCAGCCAAAAAGGAAAGTTTTAGGATGTCTGACTACCGAAAAGTTCCACCACACGGCTATTTACAGGTGAGTTAGAAAGATCTCTATAATAATGAGTCGGGGATTTGGGAATCCTCGACTATTTCTTGATCTTCTTCTATGATGTTGTCTGATTTAGTGGGGACGTTTTTTTCTGGGAGTTGAACTGTTTTCTGAGTCAGGCTGACAATTTGACTGGCAGCAAATGTCGGGGACGACGGAATATCTTCATTTAGTAATTGCGAGGCTGTTGGTAATATCTCCGAAGGAATTTCGTCTATACTTGGCAAATTTAGGTCTGAAATGGCCGAAACTCCAATATCTGAAGGAATTTGTGAGGACGATGATACTTGAGATTGAGTTAAATCTACGAACCCTCCATCGATATGTTCAAAATTGAATATGTCATTGTTTATTTTTAACCAATAAACTGGCTTTCTTTTGATGGCTTTCTTACTATTCTTCTGGCAGTGAAGTGTTTTATGATACCAGTCTTTGAAGAAAATCGCCCGTTCTGTGATAAACGAATTAAGGGGGTTTTCTAATGACATTTGTGATCCCATAGGTTTATCAAGGTTAGAATTTGAACTTTTAAGAACCATTCTACCTTTGTTGGGTTTTCTAGGTTCTGGAGTTATCTGTGAACTGTCGAATGACCTTCCTGATCTTTGACTGGATTCGATATTAGATGAATCCATTGATATTCGTGGCTTGAAGGCCTCGAATCTGGAATCAAGTTTCCCTGTGATAAATGCTATCAGATTGTATTTGAAGCAAACATTGGTCATTAAGTTCATTATAAATCTTACATGATTATTGAATTTGGTCAAAGGGCTTTCTCTGATCAAATGAGAATTTTCGGGGATTTCAACTATATCTGGCTTTAGACCTTCAATCTCTTGTCTTTCAGCTTGTGCTTCAATAGTGTCAAGGTTGAAAATATGATTTCTTAGCATTGATTCTTGATATATTTGAGATAATTCGAGTTTGTAAAAATCTAAAAGATTATGGAAATTATCGAAAATAAATAACGTTTGATTGTCAACTTCTGATTTCATGTAATTATTGAGTAATATTATCAAATTAGTGACGGTATCAACTTTTAAGTACTTCAATTGACCATTATCGATCCAATTTTGTTGAAATTTCTTATTCTCTAGTATATGATCGAGGGGGAAATTCCCTGACAAACTTACTATCACCACATTCCCTGGATATGTGGTGTTTTCCAAGTGTTTGATCACGAAATTACTCAAGATCAAGTACACTGACACGTTATTTGGAACGGTTTGAAAATCATAGATCCCGCTTATAAAATGTTGTCCAAAATGCTTATCATCTACCAGCGGTATCAGAGAATTCAAATGGTCAAATCTTGGTCTATGTTTGATATCTCTTAAGGATGTCATTGACCTTGATCTCGCCAAATCTTCACCACGTCTAAAGCTGCAGTTTATCTTAAAGATCCTGCGTAACGGACAGTGCGATTTTTTTTTTGGTCAGAATAATCCTTAACAAAGTTAAGAGCATAAAGTATCAATCATTTTGTATAATTAGTTATTTATAGATACTCGTACAATGCCTAATAGTAATAGTAACCATTCTAGTACTTCGGGCCCAACACGAGAACGGTCGAATTCTTCCCTGCTGCAACCAACAAATAGAGCAATAATGAGCCATGCAGCTACATCAAGAAAGCCATCATTACTAAGGAATCATTCTTCTTCATATAATGTCAATCCTAACAGTCCAAACATTCATGGACATAGTGGTTCTCATAGTCATTCAGGATCGGGGGTAAGGTCTTCATCAACGGGATCTAATAATGGAGATTCAACTTCTGCTCATTCACCTCCAATGTATCCCAATCCACCATCGAAAAAATCATCAAACTCAGAGTCTGCATCTTCAAGTAAGAGTTATCCCAAAAGCATCAGTTCTATGTTAGCCTATAACTTACAACATCAAAATTCTTCATTTGTAGCTCAAGAAAGAGCTTATATAAGAAAATTAGGTAATCAAACAATGAATGATTATTATACTAAAGGAATAACGGGAGCTGATGAAGAAGATACTAGTCGAGAAAGTAATGCTGATGAAGATGAAGATTATGAGGATGATACTAATGATGAAGATGAAAATACTTCTTTATTGGTTGATATGGATGATGAAAATTATCAATTGGATTCAGCATCTGCCAATTCTTTATTGGAGTCAGGTTTAAATAATTTGAAGATTAATCCCAACAAAAACATTACTCAGTTAAGTAAAGATACTACGGATGACCCTGCCGTTTTGGAAAGATTGGAATGGCAAGCTATGTTAACATCAGTTTTAACTGGTGATGTGGTGAGATCAGAAAAAACAAAGATTAGTAGTAATAATAACTTAGATGAGCAAGAATCTTATTTACATGCCACCTATAAAGAAAGTTTATGGTTTGGAATAAGAGCCAAGTTATTAGGACGTTCAGATGATGATCAAAGAAAAATCATTTCTTATAGAAGAACGTTAGTAGATGCATTGATTGAGGATGTTCTGAAATTTGAAGTGGACTATGATCATCCGTCTAATATGTCACCTAGAGATCAAGTGGCAGAAATCTTGAATCGTTGGGAAAAAGCTTGCGATTGTTGGAGAACTTTGGATGAAATGAAAAATGATAAACCTGCTATAAGAAGTGAAGAATTTCAAAATAGAATTGATTCATTGACTGCCTGGTTATCTATTACCGAAGCCATCAAGAGGGAATCTGATACTTTGAAGCTCTGGATTGGTAATGATGAACTTGATATCACTAAAAGTTCTTCAGAAAATGCTACCCCTTTGACTACACCATCGTCAGAAAACGCTCCTCCTCCTGTGGTAAAGAAAATTTTTGATGAAGATAATAGATCATTAGCTGAAAGATTGATGAAGGAAAAAGATGTTCATAATATTTTCAAAAAGAGAATTTTCTCTCCGTTAGCTCCATGGATGATTAAATCAAAAGACACATATATAAGACTTGGATATATGTTTGAGACATTGAAATTACCAGACTATCTTCACGACTTAATTCAATTATGTCTCATACCTATGAAATTGATTCGTGAAATCATCAATGTTCGTTTGAGATATGCCATGAAATTGCAAAATCCAACATTGATGATGATTGATCAGATGATTGATGATTTCAAAACTTACCTCCATATTGCTTTGGAAGTCAAATCAGGTATTCAAGATTATTGTAAATCAGATATTGGTAAAACTTGGGTTATTCAAGACTTCTTTGAAGATGAAAATGTTGATTTCAATAAATCGGTTTTAGAATGTTTGAAATATTCTTTGGTATTGTTGAATAAGAAATTATTGGATAGTGCTAGGTCACCAGCCAATTTCAGAACTTTCAAAGAACCCGAAGAATTGGAAGAAACTTATGATTATATTAAACTTTCAGGTGCTTATATTGAAGGAGGTGCTACTTTAGTGGCTGAACAAATTACATTATTAACTTCCAAATTAATTCAAAGATTATTGGCATATTTTAATAACCAGGTGAGATCATTACCGTCACAAGATCCTTCAAAATCAGATCTCGTGAGATGGTATAGTTCAACTACAGAGAATTTTGGTCAATTGCGTCGTAAACTTGCTAGATTCACAGGTGAAATATCAAGAGACTTTACCAATTCTTTGGTTTTTGATATTTCAAGCACTCCGAATTATAAAGTGAAAAATTTGTTGGAAGTTTTGAAAAACTCCGATCATTTCTTGGTTTATACTGGAACTGTTGAAACTCAAGGTATTTATTTCTTTGCTAGTGCTGAATTATTGGGTAATGAACATGAGATTTTACAAATTATTAATGGTTCTTATGTTGGTCTAGATCCTAATGCAGCTTCTGCCAGACAGTTTTCAAGTTTATTGAATTTATTACATCATCATGAGGAAGGTGAAAACTTCCAAATGCAAAGCTCAATTGAGCACGCTTTACCATCTCATTCTAAGGATTTTGCTTATGTTTTAGCTATTTGTCCACCAAAACCTATCGTTTGGGAAGGTGAAGTGGTGAATATTAATATTGAACAAGTCCCTATCACTGATGTTAAGGTTGGTCAAATGTTATTGATATCTAAATTGCCATCTTATAGTTTACATATTATTAGAGAAAAGTTCCTCGATTTAGTAGGTGAAGTCTTGTACGCAAGCAATGGTCTCACAAAACCAATTGAACAACGATGTTCATTAGCTAAGGTTCATCATGAATTAACCAGAATCAACAAGGTATTCTTCAGAATGTCATTATCAGTTTTGGATTCTGTGAAACTCGTTAGAGAACAATGTAATAAAGCCGCACCGGAAGGAGGATGTCAGGAAGTTATCAACAGTTACTTTGTTTATGCTAGGGATTATGGTAAAAACTCTGTCAGAAATTTGGATTCATCGAGGAAATCTACTGTTATTATGAAATTGATATCTTTATGTATTGAATGGGTAAGCTTCATCTGTGATGATTGTATTCCCACTGACAGAAAGACTTTCAGATGGTGTGTTTTGGCATTAGAATTTGCTATGTATATGACCAGAGGTTTCAATGTGTTGGTCTTGAAAGATGAACAATTCCATTCATTGAAATCAAAAGTCGCTAGATGTATGTCATTATTGATTTCTCATTTCGATATTATGGGAGCCAGATCCAGTGAAGCTGAAAAGAAGAAATTATTGAGATGGACATCAACCAAAACCAGAATTGAGAATTCTGCTGATGATGAATATATCATGAATGCTTATAAGGAAGACATGATGAGCCAAATCAAAGAAATTGAAATTTTCAGATCAGAATTACAAGGAGAATTGAATTCTGTTGGTAGAGTGTTGGATGTTTCCGATTCAGAATACCAATTCGTCACATTATTGGCATCTTCTTTCTCGAGTGTTTCGATCAGATGGCAAAAGGGAAGATACATTGGTGGTGGAACATTTGGTGATGTTTATGCTTCTGTTAATTTGGACACTGGAGGTGTTATGGCAGTGAAAGAAATCAGATTCCATGATAGTCAATCAATTAAGAATATTGTTCCTTCAATTAGAGATGAAATGACAGTATTAGAAATGTTGAATCATCCAAATGTCGTTCAATACTTTGGTGTTGAAGTTCATCGTGATAAAGTATATATTTTCATGGAATTCTGTGAAGGTGGTTCATTATCAGCATTATTATTACATGGAAGAATTGAAGATGAAATGGTTATTCAAGTTTATACTTTACAAATGTTAGAAGGGTTGGCATATTTACATCAATCAGGTGTTGTTCATCGGGATATAAAACCTGAAAATATCTTATTAGATCATAATGGGGTTATTAAGTTTGTTGATTTTGGGGCTGCCAAAGTCATTGCTACAAGTGGTAGAACTCGTGGTCCGGCTCCTAGTAAACAAACTCCTATAGCCGGAGATCATAATAATTTGAATTCAATGACAGGTACTCCTATGTACATGTCACCAGAAGTTATTACTGGTGCGTTGTCTGATAAAAGTGGAGTTGTAGATATCTGGTCATTAGGTTGTTGTGTATTAGAAATGGCCACTGGTAAAAGACCTTGGGCTAATTTGGATAATGAATGGGCTATTATGTATCATATTGCTGCTGGTCATAAACCTCAATTACCTTCAGAAGATCAATTGAGTGAAAATGGTATTAAATTCATCGCCAAATGTCTTGAGCATGACCCTAAGAAGAGACCTGAAGCCATTGAATTGTTAAATGATCCATGGATAGTTTCCATTCGTCAAGCAGCTTTCGGTGGTGATAGTCTAAACACTCCCAGCTCAGAGATTTCTGATCTTTAAAATTGTTCCAAAATTGTACAGTATTCTTTTTATTCTTCTTTTTATTCTTGATTAAATGTATATATACTATTTACAATGAATTCGTTTATCTATCCTCTAATTAATCCCATTAAATAACTGTTTTATTTCATCAACCACATCACCTTTGATATTGATAATTCCTGTAGTTGGGTTGGCAGTGACAGTTTTAGGATTTAATTTGGCAATTTTGATTAAATCATGTTTCAATGATAAAACATCACCTTTGATTTGTGTTAATTCAGTGGTTATTTTAGTGTTTTGGACTTTTTTATAAACTCTCCAATGTCCGAATTTAGTCTTTGAGAAGAAATAGGTACCTTTACCGAAACCATTATTTGGTAAGTCTTTAGTGGATATGGATGATAATTTGGGTATTTGGAAGAGTTTGGCAGGTTGAGCTGGCAAACTTGGTTTGAAAGTTTGTAAGGATATTAATGATGGTTTCATTGATGAAAAATTTTTTAAAAAGATTTTAGTGCGCATAAATGGCGATAAGTTCTGGTGCGAAGATGGTACCAGGGATTGTCAGTAAATTATAACGATGGGTTCGAAGTAATAATGAGATTTTTGGTTAAAAGAGAAAGTATCATAAAAACTCCTTATATTCCCAGTATCTAAAGCGCAAGTTTGATGTTAGATTCGTGTGATTTCTCATGACTCAACAAACCAACACTACTATCAAATTCTTCTTCACATTGGTTACATTTCTGCTTATCCATGTGAGTTTTCATGTGTTTGTTCAAGTTGGAAGATTCACTAAATCTTTTACCACATCCAGGATATTTACAGACTAACGGCTTGTAACCTGAATGTACTCTGTTATGAATTGACAATGATGATGATGTAGCAAATTTCTTACCACAAACTGAACATTCAAAAGGTTTTTCTCCTGAATGGGTCCTTAAATGTTGGACTAACATTGATTCTACAGCAAATGTTGATCCACATATATCACATTTACATGGTTTGAAATTGGTATGAACATGAATATGACGTAAAACCTTTTGTCTTTGGGTGAATTTTCGCCCATTATGACGATCACAACCTACCCATTGACATTCGTATGATGATTTCCCTGATCCGATATGTTCTTGGATCAAATGTTCTTGTAAATCTCCAGCAGATTGATGATTTTTATTACATTTGATGGGATTTCCTTCACTATCTACACCGATATCCCAACAACAAGTGAAAAATGGATCAATCTGCTTCTTCTTAGGTTTGAAACTCAAATTGGAAATGTTCAAAGAGTTACTTTCCAATTTAGGTCTTATTTCTGATAATTCGGGTTTGATATCCTTGATTTCTGGTTTAGGGGTAACAGTAAAATTCGATTCTGATGAAAAGTTCGATAACGGTGTCATGATATCATTTTCATTCTTGACCTTATGAGAATTCAAATGATCTAATAATGAATACAAGTTATTGTCAGTGAAATTACAATTATTCCACTCACAAGGGAATTCATTATTATTCAAATCTTCATCTTTCAAATGTTTGTTATATAAATGATCAAGTAAATCATCAGTTTCGACATTTTTTAAACAATTATCCCATTCACAAACCAAATCCTTTCCTTTGTCACTCTTATTAGAAAAGTTAAAATGAAAGTCAAAATCCTCCATAGGCTTATCTTCGGTGTGTCTCTTATGTGTGTCTGATATACTGGTATGGAAGAAAGCCTTATGGATATTATCAACAGGATGTATTTCATGAGGATAATGGATTTCAGTACTTAATTTTGGCTTCTTGGTTGCAGGATAATCGTTATGGTCCATACCATTAAATTTCTTTCTATCTCTATTATTTTCATTACTGGTGAACAAATCGAAATCCTGATGTAATTCCTGAAATATCTTATCAAATAACTCCTTGTCATTATTTTGGGAGGTACATAAATTATTCTGATGGTTCTTAGTATGTGATGTATCGTAACAACAAACAGTTGATTCTAATTCCAAACATTTGGGATCATTACAGATTATCTCATTAGGATGGACTCCCACTTCACTTTTAGACTCCGACGATGATCCACCTTTCATGTGGGAATCTATACCTCCCGATACCATGGGATCATTGACAGGACCAGAACAATTTTCATTTTCACAAATTGACTCGTAATTGTCAATACAGCATGATTCTATATTACTATCATCACAATTCAAATAGAAACAATCATCCAATTCATTACAAAGTACTTCATCACATTCTGGTAAAATCTCAAGTGGACAATCATCATTGGATTCAACAATGTCCTTTTGGGGAACATCTTTACCAAGTTCTTGAATCTTATCAGTACTCTCTGTATCTTTCTTTTCATTCTTAGCATGACTATGAATATGACCATGTATGTGAGTATGATCTTTATGTATATGAATATGACCATGAACATATCCATGGATCATATTGTTAATGTCATTTTCTGACATTTGATTAAATGCCACCATTTTGATCCCCTTAATCTATCCTTAAATTGATAATGAATAATTAAAGAACTAATAGGATTCAATCGGTTGCTGGGACGATGATACTTTCTGGCTACACTAGCACTGTTACGATCTTTGCGGCTACAGTTCTATTGTAACGGTTTACTCTTAGACTAACAGAAGAATACAAAAATTAATTACCTTGGTAGTTGCTAGGCCCTAGTGAGATGTGAAAAAACGATAATGGTTACGACATGCTGGGGCAAGTCGCGCGACATAACGTGGATGGTGATGTTTAGAAGAGTTGAGAGGGTAGGTCAATACTTGGGGATAGGTTGATGAAATTTGAAATCTGGAGGACTTTTGCTTCTGGTCAAAAACCCAATGTGATTGTGATAAATGGATGAATGGTGACACGAAAAACGTGTAATTGTAAACTTGGAGATTGTTCGAATTTGTTTCCTATTGTCTATGAGGAGTTTAATCAAATTCTCTGGGTATGAACAAAAGGAATCTCTTCAGACTACCAGAATTTCTCATTAGCTTATCAATTACAAAGTCCATCAATTGAAAAAGCGTGACTTTGATCTTTGACGAGACTAAATTGACGATCAATCCCCAATTACATTACCCAAAACAACAGCATTCAGTCAATGGGCTAAAAATCAAAGAAAATAATCAAGTTACGTATTGTATTTAAGAAGACTGAAGTAACCGGCGCAAAAAACCCTAGACGATGTTAACGATTAACGCCGTTAAGTTTTTACGATACGGTCGGGGATTAAATTGCAATTGTTTGAAGGGTTTGTTTATGAAAAATTTCTACCTAAACAAGTAAAAAACCTTAAATTAAATCCCCGAAAAACAAGAATGCAGAACGAGATCTTTTTCTTTGGGTTGCCATGGAATTGTTAGGATTTAACTACCTAAAAGCCTTCATACATTGACAATGGATAATACAATAATGTAAGGGTGAAATGAAATTTTTTCCTTCTCTGCCATATAACTATTTAGAGAATTTAGGAAAACATTGAAATACTTGTCATTCATTTCACCACCAATTGATTGTTTGGAAAAAATAAACAACCAAAAAAATTATTGTTTTATTGTATATGAAAGTATGGAATGACCAATTAATGTCTATTAAATTTTGACAATCATACCACTTATAAAATAATATCTCTTGTATGTTGTATCAGATTTAGATTTAACATGAAAAGATCACCATTGCGTACTAAACAGTGGAAAATATAAATAACAGCCGTGGAGAGCCGAAAACGTAAACACGAACTTTTGAAAATCATCTTTTACCTAAAAAACTTTAACCGAATTGTTTAATTTCACTAATTACCTGTATAGATGTCCCTGGGGCTAAGTTAGTGAGAAGGCAATTTCATGTGTTAAAGAAATGATTTTAAAGGGAATTTCATTTAGAAGCAGGGGCCTGCCGTATTCAAAACTCGGGAACTAGCTTTAAATCTAAGTATGATTAAAGTTTAAATTACGTGAACGGTTTAAATGTTTCAAAATATTTTACATGGAATAGTGGAACTTCTCGAATATTTTAACAAATGGAAAATTTGTTGGGAATAATGAACGATTTGCCATAAGTAACAAGTCACGACCGTTAATTAATTAGTCACATATTCAAGATTTATCATTTCAAATTGATTGTTAACCCAAGGTCAATAAGAACAATATAACTCAATCTTCGCGTTGCAAATAAATTTCCATTTTGACTGCAAATATAAACATATCTCAGCTCTGCTAATAGACTAATTGGGTAATTTAATTTGTTACTGTAAGATTCACTAATGCTCTAGACTGTATATTGCTGTCTCTAAGGAAGAGTTTTTTTTTTAAAATGAGGAATTTCTTCGATTGTGTTTAAGGTTCTCCATAGGAAGTTTATTTATTTATCTTGCATATATTGGTTTGTAGTAATCCCAAGTTAATTTTTCTTTCCAAATTACAATCTTGTAATTAAATCAACAAATCTTTTATCTTAATAACAACTTCATCCTTCAAGTTAATTTAAAATATACTTCAGTCATTCTTGTCCCCAATTAGTCCCTTTTGGATCCAAGTTTTAAATTCTTGAGATGCCATTTACAAAGATATTTCATAAGAAATCGAAGAAATCTTTGAACATAGGTCCTCCTACCCTTGTTCCAAATACCAAAGACAATTCTAAGTTATTAAATTTAGTTTCACCAAATCCCCAAATTGTTAAAGTATCAAGTCCATTGAATGTTCCCGTTGAAGATAAAAAGATAGAATCCAAGATTCAAAAATCCAAATCAACAGGGTTCTTAAATATTTTCCACAAAAAGGAATCAAAAAATACTGTGTTATCAACCAAACCTTCAATTAATACTTTACCCAATAATAATCAAACAATAACCAAAGATGAGTTCATAATACCCAAGGAGAATGAAAGGTTCCTGGAGACTATATTTGAAGATAGAATAAGGTATTCATTACAGAGAAAAGCTGAAGAGGTAAAAGCTAAAAACCCTCCCATGGATTACAAAAGAAGACCAATGGTATTTACTGATTCTGCTGTGAATTTGAACGATTTACCACATTCAACAGAAATTGATATTGAATGTGATGACAATTTCCAGCAGAATAGATATAATGTTTACCAAAACAATGATAGCATGATAAATAATTTCCATTATTCTAAATTGATCGAAAATTCAATACTAAATGATTTATCAAGTTTGGATTCTTTACCCATAGAAGAAAATCAACCCTTAATACTGTCTGAGACTGACAATGAAAAGGAAAATTCTTACCTTCAACAACTGCCTTCAATTATGCATAAAAAGATGTCATTCCCATCTTCGAATTTTACTCCAGGTATGGGAATTAGAATGAAATCAATTGCTCCAATTGAGCCAACCATTGAATCCAGAGGAAGAGATTACAAAGAATCTGAGGCTGAATTGAAATTCATTAGCGATCAATCAACTACATTGAATTCAAGGAGTACTTCTGCTTCTAATTCAGTCTTAAATTTCAAGACTTCCCGTTTGAGTAAGATAAAAAAGAACGGTTCTGTTAACTCGGCCATCTACTCGAATACAAACGGAAAAAATCACAGCAATCAATTAACTCCAAGAAACTCAGCAATATCTTTAAGTAAAACTTTGATACCCAAATTGTTAAGATCATCATCAAACTTGAAGTCAGATGATATTTTGAATGATGAATTATCCTACAGTGTTGGGGACAAAAAGTCCCTCAGTGAAGAAAATGAAGATCCTACTATTTCTTGCTCCAATTCAAATACTAATACTCATTCTAATAACTATTCGGAGTTTGATACTATCAAGGATGTCAATATTCAAGTCATCAAGAATTATAATAAGAACTCTTCTAAGTTGAGAGTTGTTTCTTCATCTCCTGTGAGAAGTCATGGCAAGAGTCCTTCTATCAATTCAAGGAAATCGGTTACTGAAACTCCAAAGATCGCAGAGACTAAATTCCTTAACGAAAATATAGATGAGATACTTGAAAATAGAATGTTGGAGAATGATGAAGATATCGACTATTTCAAACCTTCCAATCCTGTGAATTTGATTAAAAAAGACGAAGTTTATAGAGAAGAAATGTTGTCGTTGATTGAAAGACATTCATTAATGGTCTCCAAGAAACAAGAAGAAATTAATCATTTACGTAATTTGTTACAGCAAGAAAGAAGAATGACATCATTTTTATCATTAGCTTCTTCACCACAACAGCGTCATGAAACTACTCCATCTTCTTCACCCAAATTACCTAATTCTCCAGATTTCAACGGTAATAGAAAAATGATAAGGAAGAAATTTATTCCAATCGATATTACCTTGACTCAAGAATCAAAACCAAATAACTTCGTTCCTTATAATAGGAACACCATGCATTTACTTCCACCTTTTGAAACCTCTCCAAAAGAACAAAGAGTCAGAAGTTCCCATTCAATACCTAACAAATTAAATATTAATGATATTCATGGCAGTGCCGATGATTTCATTCCTAAACCATTCCATAATCCAAAAGCTTTCAGTCCGAGACAACAGAATCTTGAATTTTTTGATAATGTTTCTGAAGAAACTAAAATTGAGTCAACAGATAATCTTCATGATATTCAACCATTGAAGAGGATGTCCTTAGCTTCTAAGCATTCATCGATAAATTCAAATTCTTCCGCTTACTATACTGCTTTTGATGAAAGTTTCGAATCAATCGAATTACTTGGTGATCCAGTAATAATTGATAAAATAGTTGAAAGTGATAATGAAAATGAAGTTTATCATTATCATAAGAATTCAACCCCAGTTAATATCATAGAATTTCCAAAACAGGCTAGAGATTTTTCCGGTTCCACAACTATGTCATCTGTGATGAGTAAAGTTCGTAATAATTCAAATGATTCTATCTTATCGAGTTTTTTATTAACTCCTGATACTGAAGAATTTGACATTATTAAAAAGTAATATTCGTATTATTGTATTATAGTTTATATACATTTCTTAATTTTGTCTTTCCACTTCATTTTTTTTTTTTTTGTCTTTTTTTTAATCAATTTTTTTAGAATTTCAATAAAATTTGTGAAACTTACGAATTTTGAAATTTGTAAGAAAAAATGTAATAAAAAAAAAGATAAATCCATTAGGTCCAGGTTCGTACACCAGAGAGTAGAAGATAAAAAAAAATGTTTATTACACAGAAGGTTTACAAACTAAGTTTGTAATTCTCTAATTTCATTCTCATCAGCAACTAATCCCATAACAACTAAGAACATGTTCAAGTTGTTTAAAAGGTTTTGTTTTTTATAGAAGTTATTAATATCGGTACTATCTAAAGCTTTGGCTTTATTCATTACTGAGAAGATTTCATCTCTCACTTCATCAACAATGATTCTTTGATGATTTAATTTACCACCTAAAGCTAAAGTAGCTAAGAATTGCCACACATAACTTTCAATAGATTCGACATCATTAGGTGGGAAAATCAAACTTATTCTAGATTCTAAAGCAGTGAATAATTCATCATAACATGAAGACCATTCGGATAAATCAGCGGCAGAAATGGTTCCTTCACCTCTGATTAATTCTGCTCTTGATAATAAGGTGGTTAAAATTGATAAACCAATCTTGGTAGTTGAAATAAATGAAACATTATTGTGTTCTATTAAAATGACCAATAATCCGATGATTTCATTGAATTTAAAGTCTTGTACAGAATTCATTAAAGCTTTGGTGAATGTTAATGAATATGTTTCGATTAATTTGAGATATTTGCTTGGGACCTTCTTGTCTTCATATGTTGTGTAAGATCCATGTTTAATGACATCCAAATTACCCAAATTTGACATAATCAATGTGGCAATGGTTAAAATTTGTTCTCTACTCAAGAATTTAAATAATCTCGAGACAATTTTCAAAGCTTTTTCATGATTTAAACATTGTATGAAAGGATTGACTTCTTTTGGATCATTGACTCTTGGTGAAGTTTGTTCCAAAATCTTCAATGATTCCCATAAATTATTTGTATCAACTTCAGTAGATAATCTGGATTCACTTTCTATAGTCATTAAATTGGTTATAATATTTTCTAATATACCCATGATATCTTTTCTACCATATTTCTTGATTGAATCACTATCAAGGTTGGTATTGATGGCGGGATTACTAATAGCATTATTAAGCTTCTTAACATTGATACCTTTGTTTTCTTTGTCAGTTTCACCTTCACCGGTTTCACCTTCTTCTTCAAGACCCTTTTGAACGGCTTGACTGAAGATTTCTAATTGTTGTCTTGGTTTTTTACCAGATCCGATAGAAATTCTTCCTAAAGCTCCTTCTCTAACATATTGAGTTAATTTAGGTCTTTCCTTAGCAACAGTAACAGCTCTTTGAACTTGTTGTTGCATTCTTTGTAATGCAACATCAGCTCTCTTATAACGTCCTCCTAATCTGTGACCACTTTGATCAAGATAGGCTTGAGCAATTGAATTATTTTGTTCTTGTGGTTGACCAACTTGATTTGGTTTAGGGTGAATAACCTTGAAAACTTGAGCATAGAAATCTTCATTATAAGGATCTTCAGTAACGATTTGAGATAATTGGAATCTGGTAACGAAATCTTTATCTTTTGGATTCATAATACCTGAATATTTCATGATTCTCATGACTTTTTCTTGTCTTCTTGCGGCCTTGATTTGTTGTTCTGGAGTAAGGATTAAAGGTTCATGGTATTCACCATCGTCATCTTCATCATTGTAGTGGTGGTTTTGGTGATGATAAGGTCTGTTGGAACGTTGTTGAGGGGTTGATTTAGACCCTAAAACAGGAAATTGGGATAAATTAACTGGTCTAGATGACTTTTTGGAAGCAACTTGAGCGATTTCTTCTCTAGTTGAGGGGGCAAGGATTTCAGATAAAGGAACAGCAGGGGTGTTTTCACCTTGTTTAACAGTTTCAGTTGGAATTGAAGTAACCGATTCGACGGGTTCTGGAACAGTTTCCACTGATGGTGCTTGAACAGGTTGTTGATGTTGAACTGGGACAGGTTGAGGAGGTTGTTGAGGAGGTTGTTGAGGAGGTTGTTGAGGGATTTGGTGAGGAATTTGTGGAGGCATTTGACCTTGAGGCATTTGTTGACCATGAGCTGGTTGACCGGGTAATTGACCAGGTAATTGACCAGGCATTTGACCTGGAATTTGGCCAGGAATTGGTGGCATTTGACCATAAAATCCTGGTTGGCCCATCATTTGAGGTGGCATTCCTGGGTATTGACCTCCATACATTGGTGGCATATAACCATATTGCATTGGCATCATTCCTGGCATTCCATATTGTTGTTGAGGAAATGGTTGCATTGGATGTTGCTGTGGTTGACGGCTAGGATCGATAGCTGTTAATTGAGCTTCAATTTCTTCTAAGGATAAAATTTTCTTTTCGCCAGCACTAACAGGGTTTGAAACTTCTGGTTGAGGTTTTGCAGTTCCCCAAAGTTCACTCATGAAATCTTCATCAGTTGCAACAGCTGCTCGAGCGTAACTGACAGTTTGCGGAGGAGGTGGAGCAGCTCCTTTGGTAGCACCAAAATTGAAGTCTTTTCCAACATCACCGCTCCCTCCAAAAGTTTCGTCATTTAATGCATCATCCGCATCATCTAATTGATCGCCTAATCCATCATAGGTGTTTTCAAAATCATAAGATTCTGATGGTCCACCTTGAGGAGGTTTACTTGGATCAAACCCGAAAAATGACATGTTTAAACAGTGTTCGAGTTTTGTATCTCTTGAAGTTTTTTTCAGAATGGACGACTCAAAAAATGAGCATAAAAAGATGGTATTAACACTACCATTGAATATCAAAGTATAGATAAGATTTTTGTTGCTTTCTATATAATATAAAGGCTATTTACAAGTAATTATGGAATGCTTAGGTAAAAGCTTGAAGAGCACTCTCCAACTTAACTTTCATTTCATCCCATTCATCGTTTGCGTCACTTAAAACTGTTATCGCACCACCAGCACCTATTCTCCACAACTTAGTATTACCATTTTCTAAATCATCCGTATAATGGTATAATGAACGGATAATAACAGACCAGTCAGAGTTATCTGTTATTGACCAATAACCTGCCACACCACTATAAATCCCTCTTCTACCACCTTTTACGGCATTAGGTTGCATTTCCTCAATTTTTTGAAGTAATTCAACAGACCTCTTCTTTGGTGCACCAGTCATTGAACCTGGAGGTAAGGAAGTGTGTAGAATATCTATTCCGTGGTAATTCTTATTATCGTCGAGATCTCCACTGACAGTTGTAACTAATTGGTACACGGTCTTATATTCTTCAACTGTCATCAATGAAGGAACTCTAACGTTCTCAATGTATTGATGAAGATCATGTCTGATGAGATCCACAATCATTAAATTCTCTCCCATTTCTTTGGGAGTTTTCAATATTTCTGTAGCTTTGATCAAATCCACTTCTGGTGTATTTTTTACTGTTCCTTTGATTGGTTTAAGTTCAACAGTTTTCTTTGAATCACCTTTCCAATTCAAGAATCTTTCTGGAGATGAGGAAATCAAAGTAACGTCTTCAAATTCCATATAACTTGAATAAGGGGAAGGATTTTTAGCCAATAAAATTTTATAAATGTCCCAAGATTTGATATCTGAAGGTAAGTATATTTTCAGTGGAGTGGTGAGGCATAATTCGTAACTATCTCCTGATTTCAATATTTCTTGACATATCTGAAACTGGTTTTTGTACACTGTCTCATTAGGGAGCTCGAATTTGATTTCATTCTTAGTCAATCCGGCAACACTAGTACTCACTAAAGCTAAAGATCTCAATTTGTTGGCATTATATTTATTAGTTAAGCCTGAGATAAACTCTTCACTCCATTTGCTATCATCATGATGGGTGTTAACGGAGAAATAATACCATTTGTTTGTGAAATTATTCAAAAGGAGGAATCTTTCTACGAATACCAACTTCAAATCTGGAGTCTCATTGTTACAGTACTTTCCCATTTCTTCAATTAAAAGGTGCTGTCCTTCTTCGTATGACATAAGTCCAATGTAACCACCTAAAAACGGAAACGAAATATTCTTGAAGTTTGTTTTAGAAATAATTGATTCTCTAGAGACATATCTATCAGCAAATTTATCAGCCAAGAACTTCCAGACCAGACCATTGAAAGACTTTGTTTGGTAATCTGTGGATTTATAAGTCAGTAACTTTATTTGATCGATTTTATCCACGGAGTGAGTTATAACTTCGGACTTTCCCTTTTCAGGTAAACCAACAATTGACCATTCACCAGGTATGGAGGCTGAGTTAAGTATGATGAAATCAGAATTTCCTTCTTGCATCATCACATCACATATATCCACAGCCAAAACTTTGCTACCATCTAAAGGTAATTCTTTGGAGTAAACGAATACATCATCATGAGTATTGGTGTACTTTTCATCTCTTAAAGGTTTAGGATCAACTTTGACTTTGAGTTTCTGGACAATTGGGTTGGATTGTGATCTATCCAAGTCGAATATGTTCTTTCTATTAGATTTATTGAAATCATAGGCAATATCATCAAAATTTTTGATGAGGGTGGACCCTTCTTGCGTACAAATAGACTCGGGATGATATTGTACACCATAAAATGGCAAACTCTTATGTTTAGCAGCCATCAATACTTTCCTTTCTTCTTCATAACAGATAGCCAATGGTACAATTTCAGAATTTAGGTTCTCAAGTTCAACAAATAATGAGTGGTATCTTACACTTGGAACTTTCTTATCATGTAATCCTTGGAACAACAAATCAGTATCATCAATGGATATGATATCATATACTTGACCATGCTTTATAACATCCAATCTTTTCACTTCATTATCAAAATTATAACATAAGCATTGGAAACCTAAGCAAATTCCAAGTATTGGCACGGCTGTAGTGCCATTGTTCTTGAAGAATGAAAAAAGCCACGGTATAATACCAACGTCTTCTGCAATATTGGGCAGTCCTGGACCTGGACCTATCACTACATAATCAATGTAATCGATATGTTCTTGTATGAAACTGTGGTATTTATCCTTAGCGATTGAATCATTATGTATGACCACAACTTCTTTTCCTGTAGTTCTCTCTATCAATCTACTTAGATTATTAGTGAATGAGTCATAGGAATCAATCAAAATAATCATGGTTTAGTGTATTCAACCCTTTGTCCTAAAAGAAGCTCGAGATCTAAATGGTGCAGTTTTTCAGATGCTCTGCGCTTCCTCGTATGCGAACATCGTAAATTAGTTATTGTGTATTAAGATTTATGCATGCTATGTATTTTTGGTTGGTGTGCTAGTCTTCATCTTCATCGTCATCATCATCTTCGTCATCGTCATCGTCATCATCACTTTCTTCGTCTTCACTAACTTCTTCACCTAATTTTTGAAGACGTTTTTTATATTTCAGCTTTCCGTCTTCCATCTCAGATAATAACAACATCAAGTCTTCCAATTCTGACTTCGGTACCATATCCTTGATGGTTTTATTCAATTTTTCTTTTAATTCATCGATTTGTTCATTCAATTTGTCTTCTTTGTCTTTGGAAGAAGATTCAAATTCACTGATGGATTTTTTAAGTTCAGCCTGTTCTTGATCTTTGGCTTTGATAGTTTCTGATTTTTCAGTCGAACTTGCCATTGCAGTTTTTAACTCTTCCTCGATAGAAGAGAACTTTTCAATAGTGGATTCTTGATCTGAAAGTTTCGATTCTAACTCCTTTACTGTCTTAGCATGTTTGGATTCGTGAGATTTCAACTTCGACTCGGTTTCTTGGAGTTCCTTAATAGTCGATTGTAGTTCCTTGTTGATTTTCTCGACACCAGCATCCGAAGCCTCTGATTTTTTTGATGATTCATTCAAGAGTTCCTCTTTCGAGGATAAATCTTCTTCGAGTTTCTTGAGCTCTTGATTTTTGGATTCTAATTGTTCTTCCAAGTCTGATAATACCTTTCCGTTTGCTTCAACTTTATCTTTTAATTGTTTCACTTCCGACTCTTTTGATTTTGATTCTTCCTTAGCGTTTGCTAACTCAGTCTCAAGGGATTTCAATGTCTCACACTTCAGTTTGGCCAGTTCTAATTCTTTGGTTAATGTTTCTTTGTCAGAGATCAAAGAATCAATATCTTTACGTAAAGAATCATTCTTTCCAGATAATAAAACCAAATTATCGTTAGACTTTTTCAAAGTATCTAATTCTTTTTTCAAGTCCTGTATTTCTCCTGATAATTTGGCTTTTTCTTCTTCAATCAACTGAACAGACTCTTGGGCCTTCTTGTGAAGTGATTGAGATGATTCAAGTTCTTTCGAATGTGAATCGGATTTTTTCTTTAGTTCTTCTTTGATTGAAGTGAAATCTTGGATTTGCTTCTCTAATTTGGATTGGAGTGATTCATGATCTCTTGTTTTCTTCTGATGATCAGAGGTTAATAATTCATGCTCTTTTGTCTTTTCATCCAACTGAGTCTTCAAAACATCCAATTCCTTGACCTTTTCACTTAATTGAGTGGACAAGGAGCCATGATCAGATGACTTGAGTTCTAAGTCAGCTCTCAAAGCTTTGTATTCTTGTTTTTTCTCTTTCAATTCAGTTTCCAATTTGCTGAATTCTTGGACTTTCTTATCCAAATCATTCTTCAACACTTCAACCTCTGTTGACTTCTTGCTCATATCTGATACTAACTGCTCATTTTTCTTCGATTCTTTTTCTAACTCTGATTTCAATGAGTCTAAATCTTTCGACGTCTTCTGTAACTCCCCTGTAGAAGTAGCGTGGTCCTTAGTTAGATCATCGAACCTCTTTTGGAGAGATTTGAGTTCTGATTCCTTGGCTGTGACGGATTTTTGTTTTTCATCATGAAGCTTTTGCAAATTTGACAATTTATCGGTAGAATCTTGAGTGGCTTTGGTAAATTTGGAATTCAACTCGCTGTGGTCAGCTTTCAAATCATTTAATTCAGTCTTCAAATTATTTAACTCCTCTTCTACAACCTTCTTTTCGTTGGAAAGAGTTTTGACTTTCAGTTCATTATCTTCTTTCAAAGAAGCGAGGGAAGCTTCTAATTTCCTAATCTTATCGCTATATTCCTGAATCACAGTCTCGGAGCTTTCACTCAACATCTCTCTTTCCTTCTCCACTTCCTTACTTTTTTGCTCAAGCTCGGCTTTCAATGACACAACTGCCTTCTCCTTTTCTTTGATTTCACTATCATATTTAGCTTTTTCAGATTCGAATTTGGTTTTTAAAGATTTCAATTCCTTAGAAATTGACTTTTCACTTTGTTCTTTAGTTTCGAGTTCTTCATTGGCCCTTTTCAAATCAGCAGTGACTTTTTCAAATTGTTCTTTGAATTTCGTTGCTTCTTCCTTTTTAGTTTCTAGATTCTCTTGTTCCGATTTCAAGACTTCGTTGATCTTGGAGAGTTCAATTTTCAAAGTATCTGACTCTTTTGACAATTTTTCAATCTCAGATTTGGAATTTTTAGCGTCTTTGATGGATATTTCAAGATCCGTGGCAGTTTTGCTTAACCTTTCCTTATTACTTTCGTGATCTTTAGTCAAAGCCAAATGTTCTTTGTTCAAGTTTTCATGCTCAAGAGTCAATGTCTTAAGGTTTTGATCAAGTTGAGTCTTGGCCGCATTCAAATCTTCATAAGTCTTGGTCAAGGTGGATTTTTCTGTCAACAACTTGGTGTGAGTTTCTTTCAAAGAATCGTATTCTTCTTTCAGAGTTTTCTGATTGTTGATCAAACCTTCGAGTTCGGACCTCAATGATTTAAGGTCTTCATTAGCTTTCTCGTGATTGGAGGTCAATTCTTGATGTGCTTCTGTCAAGGTTTCGTGTTTAGAATTCAAACCTTCATGATCCTTCGATAAGGTCTCATGTTTCGAAGTCAATTTCTTGAGATTTCCAGTTAGGGCCGTGTGGTCGGTAGCCAATTTAGAATGAATACCAGTAAGTTCTTTGAACTCAGAATCCAATTTCTCATGAATGCCGGACAATTCTTTATGTCCAGCACTGACCTCACTGTGATCTTTGGATAAATTGGAGTATTTTTCGTTTAATAGATCATGGTCTTTTTGAAGTTTGGAGATTTCGGTCTCTTTTTCCTTCAACTTCAACAATGAATCTTCCAATTGAAGGGATTTTTCTTTTAACTTTGACTCAAGTTGTTGCAATTCTTGAACTTTAGATGAAATTTCCAGTTCCTTCGATTCGAGTGTTTTTTGTACAATGTTCAAATCCTCTTTGAGTTTTTTGATTTCGTCGTCCTTTTTCTTGACATCCTCATCATGAGAAGTGGATTTACTAGCTAAATCGGATTTGAGTTGGGCGATTTCTTTCTCAGTTGAGGACTTTTCTTTTTTCAAATTTTCTAAAACTTGATTGAGCTCTTCACCTTTAGTCTTTTCAAAAGTAATGTCAGATTCCAATGATTTGAGCTTTTCATTCAACGCCAGAATTTCAGAATTTTTGGAAGTAAGGACCTCCTCGTGTGAAAGTTTCATCTCTTGGAGTTCCTTGGAATGTTCATCCTTAGCCCTAGTGAAACTACTCAAATTGTCGTTGATTTTGAGTTCGCTTTCATTTTTGAAATCATTATATTTCTTTTCCCAATCAGCTAACTCTTTGGAAATATTATTGACGTGTTCCGAATTGGAAGATTTCAATTGTTCGATTTCCTTGGCCATAGAGGATTTTTCTTCCTCTAAAGAATTAACCTTTTCTTCATTCACTTTCTTGAAATCTGTCAACTCTTTAGAAACATCTTCAAACTTCGATTTCCAAGTTTCCAAAGTATTGGACAATTCTGCATTTTCAGATTTCAATTGTTCATTATTAGCTTTTAACTCATCAACAATTTTCTGATTATCTTTTAATTTACTCTCTGATTCTGACTTGAAACCAGCTATCTCGTCGTTTAAATTCTTTATGGTGATTTCAGCAGTGACTAAATCATCATTCAATTCAGTTAAATCTTCTAATTTACTATTGAAGTCATCTAACAAGTTATTATACTTCTCATCAGTTTCAGACTTACCACTTTTGAGATCTTGAAATGCTGAAGCTGCAGACCTTAATTTATCCATCAAATGAGCGTTGGACTCTTCACTATCAGACAACTTATCTTTCAAGTCTCTTAAAGTTTGATCTTGAGATTTCGTCAAATCTTGTAATTTTCCCTCTAATTCTTGAATCTTAGTCTTCAAAATTCTGTTTTCAGCATTTAATTTATTGATTTCGTCATTATAAGACTTTGCTGCTTTATCAGATTCTACTTTGAGAGCTGAAATCTTCTTGTTCAAGTCTTTGATGGTGTTTTCAGAGTCCTTCTTCTCCTTAGTAAATTGGAATAATTCTCTACTCATTTTATTGATTCCATCTTCGGCTTTCTTTCTGGAATCCTCAATAGATTTCAATTTAGCTTCTAATTCCTTGATCTTATCATCAGAAGAGCCTAATTTTTTCTTAGTCTCTTGAAGGTCTTTTGAGTATGTGGTAGATGATTGTTCTAATTCTGCTCGTTGGCTTTCAAGAGCAGATAACTTTTCCGTCACGTCAGTCAACTCCTCCAAAGTCTTATTGTTTTTAGTTACCAAAATTTCATACTTAGAATTAGTTTCATTTAATTGCTTTTCAAAAGATGAAGATTCGTCCTTCAACTTTGATATTTCCTCATTGAGTTTTTCTTTCAACTCTGCTGAAGTGGTTTTGGAATCTTCAAATTCTGTGTATAAAGATTTGTACATATTGTCCAAATTTTCAAAATCATCGAAAGATATTTTGACTTGAGGCTCAAAGTTTGGATCATGATACAAGGCTTTCCTTATTCTAGCAAAATTATCCTTGATCAAGCTGACGTAAGTTATATCAAAGTAAACATCTGGTAATCCTGATTCATCTTGTTGAGCATATAAGAAAGATTCTTCATCAAAATTACGGAAAAATAACGTATCCTTGAATTGTTTGACCTTTAAAGCATAATTGTCTTTACCCAAGGACTTCACCAATAATGAGTGTAATTCAACTCTTGAAATTGGCGAGGTCTTGGAAGAAAATTCATAACTAACACCTAAAAGGATGTTGGCCATGTATCTAGTAATCTCCAAAGATTCTACAGAATTATTACTTAAGAAAGTTAATATTGAATGAACAACTGATAAGTCACTTAAGAATTCGTTGACAACAGAAGGATTTTCATACATCCAGAAAGACAACAACATCAAATAACCAATAGAAATCCTGGGATCAGTGTTTTCCAAATTGGTCACTAATAATCCTGAAATAGCTTGAATGCAAGTAAGAACCTCTTCACCAACAGATTCATCACCTGTTTTAATGGATTGTGCCAAGTTCTGACAACTTTCACTATCTTCAAACAAGTAGATCATGATTACTGAGGCAAACCACACTTTATAAGGGTTCAAATTTATATCCGAATCGTAGTCCATAAGCGTGGACAATAAATTACCAATAGGAGTGGGTATGACTTCTACTGTGGTTGCAGAACCATTCGATTCAGTATGGCCGTTGATTTGACCATTAGATTCACCGTTCAATTCTCCGTTCAGTTTACCATTCAATTCACCATTGCTTTCACCATTCATAGTGATATTTGTCTCGTCTTCGAGAGCAATTTCCTTTTCCTCTTCATCAACTTTTTCTTCTTCCTCTTGCGGTAAATCCCCCAAATAAGATTTGATCTGATCTTCCAAGAATGCTAATTTGGCTTCATTATTACCAGTAAAATAAGCTTTAAGACAGAAAGCAGATGTCAGTCTAACATTGAATAAGTGAACCGAATTGATGAACAAACACCAGTTTAATAAAGCCAATGGAATGGGCAATCCTTTATCATAAGCTTGAATATGACTAGGTAATGAAGGATCAATATAAGGAATATAAATTTGACTGAAAATCAATTGAATATCATTATTGTCTCTAATGATATCAGCAGTGACCAACAAAGCCATGGATCTGATTTCATTGATGGTTTCCATTGAGAAAATCAACCTCAAAACTGTGGTCAATAAACCTGAAGAGTTCAACTTCATTTGATTAGCTTTCAAATTCTCATTATCTTCTACAACAAAAATTCTTACAATATCCAAAGCAATCAAAATATTAGAGATTCTTTGTTCTGTCCAAATAATTGGGGCAGAAATACCATCAAATTCTGTTTCCAAAGGTTCATTCAATAAATTTGTCAATTGTGGTATACCTTGAGTTTCTAAAAAGAACTTCTGGTTAGATGCATTGTACATCAATAAGTTTGTGATTAAAGATAAACAATCTTGAACCAATATCGAACCTCTTATACCCCCTTCTTCGGCGATTATATTGAATAAAACATCAAAAGTATTTTCAAAAGCCACTAATTTTTGAATGTTGAAATTATTATTGACAAGAGCCATCAACAATAAGATGGCTTCGTTCCTGATCGGATCGTTGGGATCAGACAATAAAGATACAACTGTTGAAATACCCGTGGGGATGTTTAATAAAGCATCTTTGGTCTTTATGGATCTGATTGAAACCAAACTTTCTAATAATTGAATGGCATATAATCTGATATGGAAATCGTTTTCATTGGAAATGATGTCCAATAAAATTTCAATTGACTGTTCATCTTTGGTCAATTCATCAGATATCCAAATGGAAAATTCATCAAAGGAAATGTTATCCATAAGTAAAGGTGATGGGTATTTACCATTCTGTAACCTTGATTGTTGAGAGATCCAACCTTTGGTTAAATCTTCATCTTCCTTATTTCCTTTGATTAGGAGAATCAACAAACACTCTAAAATGGGCTTCACTATCATTGAATTATCACTATCTTTTTTCAAGGTTGAAATCAAGGGTCTTAAACCATATTCAACAACTAATTCTCTATATTGTCTACTGAAGTTTTTCAATCCTAAAACGGCCGATCGCCTATCTGAAGACATCACTGAGTGCTGTAGTCTATTACATAATGTGGGAATGGCTTCATTGACCAGCTGTGTCTTATTAGGTTGGGATAGATAATTATTTATATATTCCATGGTGTAACGTATTCAGTCTGATCTCGAATTTTTCGCGTTAACTGTGCGATCACGTGACTAAGACAGACCATGTTTTCAGGGAGTGAAAGATTAGGAAGAGTTGAATAAGAAAATTGGCTGTTTGGGTGAGTTGAAATTCAATGGGAGATTTCGTTGTCTACTAGTATGTTAATTCATTTGTTTTTATTGAGTTGAAGGTTCGTCAAATGAGGTAAGTCCTCTTGAAAATGTCGCAGTAAACTTGCGACAATATATATATATATATAGATATATATGTGTTTCATCGTGATCGAAGAAGGGTTGGCACATGTAGCCAGATAGCTGAAGAGATTGAGTGAAAGTGTATTTGGTGGATAGTTACTGCAAAAAGGAAGTCAATGCGGCGTGGCTGGTCAACATAACTTCTTGCTAAGTTCTGAATTCTATAACTTACCATTGGAGTTGTGAAAAGAGCTGTAGATGGTGAAGGGGATGTGAGAAAAGGATACATCGATTGAGTTTGAAGACACCAAATGAGTGAGCTCTTAACATAGTGTCTCTCAGTCCAATAAGTAAATTTTGTCCCATCAGGAGCACCATCCATTATTATGTCAATGGACGAGTAGTTGATGAAGCCCAGAAACCAATTATCACCAACCAAATATGTAAAGCACCCGCTTGTCGTAGAGTCAAGGGGAAATAAGGAACGGTTGGGAAGTTAACCTCAAAGAAAGTTTCTCACCAGCAAAAGATTGAGTTCAATATTGAAGTATTCAACCTTCGAGAGGTTTTGGGAAATCATTCTTTCTTTACTCAAGTTCTTGATCTATTAATTTACTGGCTTACATAGCTACAAAGCACAATATGCAATAATTAAGCAAAGAGACTAAAGTAATCATAATGCCCCAAAGTCGCAATCATGGAGAATGTCTCCGGCTCAAATATGTATTACGAGATACATCTCTCATCCCATCCTAACCACAGGGCTTAAATGAGCTCGGAAAAACAACTTGCCTCACAAAACCCCCCAAAGTACCTTAACTGGCCATGTTCGTTCCCATATTTGTTGAAAATCGGTATAAAATTCGCTGTTCCCGGGTGTGAAAGCTTGCGTCAAACTTCATGTACAATTACGTATTTTAAAAACTGGAGTCGCAGTGAGAATTTTGTTGAAGGATAATATATTTTTCTCCAGGACATAATTAGCTTACCTAAGTTTATGTACTTTTAAGACTCAGGGATTAAACGACTGCAAACCTTATTGTAAAATATATTTATTTCAACTACCAATCAGTGGAAAAAGTTGAAAATTGAAGGAGCTGGTATCAATAGCAACAATCCGAAAACTGGAGTTAATTTATTCAAAGCTTTGAAACACGTCCAAAACAGAAGAGACTATTCATATTGACAATCCACATCATAATTTAATAAGTAATTAACTAGTGAATCGTTGAAAAAATGGGTAATAACACATCTAACGTTAGAAAATCGTCAGTTGAAAATAATTTCAGGAAATCTACCACTTCCCAAAATAACCAGCAGAATTTAGATGAAGAATTCAGTGATTTGATTTTGCATGAAGTCAGAAAGAAACAAGAGGAATCCAATGTTAAGAAATTAAACAATAATCAGTTTTCTAATGATTTGATCGAAGATGAATTCAATGAGTTGAACGATTTGATTGAAACTGATACATCAGAATTATCAAGAAATATTATTAATGATGATGATATGGATGTTGAAATCAATGATGATATGGAAATAGATGAGTTAAACGATGTTGATTTTACTAAAGTATTGAATCAATCTGAAGGTCAAGTACCTCCCATGGATCAATCTCAATCTCAATCTCCATATGAAACCATGCCCCAGAAAATTCCTAAACATCAGCCAATTCAACAGATGGGAACATTACCCAACAGAAGACCAAATGGAGGTATTTCTTCACCTTCAAATTTTGCTTATCATTTGAATACCAATTCTAATAACAGCTCCCAACAAGACATCAAGTTGGTTAATGTTGAGATTAAATGGGTTAACATAACTAAAGAGGATATTCAAAAAATTTCTATTATTGGTTCATTTTCTAATTGGAGAAACATCATAAGGTTAAAACAATCTACTACTCATAATAATGAATATAACGTTACTATCAAATTACCTTTAGGTGTTCATAAGTTGTTATACATCATTAATAATGAATATCGAGTCAGTGAACAATTACCAACAGCTACTGACCAAGAAGGGATCTTTTTCAATTGGTTTGAAGTCATTGATGATTTACATCTATTTAATCATTCACAAAATCAACCAAACAGGGAAAATGCATCTACTAAGTACGATGCTAATATTATTCAATCTGCTGGACAATTTGAAATTAACGAAATAAAGAAGAAATCCAATAGTTTCTTAGCTAGAATTAGTAAGGAGGAGCCTAATTTCGAACATGTTGAATTCATGGAGAGTTCACCTGAACGTGAAGATTCCACTCAAAATCAACATCAACAACAAGGCCAACAGCACCAACCACCCCAACAACAACAGCAACAACAACAACAGCACCATCAACGTCATTTGGATCATGACTTTCATCCTCCAACCTCGCCAGGTGATTTTCCTATGGAAAACAAAGATAATGGCTCTTTCAGTGATAAGTACATTATGATGTCAGACAACAATTCATCATCTTTCTTAGTTAACGAACAAGCAGCTAAGCTTGAATATTCTTCAGAAATTCCGGAAATTTTTGTCAACTACAATTTCTTCAAATCCAAGAATGAAAATTTCGAATTACCTGAACCTCCTCAATTACCAGCTCATTTGAACAATGTTCTTTTGAATAAAATTTCCAATAACTCAACCAGTAATTTACCTGCTCAAACCAACCCCAATTTATCATTACCTCAATTGGATTCTTTCAAACAATTCGAAGCTTCCACTTCAGGATCAGCTTCCGGTAGTGTAGGATCAGGGTCTGGAGGTTCTGGCCCAAGAAGACCACCATTGAGAAGAGCTGATTCATCATATTATGCTTCAAATAGAGAGTCTTATCATCAATCGATTCCCAACCATGTCATATTAAACCATTTGATGACAACATCCATAAGGAATGATGTACTTACAGTGGCCTGTATAACTAGATACTCTGGGAAATTTGTTACGCAGATAATGCATTCACCTGCTGATGTTTAATTCATAGATTAATAAACCATAGACAAATCCAAACCTCTCAAATTGTAGAGGTATCAATACGTTAGTCAACTCTTCTTGCCTTGTATAAGTTCAGGCCTCAGGTTTTGTGTTACAAAGGTTATCGGTCAAAACGGGTTAAAAAATGTGGAACAAATGCGAAACTTGTTACAAACCACAAATTTGAAACATGTCATGGACTGGGATTAAAAAGGCCATTAACAGGGCTGGAACCCAAGTTATGATGAAGGCTGGTCAAATTGATGAAACTACGGATAAACAATTTGAGTTTGAAGAAAAAAGATTCAAAGCAATGGAATCCAACAGTGTTAAGTTACATAAGGAATTGAAACAATATTTAGAGAGTTTAAGGATTTTAACTACAGCTCAAGTCAATGTTGCTGAAGTATTAAAGACCTTTTATGGTGAAACAGATGTAGTTCATGAAAGAGAATTGGCTAAGGAAGGGAAAGAATTAAGAATTAATAATTTTAGTGATGAATATTATAGATCGATTAAAGGTTTGAATGATGATGTTTTAAGTGAATTAGAGGGCCCTTATAATCAAGTTGTATTGAACCCTATCGGAAGATTCAATTCATATTTCATTGAGATCAACGAAGCCATAAAAAAGAGACACAATAAGAAATTAGATTATGATTTGATGAAAAGTAAATTACAGAAATTGATAGAAAAACCAAGTAACGATGTTGAAGATTCGAAATTATTAACCACCAAAGAAGAATTGGTCAAATCAGAAGAAGTTTATGATAATTTGAATGAAGAATTGAAGACTGAATTACCCAAATTGATTAATTTGAGAATTCCCTTCTTAAATCCAAGTTTTGAAAGCTTTGTCAAGTTACAATTAAGATTCTTCAATGAGAATTATAAATCATTGAACGAAATCCAATCAAACTTAGATAGTCGACTTAGACAAGATTATATAAATGGGAATTTGGAATCGAGATTGGATCAAGTTTTGGTAAAAATGAGGGAACTCAATGTTACTGGTAATTGAAGCAAAAGCAAATTTGTGTTTTCAGTGAATACAAGGGAACTTATTGTCAGCTGAAGTTACTACTATTATCAATGTAGTAGTAACATCGTTGTGTTTTAAGGGTTGAAAAATTTATTTTTATAGGAAATAGGAGTTTATAGGGAAATCTGTTGATAAGAAAATCGCACTCTATAGTCCATGACAAAAACTGATGTTTCAGGTATTGATGATGCCTTTTGGATATCATATGCCGATACAACTCTCCATTTGGGGAAGAAAAAAGATTTTAGTAGCTCAATATTCAAGACGATCAATAAATACTTGGAGAGTTTGAAATTTGATAAGGTTTCGGCCACAGAGATTCAAGCTTTAATGAATTCTCCTTTTACTGATGGTGATTTGATAAAGACATTCCATTTAATAAGATATTTCCAATTGAGTAAGAAAGGTTTGTTCATAACTAATGATTCCTTCGATAAATCTGGGAATCCAATAAGATTTGTAGGGGCTGATAATTGGGAAAGCGTAATGTGTTATATGGATTCACTTCTATTTTCAATGTTTGCTAATCTTGATTCATTCGAACCTATACTTTTCATATCCAATCAATTTCAAAATCCCTTAGTTAACAGGTTATCGAATTTACTTCGAGTTTATGTCAATTTGTTGAGATCAGGGAATACTATCAAGATTGATTTGACAATTAAGATCTGTCAGACTTTAAGTAAGTTAGGATTTTCCGAAGCTATGTCACACAAACAGCAAGATGCTGCTACATTATTTGAATTTTTGACAGAGATTTTGAGTATGCCGTTGTTAACCTTCAAAATAGATATCAAACATAGTGGTAAATTCAATGAAGCCGATGATAGGAAGTATTCTAAGGAAAGAATGCTTTTCGTAAGTATCCCTGACGATGGAGAAGACGGAGAAAGCGATGATGTGATTTTACTTGAAGAGTGCCTTGAACATTATTTCAATAATTCCATCACTGTGATGAGAGAATTAGAAAGAAGAGCAACTTTGGATGGAGCTAAAAGACCAACTATCGATGAATTAAGTGAATTATCCAATGAACAACCAAGCTTTGCCAGCAAAAATAACACTCGAGTTGAGGTAAGAACACGATCCTCCACCCTTTCTATCTGGACCATTGATGGTGATAAGAAGGAAAAGCCTAAAGAGGTAAGTTTACCCGCATGGATGTTTTTAAGACTTTTACCCTTTTATACTGACGATAATAATGTTTCTATCACCAATAGTGGGAATGTTAACAGTATAGCTAAAAATTCCAAAGAATTTGCTAATAGAAGACCAGTTTTACCAATATGTTTAAAGAGGTATTCTTATGAGAATCAACGAGCCAATAGACTGAAAAAGAAGATTGTTATCCCACCTATTATCAACTTACCTCAATTTGTAGCTGATGAAGATGACGATAAAAATTCTGGTAATTATAAGTTAATCTTGGAAAGTGCTATATGTCATAGAGGTACATCGATTTCTTCAGGGCATTTTGTTTCAGCAGTAAGAAAGAATTATCACAAAATCAATGAAACAGAAGAAGAAGCTTTAGAAGCTCCTTGGTTTCTTTATGATGATATGCATAAACCTAAAGTTGTGGATAAATCATTTAAAGATTTATTTAGTGAAGAATGGCCATACATGTTATTTTATAGATTAATTTCCATTGAAGAGACATCAAGCAGGTCCAGTATCAATTCCGACAATTCCAAGATTATTATCCCTGAAGGATCAAAGAATTCTTACTGGCAAGAACCAGTATTATCACCAATTCTATCTGCTACTGCTTCACCCAATCAATCTCAGAATCCATCAACTGTTGCTTCAGGTGTTAATTCCCCGGAGTTAAAACCAGTTCACAACAACGCCATCCTGAAAACAGTGTCCAATAATAGCCAGACAAGTATCCCAATACCAGACATTTCACCTCTGGATAAAGCATTCGTTGATATAAGACAAAGATATTACTGGTACATACCTGACGATGATATGAATTATTATAAAGAGTTTTCAATTTCTACACATAGTACTAGAAGACCGAGTCTTACAGCTCAATTCCGTAGAAATAGTCAATGGAGTGATACCCTACTATTATCAGATGTCAATAAGAAATTAGATAACCTACCTAAAACAGAGAATAACGTACTGATAGAGACTTCAATGTCCAATTTGAACTTGCTGGAAAAGTCAGAACCCTTGGACGTTAAAGATAAGAAACACCATCATTTCCATTTACATTCAGATGATCATAAAAAAGCAAAGAAAAAAAGAGATCACTACAAGAGAGACAAATGCATAATTACATAGTATATTTAATCGCAATAATAGATTTTTCCATTAGTTCCTGAAGCCATTACTTTACTCTGCTCTTGAGGATGGTACTTTATACAATTGATGAGTTTGTTAGACACTCTAAATTTCTTTACTAGTTTCCCTGACTTGAAATCCCAGAATAAAAGGAAACCTTTGGAATCTCCACTGCAAATGATCTTACCATCAGGAGAGAAATCTATATCGATTTTATAACCTGTAATGTTATCGTTTCTGAAAGTCTTTTTCCTAAACTTGAACTTGGGATCCAATACCTGGATGAGATTATTCATGTTTTGTAAAGCAATGTCGTTCCCATGAATGGCAACTGAAGCTATGGAGTATTGTGTAGGATGCATGATGGTCTTGAGAGGAATATTAATTCCATAATTCCAAATTCGTATAGATTTGTCGTCCGATATCGACAAGAATTTCTCTTTAAAAGGCTTGAGACCATTTATGGAACCCAAATGATAATCATAAGTTTGTACGGAAGTCAAGACTGATTCTCCAGCATCAGTATTGGCATTAAGATTGAGTGAGTAATGCTCGATTTTATTATTTCGAAGACCTACAAGGAACTCACCATCATCAACGGTATTAAACATAACTGAGGTAGGCTGTACTTCAGTCTTCAATGTGTAAAGAACCTCCCCTGTTTCAGTATCCCAAAGATGGACTTTCTTGTCAAAGGAACAGCTCAAAAACCTGTCACCTTTTTTATTGAAAACTATATCTTTGACAGGTTGAGAGTGACCACAGTATTCTCTGATTAGCTCTTGATCGTTATAAACATCCCATAAGCGTATCATACCATCATTACCACAAGAAAGTATCAAATGTCCGGATCCAGGGAAAAATTGTAGTTTATTGACTCCATCTTCATGTCCAGCATAAGTATGGATGACTTTTTTCGGTACAAAACATTCATGATCTCCCAATAATGGTGGAGGGGTCATAAAGCTACCATCATAATCGAATTTGGCCAAATACTCTGTAGTTGGCTTGGTCTCAGTCTGTACTTCATTACTATTCTGTATATCTTCTTCTTCTTTTGTTTCTTCATCATCCTCGGGTTCCAGAACCTTTTCTTCAGGGGTTTCTTCATATGATGCCCAAGGACCTAAATAATCATCTTCAACATTGCCCTTTCTTCTCTTGTTTTTATTCTTCCCTCGTTTGAAAGGAGTTTGGAAAGGTTTAGATTCCACCTCAACTATCTCGAATTTCTCTTCAATGGCAGATGTTTCAGGATTAACATCTACCAATTTGGTATCCACAGTGGCCATCAAGGACAAAGGAACCTCGTCTTCATCGCTACTATAGCCCTGGACAAGTGACATTAAGATAGATGGTGCGCGAGATGAGATAAATCCAAATCAAGATGAGCAAAAGAAGAGTTGATGAAGAAGATTCCGATATTGATGTGAGTTCCACCGATTCTGAAGGTGAAGAAATTCAACAAGAAGAAATTGTCGATGTGGATTTTGAATTCTTCGACTTAAATCCTGATATCGACTTTTTAGCCACCAAAAACTTATTACGTCAATTATTCGGTGATGATGCTAATAACTTCAATATTTCCGGTATTGCTGATTTATTCTTAACCGAAAACAGTATTGGTACTACAATCAAGACCGACGGTAAAGAAAGTGATCCTTATGCTTTACTATCAGTCATTAATATCAACGAACAAAAGGATAAAGCTCCTATGAAGACTTTATTAGATTATATCTTTGAAAAGACCTCCAAAAGTATAGAATTTAACATGATGTTGAAAAAATTAATCAACACTATCAAAACTACTAAGGATTCATCAAAGTTACCTAAAGTTGGATTGATTATTAGTGAAAGAGTGGTTAATATGCCAGTTGAAGTTGCTCCACCAATGTATAAGATGTTGTTAGAAGAAATGGAAAAATCTGAAGAAAACCATGAAAAGTATGAATTCGATTATTTCTTAATCATTTCTAAAGTTTATAAATTAGTAGGATCCACTTTAGATGACGAAGACAAGAAATCTAAGAAGAAGAAATCTGAAAATTTCATTGAAATGGATTATTTCCATTATGAAGATATGATTTTTGAAGAAAATTCAATGTACCATGGATACTTTGATTATACTAATGTCAATCAAGTGACAGATTCAAGAAGGGTGTTCACCGAATATGGAATTGATCCTAAATTAAGTTTAATGTTATTATCAAAAGACAATTTAGCTAAAAGTGTACCAGCAATGGCAGAAAAATTTCCTCCTTTCTAGATTTCTGTTTTAGATATCGATTTTTAAATGTACATTACTAATTCTCTTGACCTAATATTACAAATATAACCTTCAAAATCATTACACATATCAATTCTAAAAACATTAACAGTAAGATTACTATGGAGAAAAGAATGGTGAAAACCAGTTCAATTATTGTTTTTAATAATCGGTAAACCATCTAAACATCCATTAAAATTTCTTCAAATAGTTATCCAACCGTTCACCTTCACTAGGTTTCAAAGGTTATAAGTTTAATTACTAAGTAGACCGACTATCGCTAATGTTAAAGTTTCAAATGTTTGAGGTGCGGTTGAACTGAAGGAGGAAAAATGCGTCCTCACACGATAAAATCTCAGTGAAAAATTTTTCAAATCAAAAAGGATTGTTAGTTAACAAACTTGAGGTTATTATAGATAATTTATTATGGTACCACCTCATAAGAATCACAACTTCCGTCCGGAGAATGTGTTAAAGCGTGCTGAAGATTTAATCGGTGTCGGAGAAGAAGAAGCCGCCTTAGAAACTTTATATGAATTAATTACATCTAAAAGAATCAGATATTTACAAGTTGAAGATTTAGAACCAATTGCCTTATTATTAATCAAATTAGCTGTTGATTTAAGAAAGGGAAAAATTGCCAAAGATGCCTTACATCAATATAAGAAGAATGTTCAATTATCAGAAAATGGATTAGAAAGTGTTCAAGTTATTTGTAGAAAATTCATTGAATTATCTGAAAAGAAATTAGATGAAGCTCAAGCTAAAGCTGATATCAAGATTGATCAAGAAGATGAAGATTTAGAAGCTTCTCAAACTCCAGAATCTATTTTATTATCATCAGTTTCTAATACTGATTCAGCTGATAGAACCGAAAGAGAATTAGTTACTCCATGGTTAAGATTCTTATGGGAAGCTTTAAGAGCTGTTTTAGATATCTTAAGAAACAATTCCAAATTAGAAATCACTTATTCAGCTATTGTTAATCAAGCATTCCAATTTTGTCTTAAATTCAATAGAAAAGCCGAATTTAGAAGATTATGTGAATTATTAAGAACTCATATTCAATCAGTTACTCTTCAAACTAAAAGTTCAGGTACTAATGCTATTGATTTAAATGATGCCGAAACCGTTCAAAGATATTTAGATCAAAGATTCTCTCAATTAAACATTGCTGTTAAATTAGAATTATGGCAAGAATCTTTCAGATCAGTTGATGATGTTCATACTTTAATTACCTCATCAAAGAAATCACCAAAAGCTGTTATGATGGCCAACTATTATGAGAATTTAGCTAGAATCTTTGCTGTTTCAGATAATTCATTATTCCATGCTGCTGCTTGGAATAAGTTTTTCAACTTATATTCCCAAAGTCCAAATGCTACTGATGATGAATTAAAACATTATGCCTCAATTTTGGTCTTATCTACTTTAGCTATTCCTCATAAAACTTTAAACAACGAAACTATCGTTGATGATCATAAAGCTAAGAATTCTAAATTAACTTCATTATTAAATTTGACTCAAGTTCCAACTAAAGAAAGTTTATTAAAATCTATTATCAACAGAAACATCTTATCATTTGTTGATCCTGAAATCAAAAATTTATTCAAAGTTTTAGAAGAAGATGAATTCCATCCTTTAACTATTAAAGAAAAGATTTCTGAAGTATTCAAAAACATTGAATCCGACAAAGATTATAAACATTATATTCCAACTTTAAGTGAAGTTATTCTTATTAAATTGTATCAACAAGTTAGTCAAGTTTATGAAAGTGTTAAATTAGATTTCTTAGTCAGTTTAGGTATCTTTGAGAGTTCAGAATATCAATTAACTCCTTTAGATATTGAAGATTTAATTGTTAATGCTGTCAAAGATGGTCATTTATCATTATCTATTGATCATGAATCTAATGTTGTTTCATTCAAATCAGATCCTTTCGAAGAATCAATTAATGATTCAATGACTAGATTACAAATATCTCCTGCTGAATTGATCAAAACTCAATTAAGTAAATTAGCTCATACTTTATCATCATCAATTGATATCATTAATCCAGAATATCTCGAACAAGCAAGAAAAGCTAAAGAAATTTCCTTACAAAATGCTATTGAAAATATGGTTAAAGAACAAGAAAATATTGCTAGAAGAGCTGAAATTATGGAAGAAAGAAAAGCTATTACTGAAAAGATTCAACGTGAACAAGAAGAAGAAGCTATTAGATTAAGACAAGAAAAATTAGCTGCTGAACAAAAAGCTGAACAAGATAGATTAGTTGCTGAACAAGAAAGAAAGAACTTGGAAAGATTACATAGAGAACAAGAATTAATCAAACAAAAGGAAAAGAGAAAAATTGCTGAAGAAATTAATGCTAAAGGTATCATCAAGATTGATCTTAATGATTTAGATAAATTAGATACTGAAAAATTACATGCTATGCAAATTGAACAATTAAATAAAGATAAGAAGATGTTGGAAGAAAAATTAAAAGTTACTTCAAAGAAAGTTGATCATACTGAAAGAGCTTTTAGACGTTTTGAATTACAATATTTGGAAAAAGATGCCGAAGAATCAAAAGTCAAAGAATTACAAGAATATGAAGAATTCAAACAAAGTAAAATTGTTAAAGCTAAACAAGATTATGAAAAAGCTTTGAATTTGAAGAAAAGATTCACCAGAGTCATTCCAACTTATCAACCTTTCAAACAAGCTATTGAAAATAAGAATAAAGCTGCTTTAGATAAATTAAGAAATGAAGCTAAAGAAAGATTAGAAGCTGCTAAACAAGAAAGAATTGCACAAGTTAAAGCTCAAAGAATCGAAGAATTGAAATTAAAGAAAGAACATGAAGCCAGACAAGCTGAAGAAAGAGATAGGAAATTAAAACAAGAAGAAGAATTAGCTAAATTGAAAGAAGAAATGAGACTTCAAAGAGAAAAAGATGCTGAAATGGCCAAAAGAAGAGCTGAAATGGAAGCTGAAATGGCTAGAAGAAATGGAAGAGCTCCACCTTCATCTACTCCTGCTCCAACTCCTGTTAGATCATCTCCAACTCCTCAAGCTGCTCCAAGAAGTGATAAACCTCTCAGTTTCGCTGAGAAGATGAGATTAAAGAGAGAAGGTAAATTACAATAGGTTAGGGACTATATAGTTAATTAGAATATCTAGAACATTCATGAAAACTCTTGAAGACTTTTGAAGACTCCTGTCTACTGATGCCCACGGTTCATAAACTCCATAGCAAAGAAGCGACTTTGAGGTTTTGACTTGAAGGGTCCAATTATGGAAAAATGCGAGAGTTTACTATGAAGCAAATAACAGTTATTGGATCTTTGAACTATGATTTAGTCACCTACACCGACATAGTTCCTGAAGGGGGTGAAACAGTACAAGCCAATGCCTTTGAGAATCATTTGGGAGGAAAAGGATTGAACGAATCTATTGCTGTGGCCAGATTAAGTAAGGATACTGAGGTTAGAATGATAGGAAATGTTGGTAATGATTCTTTTGGAAAAGAGCTTAAACAAGCATTGATCGATGCTAAAGTCGACACTTCATATATAAAGACCATTGAAGGGATTTCATCAGGTGTGGCGGTGATTTTGGTAGAAAAATCAGGAGAGAACAGAATCTTAATCACTGCTGGTGCCAATGGGGAATTAAAACCTAGTGTTGAAGATTATGAAACTTACTTCGAACAAGACACTGGTTTTGTATTATTACAAAATGAGTATCCTCATACTATTGAATCTATCAATTGGTTGAAATCAAATAGACCAAGCATCAATATCTCATATAATCCATCACCTTTTAAACCTGAATATATTAAGAGTGAAGTATTATCCAAAATCGATTTGTTAATTGTAAATGAAACTGAAGCTTTGGATGTTGCTGGAAGTTTATTATCGGCTGAAGAAGCTGATAAGTTCAAGACTCGAACTGATGAATCTGAAATGAATGGATTCAAAGAATTGAGTGAAAAATTAGTCAAATTGATTAATCAAGACAATATTAATCTTGTCATCATCACTATGGGAAGTAAAGGATGTCTTTATTCAAGCAAATCTACTGGTACTGCCTTCCAAGCATCAGAAAAAGTTAAGAATGTGGTTGATACTACTGGAGCTGGTGATACCTTCTTTGGAGGTGTAGTTTCTCAATTAAGTAATGGATCAACTATCCCAGAAGCAGTCAAATTCGCTACTAAAGCTAGTAGTTTAGTCATTCAAAAAAAAGGTGCAGTAGAGAGTATTCCATTTGCTGAAGATGTTGAAAAATTATAAATATAGATAAATATATAAAATACAATATCGCTTAAGCTTTTCTTGAACGCACTTGGCTTTCGACGACCGGAGTTGAATCTCTACCAGTTGTATGAACGAATTCATTGACTTGAGCAGCAACACCACCACTAACAGATTTAACTCTCTTAGATCTGGTGGTACCTTTCTTTTTATAAACTTCAATATAGAAAGAAATGAATAATACTAAGTATGAAGATAAGATACCACATCCAGCATAAGCAGCTCCCATACTACCAGCACAAGAACCACAAGTTGGTAAAACAGATTTTAAATTGGTGAAATATTCATCAACTAATTTGTTATAAGTAGCAAAATAGACAAATCCTAAATCTAAAATGAATTGCATGATTTGGAATCTAGTAACCCATTCTTTCCACCAAACTCTAATACCTCTAGCAGCTAAGAAATAGTAGAAATACATGACAACATGAACGAATAAGTTAAGGGAGATAACCACCCAAGAAATTGAAGTTTTACCAACTAATTGAGAATAACATAATAAAGCAGTAGCCCCATGATGATAAGTATGTAAGAAAGTTAATTTCTTTTGTTTAACAACTAAAAATAAGGTATCAATGAATTCAATGTATTTGGTAATATAGTTTAAGTAGTATAATAATTCCATTTCTTGAGTCCAAGCTTTTGGTGAACAGATACTCCAGTATAATCCATGATAATAAATCATTGGGAAAACTTGTTCAACCATTAAAATCAATAAAGTAAATGATAAACTGGTTAAGAAAATGTTATGAATTTGGAAAGGACCATTGAGAACTAATGGTGTTAATTTGAATTTTTTGAAGATGTAATTACCTCCAAAGACTAAAGTATAGTAAACAGCTACCATGATTAAAGCTGGGGGTAAAGTTGATAAAGGAACTTCACCTTCAATCCATTGAAATTTTGAAGGAACCCATTTTCCACCGGTTACAGTGGAAACAATTTCGTTAAAAATTGGGAATAATTTGACTCCAAATGGAGTTTCAGGCGTAGGAAATGGAAAGGACATTATATATCTTTCTACAAGGTTTGTTAAATAGCAATAGACCTCGATTAAAATAGAAAAAATGAACGTATAAGTTTAGCAAGTCTTGATGTTGACAAAAAGATCTGTGAAATTTTCAGACGCGATGCGAATCTGGAGATTATTGACGTAATGAAGAGAGACATTAGTGGAGTAGATGATAGTTCTAGCGATGAAGGGAGTGGTAGTGGTAGCGAAGAAAGTAGTAGTGGAAGCGAAAGTGAAGTAGAACTTTTGAGTAAACCAATATTCCTCAAGAAGAAGAAACTGGTGATTGAAGATAATGTAGTGTCCGAGGTCTTAGACGAAGATAATGGGAAGGCGGATGAAAGAATACTTAAGAATCTCAACAACATCAAGGACATAGAAGATAAAGATTTGCATGAATTTGATGGAGTTGACGATTACGATGATAATGAAGAAGAAGAATATAGTAAGTGGAGAATAAGAGAGTACGAAAGGTTCCAAAGAGATAAGAAAATCGCCATTGAATTGGAGATTTTCAAACAAGAACAAATGAATAGATCTAATATGACGGAGGATGAACTTATACAGCAGTTTGAAGCTCGTAAAGATAATAATCAATACCATAAAGGACCTTTCCAAAATGATGAACTTGAAGAATTTGAGCAAAAAATCCTGCAAAGAGATTATAGTCAAAAAGAGATTGATCATTCAAGACCCACAAGATTCAAGCAGTCATAAATGTCATAATCGTGGTCTAAATTGGTATGATTTGTGATGTTTCTTGATGATGAGAAGATGAAGATGAACTGAGAGGTGCGAAAATTCAATGTCTTTGATACCTTTACCACCTTCTTTGGTACCGTTTCTTGAACCATTCTTACCTGCCAATGACGAAGTTTTCATCACATTAACATATGCACAATCATTAGATTCTCGGATATCATCAAAACCTGGAGTTCAAACTAAAATATCTCATTTGGAAACCAAAACCATGACCCATTATTTAAGGTCAAAACATGATGGGATATTGGTGGGAATTGGAACGGTTTTGGCTGATGATCCAAAATTGAATTGTAGATACGAAGGCGGTAATAGTCCTGTACCAATTGTTCTTGATCCCCATGGGAAGTGGGTATACCATAAATCTCAATTGCGGAAGATATGTGATGGGAATCAAGGTAAACCCCCTGTTATAATTATTGATGAGGAATCACAACTCGATGACGAAAGTGTAAAAGTACTTGCACAACAAGGTGGTAAAATCTTACAATTACCATTAAAGCAACCTAACAATTGGAATATCATCATTGATGCACTTTCACAACAAGGAATCAAATCAATAATGATTGAAGGAGGAGCCAGGATTATCAATGATTTATTGATCTACAAAAAAGATAACAAGAGCATTGTCAACAGTTTAATCATAACTATTGGACCTGTATTTTTAGGTAATGAGGGAGTTGAAATAAGTCCTTTAAAACATGTTTCCCTTTCTCATGTCAAATGGTGGTCAGGTATTCAAGATAGTATAATGTGTGCTACAATAGAATGAACATTAACCTATATTACAAATCTACTTAATTTTACTGTATTATTTTTGATGAATTTTTAATGATAAATAGATGAATAATAATCATAAACATATTCTATAAGAAGCATAACGACCAGAAGTTTCGGATCTTCTTATAATTTTAACAACTTCACCTCTTTTCAATCCTAAGTATCTAGCTACTGGATCTTCTCTTTGGATTCTTGGTAATTGAGATTCTTTTAATCTATATCTTTCTAATAATTCTTTCTTTTCATCTTTGGATAATTTGATATGTTTTGGAACTAATTCATGATGAGTGATATTGACGATTAAATCAGATTCTTGGAAAGTTTCAATACTTGCTGGGGCAACAGTTGGAATTAATTTGTTGGCACTAGGAGTTATTGAAGTTTGATAAATGAAAATACCGGTAGCAAAATTTTTTTCACTGATGTGAATACAGAAATTTCTCATGGTTTTGATACCAACGGATTCTTCTTCACAGAATTCGACCCATAAAGGACCCAAATCAGGGAATTTATCTAATGCTTCAGGTGTTGGACTTGCTTGGAAACACATCAATTTTCTTTGAGGAACATTCATGGCATCACATTTGGAACTTTTGAAATCAGCTAAGGTCATATTAAGTTCCTTTTGGGAGATGGAGTATCCTCTATCGGCGACCATTTCTATCACGGTCTTGTAACTTCTCCATAAACGTGATACAATCCTGTCTTGTTCTTCCATTATGTTCTCACCAAAATTTTCACTGTCTCATCAACTTTTGAGAATCTTTCGCATATGTGGTATTGCCACGACTTTTGATAGAGGAATAATGAAAGATGTAAGTAACTTTTATATTTCATTTCAATCATGAATATCTATAAAGAATTCCTTCTAAAGAAAGAAGGTCTCTTGGTACCACATTCTTTTTGTTTAGACATTTTTTCAACTATTTCGGGCAAATCTCCATTTTGTTCCCATTCTTGAATAATACCTTCTGCGTAATCCAACCCTGCCTTATAGATTTGTTCGAACTTGTTGAAGTCAAGTGTAGCATAATCATCAATGGGAGGTCTCAAATATTTAACCCCTGGAGTTTTCTTTGCTGCTTCAAGGGCATTTACACTGGCAACGTAAGCCAATCTTGATTGAATATCCATCATATTAGGGATATCAGCATGTTTAGAAAATGGGTTCCATCTATTGATTAATACCCACATTCCTGACAAAGTATCACCATAATTCATAGGACTGTTATCATCAATAGCACCAACATCTACGGCAATGATGTATTTGATACCCCTTTTCTTCATTTCCAAAACAGGAAGATTATCAAGATATCCACCATCGAGAAGCATGGAGCCATTGTAGGTAATAGGAGGTAATAAACCAGCCAAAGACATTGATGCCCTAATAAATCTCCACAGGTAACCGGTTTCATGGATGTCCATGGTGGAGTTGGTGATGTTAGTAGAATTACAAAAGAATTTAATCCAACTATCTTCAATTTCAGCAAACCCAAGACATTTCCAAATACCTCTATTGAACTCGTAACCTGTCAAATAAGATGTCACAGGAATGGTCAAATCTAAAATTGATCTCCACATGGAAGAAATTCTGATGGAGAATTTTTTCACTTTCCCATAGATGGAAACAGAATTATACTCTGTAGCGTACAATCCACCCACGAAAGCACCAATAGAAGTTCCTCCAATGATATCTACAGGAATTCCATGTCTTTCTAAAGCTGTTACTACCCCAAGGTGGGAAATACCTCTAGCTCCTCCACCTCCTAGAATCAAACCCACAGCTTCATTTGACAATAATCTGGCCAATCTCATGAAATCATTCTTATAAGGTTGAACCTGTTCTGTTGAGGATCTGGTACTTTGACTGATCCTACTGGGGTTCAATCTTGATCTGACATTTTCAATTCTAGTTCTTAATTGACTATTGATAGCACTTTCGGATATTTTTGCTGCCAAATCACCAATGATAGATTTCTTTTTCAATCTTTCTGATCTGATTGTATTGCTTACAGATAAGTGAATATGATGATGACCTTGAACCCAACTTCTATTCTTCAACCAAATACTGGTCGATCCATGAGGGACATTTTTTTCAGGGTGTAACAAACATAAATCAGTTCTGGCTGTGGTTCGGTATTTTACCAAAGATTTTTCATAATCCCCTGGTGAAATAGCAACATCATAATCCTCAGCATTGGCAAGAAGAAGAATACAATCCCCCTGACTAATACAAGTAGACGTCCATGTAGATTTGACTGTACTGTCACAAATGTACAACACGGTTTCATATTCTTCTTCCAAGGCAGCAAAATATCCTGACAACTTCAATTGGGCTAAACTGTCATCAAAAGCATGTCTTCCCAAATGATTCAAAATGGATGTTTGGTCCAAGGCAATAACATTTCTACCAATCAATTTCAATGAATCTAACAATTTGGTTGCAAATTCTCTAACTGGAAGTCCAGAAACTGTGGGTAAAATGGTGATGGTCTTATAATTACCAGAATTATAAGTTGACGGAGATTGGAAAGGTGTAGAATTGTTGGTAGGTGTAGGTGGAATGGTGGAAGAATAACCCAATTGTCTTATGTCATTCAGTGTAGCAGCCACTTTATTGGCGACAATTCTAGAAACTTTCACCATAATCGAAGGATTTTGAGATGATAAGATTTCAAACAATGTTCTTGGAATTCTTGCAGTTTCAGAATCCCTGATAGCTATCAAAGAATTGTTTCTACGGGATGCAGTTAGAACTTCAACCTCTCCAATGGATTCTCCATGACCATATTCCCCAAGAACAATGAAATTATCATTACTTTTCTGGTGCTTTTTGGTTAATGGAGATTTAGGATCGTTCTCATCTTTACTCTTTATAACTCTGAATCTCCCACTGATAATAATATGGAATCCATTGGCTTGGTCACCTTCTGCCGCTAAGACACCACCAGCTTGGATCGGACAATATTCCAAAGCAAAATCAAGGGTGTTCAACTGTTTGGAGAATAAATTCTTACATTTAATAGCAAGTGGTAAAGCTAATTGATAATACTTGTCCATCAACTTTGACCAGCTATCCTTTTTAATATATGCTAACAAAGCACCTTCAGATTTGATGGTAGTCAAAGACTTAATTCCAATTATGGTGGGTAAGTAACCAGCAACACCCCCTTCCTTGATGGATTTGGAATGTCTGACAATTTTCTTTTCATTCTTTTGAATGGTATATTCTTCTACTAATGAACCACTGATGACATAAAACAATCCACCACTAAATGAGTCCTGATCTAGAACAATAGCTCCTTGTTCAAAGTACTTGATGGTGAGGAATCTGGAGAATTCTTGCTTGATCAAATTGAAATCAATGAGTTCGCCTTTGCTTATAGAATTAGACTTTGAACGGTTGATTTCGAAGATATTCTCCAAATTAGAACCCCTAGAACTGTTATAAATATTCAACTGTTTCTGATTTATAGTATTATAAATCTTGGGACTGGCTGCACGACTTTGACTCGAACTAACACTGGAGAAAGAATCAAATCTAGCTCTGGTGGTATATTGTTCATATATTTGGCCCTTGTTTATGGAATTAACATTTGAGGTAGTAGGGTTGTTTACAAGTCCATTTAAGCCATTGTTAAGTCCCATGTATGATGGTGAACTTGATAATGAACCATCACTCATACTACCTAAAGATAAAACACCCTTAAACATTGAAGAATCTTCATCCACACCTAAAATCTTGAAAAGGTTTTCAATAATAGCTATTTTTGTAGAGCTCTCTTCGGTTTCCTCAATACCATAAACTGGTTCTTTGAAAGGATCTGTGGTTTGAAAATGGTCTAAGTTGAATAAAGACTTTCTGGAGATAGGCACTGAAGAAATCAAATCTCCTGGATGATTAGGTTTAGCAACGGAGTTCAAAGATACAATTCGGGTACTGGATTGGTGCTGTAAATTCTTTAACAGGGGAATTTTTTTACTCGTCAAAGAAGTGTTGGATTTGGATAAACTCAAAATTGTATCTTCTGGTTCAGGACTTTTGGAGTCCAAATCAGGTAAATATTTCTCCACTAAACCTTGTCTTAAATGATTGGGGAGTTGAAAATCAATTTCTGAGTTTAATTTTGTATCACAACTCAAAATTTCTTCGGTTAAACCCATATAATTATGAACCACATTCATAGTGACTTTGAAAATTCGATTCTTTACCATGGTAACAATATGTGCAGTAGCTTTAGGATATTTCATTTGGATTCTTTGGAATGCAGATCCGGGGATGATAGCAATGGTGGCACCTTGATGATTATTTTTGGAAAATTTTGGTCTTGCTATGATCTCGGGGTAAATTGGTTGGTCGTCCTTCAAATCTAATGAAGAAGCCGATGAAACAGGATTGGACTGGAAGGAAGATTCTGGGTTGAATAAATCAAGCGTACTATTCAATGTCGATAACGGTACACCTGATTTGATTTCATTTAACAATTGATACTTTTGACTACCAATGATCAAAACCTCGTCTCTATCGAATTCAAGATCTTTCAAATTTTGAAGTTGTGAATTATCGTTGTAGTTATCATTTATCTTAATGAAAACCTGGATACAACCATCCACTACAATGGAAAACCCCAACTTTTCATCAAGATATAAGATCTCATCCCAACTCAATTTTTGAGTGGTCATGTTCTTAGTCAATTCATGGAACACCGGTCTTTCCAAATATCCAAAGATCTTGATGGCACTTAAGAATTCATCTAAATAGTTAGAATTGGAATTATGATTACGTCTCTTCTTCTTAATTATTGAATCTGCTATTTCATCTTGTTGAACGTCATTCTCAATTATGTTAGCATTAGGGTTGGCCGAATATCTAGTTAAATATCTATATCTAATGAAGAAAAATACTACTCCAGCAACCATCAAAGCCATAGTAACTAAACTTGGAAATGACAACGTCACTTGGTAGTGAATTGAGAACAAATATGATATGAACTCCCACATTGGTGATGTCTTAATGATGCCCTCGTTTCCAGAATTATCCCACATTGCGCGGTGGTTGCAAAAAATGCTCATGGAAATTCTAAATTCTAAGATTACATAGATATATATTATTTAAGACTATAAGGTAAACAACCGAATCTGTTCAAAACTTGTTCAATACCATCCATACCTAACTCTAATTGGTGTAATTCAGGTCCATAACTAAGTCTAACATAATTATACCAAATAACGTCTTCCAAGTTGGATAAGTTTTGGGGATTAATCAAGAAGAAGAATCCAGGAACAACAATAACTTTGGAATGTAAACATTCATGGAAGAAACCTAAACAATTAGATAATTTTCCTGGTAAGTGGGATAAGTTTAACCATAAATAAAAGGTGGAATTGGGGGTATTTGATTCATTGAAAGACCACCCCATTTTAGTTAATCTGCCTATGATATAATCTCTTTTCATTTTAAAGTGTAATTGTAAAGCCTTCATTTCATTTTTCACATTCAAAGGTTTCAAGAAATCAATAGCAGCATATTGGAATGGACTATTAGAACCACCATCCAAATAAGAACCAGCGGAACTTAAAGCATTTATATAATCTTCAGGACCTAAAATCCAACAAATTCTCCATCCAGGTAATCTGAAAGCTTTAGTTAACCCATTCAAAATCAAAACTGGGTCAGAATTGACATCTTCAATGAATTCAGCTGAACTTATAGATGAACCGGAACAATTGTCATCATAATAATAATGGGAATAAAATTCATCCATTATCAATAAACATTTCTCTCTACATAATTTATGTAATTGATACAATTGTAACTTAGTTAAACATTTACCTGTTGGATTTCTTGGATTAGATGTTAATAAAGCACTTACTCCCTTTTTCAATTCGGTTTTAATTAAATTGAGATGGAATTGATAATGGTCATTTTCATTAAGAGGAACAGGTATTGGACTAAAGTTCTTGAAAAGTGATAACATTTCAGCATATGCAGTATAATCAGGTAAAAAGAAAGATAAATAACAATCTTTGATAATAGAAGCAATTCTAGTTAAACCGGCTCTTCCTCCAGGAACGATACATACGTTTTTCCAGGTATATTTAGAAGATTTCAGCGTTCTATAGGTTTCATTATAGTAATTGGCAACAGCTTCTCTTAACTCTCTAATACCTGCAGTTGGAGCATAACCTTTGGACTTATCAGGAATTGGAATAGTTTGAGGTCTGGGGAAAGAATTAGGAATAGTATCTCCATGTTCAGGAGATCCTTGACCTAAATTGGCCCAGGCTGCATCTCCTTCTTCACTTTGTCCAAATCCATACTCATTGGCTCTCTCTGTGACCCATAACACCCCTGTGGATGATTGTTTATCATTCATAGCAGGTTTATGAATATTTTCATTAAACTTAGGTTTAGGTAATGGAATTGGTGAAGATTCTCTACCATTTTCTGATCTTGATAATTTTGAATATAAATGGTTTCTTAAAGGTTCACGATTTCTACCAGGTCCAGGGTTTCCAACTAAACTACTAGTTGAAATATTTTCATTATTGGCTAACAAGTCAATTAAAGATGATGATGACCTTTTTAAGGAATCAGGTAATGTAGATTCTAATTTTTCAAATTCACTGATACTTTCATCGTCACTTAAAGTGAAAGATCTATCCATGTTCATGGTCCAAGGTTTCAATTTCAAGTCAATTGGGTATGAATTGACCAATTGGAAAAAAAAATATAACCCTACATCCCTTTATGCGTCATAATTGGTGAATTTACGAAATGGATCACATGATGTGACACATGATGTGGCACATGACTCTCGGTCCACCCCACTACCCATTGAGGAGAGTAAGATTAAAGTAACTCATAACGAATTGGTCATTTTAGTATGCGGGAGGAATTCATGGGGGATTTGATTAGCGGAGCCACATATTAAGTTTAAATAGTGAGTTTTTCCTAACCATGATTTAAAACCACTATTTATTTACCAAAATATCATTTAAACCAGTTAGATCCTATAAGATTAGATTGGAAAGATAATTTCATTTTAGCGATAGGTTATTGATAAAAGATAATAGAATAACCAATCACGGATTTTAATAAGGCATTGTCGGAATTTTTGACTGCAAAAAAATCTCCGGTTTACGGTCATTGAGATTTTATAAAACCATCTCATTTTGATTCAGGGTAAATTTTTAAATTTTGTTATAGAAGTTACCCTACACTATACTTTAGAATAGGAATATAAGTTATACGTAAATAAAGGATTTTACCACCAATAAGGACATATCAATAAGCAGAAACAGACAGAGAGTTTTATTACATGATCAGAAGATTATATGCATCATTAAAAGATAAAAGAAATGATGAGGTTGAAGATACGAAAGAATTACAAGAATTCAGAGCCAGAGAATTTGGTATAGGAGATGTTGAAGGAGGAACTAATGATTCTATGGAAATAGATGAAAAGATTTATGATGAGTTACAATTATCACCAGTTAATAGTTTCGATGGGATCATATTAAGTCCACAAAGTAGTTTAAATGCCACTATTTCCAATAATATCTTATCACCTATCACTTCAATAGAATCATATTCTCAACCAACACCTACTATTTCAAATACTTTATCAAATACTTGTGATGAAGGTTACAGATTAAAGAGTTTAACTGATTTACCTAATGAAATATTACTTAAAATCATTGAAATGGTTTATTATGATTCTATTTTTGATGATGAGTTTGATTCTATCAATAAGATTTTAGAAAATTTCATCAAAATTCAATTATTAAGTAAATTTTATCAAAATTTAAGTTATAAATTTTTATATAAATATGGAATTTTCAATAGACCCCATTCATTTGCCAAATTTTTGAATAATTTGAATAGTAATTTAGTCAAAGGTAAGAATTTAGGGAAATATGTTCAATTTATAGACTTTGACTCATTCACATCAATTGGTTTGGGTAGAACAGGGAAAATGAATCAAGAAATTCAAATGGTAACATCAAAAACTATTTTAGATTGTTTACACAAAACTCCAAATTTAATAGAATTTTTAGCATCGGAGAATATTCAAGATGATCTTAATGTTGATGTTTTGAATTATATCTTCAATGAATTGAATCATTTACAAAGTTTAGATTTCTGTGGTGCTTCATCTAAAGCATTTTTCGATGCTTTTAATGAATTAAACATTAATAGAAATTTGAAGAAATTATTCAAAATTTCATTCCATGATTGTTCAAATTTATCTATTGAAGTATTTAAAAAGATTTTACCCCATTTGATTAATTTAAGAAGATTGGATTTAACTCATACTTCCATTACTTCTACTATTTTATTAAATTATTTACCTTCAACTTGTAATTTAACCCATTTATCATTATCCAGATGTTCCAAATTAACTACCAGAGATTTAATTAATTTCTTAATCAATCATCCATCAGTAAATGATCACCAATTACAATGGCTTAATTTATCTATCGATTCAAATGTTATTAGTCCTTTGACTTCTAATTATTTGTTCTTCACCTTAAATCACATTAATGCTGCTAATTTACAATATTTGAATTTGAAAGGATATCCTATAAATGATAAAATCTTAAACTTGATCAATTTGAAATTCAAAAATTTGGTTACCTTATCAATCGGATACTCAAATTTACAATTTGATCAAATTTATGAATTTTTACTTAATGCTGATAACCTCCTCAATATAGATTTATCAGGATGTAAGTTAACCAAAGGAAATATTTTGAATTTAATCACTTTACCTAATCTTATTTCAATTGAATTCGATAACAAGGTTTTGAAAGATTTAACCAATAATGATGGTCAATTTATTAGGAATTTCGATGATCCAGAGAATAAAATCATATGGAGATTCTTCGATAACAATGGAAGAAGATCGTGGATCTATAAATTATTCCCTCATCAATTGGAATATAAACAGATTTTACAATTTGGTAAAATTCTAAATCTTAACTTGACTTATTATGATTTGGTCACAGGTGAAAAAATCATCAATAAGTTAAGTAAACCAGTATTCTTGAAATATGTTGGTAAGAAGATTAATTGTTCTGTTGGCTTTAAGAACATGAATGATTGTAAGCATAAAGAGTATTTGAATAATTATGAAACAGAAAGTGTTTGGCCTACTCGATTCTGTGAAAGAGGTATTTATAATTATTATTCTCTTAATATTTAACGACTTATGTAATATAAATTGTATTTACTCTTGGTGGACTCTTCTTGAGACGTTTCCTCTTCACACTCACCTCCAAAAGGTCCCCTCATTCAATTCTCACTACCCCAGATTTTATCCGAAGGTCTCAAAAAAAATCTTTAGACTATGAATGAAGAGATAGAAAAGACTGTTACAAAGATAAGAAGCCCTTTTGATACTGATTCCTTAGAGAAGTTCTTGACATCGGATATTAGTCAGAATTCTCAAGTATCATTGGGTGTTGAAATTCCTAAATGGAAAGCACCTTTGACTATCAAACAGTTCACTTTTGGTCAATCCAATCCAACTTACCTTATAATTGATGGTGACAACAAATTGAGTGTTATGAGAAAGAAACCTTCACCCAACGCTAAATTGGTTTCGAAATCGGCTCATGCAATTGAAAGAGAGTTCTTTATTTTGAATGGAATCAATAGATTGAATCAAAATACCGATAAGAAGGTACCGATTCCTCAAACTTATTTTCTTTGTGAAGATGAATCAGTTATTGGCTATGTGTTCTATGTAATGGAATTCATTGATGGGACTTCAATCAAAAACCCTGATATGACAGCCATTAGTGATGAAAAGAGACAAGTTTTATGGAATTCTATCATGGAAACTATTACAGCCATTCATTCTTTAGATGCAGAAAAATTGATTGATTTGTTACCTGAAAAGCATTTCCCACAATTTAAGAAACCTTCTAATAAGAGCACAAGTTATTTTGAAAGACAAATCAAAACTTTGGCTGCAGTTTCCCAAAAGCAAAGTGAAGTGGTTGATCCAATTCCTGATTTCAATAAAATCACATCTTATATTCTCAGGAATGCCCCTAAAGATCCTACCAAGTTGTCATTGATCCATGGTGATTGTAAAATTGATAATTTCATCTTCAGTAAAGATCAGACCCGAGTAATTGCGGTTTTAGATTGGGAGTTATGTACTTTCGGGCATCCTTTATTCGACTTAGCCAACTTCTTACAAAACTTTCAGTTACCTAATCAGTTAAACAGGATGATGTTTTCCCCATTGAAAACTCAGATGGGAATAGAAAATCCAGAATCTCTTGCTTTGATAAAGGAAAAATTGAAATTGTATTATGAAAAATTGGGACATCCTTGGGATGAAAATGATCCATCAAATGATCCATTGAAAAAATGGCCTGTGGGTTTCGTATTTGGTTTAACTAGATTAAGTGTCATCGCTCAAGGAATTGCTATGAGGGTTAAAAAAGGTTCTGCCTCTTCTGCAAATGCTACAGCTTTCGGTTCTTTGTACCCATACTTAGCCGAAATATGTATGGAGAATATCAATCAATCCCATTTATAGTTTATACATGTTTCTCTTTGAGCCGCGAAAAACTATGAAGTTCCATCAGATCGGTGATAATAATGGGAGAATAAAATGCCCCTTCCCCAACTGTAATACTAACGTTATACCCTTAACTGATGGTTTGAAATCATCAATTACCACTGTTCCTAATGCCCCCAAGATGGTGAATTTGAACGAGGCTGAAAAATTCTTTAAAATCAATGATATGTGGGATTTCGATAATATTGGAGTATCCAGAGATTTACCTGAAATAGACAATTTTACAATCGATGATGTGAAGTTTGATATAGAGAGAATTCTTATCTGTTCAGAATGTGATAAGGGACCTATAGGTTTTGCTGGACATTTCGAAAATGAAGACAAATTGCCTAATAACCTTACTTTCTTCTTATCGTGTGAAAGTATGGAGTATCAAGTCTAACTATGATAGTATCCGGTAATAGCATTAAATGTATATACCCCATAATGCTCTTACTACTTCAATGTTTCAATAAACAACTTTTATGACTACAATTTCCATGACCATGCGCTTAGTCTTACATGCGATTGTCCCAGAACTTCATCTCTGAATTAATGGTTGGTACTTTCAAAGATGGAGAGTGATCAGAGATACGTGATACCAAATCATGAATACATTATAAAAATTGATCGAACTAAAATTTAGGTTTATGTTTCAAATCCTTGACTATATCCAAAGCGATGTGTCTACACATAGCCATACAAGTAATCATTGGATTAGCCCCACTTGCGGTTGGGAAGGTAGAAGTATCAGCAACATAAACATTGTCACATTCAAATAACTTACCTTTCAAATCCACTGCTCCATATTTTGGTCCTTTTCCTGACATTCTACAAGAACTCATTTGATGAGCTGAACCATAAACAGCACCGAATTTATAATGACCTGCTTTTTCGAGTGCTTTTCTCCATTCAGCATAATCTTTGTCGGTGATTTTTCTTTCATGTTTTGGCTTGTTACTCTTGAATCTTGGAGTCCATGATTGACTATGGATGATTTCCTTAACCCCATGCATATATAACATATCTGAAGCAATCAATAAACCAGTCAATAAAGCTTTAGTGTCAAATTTGTTCACATTATAGTCAACCAAGACCTTGTCAGGTTGTCTGGCATCGAAGGAAACACTTCCACTTCCTTCGTCTCTAGTAATGATTAACATGGCTGCCATATGATTAAATTTCAACATATCCTTTCTAACTTGGACTGGATCATCGAAAGGAAGGTAAACAGCCTCGACAAACGGAGTATGTAAAATGGTTTCAATTCTTGGACCATGAGCTTTACCATCCAAATCGGCGACTTGATTACTAACGGCAGTCATGATGGGACGATTGAATGCATTGACATCGACATCCTTACCATAATCTCCCATAATTGTCACCACAGGATGTAATTTCAAATTCTTCCCAATATGTCTATTTTTGAATCCAGATGCTTGTAAAACTAATGGTGTGTTTAAAGAACCACTACTTACGACAAATTTCTTTGGCCCAGTTATGACAAATAACTTGTTGGTCACTTGGTCGAAACATTCAAGTCCATAAGCTCTACCACCTTTATGTAATATCTTATTGACTCTGACTTGATCTAAGAATTGACATCCATTTTCATAAGCGTCTCTGAACCAACATTCAGCACTACCTTGTTTAATACCATACTTACAACCCAAATAACATCTTCCACAATCATGATTTGGGTGATCACCTGAGTTTTGAGCAACTGGGGCTGCATGATAACCTAAAGATTCGGCACTTTCCATGATAGCTTGATTTGAAACAGAGTGAAATTCTGGTTCAATAGTTTTAGCACCCATTTTATTCCAAACATAATCTAGACATTGATCAAATTCCTCATTGGCAGCAAATTCAACTCCAAAATCATCATACCACTCTTTACGGACTTTGAAAGGAGTTTTGATACAAGCAGACCAATTGACTGTTGAGCCTCCACCGAAAGTGGCACCTGCTAAAAGGAAAATTTCTTGACTTGCACTGGTAACAATACCTTGATTTTCATACAAGTTTTTCATACCTTCAGCATCAGGGAATACGAATTCCTCCTTCGTGTAATATTTACCTTTTTCTAAAACGAGACATTTATAACCTTCGTTACTTAAAGTATGAGCAACCACTCCGGATCCTGATCCCGATCCAATGATTACAGCATCAATATTAGGTAAATGCAATTCAATTGAATCATTGGTTACTCTGTCCATCATTTTGTATTTGAAGTTATCAATCTTTTGATTTTCATATAAACTTGCACGTTTTTCATCATCAGGATATCCCATTGCTAAATTATGTAATTCACCTGCTGTGGTAGTGAAAGTCTTGATGGTAGCTTGAAAGAAGGATTTGTGTAATTTCCTTAAAGCCTCGATGGGAGATGCTTTCCACCTATTCATTAAACTTACTCTTTCTTCTAAAGTCATTTCTGTTACCAATGTCATTGATCCTGTCAATGTTGGTGCTGTAATTCTGGATTGTAATAATCTATTGATGATGACAAACAACCTACTTGCAGTGATACCAGCATTGTTGACAGTAGTAGCAACATCTGATCTAAATGTTGGAATTTTACTTGGAACTAACTTACAATACTCTTCTAATCTTTCCATTGGGAAATTTGCAGGCAAATCGTCCTTAATATCTTCAGGTCTCACTTCACCAACCATAGCATCTGCCAATGCTACAAAAGCATCGAGATCACTCTCTTTCACTACAAGTTCCAACATATCTTTACTTAAATCCTCCTATAGGATTATCCCCAACTTAAATACTGACTTGGAAAAATAGTATGATTTTCCTCCACACAATTTTTTTTGCAGCATATGAAATTCGCATTTATTGGGTGCAGCGAACTCCGTTCATGTGAGAGATGCGGCGGATTTAAGTACCTGGCTTAGAAACAAGGCACATTATAACAAATTTTTAAGCATATGACTATCATTCCGACGGAAATTTCACTGTTGTCAATGTGGAAGGGATCACGGATGAGGAAAATCTCCGAAAGATTCAAGAAAGTTCGATCAAAATTGACAGACTTGAGTTGACGGAGGTAATATTAATAGAGTAAGTTGACAGAGATAAACTTTTATTTTAAATATTCATTAACATTTTTACTATTTACAATTAGAATTGAATTTAATCTATTGGAGTAGATGCGATTTCATCGTCATCATCATCAGAATCCTGCCAATCATCAACGTCCACGTCAGCCATTTCAACGTCCTCAACTTCATGATTAGGTAAGATTTCTAAACCTTTAGATCCTAAAATTATATGAGCAGTTTCTTTGTCTTTGATTTGACCTTTCAACAAGTATACTGCTAAACGATTCAAGATTTCATTTTGGATCAATCTGTTTAATGGTCTAGCACCTAAATCAGATGAATAACCATTTTTGCATAAATATTCTAAAGCACCATCATCTACTTCTAAAGTCAATTGCTTACCATTAGCAGCAAACCTTTGTTGAATTTCTTCCAATCTGATCTTAACAATCTTACCAATTGCTTTCTTGGATAATCTGTTGAAGATAACAGTACTTGAAATTCTGTTTAAGAATTCAGGTCTGAAATGCAGTCTAACAGAATTCATTACCAATTCTTTAGTAGTGCTATCGACTTTTGAACCTTTGGCAGCATTAATATATTCTGCTCCTAAATTTGATGTCATAATGACAATAGCATTGGAACAGTTAACTAATTTACCTTGAGATGAAGTAATTCTTCCATCATCTAACATTTGTAATAAAACGGTTAAAACTTCAGGTGCTGCTTTTTCAACTTCATCAAATAATATAACGGTATATGGACGTCTTAATAAAGGTTCAGTCAAAATACCACCTTCTTCATAACCAACATAACCAGGAGCTGCTCCTAATAACTTGGATGCTGACCATTTATCACCTAATTCCGAACAATCGATTCTAACCATGGCTTTTTCATCGGCAAACAAAAATCCTGCAACTTTCTTTGCTAATTCTGTTTTACCTGAACCTGATAAACCTAAGAATAAGAATGATGCTGGTTGACTTGGATTAGCTAACCCTGATCTTTGTAATCTAATGGCATTAGATACAGCTTTCACTGCATCTGATTGTCCGACAACAGCTGAACTTAATTCTTTTTCCATATTAATCAATTTGGAATTTTCAGCTTGGGTTAATTTAGTCACTGGGATACCAGTCAATCTGGCAGCAGTTTCAGCAACTTGTTCAGTACCAACAACATTTCTTAATAATGCATCGGGACCAGCAGTTTGTTCCTCTTCTTGAACTTTGATTTCTAATTCTTGTATTTGTTTTTCAATATCAGGAATAGCAAAATATCTTAAATCAGCAGCAGTAGCAGTGTCATGTCTTCTTTCAGCATCTTGAGCTTTGATTTCTAATTCGTCCAACTTACGTTTGGCAGCAATTAATTGTTCATGACCTGCACGTTCTTGGTTGAATCTTTCTCTTAAAGGAGCTAATTTTTCCTCCAATTCTTCTTTCTTTCTTCTTGCAAGGCTTAATCTATCTTTAGAGTCTTCGTCAGTTTCAACGTCCCTTTCTAAAGCATTGATTTCAACCTCGACTAAATGCAATTGTCTTTCCAAGTTATCCAATTCTTCAGGTTTAGAATCTCTTGCAACCGCTACGGTAGCAGCAGTTTCATCAATTAAATCAACTGCTGAATCAGGTAAACTTCTATAAGTTAAATATCTAGAAGCTAATTGAGCAGCAGTAACCAAAGCACTATCCAAGATTCTTACCCCATGATGAATTTCATATCTTGGTTGTAAACCTCTTAAGATGGCCACAGTTTCATTGATATTGGTTGCTGGTACATCAATTTTTTGAAATCTTCTTTCAAAAGCACCGTCTTTGGAAATGAACTTTCTATATTCAGCAAAAGTGGTAGCACCAATACAATGTAAAGAACCTCTAGCTAACATAGGTTTCAATAAATTAGCAGCATCTGATTTACCGTCACCCATTAACATGTGGATTTCATCAATGAATAAAATAATCATTTCATTAGATTTCTCGATTTCATTCAAAACCCCTTTGATTCTTTCTTCAAATTCCCCTTTATATTTAGCACCGGCAGTTAAAGCACCTAAATCTAAGGCGAATAATCTTGAGTTTGCTAAAACATTAGGGACATCACCATCAATGATTCTTTGGGCAACCCCTTCAACAATAGAAGTTTTACCAACACCGGCTTCACCAATCAAAACAGAATTAGATTTTGTTCTTCTGGCTAAAACCCTGATAACTCTTCTTATTTCTTCTTCTCTTCCAATAACTGGATCAATCTTACCTTCTCTTGCCTTCTCTGTTAAATCTTCACAGTATTTGTTTAAAAATTCATAACTGTTTGAAGAATCAGCTTGTCTGGAATCAATTCTTTGGTTACCTCTCAACTCAATGGCTTGAGTTTTCAAAACGTCGGGTTTAATTCCACATTCTTTCAAAATGTCCTTAACTGATTGGTCTTCTAATAAGGCTAAGAAGATATGATCTTGAGCAATATAATTATCCTTTTGTTGAGCTTTGATTTTGGTAGCATTAGTTAAAACTTGTCCTGTAGCATAACTTGGTCTTATATCTTCTGGAGCAGGAGTTTGACTTGGTAATCTTACCAAATGTCTATTAACAATTCTTTCGAAATCCCCCCATTCATATCTTGCCTTCTGGATTAAGGTTTTCAAATATGGAATGGAGTTTTCATCGTCAGTTGGTACCATAGCAGCTAAAAAGTGCAATGGTAATAATTGACTATGTGAATTCTCTTTAGCCAAATTTGTTGCATTGTTAATTATTTTCAATGCATTATCAGTAAATTGAGTTTCATCCATGTCTTGAATTAATTTTGTGTTGAGGTACTTAAGTCAATGGGATAAAGTATTTATACTGTGACACTGCAAGATCAATGGGGTGATAGCAAAAGCTAGAAATATCTGGAACTGTATAGAACAATCTAGAACCATCGCGCATTTTTTGCAGCTAAATGCTTTCACTATGATAGGCAGAGAGAGTGGTGGTGTCTATAGACTTTGTTGACAATTGGAAGAGTAGTGATCAAATCTGTACTTATCTATGAGATGATATCGTTCTATATTGAAAGTTTGTAGTGTTTCAAATAATCTGATATCTAAGAAACTATTATTTACATTTCTCCGAGATACAACAGCCACATGGAACGGCACTTATTGTCAAATAATCAGACCAACTTATACATCATACTCAATTGTTGGCCATGAACGTATTGCCTATTTTTTTGCTATTTTTAAGACAACTTTAAATTTTTTTTTGGATTTTTCCCGAATTGGTGAATTCCACATTTTTTTGAACACCTGGACATTACGAAATTAATGAAAAATGGAATTAAATAGTAACAGAAAAATTTTAAACTCCCGGAAAATTAAGCCTTAGATGAAACCAACTCCAAAGAATAGTATGACCTTTTTTTTGAACACAATTACCCTGTTTTGAAAGAGAAATAACAAATTTGTTTTTTGTCGTCTCAAGCTCAAATATGACTCCATTCTCGGAATGCCTTACAACAAGAAGCCTTTATGGCCAAGTTGGTAAGGCACCTCACTAGTAATGAGGAGATCCTCGGTTCGAATCCGAGTGAAGGCATTCTTTTTTGCTTCCATTTCCAACATGTAGTTCTAAAGGTTCAGAATTAAGTTGGATCTGATGATGGAAATTTTTTTTTTAACAAATTATAGGAGAAAATGGGTTCAAAATTCGTTTGAAAGAGGTTAATGAGACATTTGATAGTTGGAAATGTCCAGTCACTGTTTTTTGTCGCCGTAAATATCCTTTAAGGTTATACCACACCAGTGTTTAAGTGCTACCTTGAATCAAAAGTGAAAAATTTCGCACCGACTTTTGGTTCAAAATTGCAGATTGGGACATAAAATGGGAAAAGAAGAAGAAGAATTAAATCATATTTGGGAACTTTTCAAAGACCAACCCGAGGAAATCAGGGCCAAAAGACAACAAGTAACCAGCATTTTGAATGAAAATCCATTATCATCATTTCCAAAATCCATTTCAATACTAACAGCATTTGATGAATTATTCGAATGTTTCTCCATAGGAGGACAAATCAGGAATTATTATAGATACGGATCTTTAGATTCATGTATTGATCAAAGAGAAAAATTTTGGTTTGCCATGAAACACGGGAATCTTTATGGAGAAACCAAAATCACTGAAGATTCAGATATTAAACAAATAGATAATGCTAATAAAGTACAAGAGTTTTTCAAAACTAGATTGATAAAGATGAAAGCCACGGGAAGTTCAGAAGATATATGGGATGCAAGGAGTAAACCACTAAACAATCCTTTTAAAGAATAAAGGATTTGGGAAGGATGTAAATAGAGTAATCGGGAATTTCATGTATAAATGCTATAATATTACAATTATTTTATACTTTAATGTCTTTTAATATCTTTTCAAAGTTACAGTTAAAATTAATAAAATCTACAGGTGCTATTACATAATAACGCAACCTTTCTTTTCATTATCGTTATCATTAGCAGCCCCTTTAGGTCTAGCGTTAAGAGCACATCTTGCAGCTTCTGAAAAAGCTTCATTAACCCCTCTATTCTTTTTAGCAGAACATTCTAAATATCTTAAAGCTCCGACTTTTTTAGCTACAGCTAAACCTTCTTCATAACTGATTAATCTTCTTGATTGTTGATATGGATTTTGTGATTGGGAATAAGGATTGAATGAATCATCTTCTTGATTAGGTGGTTGATCAACATCAGTATCTTCATTACTTCTTAAATCACATTTTAATGCTACTAAAACTAATTTAACACCTTCACAATTATCGGCAATTTCTCCGACCCATCTTGTTTGGACATTTTCTAAAGAATCGGGGGAATCTATGGAAAAACATAACATGATACAATGAGTATCACTGTAACTTAAAGATCTTAGCCTATCGAATTCTTCTTGACCAGCAGTATCCCATAAAGATAATTGAACTGATTGACCATCAATAAAAATATCATGAACATAATTTTCGAATACCGTTGGTTCATAAACTTGAGGGAAATATCCTCTTGTGAACACATTTAATAATGATGTTTTACCACAAGCACCATCTCCCAATATAACTATTTTACGTTGAACTATAGATGTTAGTACTTAGATCAAAAAATGAGACAAATCAATAATCATCACAAAAGAATTTCTTCACAAAACTCCTAACTAAACCCAATCAACAGCTATAATAACATTCATATGATTCCTGGTTGGTATAACATATCATTTTACATACTTGTTTTTTGACTACTTCCACAAATCGCCATGTTTGATTATCCTTGATATTTTTCCTTGAAGAGAAAATCTATAGACGAGGAATCGCATTTCGTGGTGGGCTCAATTTGGACCAATTTGCTACCAGAGTTTTAGCCCCTTACGGAACTGTTTTAGTACCCCTTTTGATAGTAGAAAATTCAAATAAAGAAAGATGATTACAATAAAACCGCAAAAAATTATATATTTTGAACGTTATATGCCAATACCTTGAACCCCCTTTTTATTCATCAATCAAATCCTCTAAATACATACTTGGAATGGTTTTTCTTTTAGGTTTAGAATTCAAAGTTGTATCACCACTCTCACTTAATGTTTGTAAATGACTTGGAATGTTTGGAATGGAACTGTTGGATACTTTATTGGTACTCAAGGTATAATCACTATTATTCATATCATGATCGATATATAAGTTAGGAATGATAGTGGAATGTCTATTATTGACAGGTGAATTATTCAAATTTGTGGATGATGAGTTGAACGAAGGAATAGATCCGGTAATATGACCCGATTTCATTTTTTTATGGGACATGACTTCAGCTGTTGGTGAAACAAACATTTTAGTTAAATCATTCTTAGTTGTAGGTGCCCCTACTTCTGATTGGTATAAAGTGGAAGTATCACCTAACTGGTTGTCACTAAGATCAGCCAATCCTGTCACTGATTTTGAAGCATGATGGGATAATAATGGGAAGTTTGAAAGGGTAGCAGTTCCTGAACGACTGTTCATGAAATTTAAGGTAGAACTAGATGGAGTTAAACCATATGCGGTATTATTATTGTGGTGATACTTTTCGTACATCTCCTTATCAGTTTTGAAAGCTTTTTTGGCTAATCTGGAGGCAGTGAAAGAAATAAATAAATGGTATAAAATGAATCCTAACAATATAGCACCTACAATGGATCCTACAGCAATGAAAACTGTTCCTGCTGTATCTTCAGTTTTTAAAATATAAGGATTATTATCATTAGGTGGAACTGAAATTGCTGGAGTGGTATAATCACCTTCTAAATCAGGTAAACTTAATGTTGGTAAATCTCTTCTGACGAACTTTGTCGTCAAAGTTGGAGCTATGGTAAGAGACATGTTTTCGGTCTCTGATTAAAATTTTTTTCAAACCTAAGGGATTTGACTAGCGAGTGATCTGTGGAATTATCAAGAAAATTTTTTTGTGTTGTTAATATATTCTCAAATAGGCAATTTCGCAGTGTTTACAAGAGGCGATGAAACAACGATTTTATAACAACGACGTGTATTTCACCACCAAAAATTGTTATTACATGAATCACGCCGAGTTGTATGCTATCCAGTAGCATATGATTACATAGTGATCAAGAGATGGTTAAAATATGGGTCAGGAGCCAGGTGCCTTAATTTCCGATTTATTTATAACTCAGATCTGCAGGCAATTGAGGATGAAACAGGGTGCGCGCGGATATATTGGTCTATTCAACTAAATAAACTCTTCCTTCCCAAGGAGTCAAGTTTTCTGTGACATTGTCGACATTAGCTTCTAATAACTTCAAGTTCTTTTCTAAAGGTTCAAATTTGATAGTTTCATCACTAAAATTTAACACAATATAAGCTTTTGTTCCATCGATTTCTTTGACATATGTGAAAACTTTTTCATTGTCATAATCGAGAATTTCAAATTGACCATAGATGAATAAATCTTTATGATTTTTTCTCATCTTAAGAGCTCTTTTATAGAATGATAACACTGAATTAGCATCATTAATTTGAGATTCAACATTAATTTCAGGATAATTGTCATTGACTCTCATCCATGGATCACCTGTAGTGAAACCTCCATGTTCGGTAGAATCCCATTGAACTGGTGATCTTGCATGATCTCTAGCCACTGTGTCTACAGCATCCATAAATTTGATCAATTTAGGGTCATTTTTATCGGTAATATTATGTTTGGCAACAAATTCATTATAAGCATTGATACTTTCAATATCTTTATATTCCTTGATATCCCAAGATCTTGGTAAATTATTCATACCAATTTCTTGACCTTGGTAGATAAACAATGTTCCTGTTAAAGTGGCTTGTAATAAAGCGATCAATTTTGATGATTTGAAAGAAGATTTTATAGTTTTGGCATTACCAAATCTACTAGGACTTCTTGCTTGATCATGATTTTCAATGAAAACTGTTGACCATGCATCAGTGCCTTTGATAAAATCTGCTTGATTCTTAACAGCATCTTTGAATTGTTTCAAATCGTATCCTACAAAATTATATTTATCACCTTCAGTTGTACCTAACATTACTATATCGAATAAGAAGATCATACTCATTTCTTTTTCTTTGGCACTGACATATTTCAAAGCATCTTCACGTGAACAGTCACCAACTTCACCAACAGTCATAGCATCATAATGGGAAGTGACTTTAGAAAACATTTCTTTGTGGAATTCATGAATTCTTGGACCATTCGATGAATATTTATACGAAGGTTGAAATTCATTACCAGGAACTACAATTGGTGCATCCAAAAATCTTTGGTCTTTTGAATATAAACCAGCAGTATCAATTCTGAAACCATCAATACCTTTTTCAAACCAAAATTTCAAAGCAGTATCATAAATAGCATTTCTACATTCTTCATTTTCCCAATTTAAATCTGGTTGAGTTGGGGCGAATAATCTAAGATAATATTCTTGGGTCTTTTCATCCCATTCCCAAGCACTACCGGAGAAATATGAACACCAATTATTTGGAGGTTTTCTATTTCCATCAGCATCATATTTTGGTTTCTTCCAGATATACCAATCTCTTTTTGGATTATCTAAAGAAGATCTTGATTCCTTGAACCATTCATGTTCACTTGAAGTATGATTGATAACCAAATCCAAAATTAACTTAATTCCCCTGGAATGACATCCTTCGATTAATTGATCCATATCTTTCATAGTACCATATTTGGGGTAAATATCTTGATAATTACTGATATCATAACCCATATCATCTTGTGGTGAATCATACATTGGTGATAACCAAATAACATCAGTTCCTAAATCTTTCACATAATCTAACTTGGAAATTATACCTTGTAAATCACCAAATCCATCACCATTGGAATCTTTATAAGAAGCTGGCCAAATTTGATAAATTGTGGCATCTTTCCACCAAGTATAATCTTTTGTCATTGTTTCTGTTCTTTTTTATGGCTGTGGGTTCAAAAAAACTTCGATAATTTATAGATTCATAAGGAGATTCCCTATATATACTTTGCCTTCAAAAATACTCGGTGATTTAGTCGTAATACTTATTCCAAAAAAGTTACCCCATCTTTCACCAATCCATTGTAGGATGCTGTCAATAACCATAAACGGACAGTCAAGAAAATATAGTTGTTCATGCATTGGTGCACCAGTTTACAATTCCGATTTACAACAAACACAGCGAGAAATTTCCAATCCTACAAGTTACGCAAAAACTTTTTTCCTCCTAAAGTTTCTTTTTTCCTTAAACGTCAATAATTTTGGCGTCACACAAACCTAATGACCTTTAAACTTTTTCCATTAAGCTTTTATTGCTTTATTTTGATCAGCAATTTTCGCATGTCGCAAGACCTTCTAATTGAGGATTTTTCCAGTCCATCAATCTGTAGATGTTTGGTAAAGGTGCGTGATGCTGACTTATATTAGGGCCCTTGAAATGGTCTATTGACATTGACAACTCTTTTTAAAAACTCTGATATTACCCGATTAACTTGTTTCACAGGGGTAAGAGTAGCAATTGTTTCCCTTTTGGTGATTGACCCACACGAATGCGAATTGGGTTTTACCCCAGATTTTTTTCTGTTTTCGGTAGGAGCCCGAGCCGTTCGTAAATTCTTTGGAATTTTGTATGTTTCGAGGAAACTAGCGAACCAGATTATAGTTTAGGACCAAAGGCATGTATTTACATAATTCTTATTGTTATACTCGAGATCTCGCTTGTAGATACCATCCTACAAGACATAAATCCCGTCTATGGCAAATCAAACAAGGGGAAGCCTATGCAGATCTCGCCCAAACCCACTTCAAAGCCGTGGGTGGAGATATCAGGATTCTCCTGGTAACGAGACCTCTTTCAATGGGAAAAGACTTGTCACTCCCCCTCCTTTAAATGTTGTTTCAGAATTTCTATATAAACCTTGATTAATCCCTTGAGTTATTGTTAACAAGTTTATTACTTTATTCCAATATATGATAAACTAAAATGGTCGCTGAACATATTGAAGATGTATCCAACCCCAAGAATACTGAGGTGGTTGAGAAATTAGATAAGTATCCTACTGATACTTCTTTAGAAGCTGGTGTTGAAGATTATATCAGTAAATTTTTGGAAATTTCTGATGATGCTAAAAATAACGATAAGAAGGATAAAGTTATGCCTTTGAAGGAAGGTTTAAGAACCTTTCCTAAGGCTGCCATTTGGTCCGTTGTTTTATCAACTGCTTTGATTATGGAAGGTTATGATACTAATCTTTTAAACAGTTTATATGCTATGCCTGCTTTCAAAGAAAAGTATGGTCAACCTGTACCAAACTCTGACGATCATGAAATTCCTAGTAATATTCAAATTACTTTATCCATGTGTGTTAACGTCGGGGAAGTTCTTGGTTTAGCTTTGGCCGGGGTGGTTGCTGATAAACTTGGTTATAGGTGGACATTGATTGTTTCCCTTTTCTTTACTACTTGTTTTATTTTTATTGTCTTCTTTGCTCAAAACGTCGGGATGTTGATTGCAGGGGAATTATTATTGGGTATCCCATGGGGTTTCTTCCAAACCTTAACAATCAGTTATGCTGCTGAAGTTTGTCCTTTGGTTTTAAGAATTTATTTGACTACTTATGTTAATGCTTGTTGGGTTATTGGTCAACTTATTTCTTCCGGTATTTTAAGAGCTTTTGTTGGGGATGAAACTGCCCTTGCTTATAGAGTTCCATTTGCTATTCAATGGGTTTGGCCCATTCCAATTGCTCTTGGTATCTTTTTGGCTCCTGAAAGTCCTTGGTGGTTAGTTAGAAAAGGTAAATTAGCTCAAGCAAAGAAATCTTTGAGTAGACTTATTTCTGAAAATAAGTATTGTCCTGATAAAGCTTATCTTTTAGAAGCTATGGTCAATAAAATGCAATTAACCATCACTGAAGAAAACATTAAATCCCAAACTGAATCTTCATACTTCGATTGTTTCAAAGGAAGAGATTTGAGAAGAACCAGAGTTGCTGCTATTACTTGGTTGATCCAAAATATCACTGGTTCTGCATTAATGGGTTATTCAACTTATTTCTATGTTCAAGCTGGTTTATCAACTAGTATGTCATTTACCTTCTCCATTATTCAATATGTTTTAGGTTTAATTGGTACCATTTCTTCATGGTTCCTTTCGCAAAAGATGGGTAGGTTTGATATCTACTTCATGGGTTTATGTTTCAATTGTTGTATATTATTAATTGTTGGAGGTTTAGCTACATCTTCCAATCCAAATGCTTCTTGGGGTATCGGTTCCTTATTATTGGTCTATACTTTCATGTATGATTTAACTGTCGGCCCATTATGTTATTGTATTGTTGCCGAATTACCATCAGCTAAATTAAGAACTAAAACCATTATTATTGCCAGAAATGTTTATAACATCTCTGGTATTATCACTGCCATTATCACTCCTAAAATGTTAAATCCAACTGATTGGAATTGGGGTGCAAAGACTGGTTTCTTCTGGGCTGGTTTCTGTTTCTGTTCTGCTATTTGGTGTTGGTTTGAATTACCAGAAACTAAGGGTAGAACTTTTGCTGAATTGGATCTTTTGTTCCACAACAAAATTCCTGCAAGAAAATTCAAAAAGACTGATGTTGAAATCTTCGATGCTGGTGAACTTATTGAGATCATGGGTGAAGAAGGTGTTAAGAAATTAGTTGTTGCTAACGAGACTAAAGCTGAAGTTTAATATGAAAGCTAATGTATAATTAAAGTGTTTTATTTCCTTTACTCTGTTCGAATTTAATGGAAATTTCGTAATTTACAATGTTGGATTAATTGAAACTGAGCCCGGAAGTCCTTGGAAATGTCTCTGAGGTTGTGGGGGAAAATTAGAAGAGGTGGGACTTGTTTATTTCACAATATACACACGCCCTTCCCAGGGTGACAAAGCCTTGTCAATCTCAAAATTAGATAACAATAATTCTCCTTGAGGTGGTTCAAATTGGACAACATCGTTACTAAAATTCAAAATAACTAAGGCTTTCAAATCATTAGTTTTCTTCCAAAAAGTGAATGTCTTTTCGTTATCTTCATCGACCATTTCAAAATCTCCATGAATGAATAAATCCTTATAGGTCTTTCTCAAAGCTAAAATTTTCTTGTAGAAAGACAAAACCGAGTGGGGATCGTCAATTTGATTTTCGACATTGATGTCACTATAGTTATCATTAACTCTCATCCATGGGTCTCCTGTAGTAAAACCTCCATGTTTGGTGGAATTCCACTGAACAGGAGATCTTGCATGGTCTCTGGCTACCTTTGCTGCTGCATCCATGAATTCTACTAGTTTGGGATCGTTTTTGTCCGTAATGTTGTTTCGCTTGACCAAATCATTATAGGCATTAAGTGTTTCGATATCCTTATACTCTTCGATGCCCCAACTACGAGGTAAGTTAGTCATACCGATTTCCTGACCCTGATAAATGAACAAAGTCCCAGTTAAAGTCATTTGTAACAAGGCAATCATCTTGGCTGACTTTTCATTATTACCAGCAAATCTTGATATACATCTGGCTTGATCATGGTTCTCAATGAATACCGTTGACCAGGCATCTGTACCCTTAATGAAATCACATTGACTTTTGATGGCACTTTTGAAATCGACTAAGGTAAAATCTAAAAGTCTAAATCTACTGGTTCTGACGGTACCCAAAAATACAACATCAAACAAGAACAACATGTTCATTTCTTTCTCCCTTGCACTGACATACTTTAAAGCATCTTCTCTTGAACAGTTACCTACTTCTCCAACTGTCATGGCATCATAATGCGACGTGACTTTGGAATACATTTCCTTATGGAATTCGTGAATTCTAGGACCATTACTGGTATACATATCACAAGGTTGGAATTCATCGTTGGGAAATTTGATAGGAGCATCAGGGAATGTTTGAACTTTGGAGTAGAGTCTAGCTGTATCGATTCTAAAACCATCGATTCCCCTCTCATACCAAAATTTCAAAGCACTATCATAAATGGCATTTCTACAATCTTCATTCTCCCAATTCAAGTCGGGCTGACTTTCAGCATAAAGACGTAGGTAATATTCGTCCGTGGCCTCATCATACTTCCAGGCACTTCCTGTGAAATAAGATTTCCAATTGTTAGGAGGCTGCCTATTACCTTGGGAGTCATATTTTGGTTTTTTCCAAATATACCAGTCTCTCTTCGGATTATCAAGCGAAGATCTCGATTCCTTGAACCATTGATGTTCACTAGAGGTATGGTTGACAACCAAATCCAATATCAATTTCATGCCCCGAGAATGACACCCTTCAATCAACTGATCCATATCTTCCAAAGTACCATACTTGGGATAAACCTTTTCATAATCACTTATATCATAACCCATATCATCTTGAGGCGAATCAAACATAGGCGATAACCAAATTACATCAATTCCAAGATCTTTCAAGTAATCGAGTTTGGTTATAATACCACCAATATCTCCTATACCATCACCATTTGAATCTTTGAATGAAGCTGGCCATATCTGGTAGCAGTTGACATCTTTCCACCAAACCATGATTATTTTTTAACTGATCTTTTTTTTATCGGACGATTGTAGAATTATAAAATCTGGGGAAAATACGCGAGCCGCACAAAACTTTTTTCCGAATTGCACTAATCTTTACGATCATTTATCCTCACCTCAAAATGCTGTCTCAACCATTCCCAAATCTCCACGCTATCACAATCCTCAACAAGTCTTGGTTTGTTGACAGGATAGGTTTCATGATACGTCTGCATATCCCCACTTCGACAATATATTTTAAAGGTATTGTAGTGAGCTGAATTATCGAGAGGGATCCAAGGTTTAGGTATTGGTTCATCGGAAAAGTGGATCAACTTAACATTTTCAATTATTTTAAAACTATCCCACCCATCATTAGACCGATGGTTCGAATATGGAAGGAGTTCGGGATCACTCAAGAATTTAGAATGCCATTGTTCTTTAAATTCCCCTGTGAGAACCCCATAAATCCTATGATCTAATATCCCGAAATGGAAATCCCCGCTATGTAAATTGTCGTCAATAAACTTGTTCACCACCTCCATATCGAAATCGGTCGATTTTCTAAGTTTGGAGCGATGGAAAATGACCCACCACCAGGGATTATATACGTAATTCAATAATTCTTGGTATATTACCTTGTTGGGTTTGAGAACAATAACGTGACTAGCAAAAAATGACCTTCTGTTATCGAATTTATGTTTGGTAGATAGCAAGCTACGAGGTTCTACAGGATATTTATGAGCCAACTGCTGATCCGAAAGCCAATATGCCTGAGGCATAGCAATATCAATTTCCCATGGAATGTTGAATAATTCATTCATGTTTGTAGGTTTATTTATGAGATTTTTATCAACGTTTATCAACATACTATCGGCATCGAAGAAAACTATCCGATCGTAATCAAGGTTGAATATGTGAAGTTTCGTAAATGATTCGTGCCAAATATTGTCCTCATTGTTAGTTAAAAGAGGAACCGGTTTCAATATTATTCCGAACATTTGTGCTTTTCGATTGATATTAATGAACTCACTGGTTTCTTGAAGCCTCTCGTTATATACTACAACTAGATCACCTCTTGGTCTTTCCAAGGACACTAGATTGTCAATGGAAAGTTGCAAATATGTCAAATCAGTTGCATATTGAACATAGGCAAAATTCTTGTTCATAGCCGGTTGACTCCTTACAAAATCATCAGGCAATACCTTAAGTCGTTTTTGGAAATCTTCAGGTACCCCCGTGTTCCATTGGTAATACCCATAGTAAATAGCTAGAAGTAATACGAAAATGTACTCCCAGTTTCTGGGTAAACCCATTTCGCGATGTCTTTGAATTCAGCTTGTTACACTTTATACGAAGTTTTGGGCTTTTTAGTAAGCTAGATATTCACCCGGAACATGGCTATAGTGAGAGGGATGTTGGAATTACTCGGGCCCCTTGGATGCCGACTTGGGTTGGTCATAGGTTGTCAAGTTGAAAAATTATAATGATGAAATTTCTTGCGGCTCAAATTCTCACAATCCACCCATACTCTAAATATCTAAAAATTGAATGAGTTCTCACCCTACCAGATCAATACAACTAATAGCCGGTAGAAAAAGCAAAAAAATATGCGCCGTCCAGGAATCGAACCAGGGGCTCAACGATGGCAACGTTGAATTTTACCACTAAACCAACGGCGCGCTCCGCGACGGGGAATTGAACCCCGGTCTACCATGCGACAAACGGTAATTCTAGCCACTAAACTATCACGGATTTGTATATTCAAGTTTTCGTTGACTTGACCCATATTATAAAAATATGGCTCTTTCGATTTTTCAAGCATTAAACACCTAATACTCCATCAATAGAGAAAAGAAATCGATCGTAATTAATATATAATAAATAATTTCATGCAGTATTTAAATCTTATTTGGTTAATTCACTTTTAACCCATCCTTCTAAACCTCCTTTGACAATAATGTCTTGTAAGTTGGTACCCAATTCACCAACTTTTTGAGTTAAAACAACATTTTTATCGGAATCCAAAACTTCAACGGTTGCTTTAGTGACATCCCATTTCAAGAACCAACCAGTTCTAATAGTTAATTCATCTGAACCTTGATATTTTTCTCTTAACATATTGATTAAATCAGGAATTTCCAAAGTTAATAAAGCATTATTGATGGAATTTCTTGAGAAAATGTTACCAAATGAACCAGCTACAACTAATTTCATACCTTTAGCTAAAATGGCAGTAGCAGCTTGTTCTCTTGAAGAACCAGTACCGAAGTTGTAACCTGAAATGATAATATCTCCAGCATTGACTTTACTTCCAAATTCAGAATCATAGTTTTCCATACAAACTTCAGCCATTTTTTCCTTGGAAACATCATCTTGGTAAGTATATTTACCTGGGTAGATACCATCAGTGTTAATATTATCAGCATCACATAAAATCAATTCACCTTCAATAGAAGTTGGGAAACCTTCTAAGATTTCAACAGATCCACCTTCAGAAGATTCAGCGACTTCAACTTTTGGAATAGTTAATTCTTTGACTATTTCTTTGTTTTGTTCAACTTTCGAACCTTCAACTTCTTCAGGACCTCCAATTTTACCAAGGATGGCGGATGCAGCAACAACTTCAGGAGAAGCTAAATAAGCTAAAGCATCTTTTGAACCCATTCTTCCTTTGAAGTTTCTATTGGTAGCAGAAATACCAACTTCACCTGGTTCTAATAAACCCATACCTAAACCGATACATGGACCACAACCAGCTGGTAAAGGAGTGGCACCAGCATCAATAATATCTTGCCAAGCACCAATAGCTTCAGCATCTTTTTGAACATTTGATGAAGCAGCTGCAACATAAAATTCAACTCCTGGTGCGACTTTTCTACCTTTTAAAATCTCAGCTGCTGCTTTGATATCACTTAATCTAGAATTAGTACAAGAAACTAAATAAGCTTTGTTGATCTTGATATCTTGGTTTGATAAGTCATATAAAGAAGTTGAAATTTTAACGGAATTTGGACCAGAAATGAAAGGACTCAAAGTACTCAAATCAACTTTCAAATGTTTAGCATAAACAGCATCATTATCAGATTGAACGGAATTTTCTAAAGCTTTAACGGTTTCAATATTAACTCTTGGATGTGGTTGAGGTAATTTTTCAATTCTTTGTTTGTAAAATTCCAATAAGGTTTCATCAACAGGGAATAAACCCGATAATGCACCCCATTCAGTAGTCATATTAGCAATGGTTAATCTATAATCCACAGGTAAAGATTTAACACCATCACCTACAAATTCTATGGCATGATTTAAGACCTCATCATTGTTGAAAAGACCACATAAAGTAACGATAATATCTTTACCAGTAACACCTTTTGGTAATTTACCTGTTAACTCAACTTTGGCAACAGGAGGAATTTGCCACCAAGTTTGACCAGTAGCCCAAATTGACGCAGCATCAGTTCTAACTATAGGAGTACCTAAAGAACCAACCCCCCCGTAAGTATTTGAGTGAGAATCTGAAGCAACAGTCAAATTCAATGGAAATGCATACCCTTCTTCGATCATAATTTGATGTCCTATACCTCTTCCAGCAGGATAGAAATCTATACCTTGTTCTTTGGCAAAGTTTTCAATATTCTTATATTTAGTTAAATTTTTTTCAGTCCTATTTTGAACATCATGATCTAAAGTACAAACAATTTGTCTGTTATCTTTAACTTTCTTAGCACCTAAACCTTGGAATTTAGTAGCCACTGGCCATGAGTTATCATGACTCATACAATGAGCTGGTTGGATAGTAACATAATCTCCACTGTAAACTTTTTTACCTGGTTGCAACCCCACAGCATATTTTTGTACGATTTTTTCAGTCAAATTTTGACCTCTTAAACTAACTGAAGTAATTGAAAAATTCCTTACAAATCTCATGTTATCTTCGTTCTATCTAATGAATCGTCAGTTCGTTTTTTTAATAGAAATTTCCCCTACGATTACTGTGAATGTCTGATAAAATGTTTGTGAGACCTGAAAAATTTTTAGATCTGTCTCGATAAGAAAACGACAATGAGTCAGAGACAATAAATGGAATCGCATTGGTTGATGAATTTCATTTTATCACTTGTGGTTTCTTCATCTTATGTTGTAAGTATCCATAGTTTCAAGCCACCGTCACTCAAAGGTAAAGATAGGGATGATGTTGAAGTGATCAAACATAGATTCACTAATGTTTCCATCCTATGCATATTTTGGATCTTAATTGTACCCATAATCAGAGGGGGAGATTTCTGGGGTAATAATAAGGAATTGTGGTCAACGTTAATACCTGTGAGTTCATGGAGATCAATATATGACATGTTTTATTGTGTAAGTTTGATGTCAATCCTTTATATCGGACCCATATTTCATTACCTTATCAGTGATCCCAATATCGTACAAGATTTCCGGGACAATTTCACTAATAAATGGGGGTTTAGAGATCATGTTTTTGCCCCTATAACTGAAGAAATCATCTACAGAGCTATACTTTATTTCCTTTTATCGGATTTCAATCCTAAATCTATCATTCGGTATGGACCTTTATTATTTGGAATAGCTCATATCCATCATGCTTATGAATTGATAACCGTTAAAAAGCTCAACACCATTGCTGTACTCATAAATACAACCTTCCAAACTATCTACACGTCACTTTTCGGAATGTTAGCTTTTACGATCTTCATCCATACACAAAATGTTTGGTGTGCTATTATTATCCATTCATATTGTAACGTCATGGGATTTCCATCAATAATCACCGCAACTCCGGCGATTAAATTTGCATATTATAGTTTACTTATCCTTGGACTCCTTGGATTCTTCTATTTACTTCCATAAATTCATCTTTCCTTTAATTCCCTCCCTTTTTTTCCCCTGCCCTTTGTTTTAACTCAAAGAAGAAGTGCGGAAGTTCGTGTATTTAGAGGAACGAAAAAAATACACTGAACGATTCTTAGATTGATCTCATCATAATTTTCCGGATATTCTTTGCATTAAAATCCTTAGTATCTTGAAACTATTATATTTATCGATCTTTATATCGTATTAGTATTGATACCGATCAAAGCATTCACCAAATACCCTCAAATTATAAAATTTTTGAAGGCGGTCCCAAAACATCAAATATTTCATTCATTCATATAATTTATGTACTTATTAACTAATAGTCTTTCATTTTACTAAATTTATCCAAAAAGGTTCATTACCATATAATCCTCCATTTGTAAATATCCATTTTAACAATTATGTCCAATACAAATATTAATGAACCACAACCTCGAGGTAAACTAAGGAATTCAATGATTGAAAATGAACATGGATTCAGTTATGAATCTGCTGCCAAAGAAATTGAACAAGAAAAGAAGATGGTGGCAGCTTTGAAAAGATTATCCATTGGGAACATGATGAATTATGATCCCGATTTACCTAATAATGATGAAATAGAGTTTCAATTTCAGTTTCTGGATAATAATAAACTTGATGATCGAATAAGGAGAGATAAATCTCCTTCGAGATCTCCATCTCCATCGATATCCCCTTCCAAGATATCTCCGGTGAAATCAACGAAATCTTCAAATTCGAGTCATTCTCCTTCACCATCAAGGTTATCTCGATCAAATTCATTAAAAGATTCAAGTTTCAATATCCTGACAACTATAGATGATTCTCTCGATGATTCAGAAACTTTGGATACTGAAGAATTATTATGGGTACCAGCTAACTTACATCCAGAAGTTGATCCGGAAAACTATAAGAATCATGTCCATACCACGGTGGAAGAATTGATGGAACGTCAAATTTCAAGAAAAAATTCTTTAAAAAGAGGCTCCTCATTGTCCAAATCTATCTCAAGACATGATTCTACTAAAGAGAACGATGATCCTCAAATTTCACCTTCAAAAGATGAGGGAAGTTTAAGAACTCCATCACTGAATTCTTCATCACCTTCTCCTAACAAAGAATTATCACCAAGACCGGAATCAAATAGATATAGTAATCCTTCCCTTCGGGATTTATCCAATGAATTACAACACTTATCTAAATTAGCTGGTAGGAATTCGACTGATGCTGTAACGGTTGCTAGAACGTTATCAGCTTCTTCTTTAGGTTACACTGATGTCGAAAGATTGGCTATAGATGAGTTGAACTCATCACCAAGATCATCTCAATCTTCAATTGATGACTTTTATGATCCTTCTTCCCCTGCATCTCAAAGAACTTATGACGAATTGTCTTTCCCTTATGAAACAAACCCTAATGCTAATGATACCTTCGACCTTGCCCAAGATTTTGCTTTGAAAAGATCAAAAAGAGTTGATTATAGAAACCAGCCTTTACCTCAAGCTCCAGGTTCTAAACTTCAAACAGGAAAAGCTGATAAATTAGCCAATTTAAGAACAGGTTTAACTAATGATCCTTCATTACAACCTCAATTCACTAATTATCGTCAAAATCATCCTGTCAAACATGAAAGACATAGAGGATACCAAGCACATTCTGAAACACCTTCAGTTTCTTCAAAATCTTCGTCTCATAAATCAAGAAGTCATAGAAATTCCCAAGCATTATTTACTTACGGTGAAACCAATTTAGACTACAGTAAAGATTCCCCTTATGGTTCAGTAGTACCAATATCACCATTGGAAGAAAAATTACCATCCACCAAATATTCCCAGCATAATTTGACAGCTAAAAGGTTATCGCATGTTAAGATCACTCCTCAACAACAAGCTCAATTGAGTGGTCGTAATCCAACATCGAGGTCCTCATCATCGAAGAACATTCCTCAATTACAACCCCATGCTCAAATTCACCCTCAACTGTCACAACATTCACAACCACAACAACTTTCACAACAACCGCAACCACAACAACTTCCACCACAACCTCAACCTCAAGGTCATCGTTCTTCATCGAGATCTCCAAGTGGGGGTTCTCAGCATTCGGAAGGATATAACAACTATCCTTACCAACAAGTTATCTATAGTGGTACACCTAAACTGCGTCATAGGAATGGCTATGTTAATCAAAACTATCATGGTCACCAACAACATTCTCATCAACATTCCCACCAGCACAAACACTCACAACAAGGGCAACAACCAATGCAAAGACAGGGACAAAGAGTACCTTCGGATAAAAGACCAGATATGAGACAAAGACCTTCCATGAGAAATATGGGATCTGGTCAAATTCAAGGCCAACCTCCTCAGGGCCAAGTACCTCAAGGTCAAGTACCTCAAGGACAAGTACCTCAAGGACAACCTCAAGATCAAAGACAACTCCAACACCAGGGCAAGGTCCACCAATCTGGTCCACAAGGCTACCAACAAATGCCTTATGGTCAAAAGCCTCAAAGTCAAGTCCCTCATAAAGTCTACATGCAAAAAAGGAGCCATTCTCATAACCACTTATCTCAACAGTCACAACAATCACAACATCAATCAAGAAATTCAAGTAGAAATGTTGATGTTCCAACCACATCAGTGGAATCACTTCCCGATTTACTGAAACTTCAGAATGCTCCTGTTGTTCAACAAGTTCAACAGTTCCCTCAAGTATCTCAATCTGAAGAGCTTTCACAAGGACATCAAACATCACCTGAAGAGAAACATGGTATGATCAGACATCCTTCCCAATCTGACTATGCTGAAGCAAAGTTAGAGCAAACAGTCAGAATTAGCCCAGAAAGGAAAAGACCAACCAAACAGGAAACTGATATGAAATCAAGACAATTGAATGAAAACTTGAACTTATTAAGAAGCGAGATAAACGATTTTAAGGAAAGTTTGAGTAGAAATGACAAGATTTCAGAAACTCCTGTTTCAATCGAATCAAGTGATGTTGATACTTCAGATTTCAGTTTTGAAAGAACCTATCCCGAAATAAACCTTGAAGAACAATCAGATGCCGAGAAGGAAACCTTGGAAAAGAATAACGTTTTAGATGAACAGGAAACTTTGAATGAAACTGATGATGATCAAACTAAGAACACTGTTGATGAAATTGACTTTCATGAAATATCTGACCAATCTTCTATTGATGTGTCACCTACTGAGAAGCATGAAGAATCTTCTGGTTTAGACAATTTAATGATGAAAAATAGATCCAATCAATCCTTAGTTTCTAATGATTCAAATATTTCAGCTTCATCATTGAAACAAAGTCCAACTAAACCTTTGAAAAAGAAGAAATCTTGGCCATGGATGAAGAATATTGATAAATCCGATAATCATCACAGTCAAAGATCGGTTAGTGCATCGACTGTGGAATTAGCTACTGTTCCTGAATCTAAAGCCATCTCTTCAAGATCAGTTTCTTCCCCTGAAGTGTTCCATAAAGAAGCAAATGAACCAACTAAAAAGGAGAAGGAATTGAAAGCTAAAGAAGAAGCCAAACTTAAGAAGAAAAAGGAAAACATTGGTAAAGAGAATGTGATTTCAAAACTTTTCAAAAGGAAAAGAAGTAATTCAGTTTCTGTTATGGAAGAGAAGACCAAACCAGTCGAAGAATCGGAAAAGATGGAAAGAATTGACAGTCCAGTTCTGGTCGAAAGTCAATCACCTGTTGAGGTTCTGGATTATGAATCTGATTTGGAAACCAAAAAGTCAGTTCCTTCACTTAATAAGAAGAGTTCAGGAATCTTCAAGAAAAAGAACAAGAAAGAAGAGTCAAAGAGTAAATTGGGATTGAAATTGTTGAAATCTTCATCCAGTAACAGTTTGAACGAACATATCAAAGAAAAGGATGATCCAATGGAAGGAATTGAAGTAGAACAAAAGGAACCAGAGATGGAGGTTCAAAAAGAGAAAGTCGAAAAGAAAGTCGAAAAGAAATCTGAAAAGAAAGGTGAAAAGAAGACTGAAAAGAAGGACACGGAGAAGAAATTAGAGAAAAAGGCTAGCATTGATAAAAAGAAGAAACCAAAGGACGAAAAGAAAGCTCAAATTGAAGAAAAAGAAGCTAATGTTGAAGGAAAACTCGAAGACGAGGAAGAAAAACCCTTACAAACAACCTTAGAAGTTCAAGAAAAATTAAAAAAGTCCATCAAGAGAACCTCAAAAGCCAATCAACCTATCGAGTTCACCGATTCAGCCTTTGGATTCCCATTACCTCCACCTTCACCTTCTACTTTAGTTATGTTAGATTATAGATTCCCAGTTCATGTTGAACGAGCAATCTATAGATTATCACATTTGAAATTGGCCAACCCTAAGAGATCTTTGAGAGAACAAGTATTGCTTTCCAATTTCATGTATGCATATCTTAACTTAGTTGATCATACATTACACTTAGAACAACAAATGAATGAAAGTATGACAGAAAGTAATGATGAAGATAATGATAAAGAGTCCAACCTTCCTGAAGAAGAAATGGACGATAACTTGAATTTCAACAATAATGACGAAGTCATGACACAAGAATTACTTGTTGATTCTTTAGATTTAGATATAGAAATGTCTAAATCTTCCGTATACACTTAATATAGGATCGGTTAAACGATTATCAGAACTTTCCTAATTGGGACATATATTTCCTAATTGGGATGATGCCCATCACCATCGACATCTCTAGAATTTATTTACCATGCGATTATTAGGTAAAATCCTCGGTACCAAAGATCTCTCTCATTCTCCTTATGCTTTAAAAGAAACATTGTTTACTCTCCTCAGACCAATCAGATGGCCGGTATCAATTATTAGACCATAATTTGAATTTTGTGTAACATACCGCGGGCTGTGATTTATGAGGTGATGCTGCGCGACTTTTTTTCATAGTGTTTTCGTTTCAATAACTTATAAACTTGACATATTTCCCCTTCATTCAACGGGATAGAAGTTTTTGACTAATAGTTAGGAAAGATTATGAATAGAAACTTACCATTATTATCAGTGTCCGAAGTTTCCAAGCACAATACTAAGAAAGATGCTTGGGTAACATTATATCATCGTAAGATTTATAATGTTAGCGACTTCATTGATGGACATCCTGGAGGATCAGATTTGATTCTTCCATATTTAGGGAAAGATATCACAGAAATAATGGCGGATACGGTTTCCCATGAGCATTCCGAAAGTGCCTATGAAATGTTGGATGATGAAATGTTAGTAGGCTATGTTGCAACCCCAATGGAAGAAAAGGAATTATTAAATAATAAGAACAAAACTCCGGTTGAAGTTAAGATTGAAGATGGGGATTTCGCTATGGATGAATTCCATGAAAATTTACCTGCTTTACACAAATTGCAAATTCAAACCGATTATGAAGCAGATGTTAAGAAACATAAATTCTTAGATTTGAATAAAGCTTTAATTCCTCAAGTTTTATTCGGTAACTTCACTAAAGAATTCTATCTTGATCAAGTTCATAGACCAAGACATTATGGTAAAGGATCAGCTCCATTATTTGGAAATTTCTTAGAACCATTATCTTTAACTCCATGGTGGGTAGTTCCAACATGTTGGTTATTACCAAATTTTTATATCTTTTATGTTGGTTTTGTTAATCAAGATAAAATCATTGCATTGAGTTTCTGGGTTTTGGGGTTATTCGTTTGGACTTTGATCGAATATTGTTTACACAGATTTTTATTCCATTTAGATCATTATTTACCAGATCATCCAATCTTTTTAACTTTGCATTTCACTTTACATGGAGTTCATCATTATTTACCTATGGATGGTTACAGATTGGTATTACCTCCAACATTGTTTTTGATTTTAATGTACCCATTCTATAGATTGGTGTTTTCAGTATTCCCATTCTATATGGCATGTTCAGGTTTTGCTGGTGGTACTTTAGGTTATATCATGTATGATTGTACTCATTATTTCTTACATCATACTAACTTACCCCAATATTTCCAAGATTTAAAAACTTATCATTTAGAACATCACTATAAAAACTATGAAATGGGTTTTGGTGTTACTTCTAAATTCTGGGATGTAATTTTTGGTACTGAAATCACCGATACTTTTGAAAAGAGGAATTGAGGTGACTTGTTTATGTTTTAATGCTATATATGTTTAAAAATTAATATGATATTCATCTTCATCTAATCTTATACCTCTATGTTTGAGAGCGAATTCTGGGATTTCATCCTTATTTGAGGGAAATTCATATTGGGTTTCTCCCTTAATCTTAGATCGTCTTTTTCCTGGCCTTACATATCCCCTAGTTGAACTTATTCTCTGTTTTTCAGTTTTCAAATTCAAAATGTCGTTGAAAATGGCTTTTTTCAAATCAATTTGTTGTTTTTGTAAAGTCAAATTTTGAAGAATAATCTCTGATGCTAGAAGATCCTTTTTCATCCCACGAGTCTCATCTGATCTATCAAGGAAATCATAGAATTTAAAAGGAATTCTGGAATCAACTTCAATATTGTTATACTTGTAATTATGTTTTGGGTTTAAGAATACAGCTTCACATCGTTGATAAAATTCTTGGGGATCTTGTGTCTTAATAATACCAGTACTATTCAAGTCAGCGATCAACATGTCCTGCCATGTCATCAAAGGCCCACCACTTGTTACTTTAGAATGTTGATAGAATATATGATCAACTTTCGAACAAATTTGATTAGTCATTTCATCAATAAGTTTATGATCAAAGTCAAGGGATAAAGATTTGTGATTCAATTTTGCTGAAATTGCTCTTTGAATTTGAGCTTTAATCTCTAGTTGAAGATTCTCTCGATGATCACTAGGTGGTTCGATTATATTCAAATTTGTGAATCTTATTAGTTTTCTTTTAGGATCAAGTAGATCAACACCATGATAATCTTGAGTTTCTTGATCGAAATCTTCATCGTCAGATAATTCACCGATCTTCAATTCGAATTCTTCTTCAGATTCAATGATTTGAGATTGAAAGTTTTCTTCACCAAGTCCAAAGAAATTATCACTTAAAAGGTCTTCATCGGAGAAATCTATGTGTCCATTCAGAGTTTGATCTTCATCTGAACTGGTGTCAGCTTTATACTGGTCGTTTTCTTTGTCAGTCTCTTTATCTGAGTCTTTGTCAGTTTCTTTATCCGATTCTTTATCCGAATCTTGATCAGATTCTTTTCCAGTCTCTGTAGCCTCTTCTGTAGCCTCTTCTGTAGCCTCTTTTGTAGTCTCTTTACCCTTATTTTCCTCAACTTGTTTTACAGGCTTCCTTCTGAACCGTTCCTTCTTTATAGTTCTACGAATTTCACCAACGACCTTATTGGATGGTGCTTCTTCCAATTCTACAGTCAAGGGTTCACTATATATTCTACAACTCCTAGGATCAGGAACTTTTTCAGGTCTCATAGGCCATTTAATCCAACCTGCTGAAGGAAATGTGGGATCTAATTTATGTAACAAAACCACTGAATATAAATGTAGGGCCAAATCTCTTCTAAATTCATCCTCCAAGTCCCCTATCACTGCCTTATAATTCTTCAAATCATCCTTTGTAATTGAATCCATCAAATGTTTAGGTTTGTGTGCAGTCTAAAGATTTTTCCTGTAAAACCGCGAAGATCTTCTCATGAGGATTTTTCTCTTTTTCTTTTCTTCTTCTTCTTCTCCTTCTCTCTTTAGTTCTATAAACTTGACATTAACTTAAGGGATTTATTGAAGTTTAAATATCTTATTGTTAATTATCAAACTTGAATATTCCAGAAACTTTTTTGTTAATCGTTTAAACCTCGTATTTTACCCCATAAAAAAATGGAATCTTTTTCAACTGACTTTTTAGATATTGCTTTAGAATCAAAAGCTTTAATCTTTGGTGAATATACCTTGAAATCAGGTAGAAAATCTCCATATTTCTTCAATATGGGATTATTCAACAAAGGGAAACTTGTTTCAGCTTTAGCTACTTCTTATGCTAAAGCTATTATTAAATCAGGTATTAAATTTGATGTATTATTTGGACCTGCTTATAAAGGTATTCCTTTAGCTGCTATTACTGTTGCTAAATTAGCCGAATTAGATCCTGAAACTTATAATGATCTTGAATACGCTTTTAATAGAAAAGAAAAGAAAGATCATGGAGAAGGTGGATCATTTGTTGGTGCTACTATTGAAGGTAAAAAAGTTTTAATCATTGATGATGTAGTTACTGCCGGTACTGCTATTACTGAATCAATTGAAATGATCAAAGGGGCTAAAGGTGAAGTTGTTGGATGTATTTTAGCTTTAGATAGACAAGAAACTGCTACTGGATCTGAACTTTCAACTACTCAAAATATTGCTAAAAACAACAATATTCCAGTTATTTCAATTTCTTGTTTGAATGATATTATCAGTCACTTGGGTAAGAAATTAAGTCCAGAACAATTAGAAAACATTGAAAACTATAGAAAACAATATAGTCCAAAGGTTTAAAGGGTTGGATCACCAAACAAAAATAGCTTTTAGAAACTAGAAAGAGCTTTTGGAAATTGAAAAGAGCTAAACAAAAGAGAGTCAAAGAATCGTATATATACTATTTATTTCTCTACCCTCTTATCTTCATAACTTTCTTCTTAGGTGCTTTAGGAGCAGCTGGGATTTTTGGTTGTTCGGGTTCAGGATCATAAATATGTTTAGTCATTGGATGTTTCATAGTCAATTGTGAATGAATTGGAACTATAGTATTCATTTCAAACCCTTTAACTCTTGGTAATTCTTCAGGTTCAAAACCATCTTTATATTCTGGAGGTATTGGATGACCTGATTTTAATCCAATACTTTCTAAAGTGGTTGGATGTTGTTTTAAATATTTAGCAATGGAATTCATTACTTGTCTTTTATTATTTATTAATTCATCAACTTGTTGACCATCTTTCTTAATCAATAATTTAACTCTACCAGGATTACCAAAATCTTGAGGATGGGATTTATCTAATTCTAATAATACAGGGATTCTTAAAAATCTACAAGCATCAGCAATAGTTTTAGCTAATGGATTACTTACGGCAAGTTCTTTAGATACTCTTCTTCCAGATTGATGGGATCTATTTATATCGAAATAACATGGATAAATCGTTTGATATGATTTAAATTCTCTTTTTTCAGTATCTGAAAATTGTCTTGGATCTCTGATATCTTTATCGTAATCTTCAGGACGTTCTATATCTAACACCGGAGATTTTGACGTTTGATCTTGAGATCTTACAACACTTGGTTGAGGTCTTAAAGGGGCTATTGGAGTATTTAAATTAGGATCAAATTCCGCAATATCCATATCCATGTTATCTATGTCATCGTCATCAACGGTTTCTAATACTGGTCTTCTTGACATCGTTGATTTAACCTTAACAAGTGAAAAATGTTGATGAAAATTCGCACTCACGGGTTCGCACTTTTTTTTCCTGTTAACTATGGATGATACTACTTCAACTCCAAGGGTGTTGAAACAATGTGTAGACTTGATATTGTCTCCGAAACACGAGAAGTATTCTATACCGATGGATATCAATATCCATGAGAAATTTAGTGAACATCCTGATATCCAATATTTCAAAAAAATCAAATCCAAAAATCATTTCAATTATCACAAATATAAAAAGAATCCCATAAAAATCAATAAGACCGATAGTTTGATGGTTTCTGACTTCGACCCATATTCAAGAGATGCATTGATTTCTCGAATCTCGAGTTATTCGACGATAAATTGGAAAATACCTTTTGAAAACCATGAATTAAATGAATTGAGATGTAGTCAAAATGGGTGGAAATGTGTATCAATATCAATCAATAATAACTCCAAAAATCATCTAGTTTGTGTTTCATGTAAGCAGATGTTAACTTTACGTTTCAACGAAGAAGATTTCACCACTTTTGAGTTTGATTTAAAGGATATAGAAGAAGTTAATGATCATCTTTGTCATGAATATTTAAAACAAATTCAGGTATCAGCTCATGAAGAAAATTGTCCTTGGAGGAATTTTGAAACTCCAGTTGAAGGTATTTATTATCTAAAACCTTTCCTTCACTCCACGAATGAGATTTTAATTAATAATTATTTACACAGTTTAAAGACATTAGTTGATAATGTGTCAGTGATTATTGAAAGACAAGATAACTTCCATGATTTGATTCAAGAAACAAAGTCAAGGGCCCAGATAGATCAATTTACAAAGAATTCTAACACCTGGCTCATGAATAAATTCTATAAACATGATAAAGAAAATCAAATAATTAGATTATCCACTATACCCAGTTGGATTTATATCATCAGTTTATTAAGCTGGGAATTGAAAGTACAATCTTTTGCTCATCAACTTGTATTGTTCCTTGTTTGTCCTCAGTGTAATAAAAAGGTGTTCATAGATTCCACCCAACATTCACCTGTTTCCCCAAGTTTTAAAGTTCCACAATCAACAGGTTTGAACTTATCAACTTCCAAGATTTTGACCCCAGTGAAATATCCTCCTACAATAATGGAAGACGAAGAAGAATTCTATAACACAGTGGATTTATACCTGGAACACAAACCATGGTGTTTCATGAAACACAGAGCTAGTGTAGAAATCATGTCCAATTATCTTTATGACATTATAGTTAATTCAGAGACTTCCATTGGAATCAATGGGGAATTGTTGGAAGATGTAGAGATGAAAATTGGTGATAGTCAAAAGAGAAGGAAAAGTTTCGATATAAATGAAGGATTAGAGAGGTTAAATAAACTTCGAAAATTATATTTAGTTGAAGAATAATGAGTTATGTATAAATGGTTAGGTAGATTTCTGTACTTTGGTACTAGTTCTGGCACTAGTCCCAGCTCCAGATCCGACTCTTTTAAATCTCTCCTGGGGGTTGACTGAAATCAAGTAACTCAAGGAAAGTCTCTTCTTTATCATTAATATTTCTCTGCACTGCAGCCACACAAATATTAAAATCAAAGCTGACTTGCCAAATACCACCAGTGACATCAGCTAATAAATCTCTAACGAATTTACCCTTTCTGATATCCCATAATTTCAATAATCTTTCACTTCCACTGATGATTCTTAAAGGATCATGTTGGAAACAGGTGATAGCAGCAGTATGACCTTCTAATTTTGAATAAGGTTCACCAGTTGAAGGATTCCATACTCTTAAAGTTGAATCAGCAGCAGCTGAAACCAAATAATCTTTACTTAATTCCAACAATCCAACCAATGAAGCATGACCTTCTAAAGAATGTAATAATTCACCACTTTCAAAATTCCAAATATGAATTCTTGAATCCATTGATCCTGAATAACACACCTTATTCTTGAAATCCAAACTGGTAGAATAAATTCTATCAGTATGACCATTTAAAACATGTTTACAATTAGCATTATCCAATAAATCCCATACTCTAACAGTGGCATCATAAGAACCACTAACAATAATATTACCATAAGCAGAAACTGATCTTACTGATTGAGTATGACCCGATAAAACTTTAACTAAATAAGGATTACTAGGATCATTGGCATCATAACCAATAGCTGATTCATCAACCATTTCATCATCATTAGAATCATCAGGACCTAATTCTGATAATTTAACCCCATCATCAGGTTGAATAGGTAATTTCCAAACAATTAAATTATGATCTCTTGAACCTGTAACTAATAAAGGTTCTTTAGGAAATATTATATCTTTACCACTATCATCTTTACCTATAACTACTGGATGTAAAATATCTAAACATCTAACAGTTGAAGTATGACCTCTAAATATATGAGTACATTTCCCTTGTTTAATATTCCAAATTCTTACTGTTCTATCAGTAGATCCACTAACTAAAGTATTACCTGTATACTTTAAAGCCCAAACTCCACCTTCATGACCTTTTAAAACTTTTAAGAATTCTCCGGTTTTTGTACTATAAATATTAATCAATTTATCATCAACTCCACTAATAATTTTATCATCATCATGTTGTAAACATGTTACAACATTATTACCAGGACTTGGAATATTTATACTGATTCTTCGAGGTTCAAATTTAGGATTCATCCATCTATTATATATGATCTTTCTTTTCTTATATAATAATTGATAAATATTAATCTTATTTAAAGGAATATCAAATCCCCATTGTTTTATTAATTGTTTCAGATCTTTAAGTTCATTATTTATATCGTTTTGTCCTTCAACTAATTGATCTCTTTTCAATAAATCTATCCAAACATTAGATCTATTGATTAATTTATACCAATTCTTACATACCAAAGATATGTTATATAAAGATTTATAATCCAATTGGGATAAAATGTTATAAGTAATTTCTGAGGGTAAATTACTTAATAAATCTCTTCTTAAAGTATCATGTAACACATTATTTAAAGTACTTAAACTTGAACGATTAACATCTTGTAACAACTTGAAAATCACATGATTTCTGTTGTTTGAATCTAAAAATTGACTTAAATTCTTAATAAGATCAACTAATTCTAATTGGGTTGTAGGAATATTAGCTAAATAATTCTCTAAAGGATCATTAATATCTTGTTTAATTGAACTTTGAATTGGTGATGCACTAGGTGAAGGTAAAGGTAATTGTTGAGGTTGATCTTCCATATCAGAAATGGGGGTATTGGATTGAGAACCAACTCCAGGAGTTCGGGATTGAATATTGGCTGGTTCATCATTTGATGATGCGGAATTAGGATAAATAGGTGTAACATTAGCAATCGGTGATAATATGGAACTAGTTAATCTTCTCTTAGGAGGTTGAGCATTACCACTTATTTGACTAAAATCATTATCAGAAAATGTCATATCATCTGAATCTTCTTCATTAACTTCATCAATAGTCTTTTCGTCCCAATTTCTTTTTCTATTTTCACGTCCTAAAGATAATTGGGAATATTCTTCTAACCAGTTAGATAATTTGTTATTACCATGAGTAAGTTTATATTCAAATTCAGGTTCTTTATCTCTTAAAGGGAATATTGAAGGTAAATGGTTACTCATTATGAAATTGATTGCGTTGAAATATAAACTATGGGGTATTTAACACACAAAAACGAGGTTTTTTCCACCGGAGACAATTACAATATGATTTTTCACAGTGTTATAATCAATATAACAGACTTATGAATGAATTTGAATGATTTTAAAACGTCCCTGAAAGAAATTTTCAAATTAGTCACAAAACACCCTGTGATAAATGAAAACTTGGAAAACCTTGAAAATTTTCAGGAAAAAAAACTTTTAAATAAAATGCTAGTATCCTTACTTGAACAAAAGGATAATTTTTGATGAAACGGGAGGTTTAGGGTATGAAAAGGATTGAGATGAAATTAATTATTTACAATCCCGTTGTGTCGCAAAAATTTTAAGTGAGATTTTTCCTGATGAGGATAACGCGAGTGGGGGACAATGGGTAAGACGAGACGAGGGAGGTAAGGCAGGTGAGGGAGGTGAGGGAGGTGAGGTAAGAGTGAGAATCAGGTAAGAGGGGGAATTATAAGTGCGGTAAGGTAGAGAAGGAGGGATAGTTTGGTGAAGATGGTGATAGTAGGAGATAAGCAGGTAAGGAACGATAAAAGAGGTATCACGAGGTGGAACGATTGAAGTACAAGAGGAGAGAGGAGTACAACAGAGGTACAAGAGGAGAGAGAAGTACAAGAGAAGTACAACAGAAGTACAACAGAAGTACAACAGAAGAGCAGAGTAAAAAAGAAATCAACTACGACTATCACTTATCTACACATTTCTGATTAAAATTCCAGGTTCTCCTGGAACTGCTCCATCAATAACTTTACCCTTAACGGTAATTTCAACTTCTTCACCACTTAAAATATTCTTTCCCTTACTGCTTCCATTAGCAAATTCGATGATTTCGATATCTTGGAATTCGACAGTAGCTGAAGATTTTTCAATATTTGATAATACTGATTTAACTAAATCACTTTCATTGAAAGTTAATTTTCTGTTAAACACGGTTTCAGCATCTTCTTTTAATAATCTTTGTTTTAAGTTGGAGATGAAAGGCATAGCTCTCTTCATATCTTTACCAACTTTTTCTTTGATGATTTTGTTATCATTCAAACTTTGAGTTTCAAATAATTCTCTAACTAAATCAATATAACTATCTTGCCATTCAGGGAATGAAGATGAGATGAAAATAGTTAATTTACAAGGTTTAGAACTATCAATATCAGTTTTACCCTTCTTAGGTTTTAAACCACTAGCTTCAGTTTCTCTAATTGATCTGGCTAAAGTTCTAACATAATCTAAAGAATCAATTAATGATTTAGAAACAGGTTTTGAAGCTCTTGGGAATTTAGCGTTATGAATTGAACCTGATTTATTCAAAACTTCACGGTAAAGATATTCACTGAAATGAGGAGCAATTGGTGCTAATAATAATGATTGAACTTCAATATATCTTAAAACTAAATCTTTATGCATACCAATAGTATTAGAAGTGGATTCTCTATAATAATCTCTAGCAATTTGGAAATCAAAAAGAGCATATTTTAATGCTGCTTTATAGTTAGTAGCAGAATATTGTTCAAAAGCTTGTTCAATTAATTGATTCATTTCATTTTCAAATGCAATATCAAAGAAATTGGTGGCTTCATCAGTTCTTAAATTATCTTTGTTTTTAATTTGTTCTTCACACCAATCTTTTAAAGTGGTTAATCTTAAAATAGCAGCATTGGCATTACTTTCATCGAAATTAGCATCTTCAATAGTATCACCACCATCAGCTAAAGCAATTCTTGAAGCATCAGCACCGAATTTTTCAATAGTTTGTTCTAAAGTTAAGAAATTACCAGTAGATTTGGACATCTTAGCATTATTTAACATTAAATGTCCATTAGCTCTAATACCTTTTGGCCAGAATTTCTTAGGGAATAAAGCAACATGAGTATAAATGAAAAATGTTAAATGATTTGGAATCAAATCTTTACCTGAAACTCTACAATCTAATGGATAGAAATATTCAAATTCTCTTCTCATTTCTTTTAATTGTTCAATTGGGATATCGGTTTTAATATCATTACGTTGACTGAAAAGATAATCAAATACTTCAAAAGTCATTTGTTCAGGTTTAATATCGAATTTCCCTTTAACTTTACCATAATAATCACTATGTAAGAATCTAGAAATGGTATAATAAGCCATATAAATAGTTGAATCAGATAATGATTCAACTAAATATTTTTCATCCCATGGTAATTTAGTACCTAAACCGAAATTTCTAGTAACGGCCCAATTTTTTAACCAATCTAAAACCCCTTCAAATCCATGTCTGGTTTCTTTGGAGAATGTTTGCATATCTTTTAAACATTCTAATGCTTGACCTTTCCAAGAATCTTCACCATAATCGATATACCATTGATCTTCTAATGATACAATACAATCATCACCAGATCTTGAAATAACTACTCCTTCAGGTTCATTGTAAACGAAAGCTAATTTAGCATCGATTAAATCTTGTTTAACTTTTGGTTTGGCTACTTCAACTTTATCACCTTTATATTGACCAATAGCCATTTTACCATTATAATAACCTTCTTTATAAGCTAATTCTTTAGCTTGAGCTAATTGAACAGCATCTTTTGGTGATTGAATTTTCAATTGTTTAACTAAGAATTCCGCACATTTATCACCATATTTTTCAGTTTCAATAATGGCAACAATATCTTCACAAACCCATTCTTTTTCAATTTTATAATATTCTGGTTTGTTAAGAAGATCTTTAGTGGTAATATAATCATCAGGAGAATCAGATGGAACACAAGTAACAACACCGGTACCTTTAGTAGCTAAAACAGTTTCCATAGGTAAGATTCTTAAATCTTTATTTACAGCTAAAGGAGCAGTAATTTTAGATCCAACTAAAGCTTTACCATTAATTTCAACTACTGGTTTATAATAACCTCTCTTTGGGGTGATTTTTTGATATGACATATTCTTGAAAGCTCTTTCAGTACAAATGAAATATTCATTATTACCAGCATCAAAAATTCCATAATTGATCTTAGGTGAAACAAAACAACATGTTTGTCCATACATAGTTTCTGGTCTTAAAGTAGCAGCAACTAAATAGATTTTCTTACCTGAAACATCAAAATCATTTTGTTGGAAGATTTCTTGAGCTTCAGAAGCAAATTCATTAACTTCAATTTTAATACCAGTATATTCTTGAGGATTAACCCCTTCACCTGATTGTCTATCATGATCTAAACAAGCTTGACCATCTTTTTCAGAATAAATAGTATATCTTTCACCAAACTTAATCTTAGAAGCTTCTCTCAATCTGGTAATTTGCCATCTAATGAAAGCATCATAATAAGGGTTAGCATCAGTTGTAACCATTGAACGTCTCCAATCAACTCTACCACCAAAAGCAGTAACATGTTTTTGAGTTAAAGCTGGGAAATATTCTAACCAATATTGTGGATCAGCAAATTTAACTACTTCTTCTTTAGTAATACCTAATTGCAACATAATTTCAAATTGATATTTACCTCTACCTTGTTTAGCTACAGCTTTAGATTTTTTGGCTCTAAATTTGGTAACATCTTCACCTTTAGCTGGGTTTTTTTCTTCAACTTCTTCTTCTTCATCTGCTGGTAAACCAGAGAAATCTTCACCAAACATTTCGATTTCTCTAGCAATTTTATCAGCAGCTGATTTAATAGGCATACCAGTACAATGGAAACCTAAAGGAAATAAAGCTCTTTTACCAAGCATTCTTTCGAACCCAGTGGCAAATTCAACCTTAGATAAGGTAAAACTATGACCAACATGTAAAATCCCATTCATATAAGGGTAAGCCATAGTACTGAAAAATTTAGGATATTTTTCTCTTAATTCATCAGTATCTTCAATTGAAGTTTCTTCGACGGTTGGAGCATCGATTTCAAAGATTTTGTCATCTGCCCAAATCTTTTGATACTTCTTTTCGATATCGGTTAACACATCTCTACGATCTGTTCTTTCTAACTTGATAGTCCCACTCATGAGAGATTGAAAAATTTTCAGTGCGTATGAGTCAAGAAGAAGTATCGTGGGAGGTTTGGTGATAATATAGAAGTTTATACCGCGAAGTTTACCACCATAATGGTGCGAATGTCAAAAGGGTTGTTTCATTTATTTCTAACGCTTTCTACGAATTGATGGTGGTATGAAGTATCCTTTAACTTTTGGTTGGGTTTTATTTTGGATTTTGCTTTGAAGTTGTCTTTTGGTGATGATTTCTAACTTTTTACCTTTGAAACTCTCAGTTTCAAGCTTTAATGATGCTTTTCCACTATCTGCAATACTACTGAATTGAACTATAACTGCTTGGTGGTCAGGAAATTGTAATATCTTTTCAGGCAAAGTGACTTTTTCTTTAATGAATAATTGGATCTGTTCCTTAGTAGTTGTATTATCGATTCCTACCACCACCACAGACTTCTCTTCATCAAAGGATCTAAGATCAACATCAGTATTGAGTTTCTTAGATGGTTTGATGTTGATAGTACGATTTTCAAACTTTTTACCATCAAATTGTAAAGCTTCAGTGGCTGAAGTTTCAGATTTGAACACTATAAATCCATAACCTCCGTTGTTAAATCCTTTTGATCTCATTTCTTGAGTTAATGGGAGGGTTATACTTTCAATAGTACCAAATTGTTCGAAAAATTGCTTAATCTTATCTTCGTTAACTTTGAAATCAACATTGGAGATATGAATCTCTCTTTTTGCTATGTTTTGTTTCTTATCTTTACTATCAGTGTCAGATAATTTAACGATCAATTTGTAAGTCTTTCCATCTAAATCATCAGTGAGTTGTTTTCCATTGAGATGGAGAGCTACCTGAGCCAGCTCAGGTTCATCAAATTCAACATAACAGAACCTCCTAACTTTTTTGGTGGTCTGTATTGGGAACCTGACACTTAAAATCTTACCACATTGTTGGAATAATTCCTTCAACTTACTTTCATCCATGGAAGGTGGGAAATTAGTAGTCCAAATAATACAGTTCATCAACCTTTTGACAGTTACCTTGCTTTCGTCTATAGCCTTGAAAGTCTTTGTTAAGGCTGCAAATACTGCTTGTTCAGAATCAAATTCTATAACCGACTGATATTCATCATCTTTAGTGAAAATAATGATATCGTTGATATCTCCACAATCTTTGAAGAAATTCACCAATTTTTTTTCAGTGATCTTAGATGTTAAACCCGTCACTTTGACTTTCAATTGTTCTCTGTTTCGTGTTGGTTCGACTTTGGTTCTCTTATTGGGTTGGAAATCATCTTCTAAAGGTCTTTTCTTAGATTCTTCCTCGACCTTATTTTCAAGTATGGTTCTAATGGTTTTGTCTGCCTTGACCAATGCTTTTCTATAAGATTCTGGAGTACCATAGACCTGCTCATATCCCAATTGTTCTTGAATTAATCTTTCAGGCCAGTCCAATACATTGGCTGACTCTACAGCCCATTCAAACAATTGAGAAATATCCTCATAAGGGAAGCCATGACGTTTGTAAAATTCGAAGGTGAAAACCCATAATTCAGTCAGATCGATGAATTTGTTCAATAATCTCTTCAAATATTGGACGGCCAATTGGATTTCATCTCGAAATTCAAGAATGGAAATTGTTAACTTTTCTACTGAATGGAAAATATCCATATTTTCTTCAATTGCAAAGGTGAAAAATGTTTCTATATCTTTGTGAATGTTATCAGAAGATTTTCCGTGGGATAATATAGCCAATGCAAGAACTTTCCAGTCATCATAAGAATTTTGTCTCATCAAATCCAAGTATTCGATTCTTTCCCTGAGTAGTTCATATTCTTGTGGAAACAAGCTGATATTCCTGATCATTTCGGCATAGGAAATACAAGAATTGGGAAAAGCTTTAACGAATTTGGGTAAAACTTCAGTAACATCATTTCCAGTGGTATATAAATTATAGATATACGTTATCCACACCGATACCCAAGAATTATCGCCTGAAAGTAATGATCGATAGAATATTATTGACACTTGTTTTGGTGATGTAGCATATCGACTGATTTCAGTTATATAGTTAGACCATAGTAAGCCATTAGTGGGATCTTTATTTATGTTCCATTCATGAATCTGATAATATTCTTGTTTTTTATTGGTATCACTATAAATCTTTTGAGCTGCTGACATATATTGATCATAGTTGTCTTGGAAATGGTTGGTGACAAATTTGGAAGTTTCACTAAAGGATTCATCCAAGGTTTTATGAGGGAAACTGATTCTTTTGATATAAAGTTTCCATAATCGTTCTAAATCGTCTTCGTCTCCGGACTTTTCATACATCTGAGCAAAGAATGCAAGCACTTTCTCCCAAATCAAGTTACTATGGGCAAAATCATGAACAGTATCATTCAAAGCTTTAATAAAAGTGATCTGAATATCATCGATATCTTTAGTTTTGAGGCAAAACTCGAGATATTTCAACCAGAATTCAACTGTAGGAAGCTCTTTAAGTAAATAATCATAAAACTCATCTAATAATTGATTTCGAAGGGTCAGATCTTCAATTGTTAACAATTCTTCTATGATGGCATTGATATCAGTTTGGTCGATTAAAAAGTATTTATGCTTATTCAATCTGGCCAGAAAAAGAGCCTGACACTCCAATTTCCTATTCAATCTCAAAACATCAATCAATTCATCATGATAAGATAAGTTGAATGGTTCTGTAGACACTCTTTGTTTTAACTCTTGTAGAGTATTCATGAGTGAGATTTTTGTCGCGGAAAAGTCTGAGAAGAGCATCAAGTTCTGAGAAGAGCATTGCAAAAAAAGATCAATAAAGGAGATCATGGACACAAAACTGTACTTACAGTCATTTGGTTGGAAAGAAGGAGAGGCTCTACAAAGTGGAGGTATCAAGAAACCTATCTTGGTCAATCATAAACGAGACACTAAAGGATTAGGACACAATAATAAAGAAGGTGAAACTTGGTGGGAAAGTCTTTTCGATGGGAATTTAAAGAATTTGGAGATAAATAAAGGTAAAGAAGGGATTGAGTTGAAAATAGATGAGGCCAAAGTAGACGCATCCATAAGGAAGAAGAATTCTCCTTTATATAGGATGTTTGTCAGAGGAGAAGGATTAGCAGGGACTGTAGGGTCTACAGAGTTTGAAGAAGTTAAAGAGGTGAAGTTGAATGCTGAAGAGGTTTATGAGAAGCAGGTGAATAGTAAGATGAGTTTGGTTACGGTGAAGGTGAAGGAGAAGAAGGTGAAAGAGAAGAAAGATAAGAAAGACAAGAAAGAAAAGAAGGATAAGAAAGATAAGACAGAAAAGGTGGATAAGAAAGAAAAGAAAGAAAAGAAAGACAAGAAAGTAAAGACAGAAAAGAAAGAAAAGAAAGAAAAGACAGAAAAGAAGGATAAGAAAGAAAAGAAGGATAAGAAAGTAAAGACAGAGAAGAAGGAAGATAAACTGAACAAAACGGACAAATCAGATAAACTCCTACGCAAAAAACGTAAAGCTGAACAACTCCCTTCCAAGTCCAAGAAACATAGATCTAACGAGTAATGAATAATATCTTGTAATTTCTCAACTGTAAAAATCTTATCGCGATTATGTCTCGTGTAGTGAACTATACAAGGCCCAATGCCAACAATATCGGCCTATGTCTCCTAGGAGGGCTAGCCATTCATATATTGATAGGGTTTAAAAGGTTCTTTTTCTATTCAGGTGTTTCTATAGGAACAATTTTGGTTTTTATTGTGGCAATCACATACTATATCTTTGCATATAACTTCCCCAAACAACAAGAATCCAGTACTAAAACCCATTTCAAGTTTTTAGATAACCATGAATGGCAAGATGAAGTGGCCAAGTTATCAATCGATACAGAAACTTTGACCAAACCTATATTTGAGGAATCTTTCTTGATATCAGAGACTTTAGATGAGTTTATCAATTTGATCCTTCAGGAATTCATTGATAGTTGGTACGGAAGGATCATTAAAGATACCTTGTTCCAGGATAGTATAAGAATTGAACTCAAGCATGTGTTTTTGCAGTTGAAAGTCCGATTGGGAAACATGGATATCGCCAAGTTCTTAGTGTCTAAATTGGTACCCATTATCAATGATCATTTATCTGACTACTTACGGGCCGAAGAAAGAGTTCAAGCAAAGATTAATAACAACAAGGGAGGAATCGAACCTATAGATCATGATATTGATGTGGCCAGACAGTATCGTAGGGGTAAAATCCATCAAGGAGTAACTATCACCAAAAATGAAGTCACTAATATTAACGAGAAGAAGTACCTCCGAAGTTTGATTGGACAAATCTTACCCTTCTTATTGTCCGATAAGGAAAACACCAATGAAGTGGGGCTCACATTAGTACGAGAGATTCTTTCATGTACGGTTCTATCCAATATCATTCAAATGACAGGGGAAGGAGATTTCTATAATCTTTTGATTATCAAATTGATCGGAGATCGATTGAAAAGACAAGATCAAGTAAAAAAGTTACGTGAAGCTTTAGATGAACATACTAAGAAAGATTATGATGGTATGAAAGAGTATATGATCACAGAAGATATGGATGTTATTAGTTTCAATAATTGTTTAGATAAGATCAATGAGATCACTGATATTGATGATTTGAAGCAACTTCGACTTTATTTCTCCTTACAGATGGTCAACAAGACGGACGATACCCTCAAAACAAGGATCAAGGAAGCTCAAAACCGGGTTGAAAGTAAGATTTCTGATATACAAAGAAGTGAAAAGGCCAGTTTGACCACTGTACTTCATGATACCAAGTTATTGGCAGAGTTCAAAAGATTCTTGAAGAATAAGAGGAATTTGGATATCCTTGAGTTTTACTTAGCTGTGGAGAAACTTAAAGCTCCCTTAACTTTGGATAACGATAAATTATCGTTATCTTTAGGGTTTTCCAATTCTGACGAAATAAGAGATATCTCACAAAAACTCAAACTGATAGATTTAAAAGACAGGGATTATAGTGTGATAAATCGATATATCAACTGTAAAGACTTACTTGAAAAGACGGTATTATATCAACAAGCACAAACCACATTGTTTGATATTCAAAGTGAAGTTTTGACTACTTTACAAATAGAATTCGATGCGTTCAGTAACACTAATGAATACCTTGAGATCATCAATAAGGAAAAAGAGAAACAAGAAATCAGTCCTATTGTAATACAAGCCGTGGAAGATGCTTTTACCCAAATCATGAATAATAATGATGATAAGTTGTATGAACCTGATAAGAAGCTTCTGACAATTGATTTGAAAAAAGATTTATTTGGAGAAACTTCCACTTTATTCTCTGATCAAACTAGGTACAGTAAGTTATTTGAAGATTTGAGTGACGAGTCAGGTACTGATAGTGATTCTATCAATGATGATAACCTTGCTAATTCCATAGATTTGGAAAATAGCATTGAACTTAATGATGAAAATGATGAGAGACTTGACCAATCATTGGTTTTAGCAGCACCAGGGAATTTGAAATTGACTGAAGAAATTGGGAAATTGACCGATGATATCAACAGATTAACCGAACAACAGAATATCGTCATATCTTTGATCAAAAAGGCCGAAATCACCAAAAACCTCAGTGAATTGAAAATCCTTAGAAACTCCAAGGTTAGTTTGGAGAAAGAAATCAATAATAAGGAATTACAAAAACAACAATATATCGTTCAAGAGAATGACAACAGTTTGTTTGGGAGATCTCGAGTTAGTTGTCAAAGTTATATCATAGGTAATGAAAATGGGAAAGAATTCATTCTTTACATTATAGAAGTTCAGAGATTTTCTAATGATGACCCTTCGAATAATACTGCTGGTTGGATTATCGCCAGAAGGTTTAGTCAATTTTTTAAACTACATGAATATTTGAAGAACAGGTACCCTAAAGTTGCCAACTTGAAGTTCCCCAGAAAGACCATGTTCAAATTACATCAACGTCAAATTATAGAACAAAGAAGAATCGCCTTGGAAGAATATTTAAAGGAAGTGATCCAAATACCTGAAGTATGTTCTGATAAAGCTTTTAGATCGTTCTTATCATCAGAAACTTTCAATCTCAGGAAGAACCAGGGTTTCGATGATAACTTAACCACCAAAAAGGAACTGATCACAAAAATATTCAATGGGTTCAAAAAAACAGAATCTACAGAATCTAAAGCTCCCAACAATGAAAACTTGAAAGAGATGGAGAAAGAATTGAAATCCTTCGATGAGAAAGAACTCTTCATCAAACCAGTGATTGATATTTTAATCACTATTTTCAAACTTAAGAATTCCAAAAATTGGTTAAGAGGTAGGGCTTTGATCGTGATCTTACAACAAATCTTTGGTACCACCATTGAAAGAAAACTTTATGACCAGATCAAACAACTTACTCAGGAAGAGAAATTATTAGACATTTTGATATTATTGAAGAATATCGTTTTCCCAAATGGGAAATTCAAAGATCCTCCTATAATCAGATCAAATTATGAGAAAGCTACTACCAAAGAAGAGTCATCAATTTTCTTGAATAATTTCATGGATGAAACTTTCACCACCATTTTTGGAACTTCTAACACCAGATTCGCCAATGGGCTTATTTTCAATGTTTTACAAAATGATTTTCTTTTGAAACATCTCATCTTTGAAATATTCGATGAACTCATCAACGAATTATTCCCTGAATTGTCCATAGATTAAAATAAAATAATATAAATCCGTTGTCTCCTTTAAAAAAGAAAAGAAAAATGGGTAAGGAACACACCCGTGCACCCATAGTTAAGAAAAAATCAGTGCGGAATCTTATCAGATCACAGTTTTCCACGCTAAGCCATTCTCAAAGGGAAATCGTCAACTGAACATTCTAGTAAAACTTAAAGTCAATTGAGGTCATTTATATCATTAGAAATCATTATTTATTTATAAGAATCGCAGTAACATAGATATTTGACTTTTTTAATAAGGATGGCTCAAGATAAAAGTAAAGAACCCATCCCACCAAATGGATTTATTGCTAAGTTTGATGAAAAGTATCTGACTTGGTATTATGTTAATTTAGATACTAAGAAGTCACAATGGGAAGCACCTACTGGGACTAAGTTTAATGATGCACCAGATGCACCACCACCATCATATAATGAAAAGCCTCAAGGTACAGGGGCATCTAATAATTCTCAAAGAAGTTACCCACAGCAAGGATATGGGGCTGGAAATCAACCAGGCTATGGGGGACCTCAACAAGGATATGGTGGATACCCTCAACAATACCCACAACAAGGATATGGAGGATATCCTCAACAATACCCTCAGCAAGGATATGGAGGTTACCCACAACAATATCAACAATATCCACAACAAAGACAAAGTAGATTCGGAGGTGGAGGTGGATCCATGATGGCACCAGCCATGATGGGTCTTGGTGCAGGGGCCTTAGGTTTTATGGCAATGGATGGTATTATGGATCATCAACAAGAAGATGCTTATCAAGATGGATATCAAGATGGTATGGATAACGGAGGTGGTGATTTTGGCGGGGGTGACTTCGGAGGTGGTGATTTCTAGTATAAATATATAGCACTTTCATTATTCTAGTCTTTTATTAGAAAGTTATGTACCGAGTTATGAAACAACTGGTTTGAAACAACTGTTTTGAAACAAACTGATTTGAAAAATCTCATTAATATGGGCCTAAAATTTCTCACTAATCTCGTTCTAAATCTCCTACCAAGTTCCTCACTAATTTGGGGGGACGCCTAAAATCACTAAAAAATCTCCATCAAAAATTTTCGCATTGACCAACCAGAAACTAATTAAATAATATGAGATTCACTAGAGTTTTAAAGCAAGCTGAAGAAGTATTAGTCAAAGCTGCTGCTGGTAATCCAACAGGTTTAACCGGTATATATCAACATCCAAATCCAAGACCAGCTTTGATCTCCCTTTATAATCATACTTTAAGTACTTTAAATAGTAAATTCCCATCATCATCAATCTACAGACAATCAGTTGAAGCTTTAACTAAGAACAGATTAAAAATCGTTGAAGAAAATGATATCACTGAAGAAATCGAAAACAAAATCGGTGGTGGTTTAATAGAAGAAGTTATCATACAAGCTCATGAAGAATTAACTTTAGCTAATGAATTAGCTGAATTAAAATGTTGGGAGGAGTTAGAAGAAAAGCCATTAGACGATCAATGGGTTTACTTTGGAAAGAAGATTTAGAAAAAGATTGTTCAGCATTAATATACGATAGATAAAGAATTTCTCATTTGGACATTGAAAGGACTCTTTCTCTAGCCCATTACCTTCACCTAACACCCCTCTAGAGATTTAGAACTACAGATAAACATATATTTTACACATTAACAACAATTAGATTTGGCAGCATTACCGGATTTAGAAACGTCAATTCCTGAAGCCTTTTCTGGTTCAGTTTCAACATGTTTATCTTGAATGATAGAAGCTAATTCATAAAATATAGAATCAACATTAGTATTGGATTTAGCACTGGCTTCTAAGAAAGGTATGTTCAATTTAGAAGCTAATTCTTGTCCTTGTTCAACAGTAACTTGTCTACCTTCACTATCATCACATTTATTTCCAACTAAAAAGATTTGTGCATCTTCATTAGCATGTTGAGTAACAGTATTAAACCAGTTTTCGACATTTTCAAAACTTCTGGCATCAGTAACGTCATAAATCAATACAATACCCATAGCTCCTCTATAATAAGCGGTAGTAATGGTTCTAAATCTTTCTTGACCTGCAGTATCCCAAACTTGTAATTTGATCTTTTTACCTTTACTTTCAATGGTTCTGATTTTGAAGTCAATACCTATAGTGGTGATGAAGGAAGGATTGAATTTATCTTCAACGAATCTTAATAATAAACAAGATTTCCCAACCCCTGAATCTCCGACTAATAACAATTTCATAATCATATCATATGATCTAGATGGAGCTCTTCCACTCATTCCGATGATTCCGTTTTAAAATACAAAAGCTTCTGATGGGTTTTTAAAAAGGTAGTTAACGATGATGAATGATATATTCCACGTAACTGGTCGATTCAATTGATTATTTCTACAGAGACTGTCTGATCACCAATTAATAATTTTCGTTTGACTGCGACTCGTATAGACACTACTGGAGCGAGGTTGGGGGTGAGCATTTGGTTTAATTAGTGGGAGAAAAATGAGAAATGGGGTGCGATTGGTGCTAGAAAGATCAGAATTTGGTGCCGCACTGATGGGAGAAAAAGAAGACGAATCCCAATCACCATCAAACATTAATAACTCTTCGGTATATCTACATTATCTATAAGAAAATTTCAATGTTAATCTCAACATATGAAGCAGCATAAGGTATTTCAAAAGATTTCATGACTTCAGGATGTAAAACCCCAATAGATCCAATAGCAACAGCTTCACCACCTTCAACACTTCTAAAGAAAACTTTAGCTCCTCTACCAGGGAAATAAGTGGCATTTTCATTATCTTCTTCAATCCAAAAACCTCTTTGAGTATTTGGTTTTGAACTATCAATCCATGAAGCTCTTAAAGTTTGCATTAATTTTCCTAATAAACCTTGAATATATTCAAAACCTGAAGTTTTACCAGCAATAATAGCACCCCAGTTTCTTTGATTTATAGCTTTTCTTTCAACAGAATCTTTCTTCAATACAATATCACCACATTCGAAAACTTTGATTGGTAATGAATGTTTTCTATTTTCTCTAATGGTTTTCAATAAACCTGGTAAAAGAGTAGTTCTAACAACTTGATATTCAAAAGTTTTTGGATTTTCCAATTTAACAGCAGTTTTATTATCATCAATTTGTCTTAAGAATTTGAAATTTTCATCATGTGAACATAAAGTTAAAGCCATGATTTCAGAATATCCAGCTTGTGAACTTGCTAATCTGAAAATATCAGCAATTTTATTAATTGGTAAAGCTGAGGCAACTAATGATTCACCTTTTGGTTTAGTTTTTTCAATATTATTGAATCCATAAGCAATGGCAGCATCTTCCATGATATCACATTGATGTAAAATATCTGATCTTGTAATTGGTATAGAAACTTCTAATTTCTTTGGATCTTCAGATACTTTAGCATCTAATTCCATCTTCTTTAATAATTTAGCTATTTCATCACCTGATAAATCTAAAGCTAAACAAGAATTAATATAATCAATTTCAGCTAAAGATTTTCTTGGTTCGATATTTGGACATAATCTTGATTCACCATTATGATTAGAAATGATTTCAACTGGTTCAATTTCAAATTTTTCACCACAATGATGAGAGAACATAGCAACTAAAGTTTGAATAACAATTTCGGTTTTGGTTTTATCAGTACCTGTAACATCAATGAAAACATTTTTAGTATCAAGACTAATCTTGGAATGATTAGAATTGATAATTGGTGGTAATGAACAAACAGTTCTATTTTTATCTAAGATAACTGGATAAACTGGAGAATCTTTGATAATGTGTAAATATCTTGATAAATGTTTATCTTTTTCATAGAATTCCATAATTTCATTACCATTCATAACTTTAGTTTGATTCAATGGAGCAAATTTAATATCTTCAGGTTTTAAAGCTTCATAAGTGAAAGGTCCTTCAATAGTATCTAAATCATGAGTTCCAATGGCAACTAAAGTTCTGTTTCTACATAAATTAGTATGTAATTTATCTTGTAAAGTAATGAAAGAATCATAACTTCTTTGATCAAATTTGATATTTCTTAAGATAGCTGAAGCAGCATAAGGTCTAATTTGTTCAGTAGATTTTTCAATAGTTAATTTAGTGGTTGGAGCAGTTAATTTGAAATTAGGGTTTTCAGCTCTACCTAAGAATTGATTTAAAGCTTGAGCAATCCCTTCAAAACATAACATATCATATCTGTTGGCAGGAATTTCAATTTTTAATTGAGGTCTTTCATCTCCTTGACATTCTTCGGTGGTATCTTCATCTAACTCGATTCCGAATTCGAAACATAACTCGTCGAATTCTTCAGTGGTATAGGATTTACCTAAGGACTTGTATAAGTCTTCTTTATCAACGGCAATAGTTGGCATGGTTGGGTTTGAAAATTTTTGCTCAGTCAAAAATGCGGGCGACATTCTAGTGATTCATCTCTGCGACGCGCGACATGGGGAGGTTGGTGTACGGCTAGTTTGTATAAGGGGGTAGGTTATTAGCTGGAGAGTTGGAGGGAAACTAAGATTAGAGGTTCATAGGCTACTTCAAGAGTGCGGCTTCACTAGAGCACGGTTTCACTAGAGCATCAATTCACCAAAGTACCACTTCCAGAGTGCCACCTCACCCAAGTCAGAGTATCATCAAAAACCTGTACCTACATTACCTATTTATTGGTACCTCAGCTTCCCTGTCAGCTTTCACTTCATTCTTCTCAATCTCTTCTACTTCATTTCTAAGTCCATCAACATCAAATATCGGCCCAGCATCATATTCTTCCTCTTCTTTCTTCTCATTTTCTGGCATCTCTTTCCACCAATTATTTCCCTTAGGTTTGAACATATTCTTCCAAGTCTTTTTGGGTTTCTTATCTTCATCTAATTCTTTCTTCATTTTAGCTCTGGCTTCATCAAACTCTATAATTAATTTCCTTTCCCTTTGGGTTTGTTCAGCATCAGGTTCTTCAATTTCATCGAATTCTTGGTTAAGTACTTCCCAATCAAGTTCCTTCATGATTTTTGGTATAGCTTTTCTATATGACATATGTCCTTGAACCATTTCAGTAACATCGAAATTCTTGATTCCATAACAATCTTTGATTTCAGATAATCCAGCAACTGACAGTAATCCACCACTGGTGGCCCTAAACAAATATCCTAAAACCCAATCTTTACGGGAGAATCCATTGATGAAATCATTACTAACAACTGACCTGGCTAATCCCAATTGATCTTTATTAACAGTAACAGGAGATCCTAATAATATGACATTTTCAACTAATCCAAAACATCCTCTTTCGGCCAAATCGATCAAACAAGAGTACACAACTCTAGCTCCTAAAGAAAACCCTACCAAAGTAATAGGTCTTACTCCCATATTACCGGAGATAAGATTTTCAGCTAAAATTTTACCTGCTTTCCATGCTCTATCTAAAGAAACGTTCCAGGGATTATCAACCAAATAGGTCAATTTTGATAACAATACCGGGATTTGAATGGCTGCCATTAATGACGAAGCTATAGTAGCACCTAAAATTTGTTGGATCGATGATGTTAAAGCTTCACTGGCCAAGATTCCAATGGTTTGACCCATGGATGTCAACATTTCAGGTTCCCATAAAACAGAAAACAAATCTCCCATTACAGGATCAACAGTTGAGAATGGTAATCTCACATCATCAGCTTTCCCTGTCATCCACCCACTGACTGTTATTATCAAATTGGCTCTTTTGTTATTGTGAAGAGGTTTGAACTCAAAAGTTTCAACTTCTCCTGCTCTTCTTCTACCAGCTTTATTCCCAGCTTTAGCACCTAATATAACCCCACCAGTGGTAATTATAGTAGTACCTCCAACACCTGCCAAGAACCCACCGGTTCCACCAATTCCAATGGTCGTCAACCCGGCAGCCAACCCGGCACCAATCACTGGTGCTAATAATCCAGCTGATAACCCTATTGCTAAAGTTCCTCCGAGCGTGGCTAAACCAATATATGCTAATCTTTTATTCTTATTCTTGGAGATATACTTATCGATGTATTCCTTATTATTGAGAAGTTCTTCTTTATCTTCCAAAGATTTATCCTTGGTTTCCACATCCAAACTGTTAAGTAAACGACGCTCAAATTGATAAATTTCCAATGGATCAATTTGTAAGTATTTCCCAAATCTTATTAACAACGACCTCGATCTACTATCATAATAACCATCGCTAAGAAGTAAAAGGAATAAATCACAGATTAAAATCCATTCCAACGATGAACCTTCCTTGTCGTCGACTTTAATCTTTATCAATCCTGAAGTTAAATCTTGAACATTTAATCCATGAACACTTAAATTATCAATCATTTTCTGTTCATCCTTGTTCAAATCCATGTGAGTGTAAACCTTATCGATGATATATTGAGACCAATTCCCGAAATTCTTTTGAGCTGCACTTAAATGTTTACTTACCTTATTGGTAGTGGATTGTCTTATATATGCCAATTCTGTGGCCATTTCTACAGATATCAATTTGACTATCCCACAATATGAAAACTTCTGACTTTCGTCCAACATATCTTTGGTTGATTGAAGAGCTTCACCTGATTCAAGGTTTTCATCTTCATATAAGTAATTCTCATCATCACTGTCTTCATCATCTCTATACTTGGCATTCTTAGCATCGACTTCTGTCTTAGAAATGAACAAAAAGTCAGTTTTCTTATCAAATTCAGAAAACTTGGCTACTTGTTCAGCATCATCAATTCTAGTATACCCACTATTCTTATTCTTAGGATCAAAGTAATCGTCATTGGAATAATTGGTAAACTCCAAGTTCCCTCTTTCATCGTAATAATCCATTTCGGCTATGGTGTTCATGGTCTTCCAAGTGGCCTTATCATCATTAAAGAAATCATTCTCTTGTCGTTGGATCTTTTCTTCCTTAGTTTCTTGTACTTCGACTTTGGGTTCTTCCATATCCTTCAAAAGCTCCTTAGTGTCAATCGAGTCTCTGACTTTGGCTTCACCTCCTCGTTTACTAAGATCAAACTCCACAAAACTGGTATTATTATTCTGATAAACACTACTTTCTTCTGTTAAATCTTGTGAATCGTTTCCTACGGTATTAACACTGACATCATAAGGTAATGCCGGCAATTGAGCAATGGATGTTCTAGCCCCATATTCAGGTCTATCATGAGTAACTAAAGTCCCACTAGAGTTGTTATGCTCATGATAATCCTTATCAAAACTCATTGATTCAGAACTTGTACCCTCTAAGATTTGTAGGTTTGCTTAAAATCGCGATCAATAATATCGTGGGTGTACGGGGGTGTCAAAAAAGAGTGTTACCCGCATTTAAGAGATTGGGAGGGAATAGGTCAAAAATAAGTGTATGCAACATGGTTTTACTCAAAGCGTCTCATTAGTCAAACGACCGTTCGCAGAGTTTAGGAATATGTTGCCTCAGAGGCCGAGCATCACCGTAAAGAGAGCTCAAGACCCCTGTTATTATAAAATTTGTCGACGGAGCCACTCTGTTCAATATTGGCAAGCCAATATTATTATAACATATTATAACTACAACCAATTGATCTCATCAATCCATAATATCGCTCAACTTCGAAAAGGACCAACATTATGTCTCAACTCAAACAATCAAATGATTATGAAACGTAATTAAAATGGAGGTTATAACGGAATGAACTTGCTTCTCGAGCGCCGATCTGCTATAGTTAACCACTACAAAGTCTTGAAGATAACCCGAAGGTTTAATCAACTGTCGTTTGAGGGTTATTCTATAGCACAAATTTATAAGTTCTTCATTAGAAGACCTTGAAGAATTTTCTGCGACCGTGAGGGATGGTTTTATAGTCGCGATGAGATGGTCGTGCGATTGTCGAATTACTTGATGTTAACTAACAAGAGAAGACCAAAGACTAAGAGTCAAAGACCTGAAGCCCAGAATGAAGGAGGTAATGATTCCATACCTTTTGCTTCGGACAATTCAATAGAACCTTCTAGAATTGTGGATTTATTTACTCAGGAATTCAAACATATCTTAGAAAGTCCTGATTTACCTGATTTCATTCAAGAAGTTAAAGGTCAATTATATAACAGAGAATATATTTCTGCTTTCAACAGTGATGATAAACGTTTTGCTTATGCGTCAAGATGGACCCCTGCACGTGCATTGTCTTACTCATCATTATTTGGGAGTTTATCACCAATAGTTGAATTATTAGAGGAATCAGAATCAGAGAAGAAAGTATTATGTGTTGGGGGTGGAGCTGCTAGTGAGTTGATTGGATTAGCTGCTGTGTTTTGTAGATTAAAAGAACTGTGTTCAACTTCAGAATCATCTTTATCTATGGATGTGGTGGATATTGCTGATTGGTCAAAGATTGTTAACAGTTTAACTAATTATATGAAAAGAACATGGATTTATAAACCCGAAAAGTTATCAGCTAACTTCATAAATAGTGATATTTTGACCGATGACTATAATAAATACTCAGACTTGGATTTAATAACATTATTATTCACTACCAATGAACTATTTGCTGAGAAGAAAACTGATACCATTAAGTTTTTACAAAAATTGAATCATAACTGTAAATCGGGATCATTGTTGTTGATAGCTGAAAGTGCAGGTTCTTATTCCCATATAACCATTGGAACCAAAAAGTTCCCAGTACAATTCATGATTGATATGATTTTATTGGGCAAACAGGGAGAAGATAATGGACCATGGGAATTAGTAGAACAAAGTGACAGTTGTTGGTATAGAATTGATGAGAAAGAGATAGAGTATCCTATGAAACTTGAAAATATGAGATTTTTCTATAGACTTTATCAGAAGAAATAAATAGCATAACATAATTTTGCACCCATTTTGGGTACCCAAAACGTTCGACCCGCTGTACTGTAGGTCGGTCTGTCGCGCAAATTTCTCCCACAAAATTAGGCGCAGGTGCTGCCATCTATCCCGCCCATTCAACTCTAAATCTTATTACGCGAAACTGTATGTCAACAGAAAGACTTATTCTGACCCAAGGAATTAGGTGCAAATTGACCTCCAATGGTCTTGTAGGTATCGACCAATTACTAGTTAGTGATACTGCTGAATCCTCCAACAATTATTTCGACTGTTTTCCATCCATTGACTCCTCGGCGGTCGCAGGAACTTTACCCTTCAAAGATATACTTTACTGTAGTGTGTTAGATGACGATGTATATGAAATAAGTTATGCCCAGAGCCATAAGAACTCCATAGTTACCAAGAAACTCATGGCTCAAATTGAAGACCCCACCAGACAATTCAAATTCAGCTCTCCAACTGAATTATGTAAGATTATTAATGATAAGGCTTATGAGAATAGTCAAGTATCGCCATCAATTCTCATCCTTATAAACCCTAATGGGGGCCAAGGTAAAGCTTCTAGAATATTTGATGAAGATATAAAACCCGTGCTACAAGCAGCACACGTATCGTTGGAAGTAATGGAGACCAAGTACTCGGGCCATGCTCGAGATATCGCTAAAGATTTAGATATTTCTAAGTATGACATGATAGTGTGTTGCTCAGGTGATGGGATCCCTCATGAAGTTATCAATGGGTTCTATCAACACCCAGATAGAGGGGTTGCTGCGTTTAATAAATTAGCTGTTACTCAATTACCCTGTGGATCAGGTAATGCGTTATCTTTAAGTACTCATGGAACTAATGATGCTAAGGTTGCAACCTTGCGAATGTTGAAATCCCGTAGGACTAAATTAGATCTTATGGCAGTCACTCAGGCTACTGATGATGGTGGAGAACTCACAAGTTTATCATTCTGTTCTCAATGTTACGGAGCTGTGGCTGATTCAGATATCGGGACCGAACATTTGAGGTGGATGGGGCCAATAAGATTTGATTTGGGTGTTGCCCATAAGGTTTTCACTAGAGCAAGGTACCCTTGTGACTTATACGTGAAGTATCAGACCCAAACTAAAGAAGAGTTGATTGATTTCTTCAATGAGAACTATGAAAATCAGAAATCTAAATCTTTGAAGGTGTTGACTGAAGATGATTTCAAACTTTTGGCCCCTAAATTAACCGATAAACCACCTACGGATTGGATAGAGGTGGATGATTCCATTGCTTCAAATATCAGTATTTTCTATATTGGGAAAGTTCCAATGGTTTCAAGTGATACTCAATTTTTCCCTGCAGCTTTACCTAATGATGGATCCATGGACATGATCATCACTGATGTCAACACACCTTTGATGGACTCAGTAAAAGCCTTGTTATCGGTGGATAAAGGTCGTCATATAGATTATGACGGGGTTCTTCATAATAAGATATCTGCCTATAGGTTAGTACCGAAATTACCTGAACATTCCAATCATTATATCTCCATTGATGGAGAAAACTTCCCCTTCAGAACCATGCAAGTAGAGGTATTGCCAGGGATTTTAACGGGTCTTTTAGATAATGGTTTATTCGTAGATACTTCTTTGAAAAAGTAGCGGTTTGTAGGTGATTATACATTTTTAACATAAGTTTCATTCAAATACTTGGGTAAACTTTTATGGGTTGGTTTAGCCTCAGTTTTGGACTTTGAAAGGTTTGCAAGCATTATTTGACTCAAATCATTCAACATATTGTTATAGTTTGCACTTTTCTGTTCAAGTTCTTGTTGCAACACTTTCTCCATTTCAAGGTAGTTTTCCACCAAGTCAGATACTGCTTTAGTAGTGAAATTGGTGATTTCCTTGAACATCTCGTGATGTCCATCATTATAGATTTTTGTCATCTTACAAGGTTTAACGATCTCAGTCATATAATTAATAGACTCATTGTACATCATGGGTTTCAACTTGGCTTTCAAATTCATGAGTAACAGGATGAAGAACTTATGAAGAATCTCATTGGATTTCACATACTGATTGAGTTGATGGACCAATGATTGGTTGGTGTGTTCATGATCTTTGATAATACCATTAACCTCTTTAAAAGATTTGGTAACTGTTTCAAGATCATTCTGAACACATGAAAGTTTAGTATGGGCATCATTTTTGGTTTCTTGGAGAAACTGGTTATCTTGATAGAGTCTGCTCAACTGTAAAGTCAAGTTGTTGATCAAATTTGCTTTATCCATCACTTCCATCTTAAGGTTATTGATACTTGTGTTCATATCACCAAGTTCCATGTTCTTGTTATCAATGGTTTGTTTCAATTGGTTAATAACCACCATTTTCTCCTTAACTTCAATATAAGAACTTTGTTTCAACCCTTGTAATTCGTTCTTATACAATTTGTTATCAACAACTTTGACGTTCAACTCATTCTGTAAGGATTCGTTATGATTTTGAACAACTCCCAATTCATCTTCTACTTCATTGATTTTCAGTTCTAATTGCAAATTATAGGATTGTAACTCGAAGATTTCTTCATTGGCATGCTTGAGTGCAGACTCTCGTTCAAGAACTTGCAAACCAGCTGATTGTAATTGACAAGAACATTGTTGTAATTCTCCATTCACATTCTCCAATTCAAGTTCTTTGCCCATGATTTGGAGATCTTTCTCCAAGATCACATCGTTGATTTGTTGCTTGAAATTATCATTTTCATTTATAAGTACTTCATTGAATTCTTTGTATCTGGTGGTTTGGTTCTGAAGTTCACTATTGGCATCATGAAGTGTTTCGATTTCATTTTTCAAGTCGATGATGATTCCTTGATGGTTTTCATGATCATCGAATACTTTGATTAAATGATCTTCTAAACCATCCTGATCGTTCATTCCAACTTTATCTTGGAAGATATCATAAATCTTGTTAAGTCTGGTGGTATTATTCTCATTATCTACTTCCATAAGGATGATTTTGGTTTCCAACTGATGAATCTTATTGGTCAAAGATGTGTTTTGGATAATCTTGTCATGAAGCTTGTATTCTGTATCTCTGATTTTGGTGGCCAAGCTGGTATTAAGTTCTTGAAGTTTCACTGTATTTTCATGAATCTCACCTTGTTGATGGAGCTGGACACTCAACTCTTCTACAGTTTTGGTGAGCTGTTGGTTAGATTTAGTTAATTGACAAATATCCAAGTCTTTCTGCTCAATAACACTCTTATAGTTTCTTAAACGATGTAATACTTGGGAGAAAATCAAACCACCGGTGTTTTCGAAATCCTCATAAGTTTTAGAAGGATCAACTTCATGTATAAGGTTTTCTAAGATATGAATGAATTCATGGGCAGGCCAAGTTTTCTTAGGGGAAGACTGCTCAAAGCTGGTCAATCCTTTCAACAGAGAGATTTCTTCGTTAGTCGTTTCATCATGAGATTCTGTGACTGTCAGATTATCTTGCTCATAAATATGAAGATCCATCTTATTGGTCTCATTGTGGGGCTCTGAGTTAGGACTTTCATTCAAGGAGTATTCGATATTGAGCTTGTTTAACTTCAAACTATTATTACTATGGGCAACCTCATCTAACCAATGAATGTTTTCATCAAATTTTTTAGTGGCTTCTTGAATGGTGGTGACTGGTTCACCTTTGGATGGAACCTCTTTGAGTGAATCACCTTTGAATGGAATTACTTTATTCTTCTTAAAAGTCTCAATGTTATCATCGGTATAATTAGATGTTTGAGATTCATAAGATTCATCTTGAAGGCTTGGACCTCTCCCGTCCCAGCATAAACTTTTGAGTTTGTCCTCATCATTGAATTTAACAGCTTTAGGTGATTTTGATTCCCTAATTAAAACCGGAAGAGGTTTGGGAATCTCTAATTGTAAGCTTCTAGATCTTCTCAAAGTATTTACCTTGTCAAAAGGGTCAATACTTTGTTCACTAACTTCAATATCACCAATTTGAGAACTTGGTAGAGCAAATGAATGGCGTCTTAAAAGTGTAGGGATTTCACTCTTACTAACAATCTCACTTTCACCTGAAGGGTTACTTGATGAAGAATCTTTTGAAACTGCTGGGGACTTGCTTGAACTAGCTCTGGATAATGGAAAGAATTTCTTAAACATTAGGAATTGTATAATTTACAAATGGCTGCGAAATCCACAAAAAATGTGGTTGCAAAAAAATTGAAAAATCAGTTGAACCATGAAGACAGCGAAATGAGGTAATAGAGGTAAGGGAAATGAGTGAGATGAATAATGAGATGAACAATGAACTGAATCAGATGAAATTAAAGGTATAGGAAATAAGAAATTGACCGAGATAAGTAGAAAGTCTTGAAAAAACGACTTTTTCTGGTCAAAAAATCAATCGGGTCCCTTAATATTACTCTTACAACACACCAGAGTCTATACCAATCCCTAAAACCACTTGAAACGGGCTAGAGTCAAAAACAATTCAAAAACACCCCAAAAATCGTCTAACTTCCTTCAAGAAATTGGTCTCGTGGTTTAGTTGGTCATAACGTCTGCTTAACACGCATAAGGTCCCCAGTTCGAACCTGGGCGAGATCACTTTTTTTCCTCACAAGAGTCTTTCTCTTTTTTTCTCTTTACAATTGAAACATTTAATAAAAACGGAACCAAAATATCACCTTCCGATGATTATCTCCAACTACAATAAGGTACGTCGGCTTTTAGTAAACCCGTAGTAATTGCTTTTTAGTAAAATGCTAGTAATGGGTGGTTAGTAAAAGTGTACTAATTAGTCGAAGTGCGGCAATCTATGCGGAATTAGCTCTGGAGATAGGCAAATTGGCAAAATCTACATCCCGCACAGAAGTATATAAGAAGCTGCAAAAAATGACTTTAGATCATACAAATAAAACAATAAAATGGTTAAACAAGTCCCAATGCAAGGTTTAGGTTACGGAACCTTATCATTATCTATCAACAGAAGAAGTCCAGAAATTAAGAGCGAAGTTGAACTCATGAAATATGCCTATGATAAAGGTGTTAGAGTATTCAATGGAGCTAATTTCTATTCAATGGGTGGACTTTCCAATTTTGATTTCTTTGTTGAATTCTGTAAAGCTTACCCTGAAGCTGCTAAAGAAATCGTTGTTACTTATAAAGGAAATTTCGATTTCACTGTTATGCAACCAGTTGGTACTAAAGAAGCTTGTGAGCTCGTTGTTAATGAAGTGCAAGAAGCTTTAAAATCATTAACTGTTAAACCAAAAGTTGTTGTTGTCATCGGTAGAGTTGATCCTAACATTCCAATTGAAGAAACTGTTGGTTATTACCTTCCATACATTGAATCAGGTGTTATTGATGGTTATGGTATTAGTGAATGTGGTGTTTCAACTATTGAAAAAGCTTCCAAAGTGGCACCTATTTCATGTATTGAAGTTGAATTTTCAATGACTTATCAACATATTATCAAATTAGGTATCTTAAAGGCCGCTTCAGATAGAAATGTTGCTATTTTAGCCTATTCTCCATTATCTCGTGGTTTATTGACTGATTTTGCTGCTGGTCAAGATGATTTCTTAGGTGCTCTTCCAGATACTGATATGAGAAAAATTATGGGTATGGATAGATTCCAACGTGAACATTTTGATAAAAATATCGGTTTTATCAAGGAATTATATCAATATGCTAAATCTAAAAACACTACTTTAGAAAGTTTAGCTATCACTTACCTTTTAGAATTATCAGGATTAGAAAATTTCGAAGGTATTGATAAAGTTTCCAACGTTATTCCAATCCCAAGTGCTACTAAAACTTCAAGAATTGATTCTAACTTACCAGGGAAATTAAGTAAAGAAGACCTTTTTGAACTCCAAAAGAAATTGAATTCTTTTGAAGCTAGTGGTGGTAGATATACTCCACAAATGGAAGGTCAATTGAATCTTTAGAGAGATCTTACTTTTTAGTTCTTTTATTACTACATCTGTGTTATTTCTTTTCTTCTTTCTTTCTTTTTGTCTTCTCCTACTTCTTTCTCCTCTTACTCAAAAACATCAACTCATTATTAATGGCATTATTCAAATCATTGAAATACAAATTCTCTTCAATCAACTTATCATTACCAAGATATAAAATCTTGATGATATTACCAAAACTTATAGCTACAGATTTAAAACCAAATTTCTCAATACAAGTTACATTATCACTTAAACAAGATTTTTCATCAATACCTGGAATATCATATTTCTTCATATCTCCATCGTTTAAAGTAATGATGAAACCTTCCCATTTATAAGAAGAAGGAGAATTCTTTGATCTGATTCTTTTAGAAGATCTCAATGATACTAATTTCGAAGTATTATACTCGGGTTCAAGTTTTTCATCATCTGAAGGGATTGAATCAGGTAAATCACGTTTAACACCAATAATTATATTTACATCAGTAACTTCCCATGCATTGATATTTTCAAACCAAAATTGATCTTCTATAACATTACTGAACCCAACACATCTGATTTCTCTAGGATCTCTTTCAACTCTAAGACAAATACTAGTTTTGGACCTGTTATTTTGAATCTTCAATGTATGAATGATAAGAATCTTTGAATCAAAATCTTCATAAATTATTGATAAACTTTGAATTGAAGCACATCCACAAAATCTACAATGTGTAGGTTCCGAATGTGAAACTCTGAAACTAGAAGGTTTGAATCTTCCAATAGTTACCTTTTTCATAATAACCCCACTTTGAATATCGATCAATTCAGCTACCATGTTTTGAACTCTAATAATCATCCCGACGAATTCTAAAGGAACAATCAAAGGTTTGTTGATTTCAAATTTAGAGTAATTATTGAAACTTGTAGGTTTTTTGATTACATGACTTTCAAAATTATAATTGAATGAAGAACTTCTTGATAATGACATTGGTGTTGGCATATTTGATGGTATAGGGCTAGCTTGATTATATAATTCATCAGTAGTATCTAATGGTATGAAATTCCATTTATTATTAACAACCACAGCTACCACTAAATCTCTATTATCGACTTGACAAACAATTCTATCATTAACTCTTGGGGTAATGACTTTCTTAGCAGAAATTAACTTTAAAGGTTCGTCGTAAGTTTTCTCTATTAAATTAGTCTTTTTGATTGTTCCATCATTACAAGACAAAGTAACAATATCACCTGATTGAAGAACTATGACAAATTCAAGTTTTTTCAATTGTTCATTATTTTCTCCAATTCCATTCAATGGACGAGGATAATTACCACTTAAGGAAGCATCACTTCCTCTTCTAGGACGATTTTTCAACATTTTCATTTTCAAAAATCCCGGTAAAGTCTTTTCTCTGAAGAAGGATTCAAGGATCTTATTTTCGGTCAAATCATCACAGGTAATTGACCATATGAAAGTTTGAGATTTCCTTTCAAAACATTTGATTATCTTGAATTTATAATTGACCAAAAGAATGAATTCCCCATCTTTACTGATATTTAAATGATTTATGGGCCAAAATTCACTTGAACCACCAGAAACTTCAATTTTTGATGCAATATTTGGTGGTGGTGATAATTGTAATGGTGACCATACAAAAATCTTATGATCCAATCCAATACTTACTAAAAAGGAAGTATTGTTTGATTTCAACTTAATAATATCAAAATTATGTCTCTTTAAATCAATTGACTTGAACAGTTTCTTATTACTTAACTCAAAATCAGTATCATTAACTTCATTGATTTTGAAATTCGATAAGCTGAATATGATGAATGAGAAACAAAGAATCAAAATCAATAATGTCATAAACTCCAAATAATAGAAAAGATCAAAACTGGAAGCTTTTATGACTAACGGTTCAATGAAATTAGAACTATTAGTTAAATTATAAGGTATATAAATAGTCCAGTTCATGAAAACCGTTAAAATATTAACAAATTGTAAGATAGGTAAGATAATTATCCAGGAAATCAATGAAGTTGGATGAACTAAAAATGTTAAATTCGTCCCTAATTTGTATTTCCAAGAATTCCTTAAAGGTTTATCTTTTAAAAGCCAATAACTAAAGATATTAATTTCTTTCAAATCTTGATCAAGTAAAGAATCATTCAAGATTTTACTGAGATTAATTCTATGATTATCAATCAAAAGAATTCCTACTAAAAATGTCAATTGTAAGAAATGATCGATAATTAATGCTATAAACATAGCTTTAAAGAAATTCATGATTTTAAAATCAAAATATTGTTTAAAATTCCCATCAAAATTCAAAATTATGATGAATTTCCCGATTTTTTCCATTATAAACATACTTAGAATATCAAGGAAAAGAATCTTGGTAGTATTTGGTAATTTTATATGAAAATTTATCCCCAATTTTCGGAAAAGAAAGGTGAAAAGTTGTAATTTTTCGAATTTTTGATCGGGATTATTACTTAAACCATTATAAAATCGATATAATTTCGATAAATTTGAAATTTCAGTTTTATCGATTTTAACATTCTTATTTGACAAGTCAGAAATATCGAAATCTTCAGTTAAAAAATCATTTTTATAAGTTAAATCAATGATAATTCTCATAACATTTCTGGAACTTACTATAGCAATAGTTAAAACCAAAACTGATTTGGTGAAAAATGTCGAGGGTTCAAAAATTTGTTTCCAATATTCATAAGGTGACATGATTTCAATTATCTTGATAGAAGCTGTAGTACTTAATACTATTTCAATCATCCAACCAAATAAAATCCCAAAATTTGATTTTAATTTATGTAAATTTGATATTGAGAGATAAAAATGGAAAAGGAAATATATCACACTTAAGATAGTTATTATTCTTAACCCTATCTCCATGACTGTAGACTTATAACCATGAACTAATAAATAATAATCCAAATATTCTTTCATTATAACATTATCTTCATGGGTTATGTGACGAGGATTACCTAAAGTCTCTAATAAGGAATTTATAGGTGATGAATGAATAATATAAAAATGGATTTCATTGGATTTGATGATTAAATGATTAAGTAACGTTACATTGTTTAAATAAAATGAATTTAATAAATAATTGGCATTATAATTTATATTGGATAATAAGAAATCTTTGGATGCTGAAGTATAATCGAAATCCCAATCAGTGAATGGTGATAATACATAAGTTTGGTTGTTTACAACTGATGAAAGATTTGAAAGGAACTCTGAATTTATTACATCTTTATCATGATCAATAAAGATTAAAGTTCCATAATATTGTGATAGATCAGTTTGTGATAATTGGGAAATTTCTTCAAAAAATGTATAATTTTTAGGAATAGGTTGATAATGATTATTACTGATCAAACTATTTAATGGATGAATGGTGAACTCATAAAGAATGTCGTATGCAATTATAAATATTAAAGTTATGGGGATTAGGATGGTTAATTTGGGGTAATTTAACATGTACTTAGTTCCATTTATTAGCCATTTGGAATTAGGTGGCATGATGAATTGTTTCAATGATATTTCAGGCTACCTAAAAGGAAAGACAACCTGAATCTAGCTTCAATGCTTATGAACAACTTGTTATATATAGTGAAATTATAGTTTAGCGTTGAAGGCCCTATCACAATACTACTACAAACTTTCTAGTGCGAATCTGGTCCTCTCCTGATGGTCTATGTCGTGCGACATTTGGTGATAAGAATTCCGTCCGTTTTATATCCCGAATGATGGTTAGAATGGAAATATAGGGGTGATGGAATATACGACAGATAAGACATAATGCCGATTTGAGACATATTGCCAATATGTGTGACATCGAAAATTTTTTTTCCCCAAAGTTGGAAATTTAGAGTTCATTTACAATTCCGTGCATATATATTATTTAGCTCCTAAAGCAGCTATATTTAAAGAATTCATTTGATTCAATAATTCATCAATTTTTCCATCCAACAATCCGTTAGAATAATCATCTCTTGATGTTTGATCTAAATATTGTTGTACTTGAGCAATTCTTGAATATCCTTCAGTACAGAATTTTAATTGAATCTTTACCAAACTTTCAAATGATGGATCATAGAATGGAACTCTTAAACTAATTAATTGAGGTAATTCATATTTCAATTGTTCATTTAAATCATCATAGATTTCTTTAGCCAATTGTAATTCCCTTTCAGCTTTAGGTAACTTCCCGGCATCTTTTGATGGTTTATCAATTAATCTTCTTACTTTAGCTTTACATTGATCATAATCGGTCTTTTTATGGGACCTTTTCTTTATGGCTTCATCGATTTCTTGGAAATAGGTAGCGAATTTGGCAATTGGATCTAAAACGGTTTCTCTGAATGGTCCATCGATTTGTTTAACAGTTTCTTCATCGAATTCTCTAACTGCTTGTAAATAATAATTTCCAACACCTCCATATTGTGAACCTCCTCCTTGTTTATTTTCTTCATATAAATTGTTGACAATTTCAGCAATGGTTACTTGGGCTGCTGTGACTGCTCTCAATGAATCTAAATATCCTTTACTGGCTTTTTGTAAATTGAGACCTGCAGTTTTTAATGTATTGTATCTTCTTTCTTCAACATCAAAATCTTTATCAATGGTTTTATCGACGTTTTTAACTAAGACAGAATTTCCAGCTCTATTAATAGCTTTCTTAAATCCATCCCAAGACATTGTTAGTGGTTTTTAATGGTTTTGATTTGAATAGTTCGTAAGCAGTTTTCCCCTTTCTTCCAGTGCGAATTCTTGAGTGATCGTTTTGGGTAACAATAATGACTGAAGTTGATTTAGGACATACCGCCGAAGATACTGGTGGATTGGTTCAGAATGATGATAAAGTGGAAATTGTGGTTACAGGGACTCCAGAATCTGTAGAAAAATCGCCAGAACATGGGATTTCTGATACTGTGGATGTAAGTAAGGTAGACATGTCAAAGGAAGATATGATCAGGGAAATTAATAAGTTGAAGGCATCGATATCATCATTGGCTTCTAATATAAGAGACACAAGACACGTAGTGGAGAGATATAATAATGATAATCAATATTTACAAGATTATGTAGGGACTTTGATGAAAAATAATGACTTAAAGAAATAGACGACTTTCTGTAATACTTTCCACCTCTTTGGCATGGTCTTCTTTGAGACTGTCACTTATGGTTCGATCCAAAATCTCTGGGTCCTTCGCTCTGATCTATCAGTTCACTTCATCGCTTTAGTTTATCTTTTTTTTTTGGGTTTGCGGCTAAATATCCACAAATGTCTATCAATGATGAAAACCATTCACTGACTTATATCCCAGTTAAACGTCAGCGTGGTTCAATCTCGTTGAATCCCATATCGAAGTTTCAACCCAAGAACCTCAATACTCAAGATACTTTCAAGTCAATCACCAATCCGACAGGTTTTTTACCCATATATGACACAAATATTGATATTTCTAGTCATGACATAGTTTCAACACCTCGGAAACATTCAATTGATTCGGGTGATATTTACTATGAAGCTTCACCTGTTCACTATGATGATATCCAATCCTTAAAGGCTACAAAAATTAGTCCTTCGTTAGTAGAGCCATTGAAAGCTACTGTTGAGGTGACATTACAACCGAAAATGGTTCCCTTAGCACCTTATGATTTTCCTTTGGACTTGAGTAAGGTTTTGGGAGATAAAATTCATTATACTGCTCCATTTTGTAATACGCCAGAACCAGCCTGGGAACAAAAAGGTGAGCAGACTGAGGAGGATGTTGACGAAAGTGAACAATCTTATACCATGCGTATGTTAAGTATCCTCCAGTACGAGATCGATCAGGAAAACCAACCTAAATTCTCGTTCAAGAAATTCTTCAATTGGTTTAATCAAGATGAGTACTATGAGTACTATCCTTGGTCCAGATTTGTCAAGCACAACGGAAACTATCCTTTATCAATAGAAAACATCGACAAGATCATTCCTGACATCCATGAGGAGTTTTTCTAGAATAGCTTATTGAATTGAATACCCTGGTCATCTGTCATGTCTTTAATCATCTCTTTCGTGATCTCTTCTGTCTTCCTAATACTTCTAGTACGTTTAAGAATCGATGTTGAACAGTAAATGGAACCTCCTTGCCAGGCGCCTAAGCATTTGATCCCATTTCCTAGTTTAGACTTCACTCCCTTGACTTTACAAACCCCTCCATCGAAGATCAAATTTGATTTAAAAACTGCTCTTAGGTCTATAGGAGATGATTCTATAAGTTTAGCGATGGTGGTGACCACAGGGCCAATCAAACTATCTATAATTTCATCTAAATCCACGTCTAATTGACCTTTTCCCATAATAAATTGCTCTATTTCATCGAAGTCGGCGTTTTTACCCGTAGAAACCAACTTTTCCAATACTTTGTAATGCAAATTAACTCCTGATAACCCAACAAACCCTTCATGTTCATCAATAATCCTATATTCATATAAACTGGTCACTTTGAATTTAGACCAACTCAAATCCACCACCAAGCCATTGCCACAATTGGCCGATATCCCCGATAAAATTGGCTTGGGGATGAATTGAACCGACTTAAACCCCATTTTGATAAGAAGAATCCTGGATATCACGTATTTGACCATTACTGGGAACTCATCAATGATTATAACTCGACATCTGGAATGTGTTAACGGAATAAAACTCATCAACTCGAGAAAATTTCTATGTAAAGCAACATCCCATTGATCACCAGAATTCATCCAATTCACACTATCGAGGCTATATCTTTCAATCAAAGTGGAATATGTATTTTGAAGTTGGTGCCTTATCTGGGACAGGGTCTCATCATCGAGTGAATGGTCTTTAAGCTCAAGATATGGAGGAAAGGATCCCACTTCCTTGAAACCCTTATTATCTACTATAGCTGAAGGAAGGAATTGACCGGCCAAACCACATCGTATTCGTGTAGACCCAATGTCAAGTATCGTATAGATGAAATCAGACATCGCGATAAATATTTATGCACTATTTAAATATATATAAAACCCCCCATGCTCATCCTCCACGAAGATCCTCCTTCCTTAATTTAGCTCCCCCACCCCCACAAACTAAAGAAGGTCAAACTCATCATCATCTATTTCCATGAAATCTTCTTTCTTCTCCACGACTTTCTGTTGTTCAGATTGATAATTCTTCAATTGTTCTAAATCCCATACTGATACTCCTTCTTGATCTTTAGGATTAGTGGGCTGAGCCAATTGTCTCAAGAAATTCTTTGCATTAGCTAATGCCATATCGGTAGATAAATTGGTATCAGAATCATATAAAGCTTGGGCTATCCATTTAGGTAATTGGTTTCGTTTACGAGAAAATCTTCTATCAGCCAAAACCATAATTCCGTAATCATCTTTCCCTCTCAAAACTCTTCCTAAACATTGAGCAGCATGTCTCATGGCATCGAAAGATAAGAAATCATTCTCTTTAATTTGAAAATGATCTCTCATAAACTCCAATCTTGCTTTCAATATTCTAGATTCAGTATATTGGAAAGGAATACCAATCATTAATACTGTACGACCATAATGATGATCAAAATCAATACCTTCACTGACTTTCCCACGCGCAACTGATAATAATACTGCCCCTCTACCATTAGAACATGCTTTTCTATATGTTTCTAAAGCCAAAGAAGTTTCTTGAGCATCAGGAGTTTCCACTAAAATCAATTTATACTTCCACACCTCATCCAATACACCCATATTTTGCCACATGGAGATAATGGATTCCATATATAAATATGAAGGGAAGAAAACTACCATTCCATCAGGAGTGATTTTGGAAAACTCTATTAATAACGACCCATAATTTCTGACCACCGAAGGATCATTACGGATTTCAAATCTTGAAGATATGGAAACTTGATCAGAACCTTTTGTTACTACCATGGGCAAGAAAGACCTTCTTGCTAATGTCATGGTATATGATTTTTGAATGACAGTTTCGAAATTAAGCATTCTAGGATACATATCCAAAGGAGAGATAGTACCTGAAGTGATAATGATTGAAGAAAAACGATCAAATACCGGTTTGATGGCAATTGATGCATCAAGACAAGTAAATCTGAGAATAGGATTGGGAACTGTTGAACCTTCAGTTTCAAAAGGTTCTAAAATCAATTGGAATCCTTTATCATAGGTCGATACTAAAGTAGCGAAAGTAGCAATATCTTTCAAAGCATTAAAATCCTCTACATCATTCAATTCCAATGTTCTCACTAATAATGATAATCTCTCACTACAGAACCTTAAAGGTTTCTTATCTATGAAGGTAAGTTCCTTCAAATGTTGTAAGAAACTATTGGGTGTTTCACTAATGACATGCAAAACCTTCATTCTGGTTTTCAAATATTCAATGAATCTTTTCAAAAATGATACGAAATGTTCTCCCTTCCTTATATTCCCTGGAATAGCTTCATCCAATAAATCTTGAGGTAGAATTGGATTGGCCATGAATAATTCTTCATTCCTTGCTATCTCAGCTTCTCTTAAACCTTCCACCAACTTCTCATATTCATTCTGTAGCTTTTCACTATCTTGAGATTTCATTTCCTCAATAGCACTAGTTAATTTATTAGCCCCTCTAGCTGCTTTTTTCAACGTATCATCGGTCAAGTCTAATGATAACGACTCTATACAAACATTATCAATATTGTGCGCTTCATCAAAGATAACTATACTATCCTTGGATAATTCTTTAGACACTCTCTCAGCAATCTTAGGATCTAACAAATAATGATAGGAATAAATAATTATATTACAAAAAGGGATCATTCTTCTGACAGTGAAATATGGACAAGTCTCTTTATCTCTACAATATTTCATTAACCCTTCAAAGGAATAAACTCCTGGTGGGATCAAGTTGTGTTGTTCGTAATCGTACAAATTTTCATGGAATTTACATAATGAGTAAACTTCAGGATTTCGTTGTTGTTGTTCATCATCCACAGATCCTGCCTCGATCTTTTGTTTCAACTGACCATTGGTGATTCTTCTACATTTTTCATCAACAACATTACCTTTCCTTTCTTGAGAAATAGTTGGATGAAGACAAAGATTCTTTCTACTGGTTAAACCTAAACCACGGAAATCTTCAACTTCTCCCAACTCTTCAGCTCGATATTCCATCAACTTATGCAATTCTATCAAAGCCTTTTCAATTTCTGACATAGTACGAGAACAATAAACTACTTTACGATGTTCAGGATAAAACATTTGATAAGCAACTGTCAATGATAATAATGAGATGGTCTTCCCAGTACCTGAAGGCATTTCCAAGATACAATTCCCTCCAACATCTAAGGTTCTCTTTATATCACACATATACTCATACTGTTCAGGATAGATCTTGGGGTATGGAAATAACACTGGTAAGTCATCAATAAAGAACTTCATGAAGTGAAAACTGTCGCACTACAAAAAAAGTAAAACCGCACTATATCACCGCGAAGGTTCCTTGTTGATTTACAGAGAACTGTCGCAAATTTACGACCCTTGGAAGTAATCCACCCGGACCTGTTACCGCGGGGCATTTTATATTCTAACTAAATTTATCTAACACCAATTGTTTCAATTGTGGGTAAATAATATCTGAAGTTTCTCCACTGATCTTGAACAATACACCTTCTTCTTCATAAACTTGTCTCAAACCTTTGATTTCTTCATTATAACCATCTAATCTTTTCTGGAAAACGGCTGCAGTATCATCATCTCTTTTAGTTAAAGGTTCACCGGTGATATCATCTTTATATGGAACTTTAGGTGGATTATAATCGAGATTATATACTCTTCCACTATTCAAATGTACCCATCTAGCTTCAATTCTTTGTAAAATCAATGATTGAGGAACATCTAACTCAACTACTAGATTCAATGGACATGAGCGGGATCCCAACACTTTATTTAATTCAATAGCTTGAGGTTTGGTCCGAGGAAATCCATCAAGTAACCAGTTAGTTGATGAATTAAGCCAGTTATGCGTCTTCAAATGACCAGTAATCAAATCTATCATGACTTTATCTGGTACTAAACTCCCATTAGTGATATATTCTTGAGCAGTTATTCCAACAGGGGTCCTTTCTTTGATTTGACTTCTTAAGATATCTCCTGAAGATAAGGAGTTAATGGGGAAATCCTTCAATAATCTTGAAGTCTGAGTACCTTTCCCTGAACCTGGAGCTCCAAGTAATAACACTCTTATGGGGTGTGATAATTTCATTGGAATTTCTCACAAGAAAGTTCTCGCTTTCCTTTGATCCATAGAGAATCTGGGGTTCAGTATTTATTGACTATAAAAAAATATAAGGACCAGCCGTATATAAAAAACTCTTCAATAAGTACCGAACAGAAGGGACTTAAACGATAGTACATTGACCACCCATAGCACCTCTGGGGAAGATAGCAGAACCGTATTGGTCTTTAGTTTCGTTAGATTTCTTAGTGTTTGTAGATTGTTGTTTAGCAGCCATTGTTGTTACTGGTTTCTAAAGGATGTTTTATGGGCTTATATAGTTTTGCTTTGATGATAGGGGACGATAAGGACGTAGGAACATTCGTTTCAGAATGGGTGGAAAATTACCTAATTGGGACGGTTCAATGGATTTTTTTATGGTGAGGTAGAAGGTATCCACCAAGTGTTTGTTCGTAAAGCTTTGATTGGACGATAGAGGGATTGGTGAAGACAGGTTGTTTTAGGTGAGATAAGCTGAGCGAAGGAGTGTAACTAAGAATGGTCGAACTGGAGAGTAGTTCCAGAGGAGTTTGACCACCTGACAATGCTTTGTATCAATTTGCTCTCTTGTATGCTTCTTTATTGTTTGGCATTCTATTATGTGCTTCCCTTACATCCCCAACATTCTCCTTTGTATCTCTCCATCTCTCCCGTGTGTATGACTCCTCGTGCACCTCCTGCTTCGATTATAATTTTTTAAAAGATCTTCAAAATCCATTCAACCATCCGAATTAGGAAATTTTTTTCAAACCTGAAACATTTACTAAAGTGGAACAGAAAACTATATAAACCCACCAAAAACCATTTCATCTTCACCAAAAAATGGCTGCTAAACAACAATCTTCAACTACTAAGAAATCCAACGAAACTAAAGACCATTATGGTTCTGCTATTTTCCCCAGAGGTGCTATGGGTGGTCAATGTACAATTGTTTGAATACACCGTCCATCTCTCCCATGGGTGTTAGGGGTGTTACCAGAACCACATCTATGGTCACAGACCTAAAGACAAGCTGCAGGCAGTTTTGTGTCGATAAATATATGTTTGCCTTTTTTCACTCTAGAAATCAATTACTCTAGAAATTAAATACATTTAATATACAATTATTCATCATCAGAATCGATGATTCTTCTTTTCTTCCTCCTACTTTCTTCATCGTTCTCTTCAACGTCTTCAACTGGTTCTTCAATTTCTTCTTCTTCCTCCTCTTCATCTTCATCATATTTAGAAGCACCCTCTCTTTTAACATTTCTTAATCTTTCTGCCCCTTCCAATAAATCATCATCATCTTCGTCATCGATGAATCCATCTTCATCATCATATTCATCATAAGTCTTCTCAAATCTTTCATATGTAGGTTCATCAGCTTCATCATCAATACCAGCTCCTGAGCCCAATCTTTCTTCTTGTAATCTTCTTTTCAAATCCAATTGTCTCTTTAATTTCATGGCCCTTCTTTCATTTTCATCAGCTACTCTTTGGATTTCCAAAGGATCGGATGTGGTTATGGTGTTCAAGATCTTATCTTTCATTTGAACGGATTTAACAGCACTAGTTAATTGTCTATGGGTGGCAGTTTTGATGGATGTTGGTAATAAATTAACAGTATGACTAACGATAGAATCACTTTGTAAGATTTCGAATTCATCATAAGATTTGACTAATAAATTATCAAAGTTGGTATTCTTCTTTAAATCGAATATTTCATCACCAATCTTCAAAGAAACCAATCCATTATCCCATTCAATAAAATGAGCATTGGATTGCTTGATAATTTCATCATTTTCATTAACATATCTCCATCTAATGGTGTTCTGATTGGATAATTTCTCTTTGATTAAATCATTTTTGGCAGCCGATTTATCTTTAATTTGTTTTCTTTGTTCGGCATTATATTCAATGGTTTCTTTAAATTCAGTTGCATCAAAAGGATGGGCATCGACGTTTAAAAATACTGGTAATTTCAAACTATAAGTTTCATCTTCAGCTTTTTCATTAACACTATGACGAGGGATTGAAATGGAAAGATTTTTCTCTTCTACTTCTTCTTCTTCACTTTCAGGTTCTTCTACACCCACGTCGTTTTCTCCTTGACTGACTTCATCTAATTCTCTATCATCATCACTTAATCCCAAACCTAAATCATCAACATCAGACATCGTTGAATAAATTTTTGTTGAAAAACTGCGAAAATACCAGCTTTTCACCACCAAAAAGTGCGGTAAATTTACTGAGGCACATAGGTCGAGCGCGCGGTACTATAATATGAGGTAAAATATTATTACACTATAACTAACACTAAAATACACGAAATTTAAACTTTAGGAATGGATGATGAAGAAGGCGTAGAAACGACGATGTCGGGTTTTTCTGGTATGGCTTGCGATTGGGGTACAGGTTGAGGAACTTCAGGGACATTGGTTTTGAGTTCAAAAGATTCAGGTTCAACTTGAGGTTCAAATGAAGATTTATCAAGATCTTTATCTTCAATATTGGTTTCTTGGGTATCATTTTTATATTTGAAATCAAATTCATGATTCTTATCAGTTGGACTTGGTTCTAAATCTGATTCGAAATAATCATTATCAACTACAGGTTGTTTTGACATATTAAAACCAACAAATTCATGATGAGGTTGAGCACTTAAAGATTTAGAATGTTGTCTCTTCTTAATATCTTCTTTCTCTATTGGGATATTGTTATTTGGTGGAGAATTACTTGGTTGTGGGAGTAATTTATAAGCATACTGGATTAAGAATTCCACTACAAATGATGATAATGCATATTCGTTAGGATCTAAATCATGATTTGGATGAGATAATATTGAAGGTTGAAAGATAGCAGCTAAATTCCTTGAACTCATTAAATTTTCACTAGAATGATTTTGTACCATGGCTAATAAATCCAATATATAGAATAATAATTGTTTGGATAAAATGGGTAATTTATCAACCATTTGTTTATAATCATCAATAGCTTCATGAACATCATTAGTTAATTTTTTATAATTTTTTGATTTTTTCAGTTTTTGCAAATTCATTTCATCATTTTCATCATCTGCTTCTTCAAGTTCTTCTTCCTTTTTAGTATATTTATCATAAGGTGATAAAGTAGGTGAAGGTAAAGGACTTGGACTTACAGTATCATTGGGGATATCAGTCTTTGGAGTTGAAGGAACTGGTTGATCTTTCAGTATCACTGTTGTATCTAATTGTTCTTGACTCGATTTTGGTGGACCCTTCGGATGGGTTGCTTTATATTTCATGTAACTTATAATTCTTTGTCTACTTCTTAAAGGTTCTCTAAAAGTCTCATATAACTCTAAAGGAATTAACGGTTCAGGTAATGAATTAAGGTATCTTCTTAAAATTGAAGCAGCATCATGAACAGTATAACCATCCCAATTTAATTTTTTACCAAAATCTGGAGGATTATTGAATATTACTTGTAATTCTTTGACTCTTCTTGATGAACCACCAATTCTAAAGATTCCTTCCACTGTTAAACCGTTAGATTTCAAATAAACTCCGCACTTCGCCACAACTATTGGAATTTTCCCATATTTCAATACTTGATCAGTATTATCATGGAAAATAGATATTTTAGCTGACGCTTGATTAATAGCTTGTTCTAAAGGTACACCAAAATATTTAGAATTCTTTTCAATCAAAGGATTATTGACCATAAATGAATCTCTATTTTGTCTGATATTTTTATCTTTATCAGTATCACTTTGACTATTAGATCTAACTCTATGAACATTATTTGTTGAACGAGATTTATGATTTAAAAGGGGTCTTATACTTAAAAATTCACTGGAGGTCATATTTGGTTGATTATCAATATTATTAGGTTCTTCTTCACCATTTAAATCATCTGAAAAATCCGATATTTCATTAATACTATCATTTGATAACAAATTTCCCTTTTTCAAATTTTTAACCCACCCAAATATGGAGTTCCTATTAGGTGATGTTGAATGATTCATCTATAATTTGGATCTATCACAAAAAATATCAAATCACTTATGCAAGACAATGGTTGTTAATGGTGATCTCCACAAAAATATAAAAATAATGACTTATCACTTTCAAGAAATTTCAACTCAATCACCTTAATCTAGATTGATCTATGTTAAAATTGTATTTCAATGTGTTTATTCTAATCAATATCAATAAGGAGCTGATTAAAATGATCCTATGATTTGTTTGTAAATTGTTTTAGACGTGTTGATGGGTTTTTCTTTCGTCTTTTTTTTTTTTCGCACTGGTCCAGATCTTTTTGCTGTGCAATGTTTCTGGTATGGTTTATAAAGGGATTTTAACTTTGACGTGTTAAACAATGTTGGCAAGTAAGGGATGGGGATGATGAGATTTGGTTTTTGCAGGAGATGTTTCTATTTTTAAGAAATTTCTTTAAAGGGTTCAAATAAGCCTTGTTTAAGCTATTAATTAATTGAAATTTTCCAGATTTGCTTGGATATCGATAGTATTTATGGTATTGATATGGCAATAGGGTTTAATGGTTAGGTGTAAAGCAAGATTATCATTAACAAATTTGGTTGCTTAGAACTCATGGCTCGATTCTAGACTTTTCTAAATATAGTTTCTTATCAGGGAAAAAGACAGGCGCGATCACATGATACGGAGAAGATGGTTTTTTCCTATAAGCCTTTATAGATCTATAAATAAAGTACAGAGAACCTTCGAAGAATATATATATATTGGACACGTTATTTTAATTTAATTGTACGTAATTACCGGGGAACGCACCGGTTTGACCATTGTATTTACCTGTCCACCAACCATTACTATCAGTCTTGTCAATGACTTCAATCACTGCACCAGCAGGGAAAGTTAAATCTCCTTGAGCTTGAGCAGTATATTCATAAATAGCAGTACACGTACTAGCTGCAGTAGGTGCCACAGGTGGTGGTATAGCAGAATTAGGTGAAACAGGCGTGACAGGACTTTGATAACTGGGTGCTCCTCCATAAGAAGGCTGAGGACTTTGGGCTCCTGCATAATTAGGTGCTTGATAACCAGGTGCTTGATAACCTGAAGCTGGTGGGGTATAACCTGGTCCATTAGGATCTTTATAATCTCCATATTGTTGTGCAGGTGGTTGTCCATAGCCTGGAGGTGCAGTTGAACCAGTTGGACTATAAGGAGGAGCGGTTTGATTTTGTGGGGCATAAATTCCATAATTTGGTCCTGTAGGTTGACCTGGTGCACCTGCACCTCCTTGAGCTGCGTATCTTCTTTTAGTGGCTTCTAATTTAGATTTAGCATGACCAACTTTGAAATGAGTGATACCAATAGCATCTGTTTGTTCATCAATATTTCCTTTTTTAAATGCATAACTTTCCATAATATCAGTAGTCAAATCAAAATATGGGATTTTTAATTCTTCCATTCTATTGTATAACGTATAGAAAATATTCAATTGCATATAATAGAATGAAACGAATAAAGGTCTGATAAAATCATTTTGCATTTGGAATAATATTGGTAATTCCATCTTTAACATATCATTATAATAATCATATTCTTGTTGAGCTACTGCTACATCAGCTTCGGCACCATACATCTTTTCTTCATCCTTAGCAGTTCTTTCTTTCTTATCTTGATACTTTTTATGGTTTCTTTTATGTCTATCTAAATCAACTTGTTTATGATCTCTTTTGGTAGCCATTTTTCTGATACAATTGATAACTTTTAACAATTCTTGAGCTGGTTGGACGATTCTACTTTCAATCAATTCCAAATCAGGTTGTAAAGTTTCTTTCAAATCCTTAACAACTTCACGATATTGTTCACTTGCTTCAATACCTTCGGGATTATCTTCAGGATGTGTAGCATTTGGATCGGATAATTTCCCTGAAATTGGTTTATAAATCTCCTCAATTGCTTTAGAGAAATCAATTTGATAATCTAAAATCCCATTTACTGCATTGAAATATCTTTTACTTTCATCTGATAACTTTTTGGTTTCAATTTCTAATTCTTTGAATCTACGTTCGGCATCAAGATACACCGCATCTTGGGTAATTTCTCCCATATTAAACTTTTGTCTAATATTTTGCGGTGTTCTGATGATTGATTTCTTGAATCCTTTGAATGACATGGTGAATTGACTTGGTAGTACGGTTGTAGGTGTTGAGAACTTTGTTGAGCATTCTTTCCTCTGGAACCGAGTGATCGCGAGTCGTGTCAAAACCGGAAATTAAGGTGGAAAGAGATGGAGTTGATTGGAGGTGGTCGATGGGAGTCTTTGTGGTAGGGGTGGGTTACATGGTTTAGCTGCTGGGGTTGGCAAAGTACTCAATGTCCGAAAAAGGTTGGTTGTAGTTGGCGAAAGTAAAATGGAGCGGGAATAGGGGCTCGTAAATTTAGGCCAAGGAAGAAGAGATCAAGTACGTATTACCTAATAGTCAAGGGGGAGAGGGGAGAAATGTGTTTCTTTCGAGATTTACAGAGACCGTAAGAGTATTTTGTCTGGTTGACTACTGCTTATTTTGCCCGGCTGTATCACTGAGATAGCATTCTTTTACAGCAGGTAAGATTCTCATACGTTTGAAGGGCAAGTATTGTTACCAGCACTTTCTTTCCACGCTTTCTCTTCTCGTCTCGTTCAACAACATGTCAAATACACTCAATGACTTGAAACTCACCCGTCCCCTACTTTTAAGCCGCCTGTCACTCACCTGTCACTCACCCACAAACAAAGCTCATTTTTTGCAGCCACAAATATGTTCAACCCCATGAAATCATACCTTACACTCCGTTCAGATATGCCCTTTGGCTTGAGGGTCACCAGGTGTCTCTGTAAACCAGTCATTCTCCCAGTTCTTAGTTTATACATTTTATTTGACTGGTATTATCGATTTTGGTGTTACTTGTTCAAAGTGTTAACAACCTTATCCAACCCTTTGAATGTTTGGAATTTGATATTCTCGAAGAGGGACTACCCTCTAGACCAGTCTGGCGTTAACCATGAGTCAAGAATCTCCTGGATCAAATACTTGAATATTGGTTATTTGAATTTATTCATGTATGTGTTCCCTATTATTGGCAACTTCTTTTCCCAGATGAACGAGATAGTGAAATATGAAACCCTTAAAATCACCAATTTGAATGACTACAGTAACTACGTCTTCGACCGGTACTTGGTGAATGGTAAAATGGTCTTCGAAATTGGGTGGTCCAAGTGGCCCAGACCAGCAGGTTATGAATACCAAGGCATTGAACTTGAAGAAAACGATGGCTACATGGAATATTTGGCCAAAAAAGACATACCTTATGAAACTTATGAGATAGACCAAAACTCTGTACACCGAGACAGCATCTCACCATTAGCTTTGACATGTCCCTTTGACAATAGGGGTGTTAAGCGTAAGAGTGATGCTAGTTTGAGACATATCAAAAGACAAGACACAGTTCAGTCTTTGCCTTCGGACTTATGGCTTGAAAAAGAAACAGACAAGGATAGGAGGTTTGTCAGTGTTCAACCGTCACCAGGAATAAAGAAGAAAATCGATGTGTTGACATTACAAGCTATATCGACAACGCCAACAGAACCAATTCCCACCAGACCTAGGAAGACCATTGAATTAGATTTGACCAAGCGTAATTCCAAGAGTAAGAAGTTACGTTTGAAGATTAAAAGAAAATCTAGGGGCCTCAGTGAAGAAGAGCTATTGTTGATTATTGAAGAAATCAAGAGAGTCATCCCTCGACCAGGGTATGATGATGGGTCGTTAGCTCCAGTATTGGTGAGATTAGCATGGCATTGTTGTGCTACTTATGATAAAGAAACCAACACCGGAGGATCTAATGGTGCCACTATGAGGTTTATACCTGAAATTACCGATGAAGGTAATAACGGCTTGGATATAGCTAGAGCAGCTTTAGAACCTATTAAGCAAGCATACCCAAATATCTCATATAGTGATTTATGGACTTTGGCCGGGAAAGTGGCCATTGAAAGCATGAAAGGTCCACACATTGAGTGGAAGAAAGGAAGAATTGATCATAAAGGTCCTACTAATGTTCCACCTAACGGTCGATTACCTTTCGGCGATAAAGATGCCAACCATATTCGTACGACATTTGCTCGTATGGGATTCAACGACCAAGAAGCTGTGGTGTTATTAGGATGTCATGCCATTGGTAGGTGTCATAAGCGAATTAGTGGATGGGAAGGGAGATGGACCCAAGATCCGTTAAAATTCTCTAACGAATTCTTCAAAAACCTTATTGACCAGCAATGGACTTTGGGTGCTGTTCCAGAAACGGGGAAATTACAATATTACAACCATAACAAGCAATTGATGATGCTTATTACAGACTACCAACTTCTTAGTGATGAAAGATTCATGTTTTGGGTAAGAACATATGCTGATGATGAATCCCGATACTTCAAAGATTTCAGTACGACATTTTCCAAATTGCTTGAATTGGGAATGGATAGAGATAGCGGGATCTAAGATCTCAGACCAAAAAATTCCGTCACAGAATAGAAAAAATCTCCGTGTAAATTAAACGTCCGACTCGTACATACTCTATGACTTACCCTGCAAATCTCACCTCTCCTTATGTTATCATACGAGGTTTTTTTTTGCAGCCAGTTGACCCGATTCGCACATCAGGTGAGAAAAATTTTCAGTGACATTTAACTACGGTAACTGCTACATTGAAGGTAAGATGAATACAAGAGATTTCGAAGTATATCCTGACTCGGGATTCTTACCTGAAAAGTTACCACTTACAAGATTACCTGATTATTTTTCCCCTTGGGAAGATTTAGTCAATAATTTACCATCATTGATTTTGACCAAGAGAATAAGGTCATTGATTGATAAGCTTCCATTGTTATCAGCAGATCAATTGGCTAACGTTGAAGAGTATAGAAGAGCTTATTCCGTGTTAGGATTCTTATCCCATGCTTATGTATGGGGACATGATGAACCAATTGGGAAATTACCTGTTTCAATTGCGGAACCATTAGTCATGGTGAGTGAGATTTTAGGATTACCTCCACTTGCTACCTATGCTGGATTAATTTTGTGGAACTTCAAACAAATTTTACCAAGTGACGATATTTGGGATTTAGATAACTTAACTACCATTAACACATTCACAGGATCAATGGATGAAAGTTGGTTCTACCTTGTTTCAGTATATTTCGAATACAAATCTTCATTCACCATTAAAACCGGAATGGACATTCTTCAAAATGTTGAAGATGGAGATATCACCAATTTAATCAAGAATCTTCAAAAATTAGCCGAGATGATTGATCATTTAGGTTCCGTATTGATGAAAATGGAAGAAATGTGTGATCCTCATGTATTTTATTTCAGAATCAGACCTTATTTAGCAGGTTGGAAGAATATGAGTGATGTAGGATTAGATAAAAACGGAGTTATTTATGGTAATGAAGCCAAACCAAGATCTTATGCTGGAGGTTCAAATGCTCAATCATCTTCAATTCAATTCTTAGATGTATTATTAGGAGTCAAACATTATTCTACTGGTGAAAGACCCGTACCTCATCAAAATACTAATGAAACTAAACCACAAAGTGGGTTCATGAATGAAATGAAATTCTATATGCCTGGAAAACACAGAGACTTTTTGAATAAACTTGAAGAGATATGTAACTTGAGAGAATTCGTCTTGAGTCAAAATAATGAAGTGTTGACTTTGAGTTATGATGCATGTTTAGCAATGTTGAAGTCTTTCAGAGATAAGCATATTCAAATAGTCACAAGATATGTCGTATTACAAGCTAAACAAGGATCTAAGTTGGGTTCGTCATCTACTTTAAGATCAGGATTGGCTAAGAAGAAGAGAAAAGATGTGGAAGAAAAAGGTACTGGAGGAACATCTCTTTTACCGTTCTTGAAACAATGTAGAGATGAAACTGGGGATCCAGCAGCTGGGAATTGGGGTAAAAGAATACTTAGTGATGGAGTTATGAGGTTAAATTTCAGTAAACCTAATGGGATTAACGAAGATTAAATATAGATGGATATGAATATCTCTTTTTTTTTTTGGCTCGCTTTTGGCTCGCTGTCGCTCGTTTTGCTGGGTCGCTCTTGACTCCTTTACTGAGCTCACTGTCACTGGTTTGACTGGGTCACTTTGGCTAAGTATTCCTCGTTTTGCTGGTCGATTTTAGCTCTCTTTTGGCTCGTTATCGCTCGCTTTCACTCGCTGCCACTAATGATCGCGATTACTCACAGAAAATTTTTCATGCTAAAAAGTGGACTAAGAAAGATGTCAAGTGAAAATATCGCCAAAGTAGCCGCTCAAGTAGCTGAAACCACCAAACCCGTATCCAATAAGAAAGCTTCTAAGAAGAAGAATGACCAATTCATTTTAAAAACCCCTAAAGGAACCAAAGATTGGTCTGATTCTGATATGATTATCAGAGAAGGAATCTTTAGTTCTTTAACTGCCATGTTCAAAAGACATGGTGCCGTTACCATCGATACTCCAGTTTTCGAATTAAGAGAAATCTTAACCGGTAAATATGGTGAAGATTCTAAATTGATCTATAATTTAGAAGATCAAGGTGGAGAATTAACTTCTTTAAGATATGACTTAACTGTCCCATTTGCTAGATTTGTAGCATCTAATAACATCGCTAACATCAAGAGATATCATATAGCCAAAGTATATAGACGTGATCAACCAGCCATGACCAAAGGTAGAATGAGAGAGTTCTATCAATGTGATATTGATTTTGCTGGAAATTATGATTTAATGGTAGCTGATTCCGAAATCTTGAATATCATAGTTGAAGGTTTAACTGGTTTAGGAATCAGAGATTTCAAAGTTAAATTGAATCACCGTAAAATCTTGGATGGTATCTTCCAAGCTTGTGGAGTCAAAGATGAAGATGTTAGAAAAATCAGTAGTGCAGTGGATAAATTAGATAAATCTCCATGGGAAGTTGTTAAGAAAGAAATGGTCGAAGAAAAAGGACAATCTGAAGAAGTTGCCGATAGAATTGGAGAATTTGTTAAGTTGAATGGATCAATCACAGAAATCTTAGATATTTTAAAAACCAGTGATATTTTGAGTACTAATGAATCAGCACAAAAAGGTATTGAAGAAATGTCTATCTTGGCTGATTATGTATCAGCCTTTGAAATCGATCAATTCATAAGTTTCGATTTATCTTTGGCTAGAGGTTTGGATTATTATACTGGATTAATCTATGAAGCTGTTACTCAACAATCAGCTCCTCCTAAGAATGCTGCTGAATTAAAAGCTAAAGCTGCTAAAGCTAAAAAATCAGATGATGAAGATGCCTCAGAATATGTAGGTGTTGGTTCAATTGCAGCTGGTGGTAGATATGATGGTTTAGTAGGAATGTTCTCAAATGGTAAATCAATTCCTTGTGTAGGTATTTCATTTGGGGTTGAAAGATTATTTTCCATTATAAAGTCTAGAATCACTTCCAAATTAGATTCAATCAATTCTTCCCAAACTCAAGTATACGTCATGGCTTTCGGTGGTGGTGAAGGTTGGAATGGTCTCTTGAAGGAAAGAATGTCAATAACCAAAAAATTATGGGATGCTGGTATAAATACCGAATACTTATATAAATCAAAAGCTAACATTCGTAAACAATTCGATGCTGCCGAAAAATCAGGTGCTTCTTTGGCTGTTATCTTAGGTAAAGAAGAATTCCCTCAAGGTAAGTTAAGAATCAAATTATTGGGTCAAGGTAATGACAGTGATGAAGGTGAATTAATCGATGTGGAAGATTTCGTTAAAGTTGTAGAACAAAAGTTGAGTGAGGTGAATAAAGATGGATTAGATGAGATTACTAGATTAATCAGAAACTTATAATGTATAAAGTAATTCTTGACTGTGACTCTCAAGTGACTATCACTCTTGACTGTGACTCTTGACTGTTTTTCTGACCGTAGGTCTGTTAACACATCTTTCACTATTAATGTGAGTTTACGTAAGATATTACGTAAGCACTCAGGAGTACTACTTTTTACTGTTCAAGTTCATATGAAAGTAGAGTTTTAATAACACAAAGAATAGGTTCCAAGCACAAATTAATGTAAAACTTCTAAATATACATTAAATACTAAAAATCTAAAAGTGAAAAAGGTACCTGATATAAGTGCTTACATAAGCGCTTATATAATCAGTTACTATCTAAACCTCCTACTTTTGAACCATTTGTTTGTTTTCCTGATCTTTTAACTCTATTCCATAAATCATTAACGTCATTAAGGATGAACCAAACTATAACTCCCACCCAGCTATTAACTTTAGGCAAAGGATCATAGAATTCTTTGGCAATACGATTTAATTCAGGTAATTTAGTCCATGCAATGTAAGGAAAGTCATGATGTTCATTATGATAACCTACATTCCATGTGATGTGGTTTAACGATCCGTAGTAACTATAAGTTTCCTCGGGCAATAATTCCTTGGAGATATTGACATTGTTTTCAGTTTTCAGTTTTTGTCTGTTATTTTCATTCAACACGTAATGTTCAGCAATGAAATGTCCAGCACAAGGATGCCATGATCCGGCTAAGAAAGAACTCATTATGAAGTAACTCATGGAGTACCATCCCCAGTATTTAACGATCAAGTAGTCAACTCCAAATTGGTAAACCACATTAACTAAATGAATGTAAGTGAATTTAATTTGGGTTACAAACATTGGACGTAAAGCATAGAAAAGAATCTGACAAGTAGTGAAGAAAACTTTCCCTAAAACATTTGAAAATAAGAATCCTTCAACTCTGGTGGGTAAATCAGTGTCCAAGTACTCATCACCTAAAAATTTATGATGTAATTGATGGTAAGGTTGGAACGAAGCTGAATAAGGAATCCCAATAGGGAAGTTGACGAACACAGCGAATAATTTGTTATGCAAAGGTTTCCTGAACAACAAGTTATGGGATAACTCATGAATAGCTAAGAAGATGTTCTGATTAGCTGTAGCACCTATTGCATAAGCTGTTAATATGAATCTCCATGAAAACGGATGAGTGTTTCTTAAAGCATAGCAGCAGTAAAGTTGAGTGGCCAATACTAATAATACTAAGTACTTGGTTAATGGTTCATGACCGATCAATTTTTTCACTTCAGGATGTTTGGCCAAAATAGCTTTACGTCTGAGAACGTGAGGCTCGAGTTCATTGGTCCAGTAGAACTCATTTAATTTCTCTATGGTGGAATCGGCAGCTGGTGTGACGAAAGTATACGTTTCGTTATTCTTCCTATGAGTTATACTGCTCATAGTTGATGGTAGGATGGAAAGAAAGTGGTTCAAGATCGAGATCTTAGCTCATTTTTTTTTCACTCGTGTTTGACTCAATGCGCGCCGCAGACGAGGCAATTGGTGGCGGAGCGCGTGGTAGAGATGGGACGACAAATGGTACGAGATTTATTGACTATAGAATTGGGGGTAAGAGTTATGCCCTGGTTGAGTTGAAGATGGTGGTGGATTGGGCATAGTATTTGGTTGTGGGCTAGGTTGGCCAGGGAATGGCGGATATGCATAAGGTTGACTCGGAATAGGTGATTGATAATACGGAGTTGAGCCCGCTAAATATGGATACATTGGGGGTTGGTATTGGGGGTATGGATGGAATTGATTAGGTTGTAAATGAGGTATTTGGGAAGGAAGTTGAGCAGGGATTTGAGCAGGGATTTGAGTAGGCATTTGACCAGGGAGTTGACCAGGGATTTGGGTAGGCATTTGTCCTGGCATTTGTCCTTGAATCTGTCCTGGAATTTGTCCTGGAATTTGCATTTGTATTGATGATTGTGTAGGCAACTGTGCTTGGGGATGAAATGGTTGACCAGACATCAAATTAATGGATGGGTTGGACATCTGTGACACAACTGAATCTTCTTTTGCAAACAGAGATCCCTCCTTTTTAAACTCACTGCTTACTTCCTTAGCAAACCCAACACCTTCATCCCCGAATGAATCTCCCATTACAACTCTTGGTTGAATAATTGGCGATGATGCTTCTGAAGCAATGGTTTGCTTGATCTCATCCTTCAACTTATTTGAATGGTGGAGGATGAAGTTCTGAATCTCATCGATGTCTTCATCTTCAAAGTCATCAAGATCAGAATCAGAATCTTCGCTTTCTTCCTCATTAGATAAAATTTGAGTGTTAACGTCTTCAACCTTCTCTTGTGGTTTCTTCTTGATCTTTCTTCTGTTCTTGATTCTCTTCCTCTTGATTGGTTGTGTGACTTTAAATTCACTAGAGAATTCTATTTTACAAGGAGAATCCAAAAGAAGTTTCTTACCTAATATAAGCAATGCTTGTAATCTCAAATGGTTTTCGTTGTTTAAGATCTCCTCATTAATAAATTCCTGGTTGAAATCCGTCATCTTGAGAAAAGATTCGTTGTCCAAGAAGATGGGGAATTTGTTGACTATCAATGAAGAGTAATCGTTGTTCAATAAATTAATGTCATTACTTTCAAACAAATGATTATCCTTAAAGTCTTTGAATTGATATTTTATGATCAGAAAGTCCTTCAAAATTACATCATCTGCGAAGTAATAACTTCTGACAGGTCTACTGATACCTTTAAGGGTTTCAATCATTTGTAAATACTTGGAATTATTCGGAATTTGATCTTCAGATACATTTGATACATCTTTGTCAACATCTTCCTTCAAACTCTTCAATAATAGGTTCAAAATCTCCACGAGACTTTCAATCAATTTTTGATCTAATTGATAATTATCTTCCTTAAACCAATTCAAACTTAATCTCAAACAAACAAGAATGTTATTTAAATCACTAGGAGTGATTTCCTTCTTCAACACCTTGATAATGGCTTGAAAAAAGTATTCAAAGTACTTTTTCAAAAGTCTTTGGAATTTGGCTTTGGTGATCATTTTATTGAAACTGATGAGTACAATCAATTGTTTCAAATAAAAGTTCCCACCTTCATCAAGATTCATCAACAGAAGGAACAAATCATCATTGAAGTTCAAATTCAAGAATATGAATTCAACTTTATTATAATTAAGTTTCTTCATGATGAAATGATTATTCAAGTTATAGTTTGAAGAATAATGGAAACCTATCAAACAAGTTAACATGACATTTAAGTCGTTGGACTTCTTGAAAAGTTGATTATGGAAGTTTTTTGTAAAATCATTGATGTTATTCAGTACCAAGATCTCATATAAATTGGTCTTGAACCAATTTTTATTCAATAAGTTATTCAAGTTGGAAATCCCCAACTTATTGGAAGGTAATCGAGTAAAACACGATCTCAAAAACCAGTAAACCGAGTCAAACTTATTCTCTATTAAGTTGTTTATCATACCAATATGATTATAAGGCTCGTTCAATGATGGTAGTAATAATATGCAAAATTTGTAGTATGTGAAAGACAACTCATAATATGACTTGAAGGTAGTGTATTTCTTTTCATTGTTTAATAATCTGAATTTATGAAAGTTTTTCTTGTTTAAAGAAGGTAGAACATATGAGGTTTCAATAAATGATCTATGTCTTGAACAATCTCCCAAACAAAGTAAATTCTTATAGATAAGATATAAGATATTTGCTTGGAGGTTACTGTTTGACGTAGGGATTGAATTTTTCAGGATTTTAAAGTCAAAGTATGCTAAAAACTTATTGGGAATCAAAGGATTCTTAAAATGGGTTGAAAAATACTCAAGTAAATTCTTATAAAAACTTGAAGTTTTGTTGATAAACCTAATAAAAGGATCATTTATCTTTCTCATCTCAACCGGATGTAACTTAAAATTGTCTTTCAGATCATTAAATTCTTTTAAAATATCGTTATAAATGGCTTGGTGGACTTTTTGAAAGTATTTGATGATAGGATAATGGAAATTTGACCATAAAGTTTCGAAATACTTGATAGTATTGAAATCCGATGGTTTATTGACTTCTACAGATGTGTAATATTCATTGAAATCAGCTATTATCCAGTTTTCGAACTTACCTTCGACCACAGTTGATAATCCAAGTAACAAAGTGGGATCAATGAACCTCTTACTAAGATGCTGATCAAGTTGAGTCTTGAACAGTTTGATTTCACGGATTATATTATCACTCATTTTTATGCTATGCAACGGTGATTAGGGGGTTTTATAATGAGTTTGTAGGCGGTATTACTCAATACTGATCATGTTCAGTAAATTTTTCACTCACTAGAAAAACTTGTGGTTTCGCAGTAGCTGCTTTTGATAGTATTCACAAAAACAGAAAAAAATTCCGTACACCTCATTTTGCCATCAGTTATGGAAGATCCATCTTTTGATGTTGAAGTCTATGTTTATGACTTATCTCATGGTTTAGCTCCAGTATTATCACCACAAATCTTAGGTATCAGATTAGATGCCATTTATCATACTTCAACCGTTATTAATGGCAAAGAATATTATATTGATCAAGGTATTAAAGTAAATACGCCGCCTGGATCTACTAAATATGGAAGACCTATCGAGGTCATTAAGATGGGAAAGACTTTTGTGGATGAAAATATCCTTCAAGATTATATAAATGAATTAATGGAAAGAACCGATTTGAAATTCACAGCTGCAAAATATGATTTGTTTGATAACAACTGTAACCATTTCACTGATTTGTTGACTGATTTTCTTGTTGGAAAGAATCTTGATGATAGGATTTTGAAATTGCCTGAACAAGTGTTAAATACACCAGGAGGACAAATGTTGAAACAAATGTTAGGGGGTAATCAGCTATATTAGGTAATCACATGAAGATATTCTTATCTTGTGATGGAATTCTGATCAAGTCAACGACTGTTCGCCCGGTGACTGGCAGATAGACTTTAGATTCATATAGAACAGTTTATGGGGATTCTTACCCCTTTATATATTAAATACCTTGGTCTAGACCTTTCCCACTTGACTTATCACAATGTCGCTTATCTGAGACTGCAAAAAAATTGAGATCTATCTCACTTTACCACTTTTCGAAATTATTGAAATTGTCAATTATTGGTGGATTTAAGTGTTTCAAGTGTTTAAGAGACGACATATCCGATTAGTTTTTAAAAGGGAAATCAGAAGTTTTTTCTAGAGAATTTTTAGTGCAAAATGGATCAATCACAGAGTTATAATTATAATTGGAAGTATAATTATGATCCAAGACAACTGGATTATACTTATACACCAAGTCAGTCTTCAATTGCCAGTCAAGTGGGTTCTGGAATGGGGTCTGGAGTTGGTAGTACTGGGAGTTCTAATACCAATTATAGTTATAGGTATGGGTATCAGAATTATCAAGGTGATTATGGATCACAATTGAACAGTCAGGGTCAGGGTCAAGGTCAGGGTCATGGTAATGAGCAAGTCCACAATCAGGGCCATGGTCACGGCCAAAGTCACGGCCATGGTCAAGTCTCAAGGTATGCAGGCGGTCAAGGTCCAGGATGTGGAGGCGGCCAAGACACTCCAGTAATTACAGCTAGAAGTCCAATCAGTAGAGTCAGTCCTCCCTCCAACCTCTCCTCCCCAATGCTCAACATGAACTCCATCAGCAGTAATCTCAACTCCATGACTTTAGGTACTGATAAAGAACAAAATCAGATGGAAAAACTTAAATTACAATTATCTTTGAAAACCCAAATCATCAATAATTTGAAGAAAAGAATCGAAACCGATACCGGAGTTAATGAGAATTTCTATAAACTTCATAAAGAAACTGTTGATAAATTAAAAGAAAAAGAAACCGAATTATCACGTACCAATGAAATTTTAGAAACTTTAATGGTTAGCTTAACATTAAGTAACTCTGGGAAGTTTGACGAACAAGAGTTAACCCATAAGATCATCAACAAAATCAAAGGTTTAACTGCTGAAAATGATAGATTATTGAAGATGGTTAGTGAAAGCAGTAAGCTGAGTTTATTGGTTGAAATTGGAATTTTGAAAAACAAAATCCAAGGATTAGAAAAAGAATTGAGTGAGAAGTAGAATATGAATATAACAACTATGCTTTAGCCTCTAGCTTATCCCTAATTTACTCTCTTCACTCTCCCATCACTGTTCAGCTTCTGAGGTTTATGTTCGCGATAACATTCGCGGTCGAAAATTTTCAACAACATGTATACATCACCACCAATTGTCATTGATAATGGTAGTGATACTACCAAAGCTGGGTTTGCATCAGAAGATTTACCTTCATTAGTTTTCAACACCAACTATTCTGTCGGTGCTGATGGAAAAGTCATTGTTGGGGATGAAGAAATCGATGCCCATCCTGAGAATGAAGTTATGACATTAATGGATAATGGATTAATCTATGATTTCGATAACATTATCCATAACTGGAGATATGTTTATGATAACTTAAACAATGGTTACAGTATTGATCCAAAGGATTATCCATTAACTATGACCGAACAATCATGGAACACTAAACAGAATAAAATCAAACAAACACAAATTGTTTTTGAAGAATTAGAAGTACCAATATTCTCCTTAGTTAAGAAACCTTTATGTCAATTATATCATATGGGAAGAAGTAATGGTTTGGTGGTTGACATTGGTTCAAGTACAGTAAGTGTTACCCCAGTATTAGATGGAATAATTCAAAGTAAATTCACCAGTTATTCTAAATTTGGTGGAGATTATATTGATGCCAATATTTTAAACTATATGAATTCTACTGTAGATTTAAGTACTGTGGTTGATCAAGGTACTGAATCATATAAGAATTATCAATTATCAAAGAAAATTATCAAAGAATTTAAGATTTCCATGTTAAATATAGCAGAAGATCCAATAAATTTATCATTACCTTTAGAACAACAATTTCAATTTACCTTAAAGAATTTCCAATTACCTAATAAACAATATGTACCAATAAAACAACATCAATTAGAAATATTAGAATATTTATTCCAACCAAATTTTTCCAAATTATCACCTCAACCACCATCAATTGAAAAACCTAATAGTAATGGATTATCACATTTTATCATTTCAACATTGAAGAATTTAGAAAGTCATTTAATTTCTGAAGATCCAAATAATACTAATAAAACCAATGAAATTTTAAGAACTTATGTTTCCAACTTATTAATTACTGGTAATGTTTCATTATTATCAGGATTAACTACCAGATTGACTAAAGATTTATCATCATTAAGTTATAGAATTTTACCATCAATAAGACCTTTCATTAATCCATTAAATAATTTCCAAGTTAATGATGTTAATGAAATTTGGGATAAGAAATTTAATACTTGGTTAGGAGCTAGTAACTTATCGTTGATGATTAATGATAGTAAATCAGTTGCAATGGATAATTGGTTTGTTACTAAGGAAGATTATAAGGAGTTCGGAGAGGACTATATTTACGAGAAGTTTAAGTAGGAATGTATAATTATTATTGAGTCGTGAGTGAACGGTAGACAAAGGGGAGTAGAAGAGTAGATAGAGTGGAGAGAGATAGAGTACAGAGTAGAAAGGCAGTATAAGAGCACATAAAGCGCAGCTAAGAGTATATCAAGCACAGAGTACAAGAAAAAGGGCAGAGTAGAAAAAAAAGAAATCCACTCAACCTCTATTCATTCCAAGATACATATTTCCCTTGGAAAGATTCACTATCTCCATGTAACTCTAAGATACTATCCAACTTCAAGTCCAAACCAACTTTATTACCGTATTTCTTCTTGAAGAAGTGTTTCAATTCTACTGGTGTTGGTAAATAAGACTTATTGGTTTCTTTACCTGAGATGAAACTCTTCAATTCGTTGTTTCTTGGTAATCCAAATTGGTAAGGATATTGTTTATAATCAATGTTAAAGTAAGCATTGATTAAAGGAGTTGGTAATTTATGAGTCTTGATAGATTCTTTCATCAACACATCGGCTTCAGTTCTAGGACTTGTCCATTGAGGGAAGAAAGGTTCTTTGACCTTATCAATCAATTTGTGTTTAACCCCTTTAACGAAATCATTGACTTCGAGTTTTTGATTCATGATATTAGTAGCAGTGATTAATTCTAAAGTTAATTGATCTTTAATGGTATTTTCCAAACCTTTGTTCATAAGTTCAAAAGCTACATTTATAGAAGTTGGGGATTTTTCACTTAATTTGTTGTAGATTTTCAAGGAAAATTCATTATTGACACCTTTAAAGTAACTTAAAGCTTCATCAATGGATGATTTACTAAACCCTTCATTGATAATTTTCAATTGTTCCTTAGTAAAAGGGAATTTGGCATTTTCAGGTAATTTTGTTTCAGTGTATTCTTCTAAAATGTCATTAATTTGTTGATAAAATTCTTGTTGATTCTTTAATTCACCAGTCTTTTCATCATTCAATACTGGAGGTTGTAAGTTAGATAATCTATTTACTAATTTAGGTAATCTTTCACTTGGAATATAATGAGTAGCAAATCCTACTAAATAACTATCAAGACCTGACATAACTTCACCAGTTAAAGCATAATAATAACCTAATTTTTCATCTAATCTTGGTAAGAAAAAAGTAGTTCCTACGTCAGGAAAGAATCCAATATCCATTTCTGGCATAGCTAACTTAGTTCTTTCAGTAGCAATTCTAAAAGGCGCGTGAACTGATAATCCAACACCTCCACCCATTGTAATTCCATCCATGAGTGATATATAAGGTTTAGAATATGTTGAAATGATAAAATTCAAATTATACTCTTTTTGGAAGAAATCACTAGCATATTCAGGATTCTGTTGTAAGATTTGTTTGGCACATTCAGCAACATCACCACCAGCACATAAACCTTTAGGACTGGCAGAATTTAAAATGATAACATTATTGACATTTGATTTAGCATATTCAATTAATCTAGGAGTGATCTTTTCAATCATTGAAGTATTTAAAGAATTCAATTTCTGTGGTCTATTCAATGTAATCAATCTCGCCATATTCTCATTGGAGAATAAAACATCGGGTTGACTTGTTGATGACATTCTTATAAATTTAGTTGAAAGGGATTTAAAGTTATTTTTCAACATTTTTGAGTGGAGTAAATTCTTATGATAATGGGGGATGTCGTTCGAGACTCAATTTTTCGGATTTATGGGAATTCAATAATTCAATAGTTTATGATGATAATAATCAAGGTTGATGATTAGTTAGTTATAAAACGCTATGGTTTAATTGGAATGAAATATTTACAAGAATAAAAGATTTAGTAGAAAATTTTTCAGTTTATGCGAATGAGGATTGAGGGAACTGATCGGTGGAGGGGGGTCGATTTTTCGCAGTAAACGCGGGTCGATTTTTGACTGGACTGTAGGTCGAAACGCGGGTCGGAGAGTTTGCAGTTTTACAGAGTTTTACCCTGATTAAACCGTAGAGTAATAACTGATAATCGTAGAGTAATAACTGGATTAGAGCTTAAATCATGAACTCACTTCACTATAAACTTATTGACCATTTCACATTGTTTATGACGGAACTTGTACTGATAATAATTACCTGAATAGGTTACTACTAAGATGAGATCATCGATGAATCCTATTTCTACTCTTTCATGGATTTTGATGTAGCTGAATGATCTTTTGGGTGGTTCGAGAATAAGATTGTTTAAATACTCTTTGTATGGTAATTTCTTGAATAGTTTCTTTGTGTAATCGGAGTTTATAATCTTCTTACTGAAAGAATATTGACTCTTATCTTCAACAGGTTTGGAAATTAATAGATTTGCAAGGTTTTCATTAAGGTCATCAGAAGATTTGGATGATTCAACATCTTCTTCTTCATTATCGTCACTCTCTGGAGCGATTTCGGTTTCAATATCGTTTAATTTGAAAAAATGGATGGTTGATTCTGATCCACAAGATAAGATCGAATTGTCATTATTGAATTTTAAGAAATGAATATTGGAGAAATTCCTTCCTCTTCTAAGATTCTGGATCTTAAATAACTTGATATCACCATTATCATTGAAACTCAAATGGAAGACTCTGATTATTGTACCTTTAACTGATGCAGTAGCAATGAGATTCTGGGAAATGACGATTTTCTTCAACTTGGATGAATGACATTTCATTATCAAGACTGGTTTTAAGTTTATGGTATCAAACACAAGAACGTAACCATCATAGTTCTGAGTCAGTTTATGAGTATCGAATTTAATCAAACTTTCAATATTAACTCCTTTAAAAATGTCATTGTTATCGGGTATTAGTGACATTGGGATCACAAGTAATGAATTATCATCATTGGATAAGTCACCGATGAATCCTTTCTTCAATTCTATGATCTTCATCAATTTCACACAACTCAAATCGTAAATATACAATTGACCGATATCCAACGCAACTAGAAGTCTTTTCTTATTAACTTTAACGTCTATTATTGTGCTGGGGAAGATCAATTCACAGATCTTCAATTTCTGTTTCAAATTGTGGATTTTAAGGATTCGGTTATCTTTCTCCTTAGGTATGACGATAGTTAAAGATGTGGAAAAAAGGATCTTTATGAACACGGTGGGGATGTCATCGGAGTATATCTCACCAAAGGGTTCGACGTTGAAGATCTTTTGGTATTGATCAGTACCAATGGATATGCACGAATTGTCTTGATTGAAGGTGATACTGTTCATGGTTCGCGTTGTGAGGATTTGTGGAGATGTAGATGTTGGTGAAGTGGTGTGAGGTGGTGAGGCGGTCATACGGTGAGGTTGTGTTCATGGGAACTGCAATGAAGGAGTTTGAATTATTGTGTTTAGTTGGTTTTCTTTGTCTACCTACATCGTTTGCACAAATGTGTGGATAGTGAGAGGGTGGATCTGTAAAATTCACAGATTTGGTCCGATAACTCATTTGGAGGGAGCTACGTTAGCAGAGACCTTGCCAGAGAACTACTTACATCCTCAGAACACCAGAAACCACACCAGAGAATTTATCAGAGAGATAGATAAACTTGTCAGAGAAACAGAATACGTTGTCAGAGAGACAGAGAAACAATAGACACACAGAAACCATCTATTCTACTTCTTTTAATTCAACGCCTGAAGCAGATTTCTTACCCTTCTTAGACTTCTTTGGCTTTTCCCATTCATAGAATGGTACAAAGGATTCAAAGAATCCCACATCTGCGAACAAGTTGGGGAACAACCAGAATGGTGCACCGTACACCAAAGTAATAACATAAAGAATCAATCTAATGATAGCAATGACAAAAATTCCTCCAATTAAACACATCAACATCATACTTATCCAATAAACACCTCTCTTCATGAATGATGGCCATAATGGGAATAAAATGACTGTGAAAATACCAACAATCAATAACACTCCAAAGATTGAAGCATATGGACTTGGTTTATTATAATTCCAAACATAATAATCATCAGGTTTGAAAGTGAAATCTTTGGATTTGATCAATGTAGGTTTTTGTTTGTTAGGAACCCATTTCTTATTGGTTTGTTTGATCTCCTTAAAGTGTAACTTATTAACAGGTATGATTAATTGAGTTTGAACCAAGATTTTAGCTAAATCATTGGCGGATTTTTCGTTGACGACTTCGGGCATTCCACTTTTAGGATTTGAAGCTCTTGCTTTCTTATAATCTTCACTCATCAAACATCTGATAAGTCTTTTATATCGGAAGAAATCATGATCCTCACTATTATTCAATAACCCTTTACGATTCTTCAATATTGGTGAATCTCTAGCGAAGAATGCAACTGATTTGGCAATTGGTTGTAATTGAGCCATGATCTGTTGGATTTTGGCTGGATCTAAACCACCAGGGGCAGCTTTAGTAGGAACACCTTGAGGTACACCGAGTTGAACACCTGGAACTGACATGAGTAAAAGTTTTTCAATTTCGCGGTGTTGACTGTGAAAGGTGGCCACCGTGAGCGACCCAGTTTACCGTGAGCCACCCACCTCACCGCACGAAACTGATAGGCGCGATATGGTCAAATTAGTGCGATTAAAGACACAACTAACGCGAATGTGTATTAATATCTATGACTTTTCTGGCTTGTCCTTTTTCCTATTGAAATTTAAATTGAACTTACTGGAACTACGTGAATGTAATGGTGATCTATGACTATAACTGTTACTTAAACTAGAACTTGAAGCGTTCTTACTCAATTTTGAAGGTAAACTTGTTTGACTTGAGTTAGACCCAATCATAGCGTCAAATGAATTATCATAACTGGGAGCTAAATCCCCACTATCATCATCATCATCTACAGCTTCGAAATAACTGGGAACTTTACTTAAGATATTAAGATCTAACAGTCCACTCATGACTTCACTATTTGATCGTGGTAAATCAAAATAACTCGTCCCTAATTGTTCAATAGGTGATTTGGCACTGGTTATATCGAATATCTTATCCTTCTTACTTTCCTCATAAAGTGGGGGAGCCAAGACGTTTTCAAGTTCATCCTCTTCATCTAAAGTATCATCAAGTGGGAATAATGTAGGGGAATGACGGGGGGTGATATCAGGACTAACTAAAGGAGTGACTGATGGTGATACCTTAGGGGTATTGAACTTGTCTCTCTTGAATAATGCATCATCTTTATTCCTAACAATGTTGAATAACCCATGATGGTTATCGATTTCAAAATGATGTCCATAAACATGACCAATAGTACTACTGATATAAAGAGTAATAGGGAGATTAGCTCTCAACTCACTCGTATGACCACCGGGGTTTCGAATTTGTATAGTAACTCTTAATCTGTGTCTGACTTGAATCAAATCATTATTTAAAAGACATGTTTGGGTGACTTCCTTGATGGAATTAGGAACTTTGAAATGACAAGTAAGGTTCCAAGAATCTTGACTGAGAATTGATTCATCTAAAGGTCCCATAACTTGTTGATGACCGAAAACTTGTTCGAATTCAGGTGATCTACCTTCAAGATAGTTCACGTGACAATGTTGTACTACTTCAGTAGTGATCTTTTTCAATGAAATACCTTTGACTAATGGTACAATTAGTACTTGAATAGGGATTGTTGAGCCAATGGCAACCCCCTTTTTATTCAAGTACACTTTATAATCGACTTTCCCTGGCCAAGTATTGACTATATCAATATTGTCCACAAGACTCAAACTATTGGGATGTAATGTTCTGACAAATCTCATATATTTAGATTTGACCATTGGCTTATCGAATAACATCCCCTTTTGGATGGACCCTTCAAATTTATAGAGTAATTTCCCAATAGCTAACCCTTCCACAGTCTCACAAATATTAGTAGGTAATACCACTTTGAATGGTAAGGAATAGTTCCCATTAGGTAATAAGAACGAATGATGACTCGAGGAGTTCTTAAATGGTGTTCCATCAATACCTGAAGTTGGTAATTTAATGGTGGGTGCTTCTTTCTTATGAGCCTTACTTAAATTGGGTTGAGATTTAGTTCTATCAAAAGTCGGTCTAGCCCTTGATTCTTGTTTCATCTCTTCTAAATGTGAATGAGCTTGAAGCTTACCTGCTTTATAAGCCTTCACAGGCTTATCACCGTAAGATCCAAGGACAATCGTTCCTTCATCATTGATCAAAAGATTATCCCAATCGACCTTAAGTGTGATGAATTTCTCGAGTATGTGATTGGTAACAGCACCATTTTCATCTTTTTCGAAATATGTAACGCTCAATTCACCAATCAAGCTTAATTTGACCTTTTTGACGTGGATATTTTGATTTACCGATAACTTTACCCTTCCTTCTAAGAATATGGGATCACATTCATTTTCATTCCCTTTGATGACAATAAGATCCTTGTGAGGACTATTTACCCTAATATCAAAGTAAGAAATCTTGGTATCTACCATATTCACGTGGTTCTGAATATGTTGATGAAGATTAAATTTGAGTTTCGAGTTATCGTCACTTGGTCCCTTAAGGTTGCGTTTTCGCGAAGAGGTTAATCCGAGCAACTCAGTACACCGATCATCAGGAGATAAGGGAAACAGACGTTAGATGATGTTGGAGGTCATTAAAGAGGCTTTTAGAGGAGTTTGGTGAAAAATGGGGGGATTTTAGGGGAACTTTGGGGTTGGCTGTGGGGCGATCTGAGAGATCATCAGATGGCTGCAAATTACATACAGGCATATCTATTTCTATTTGGTTGTCAACGTACGAGGGGATAAGGAAGTTTGAAATTGGCTTAACATCACTTGAAGGGTTAATAGGGGTAATTTAATCTTCAATTTCTTCAAAAGCTTCGAAAAATTCATCAATTACTTTGACACACCAGAATTCTCTTTGAGGTGTGACAAAAGCTAAATGTCCTCCTAAATTGGTTTCTAAAGCAGAAATATGTTCATTAGCTTCAAATTTATCTATAGGTAAGTATTTACCTGTAGCTGGATCATCAGATGATGAGATTGAAAGATATGGTGTTTTGATAGCACCAAGTCTATTTTCAGGTGACCCTTTTGCATAATATTCTTTGGCAGTGTCGAATCCTGCAGTTTTACAGGTAAACATATTATCGAAATCTTCAAATACTTTAAACTGTTGAGCTTTGGCCAAATTTTCCTTGTTGAATAATTCAGGGTTTTCAGCATTTAATACCCCCAATCCATTCTTTACAACTTTACATAAGAACCCAACTAACGCAGGATTCATGAGTTTACCTACCCATAAAGTCCTCATGACATCGGAAGCTATACCTAAACTGAAGGGGCATCCTACAACAGTAGCAGCTTTGATTAAATTCTCATCTCCATACATACCCAAGTAATTGGTCAATAAAGCAGCACCAAAAGAGAATCCTGAAGCGTAGATAGGTCTTTTAGGATATCTTTTTTTCAAATCCAATAAAACTTCATGGATATCTTCAATAGCTAAGGCATTAAATAATTTCCCAGTAGTAAGTTTAGTTCTACCACAACCTCTGGTTAAATTCACCACCACATCGAATTTCCCATGATTTTTACCCGTGGTCAACAATTCAGCCAAATTTCTAATCAAAGATTCATGAGATCCACCAGCTAATCCATGAAGAATAAGTACAATAGGTTTAGTACTCTCAGAATCATGCTTACGTAACAGTAATTCCTCATCGGATAAAAATCTTGTTCTTGGGAATAAACGAGGCCAGTCTTTAGGATGATTATTTTCATATTTTGATTTGAAGTCTTCATTAGTCTCTGGATCAATAACCCAATCTAATGAACAGATCCCTTCATCTTTGAAAGTGAAAATTTCCCTACCATAATAAATCTTAAACTTATCAGAGAAGTCTCCCTTATAATAATACATTGATTGTAAGACTCCATTGAAAAGTAATGGGTGTAAATTCAATTTTTCTTTGATATTGGCCGATGGTAAGTTACTAACAAGTTGTTGAAATTCTACTGTTTCACCATTTTTCAGGGTTAATTTTAATGGTTTTTTCGATTGATAAATCTGTTTATCAGCTCTAAATCCCCATCCTAGTATTGACATAGTTGAAAGTTATTGGTTTTTCTTTATGGAAGATTTGTTGGGCTTTATAAAGTTTCAACCGAAGGGAATTTGAGACTTATTATGTAAATGCTTACGTAATCGAACTGTGATATAGAAAACGGTTCTTCGATTATGTCAGCAGAGTTATAACGGCCGTAAAAAAATTGTTTATGTATTTAAATAGATTTGTCTTTTATCATTTTAGCAGCTCTGGCTTTAGAACTTATAGATGATTCACTGTTCTCTACATGACCTCTATCATCTAATTCCACAGACCCAGCACTTTCGAATAAAGAAACATGTCCAGTCAAAAGTCCTAAAGTTTCCAAGACTTGAGAAGGATCAGACAAATGTGAGGTGGCTATAGTTTGTTTTGTTGGGGGCCCCACAGCTACAGGATAAACTCCGTAAGCTCCGAAGGAATTCTTGGGGAAATTTTTCAAATTCCAGTTGGTTTCGATTTGTTTTAAACTCTTGAACATATCTTCATCGGTCAAATCATCTCCAAGACAAAGGATGAAATCAGGTACTTTATCACTTTCTAAATCATAGTTATGATCAGTTATAGGTTTTGGAAGTTGTTTAGATCCATGAGGATGAAGCACCAACCTTTTGACGATTTCCCCTTTATTGACGAATTTTGGTCTAACTTCAATATTGGCTTTACCAGCCATAATTTCAATATCGTATTTTTCACCCACAGTGGCTTTTAAGTGTTCCATTAATTTTTCTGATTGATAAATTCCTAATTCGGGATCGGCTCTTCTATAGTGCCATACTAAAGCCACTTTCTTCTTTTCAATATTGGAATTTGGCGTTTGATCGGTGAAATCTTTGAAGATATCTTCAACCTCCTTTTGCCACGACATGTCAAAGCTTTCAGATAAATTAACCCAATCTTCACTACCAATATCTTTCATAAAACATCCATGTTCGGCCGATAACCCTACATGTTTATGACCAAACCATTTACTCAAGAATCTTTGGTCTCTTCCACTGATTAACCAAATTTGATTCTTTGGGTCGGCTGATAATGAATCGATGATACTATCCAATCTCTTACTAGGGATAGCTGCTTCGGGATCAGTGACAATTGGAGTTAAAGTCCCATCATAATCGAATAAGAATAATCTACGATGCAGTTTATTGTAATGATTCAATAAGTTGGGTCTGTTCAAAGCTGGAGTGTAACTTGATTTATGAGTATGAGCCAATTGATTGATAAGACCGCTTAAGAAATTGTCTGTCCAATTTTGAATGGTGTTTTGGCAGACTTTGTTATATAATTTCTTTTGTAAAGCCTTTTTATCGTCTTTGGACATCAATAAACATTGGTTAATGGTTCTAGCGATTCCTACAGAATCCCAAGGGTTGATGAGAATAGCATCACTCAAAACGGAGGCAGTACCGGTGAATTCACTCAAAATCAAAGGAGAATAATTCTCCTTTTGAGAAACAACATACTCTAAAGCGGTAGTATTCATTCCATCTCTAACTGAAGTCACCAAGGCTAAGTCGGCAACTCTTAATAATGCTAAATATTCATCCTTATTGATTCTTATTTGGTAATGTAATACAGGCGTATGATTCAATGTACCATAAGTCCCGTTGATTTGGTTAATCAATTCACTAACCTTCTTTTCAACTTTCAAAGCATGAGATGAAAATGTAGGACTGGAAACTTGAATAAGAACAACTTGATCTCTCCATTCAGGGAACATTTGTAAGAACATTTCAAAAGCTTGTAATTTTTGCACCACCCCTCTGACGGAATCTAAACGATCTCTACCAACAATAATTTTCTTGTCGGAATAGATCTCCCTCAATGCATTGATCTTCTCATCAATGGTACTATTAAAACTATCAAGCTCGATCTTTTTGGTGTCTATACCAATGGGTAATACTGAAGTCTCAATTGAAGAACCATAAGCTAAAACACTATGGTTTTTTATTTCACAACCCAAAACTCTGGCACAGCAACTGATGAAATGTCTTTGGAAAGAGTCAGATTGGAAAACTATTCTATCAGAACCCAACATTCCATCTAATAATTGGGATCTTTTAGGTATACATCTAAAATATTCTGAACTAGGGAATGGAACGTGAAGGAAAAACCCTATAAAGGCATCAGGAAATTCCATTCTTAACAATTGAGGTAAAAGAAGTAAATTATAATCATGGATCCAAATTATATCACCGGGTTTATAAATAGATTTGATTTTTTGTAAGTAACTTTCGTTAAACTTGACATAATCATACCAACCATCACTCTCTTTCTTACCGTCAGTTGGTTGACTTTGAATATAATGGAATACTGGCCATAAATAATTTTCAGCGTATCTTCTCCAACGTTCTTGATCTCTTCTTAAAAGCCAAATTGGATGGATATTATCGGTTTTATTGATTTTCCTGATTTTATCTTCAATCACCAGTTTATCTTGTTCGGATAAATATAATGGATCTTCCTTGATATTATCGCTGGCAACATAATTTCTACCATTTTGCTTATTAACTAACTCACCTGTCCAACCAATAAGATGACTTTCCCAATCAGAATGTTGATTCAAGAAGAAATAAGATGAATAAAGCGAGGAGTTACCTCTGATAGGTTCTACGTCCCATTCATCATTATAATTCTTGAAGATTTGATTGGGGATGTTAGTCATGACATTGAGGATCCTACCACTAAGATTGATATCGGATTTGTCATAGTTTGAAGGTGATACAATGGTATCAGGTAAGGCAAATAGTTGTTCCATGATGATAGTTTGCGCGGTGATTGCTGTTAAGTTAAGGTAAGGTTGTGGACGCGGGGCTGGGGAGTGGTGTGGCCGGAAACTGGGTGGTGGAATGGGCCCCAGAGGTCTAGAACTTAAGGAGTAAGAGAGATTGATACCGAAGATCAAGGAGGTAGGGGGGTGGGTGTTGACTATGAGACAATTTGAAAGTGGCCCCACGGAACAATCTGTCCCAATTGGGAAATGAGACAAAAGTGAGACCTCATACGGATATGGGGGAACCGGGGTTTATGGATATTTGACGTGTTTCTTAAAGTAGTAACATGTGTTTGACTAGAGTTGACATGAAGGTAGAAAGTCTTCTACAATCTCAGAACTTCTCCCAAAACATGTCCCAGAACATCTAGAGCTTTCAGAAAAATTTTTGTAAAACATTTATTTTTGATTTATATAAATCCAAAACCCATTTAAAATTATAAATTACAAACTTAGTTATCTTCAGCAGATTTTTTATATTCTTCATAAGCAGTTAAAGCATCTTCGAAATGATTGTTGAATAATTCATCATCTTCTAATAAAGATAAAATTTCTTGATTATCTAAATCCAACATCATACCAGTAATTTTACCAGCAGCTTCAGGTTCATTAGCTTTACCAGTGTTAACAACTTTAGGATATAATTCTTCACCTAAGATTCTCTTTTGTTGTTCAACAGGAACAGAAGCAATGATGGCTGATAAATCTCTTGATTTTCTACCATTTGGTGGGAAGAAACCTCTGTTTTGTTGATTTGGTTGTTGACCATAAACTGGTGGCATACCATAAACTGGTAATGGTTGACCATTTGGACCTCTTTGTTGACCATTTGGAGGAACTTGACCTTGGAATCCTTGTGGTGGAGGAACTTGACCATTTCTACCCATCATCATTTGAGGGTTTGGAGCACCTGGGAATGGTTGACCACCTTGTTGTCTACCATTTGGTGGGAAAAATCCTGGTTGTTGGTAAAACATTGGAGCCATAAATTGACCTGGCATACCAGTAGCAGCAGCATTTTGCATTCTCATTTGATTTCTGGCTTGAATTTGTTGTTCTAATTGAGATCTTCTAACATCTTTTCTTTGAGCTAAAGCAACATATAAAGGTTTACCTTCAAACATTCTTTGGTTCATTTCAGTAATAGCTTTAGTAGCTTCTTCTGGACTTGAGAAACAAACGAAACCAAAACCTTTAGATTTACCAGTTTCATCAACCATAACTCTAGCTGAAGTAATAGTACCGAAAGGTTTAAATTCTTGTTCTAATTTTTCAGAATCAACAGAATCATCTAAATTCTTAACAAATAAGTTAACACCTTGATATTTACTTATTCTTTCTAATCTAGTAGCTTCGTATTGTTTTTTTAATTCTTCTAATCTTTCTCTTTTCTTTTGAGCTCTACCGACATAAATTGGTTGACCACCAACTTCTTTATCGTTTAATTCTTCAACAGCTTTTAAAGCATCTTCATGTTGTTCAAAGTTAACAAAACCGAAACCTTTAGATTTACCTTCTTGATCTTTTTCAAGGTATAATGAAGTAATTTTACCATAAGGTTCGAATAATTTAGTTAATTCTTCTTCAGTAGTTTCTAAAGATAAGTTTTTAATGAAAACATTGGTAAAGTTAGCTTTCATTTCTTCGAATTTACTTTCTCTATCTTTTTTGGAGATATGTTTAGCAACGAAAACTTCTCTATCATTTAATAACATACCGTTAACATTTTCAATAGCAGCTTCAGCAGCTTCAGCAGTTTCATAATGGACGAAACCGAAACATTTAGAATTACCCATTTCATCGGTGGCAACTTTACAGGATAAAATTTTACCAAAAGCAGTGAATGTATCATGTAAAGCTTTGTTATCAATAGCTGGATGTAAGTTTTTAATGAAGATATTACCATCACCATTTCTTCTTAATGAAGGATCTCTTTGAGACCACATAATTCTACATGGTCTACCATCAACTAAACTATAGTTTAATTCTTCAATAGCTTTTTCACCATCATCTAATTTGTTAAAGTTAACATAAGCGTAACCTAAAGATTTTTTGGTGACAGCATCTCTACAAACTCTAATAGAAGAAACTTGACCAATGGGGGAAAAGATTTCGAATAATAAAGCTTCGTTGACTGAAGGGTTTAATTCTCCAACATATAATGAAGCAGAAGTTTCAGCAACATCATCAGCAGCTTCATTAGAAGTTTCAACTTCAGGTTTTGAATCTAAGTTTAATTTTTCTAATGATTCTTGGATTTGTGTAGGATCACTTGACATATTTTTTTTTTTTGCTGGTTTTTGTTTGTATATATAAAATAATAAATGGGAAATTTATTTATATATAAATTTTCTAATTTTTTTAGGATTTTTTATATAAAGATTAATAACCTTTTAATCTATTACGTGAATGGATTGAAAAATTTTCAGGCTCTTCGCATTTGTGGATTTAGAGTGAGGGTTACCCGGAAGGCGCGCATAAAGGATGGTGTACGGGTGTGGGATCAAAAGTAGTTTGATAAGTTGGGGTGATTAATGGTGATATTCAGGTGGTGGAAGGGGTTTGATGGTGGATTGATAGGGCAGGTAGACACTGGGTTTGGTTTTGGGGGTTATTAGAGCTTGATTTAGTAAGTTCAATGATGGAAAAGTGTTAGTAGATGAGATGCTCATCGCATTTCTATTATGTTCCATATACTTCGATTGATCTTTTCCCATTACTGATCATTTCCATAGATACCGTCACATACAGTTGGTGTCAATAACATGAACATTGAGGTGGTGGTAATTGCCTGGGATATGTGACACGTGTTCCGATTGTGCTTATATAATGTGACTGTTTCCGCATTAGGAAATGTAATTAATCTGAAACAAATATGAAACAAATGTGAAACACCGCACCATCAGAGAAAAGCTAATAGAGAAAAGGTAATGGATAAAAGAGATCTAGACCCATCCTACAGGGTCAGAGAATTAATGTTAAACATACTATTACATACCTAATCCTTTTGTGACTCTTTGATTCTAGTGTACATCGTTTTAATCTTAGAACTAGGCACTTTCACCGGCCAATATAATCCAGCATAACTCCATAAATGCTTGGATAATTTCTCTACATCTTTACCGTTATTTTCTTTCAAATATCCATCAATAAAGTTTCCTACGGTAGTTAATTCAGATTTCAATACTTTCTTGAATTCTGTCTTTTCTAAACCTTTTGATCCCTTATGTAATTTGATTAATGATTTAGATACTGGTTTGAGACTATCTTTACAATATTGTTCATCCATAGAATCATATTCCAAATCTCCATCGACTTTATCTTCTTTCTTTGATTCTTTAGGTGGTTTTGATTCTTTTGGTGCTTTTGGTGCTTTCGGTTCTTTAGGCTCTTTCTTAACCTTTTCAACCTTCTTTTTAGGACCTCTTTTAACTTCAGGAGTTGAAGCTCTAGGAGTACCGGATTTAGCTCTCTTAGTAGCATTACCTTCTTCCTTAGGTTTTCTTTTTCTTCCAACTTTTTCCTTTTCTTCGTCATTCAATAATGAGAAAAGATAATCAACTCTTCTACCTATATGAATGGCACCAGGAACTTTAGCTTTCTCTTCTTTAGTTTTAGGATTTTCCAAGAATAACTTATTCTGTAAACCTAAGAAAGGATCATCACGAATTTGTTGCCATTGACCATAACCAAATTTATGAACTCCCACTAACAATTTAGAGTCGTCTTTAATAGTCCATTCACAATCCCAAGAACTAACAGGTTTAGGAACTTTAGGAAGTTCGAAATTCTTAGAATCTCCAATCAATTCAGCTAAAAGATTCATATCTTTAGGTCTATTCAATACCAATTCGGCATTAATGTTCTTAACTCCTTTATATTCAAATAACACCGCTTTCTTCTCCTTTTTAACAGCTACCCATAAAGTAGTTCCATCTTTCAATTTGGAATTATTATTGACTTCTTTAGCTTCCTTTTCTAATTCAGCTACTGCTTTAGCTCTTCTATCATCTTCTTGTTTGACTAATCTATTACTAATATCAATAATTTCTTGATAAGCATGTTTAATCAATACAGGATCTCTACTAACAATACTTCCTTCTTCAAATAATTGTTCCCATTTACCTGTCAAATCCCCTAATCTTAAGATGGATCTATAAATACCTCTAATTTCTTTATCACTTAAATCATAACTCTTTTTCTTAGGAGCATCAGAATCTTGATCAAGAATATCTTCATGTTCAGTTAATGATTTTACCGCAGCTCTTCTTTTAGAGTACATGTCAATTTGTTGTTGTAAGAATTGTTCATCTTGTCTCTTTTTCTCTTCATCTTTCAACTTATTCAATTCTTCAACAGGAATAATATCATCCCAAGCAATTTCAGGTTTCAAATCAGTGACTTCGAATTGTTTCAAGAATTCTTCTGATCCAAGATTACTTTCACCTAAATCTGGAGTAGTAACATGATCTTGAGCATTATTTAAAACATCATCTAAGTTAAGATCTTCTAATTTCTTTTGATTATCATTGGGTTTGAACATATTACCTGCACCAAATTTCAAAATTTGAGATAATTCATTACTTGAAGGTTCGATTTTCTTGTTTCTCTTCTCCAAATCAGGATCTGTGACCCCTAAAGAAATAATAGCATATTCTAAAATCATCTTCTTTCTAGCTCTTTCCAAGATTTCTTCTTCGACAGTGTCTTTACTAACAAATCTATATACCGACACGTGATTCTTTTGACCGATTCTATGAGCCCTGGCCATAGCTTGAAGATCAGCTTGAGGATTCCAATCACTATCGAAAATGATAACTGTATCAGCTGTCATTAAATTAATACCCAAACCACCAGCTCTGGTACTTAATAAGAATACAAAATCTTTAGAATCTGGAGCATTGAAATGATCAATAGAGATTTTTCTTTGTGATGAAGGAATCCCACCATCTAATCTTTGAAATTGATATCCTTTAATACTCAAATAATCACCAATGATATCTAAAATTCTAACCATTTGCGAGAATACTAACACTCTATGACCTTCTTTCTTCAATCTAGTCAATAATTGTTCTAAAAGAACCATTTTTCCTGATGACATAATCATTCCTCTCAAAATATGTTCACGAGAATTTGATCCATAATTAGCTAAAACTCTATCTTCAGCTCCATCAAACAAATAAGGATGATTAGAAGCTTTTTTAAGTTCACTCATAACATTTAATAAGGAAATTTGTGATCCTTTGTTACCAGCATTTAAAGCAGCATAATTCTTGGTGATGATATTTCTATAATATTCAGTTTGAATGTCAGATAATTCAACTCTTAAAATTCTTTCTGTCTTTGAAGGTAAAGATTTTTCAACATCTTTCTTTAATCTTCTTAAAATGAAAGGTTTAATCTTTGATTGTAAGTCTTTAATATATTGTTCTTGTTCATCATTAGGAGTTTCAAAATCAATTTCTTGATCGATATCAAAGAATCCTGGCATAAGGAAATTACATAAGGCACTTAATTCTTTAATGTTATTCTGTAATGGAGTACCAGTAATTAAAAGTCTATTAGAAACTTTGAAAGAATTTAATGATTCATATAAAGAACTTTCACTATTCTTTAATCTATGAGCTTCATCAACTGCTAAGAATTGCCATTTAATTGATCCTAATTCACTTCTATCTTTCAAAATATATTCATAAGTTGTTAATAAGATATTGAATTTAGGTTTATTGGTGGATGAATAGAATTCATAATCTCTAATGACTTTCCTGGATTCAGAATTACCTAAATAGTAAATACAATTCAAATCAGGAGCCCATTTTTCAAAAGTTTCTTGCCATGCTGGAATGGTACTTAAAGGTACAACCACTAAATGAGGACCATTTTGTCTTCTAGCATAAATTAACCATGATAAGAAAGAAACCGTTTGAACAGTTTTACCTAAACCCATTTCATCGGCCAAAATCCCATTTTCATTTCTTGACCATAAGAAAGCCATCCAATTCAAACCAGTTAATTGGAAATCTCTTAATTCTCCATTCTTAATAAACAATGGTTGTTTAGTTAACTTCTCAAATCTTGGTCTAGCACCTTGAGGATAATTGGCCGATAAGTTGGGTAAGATCTTCAGTTTTAATCGTTGTTGGAATTTAGAGACTTGTTCAGGTGCAATATCTGCGATTTCTTCAGCATCTTCCCAAGTATTGGAATCATAATAAAGACGTTTCCATTTAACGAAATATTTCAACTTCAGTAAACCATCTTCTTCGATTCTTTCACTATCAACGATTCTTTCAACATGACAGAATTCATCTTGTTCATCACGTTTCCTTTCCCGTTCAATATCCATACTCTCAATATCTTCCTTAGTTGTCATTGGATCATTTCTGATCTCTTGATCTATAAGAATGAATTGTTTAATGTAATTATCAACTTTCCTGAACCCTTTATAACTTCTACAAACATCATAAGTTTCCCAAGTGTTATGTAAATGACTTATACCTGTCCATTTGATTTTAAACATATAATCTTTCTTAGCATCACCAGTTATCACTGTCTTACCGTTGATATCTTCGGTGTTAGATTTATGATCTAAAACTAAATCAATGGAAGTTTCTTCTTCAACTGGTTCATAATCATATTCATAACTTTCTTCTTCACCAGATTCCATTAAATCATCATTGTCTTCATCATCAACAGCATAATTAACATTTCTACTGTTACGACTACTAAACCTTATTTCACTGGCTTCGATTTTCTTTAATTTCTTAGGCTTAGGTTTGGATTTCCTGGATTTCTTGGGTTTAATCATAAAATCATCTTCTTCATCATCATCAATAATATCATCTTCATCATCATATTGTTCGAAATCCGCTCCGTCATTATCTTCTTCTTCATCAAAACTTTGAACCTTCCGTTCTCTACCACTTCTTCTTAATCCATATAACTCAGGATTCAATTCCGCTTCTTCAAATTTCATCGTTTGACTTTTGCCGGAGTTGTTTCGATAAGATTTTTTGAGCGACGACGAGTGAAAATTTTATGTTCTCACTGGAAAGGGAAAGTGAGAGTTGAACCTTAGAGTTGGCAGTAAAGGAGATTTATCGGAGGGGTGTTTATTGGTAAATTGAGGGTTTGAAGGGTTAAATATTAATACAATTGATTTTTAAAGGTTAGGTTTTAGTGTGTTTCAAAGGTCGGAAGATCAAGTGAAACCTCCCTAGGGGGTGTAAAATAGATGTGGAAAGGATTCGGAATCTGTTGGGGAGGTAATTGAACGATTTCAATGGTAATTTATGGGTTAATAACACGCGTACTATGGTTTTTTGCAGCCATTTTTATTCTACCTTGGGTAAATGTATTGAATAATAACATGTTCCAGGGAGTTTAAGGGAACTAAGATCTATCTTGAATGAAAATCTGGTGTTGAACAGTTCATTTCTTGATAGTTTTCAACCGGCATCTCATGTTTTGTCCCTTTACTTGGTACATAAGTTATCAATTTACCTTCTAGGGGCTTGAATTCTTTCAAAGTTGCCAAGCATCTTCTGTGCATGTTCAACCATATCAAATCGCCTTAAAACCTCATTTCTACCATTTCAAACTAACAATTTTCACCACAACTACCTTCCATACCATTTGAATAACTGCTAAACCACCAAAAACCTTCTAAACCTCAATTTGAAAGCTTAGAAAGGATATAATCATCATTATCACCATCGGTAAGTAGTTGAGTCGACAATGATCACCATATCCTTCACTAATCTTGTTATTTGGCCAGGTGGTTTTAGGGATATTTTCACTCCCTAAATGTTGAGGAAAAATTTTCTCGGAGGGAAATCAACAACCCTATAGTTGACGACATGGAGGATATGATACGACATGAAACGACATTAAACGACATTTTGTGACATTTTGTGACATTTTACATAAGGTTAAGTTTTTACGACACGATCCGACATTTTGTGACATTTTACACAAGGTTTGAATCTTTACGACACTGTGCGACATTTGGTGACATTTTATAAATTTTTACAACCCAAGATCATGACGATATAATGGACAAAACCATCATAAAAATAGCCGTTCCCTACTTATATGCCCCCTAAACACCCAAATATCTATTTCTGACTCCAAATACACGTAAAAAAAACAACTTCAAATCAACCAATCAAAAGTCGATAATTTGTAATTTCCAGTCTCATATTTACCACCCCAGACATAACTTCGCACCAATTAATCTCCCCAGAAAAAATTATCTCGACCTACCACCCCCATCCTGCGGCGTAATTATCATCCCTCCACATCTTATTGATTTCTCGCGATGTGAAAAAGTTTTACCTACTGTAAATAGACCATGCCTGAAAAGAATACCAGAATTGCTATAGTGTCTACCGACAAGTGTAAACCTAAAAAGTGTAGGCAAGAATGTAGAAAAGGGTGTCCTGTGGTGAAGACGGGGAAATTATGTATTGAAGTAACGCCAACATCAAAGATTGCATTTATTTCCGAAACTTTATGTATTGGATGTGGTATTTGTGTTAAGAAATGTCCATTTGATGCCATTAATATTATTAATTTACCTACCAATTTGGAAAACGAAACCACTCATAGATATTCTGCCAATTCTTTCAAGTTACATAGATTACCTACCCCAAGACCAGGACAAGTTTTAGGATTAGTTGGTACTAATGGTATTGGTAAATCAACTGCTTTAAAAATTTTAGCTGGTAAACAAAAACCTAATTTAGGTAGATATGATGATCCACCTGATTGGCAAGAAATTTTAAAACATTTCAGAGGTAGTGAATTACAAAATTTCTTTACTAAAATCTTAGAAGATAATATTAAAGCTATTATTAAACCTCAATATGTTGATAATATTCCAAAAGCTTTAGCTAAATCTCCAGTTAAACATGTTGAAGGAGTATTGAAAGCTAGATTGGAAAGAACTGAAGATTATGATTATATTTTAAGAATCTTAGAATTAGGAGGAGTTCTTCAAAGAGATATTGAGAATTTATCTGGAGGTGAATTACAAAGATTTGCTTTAGGTATGACATGTGTACAAAAGGCTAATGTTTATATGTTTGATGAACCATCATCATATTTAGATGTTAAACAAAGATTAAGAGCAGCTGAAATCATTAGAAGTTTATTGGATCCAACAACTTATGTTATTTGTGTTGAACATGATTTATCAGTATTAGATTATTTATCCGATTTTGTTTGTATATTATATGGTACACCATCAGTTTATGGAGTTGTTACTTTACCAAGTTCTGTTAGAGAAGGAATTAATATCTTTTTAGATGGTTATATACCATCAGAAAATATGAAATTTAGAGATGAAAGTTTACAATTTAGATTAGCTGATGCAGCTGATGGTCTTATTTTAGATAAATCTAATAGTATGGAATATCCAAACATTTGTAAAACTCAAGGAGATTTTACTTTAAATGTTGAAGCTGGTGATTTTACTAATTCAGAAATTTTAGTTATGATGGGAGAAAATGGTACTGGTAAAACAACATTTTGTAAATTATTAGCTGGTTTAACTAAACCTGATGGAAATCAAGAAATTCCAAAATTAAATATTTCTTTAAAACCTCAAAAGATTGCTCCAAAATTCCCTGGTACTGTCCGTCAATTATTCTTTAAAAAGATAAGAGCAGCATTTTTACATCCACAATTTCAAACTGATGTTGTAAAACCTTTAAAAATTGATAATATTATTGATCAAGAAGTTCAAACCTTATCAGGGGGTGAATTACAAAGAGTTGCTATTGTTTTAGCTTTAGGTGTACCGGCAGATATTTATTTAATTGATGAACCTTCAGCTTATTTAGATTCGGAACAAAGAATTGTTTGTTCAAAAGTTATTAGAAGATTTATATTACATTCTAAGAAGACTGCTTTTATTGTTGAACATGATTTTATTATGGCAACTTATTTAGCTGATAGAGTTATTGTATTTGAAGGTCAACCATCAAAGAATACTTTAGCTAAAGCTCCAGAAAGTTTATTAACTGGATGTAATAGATTCTTAAAGAATTTAAACGTTACTTTCAGAAGAGATCCAAATTCTTTCAGACCAAGAATTAATAAGAAAGATTCTCAAATGGATAAGGAACAAAAATCTGCTGGAAATTATTTCTTTTTGGATAATTCTGAATTATGATAGATTAATGCATGGGCTCGGTCTCGTTCTGAAGTCTCTAGTCTCGAGCTTGCGAGAGACTTCTCTATTGGCTGGTGAAGTCTTGAGCTTGCGAGAGGCTTCACCGTTAACTCTAATGAAGTGTCTGGCGAAGCCTTGAGCTTGCGAGAGGCTTCACTATTAACTCTAATAAAGTCTCTAGTGGAGTCTTGAGCTTGCGACATACTTCACTATTAACTCTATTGAAGTCTCTAGTGAAGTCTAGAGCTTGCGGGAGTTTTCTCTCTATTGGCTCCAATGAAGTCTCTCACAAGCTCGAGACTTCACTTGCCTCGACACTCAAACTCCCAGTCTCTATCGACCCTAAACATTCTAATTGTCTTGAGGTCCCCAATATAGCCTTCAACCTTGACCTCAATCTAGAAAGAGAACAAAGTCTGGATTCTCATTTGCAGGGTAGATAGGGCGGTGAGTTTTTGTCTCCCGGTGTAAATTATTGTCTCGCGGGTCCAAAGCTCAGTGCATTCCCCCTACCATAGAATCTCTTCTTCGCACTGTACTTCACAGCGAAATTTTCTCATCTCATCTCATCATGAATCAATTGGCGATCAGACAAGAAGATGCCAATATCTTATTACATCAGAAGAATATCTTAGATGAACAAGTCATCGATAAGTATAGAACCGCAGGTACTATCACCGAAACCGGTTTAAACTATGCCATCGATTTAATTAACCAAATTTATCACTTCAAATCAAGACAACCATTATCAGTTTCTCAATTATGTTTAATGATTGATAGTTTACTTGTTAATATGTTACTGAAAGTTTACTTGAAATGTGAAAAATCCATCACCAATCCTACTAGTTTCAATGTTAATGAAGTTGTCAGTAATTTTTCCCCTGAATTAGATGATAGTAATGAATATTTCTTTAAAGAAGGTGATATCATAACGATTAATTTAGGTGTTCAAATCGATGGATATAATTCAAATGTCAGTCATACCATTTGTATATATCCACCAGGAGATAAACCTATTGGACCATTATTAGGAGGTAAAGCTGATAGTATTATTGCCAATTATTTATGTACTAAAATTGTTATTGCATTATTAGGATTATCTATGACACCAGAAAAATTACCCCTTGAAGCTAGAAAATTTGGAAATGTCGTCAACGGATCTATGATTAAACATTATGTTAATTATATCGCCGAACAATTTAATTGTAGAGTTATTCCAGGAAGTGAAATTAGACAAATTAGAAGATTCTTAAGTGGACAAAATGAACTCTTGGAAGAAAAAGGATATAAAGGTATTAAATGGTATGAAAGTGATGAAGAAATTAATATTATTAATAAATTAGGTGGTGAAACCAATAGTATCACCAAAATCTTTGGTGAAGATACTGTTAAACATCAAAAAGGTGATGAAGAATTCATTATTAAAAGTGGTGAAATCTATCAGATTAACTTAAAAGTCGCATCCATTAATGATTTCAATGAGATAGGTATCATCACCACTGAAACTATCAATGAATATACCGGAGTTAACAATAAAGTTAATGAATTTAAAATGAAACCAACTATTTTCATTAGAGATTTTATTATGAATTATAAATTAAAATTAAAAGCTAGTAGAAATTTAATTTCTAAGATTGATAAGAAATATTCAGTTTATCCATTTAAATTGAACTATTTAACTTCATCATTCCCTATGAAGAATAACTCATTACAAGAAATGAATGAAATCAAAAGTCAAATCCTTGATAATAAATTAGGATTAAATGAGATCTTAAATCATAATTTAGTTAATGCTAAACCAATTCAAGTAATTAAATTTTTACCTTATAAATCTGTTTTAGATAATCATTCAGTTACTTCTATGGGAGTTAATGTTGATAAATTAATTAAAAATTCTAATGTCATTACTGATAAATCAATTGAATCAACTACTGTATTGATAAATAATTTAAATAATGAATTAATTCAATTATCTAATAATTTTGAACCAGTTTATTGTCAATCACAATTTAAATTAGTTGATCCAACAGTTGAACAATTATTCAACTCCCTTAATGGGAAATTTGGTGTTAAAGTTAAAAAAGTTAATGCTTTACCTATAAAAGAACAAATGGATTTAGATTAGGACTTATACATATATTTGTCTTCCCTCCCCCCACTTTCTCACGTGATGCGCGGTGAACAAATCGTCAAATTGTTCGCAACAAAAAAAAATTCTCAACTCCCTATTTAAAAATTATTTAAAAGTATGTATGAAAAGTCATTAAAATTTATGTTCAATGGTTATAAAACTGATCAAATGATAAAGTAGATGATGTTTAGATATGAAATGATTTTTCAACGAGATTTTTCCCCAATTTTTTCGTGCAATTGACACGGTAGTAAATACTTATGTTGCTGGACGAAATCAGGGGCGAGGAGTGACCCTCAACGTGAGAAATCATTTTCTATTTAAGTCCATTAATCAACTACTTTGACTTGAGAAATCTATGGTTAACCTATCACTTTATCATCCCCCTCCAACCCTTACCACGGTCAAAGCATTCAACAATAGAAAATGTCAGCGGGTAATTTTTTTTTTCTGTGTATGTTTTTAGTTGTTGAAAAAGTCGTGGATGGGCGAATTTAATCGTTGAACTAAACATGCCAAAATTCCTAAATACTAACACCAATAGAAATGTCAACATCCCGTGAAGATTCTGTTTATTTAGCTAAATTAGCTGAACAAGCTGAAAGATATGAAGAAATGGTTGAAAATATGAAAGCTGTTGCTTGTTCAGGTCAAGAATTAAGTGTTGAAGAAAGAAATTTATTATCAGTTGCTTATAAAAATGTTATTGGTGCTAGAAGAGCATCATGGAGAATTGTAAGTTCAATTGAACAAAAAGAAGAAGCTAAAGGTAATAAATCTCAAGTTAGTTTGATTAGAGAATATAGAACAAATATTGAAAATGAATTATCAAAAATTTGTGAAGATATTTTAGATGTTTTAACTAATCATTTAATTAATTCTGCTCAAACTGGTGAATCAAAAGTTTTCTATTATAAAATGAAAGGTGATTATCATCGTTATTTAGCAGAATTCACTATTAGTGAAAAGAGAAAAGAAGCTGCTGATTTATCATTAGAAAGTTATAAATCTGCTTCTGATGTTGCTGTTACTGAATTATCTCCAACTCATCCAATTAGATTAGGTTTAGCTTTAAATTTTTCTGTATTTTATTATGAAATTTTAAATAGTCCTGATAGAGCTTGTCATTTAGCTAAACAAGCTTTTGATGATGCTGTTGCTGATTTAGAAACTTTATCTGAAGATTCTTATAAAGATTCTACTTTAATTATGCAATTATTAAAAGATAATTTAACTTTATGGACTGATTTATCTGAAGCTCCTGCTCAAAATGATCAAGAACAAGGTGATTATAAAGAAGATGAATAAGTGTAAAATTTGAGAATGAATGAAGATTGTTTTATATATTCTGTAGAGTTTATATGAATAAAATTGTATAGCTGTAGGCTTTTTATTCTATTGGTGATCTCTAACTCCTGAATAGTTGAGCCTTTAGGGTCAACTATTCGGGCCAAACACTGCTGGCTCAGTTCAGGCTCAACTATTCAGGCTCAACTATTCAGGCTCAACTATTCAGGCTCAACTGTGCTTGCTGAAAACTGCCGGCTCAACTGTGCATTAACACTGCCGGCTCAATTCAGGCTCAACTATTCAGGGCCGACCTGGGAATCATAAGCGATCAAATCCCATAAAAGTCGTGCCTGGCTACGCGTCGTCAAAGAAAGTGTTTATTTTGAAAATCTCAAATCTCAGCATTATGGTCGAACCTGTTGGAATCACTAACTTACCCAATCAAAGATATAAGATCATCTCCAAACAAGGAGCCACCTTCACCTTGATGGTGGCCGGTGAAAGTGGTTTGGGGAAAACTACATTTATCAATACCCTTTTTCAAACTAATTTAAAACCTCATTTAGATAGTTCTGAAAGACATAATAAATTTACCACCCCCCATCAAACCGTTGATATTGATATTATAAGAGCCATGTTGGAAGAAAAAAATTTCAAGATCAGATTAAATATCATTGATACTCCAGGATTTGGTAATAATGTAAATAATCATGATTCATGGACTCCAATCATTGATTTCATTGATGATCAACATGAAAATTATATGAAACAAGAACAACAACCTAATAGAGATGAAAAGAAAGATCTTAGAGTTCATGCTTGTTTATATTTCATTCGTCCAACTGGACATTCTCTTAAACCTTTAGATATTGAAATTATGAAAAGATTAAGTTCAAGAGTTAATTTAATTCCTGTTATAGCTAAAAGTGATTGTTTGAATCCAACTGAATTAGAAAATTTCAAGGGAAGAATAAGAGATATTATTGAAAGTCAAGATATTAATATTTATACTCCACCATTGGATTTAGATGATCCAGCAAGTGCTGAACATTCAAAACAATTAATTGAAAGTATGCCATTTGCAATTATTGGTAGTGAACAAGAATATGAAATCTCAAAAGGTAATTTTGTTAAAGGTAGAAAATATCCATGGGGGTTTGTTGAAGTTGAAAATGAAAATCATTGTGATTTTAAGAAATTAAGATCTTTATTATTAAGAACTAATATGTTAGATTTAATTTTATCAACCAATGAAACTCATTTTGAAACTTTCAGATCTTTGAAATTAGGTAATGATGAAAATAATGATGAGATAATCAATGAACAAGGGGAAATCATTAAGAAATCATCCATTAAGAAACCAAGAAGATTCCATAATCCTAAATTTAAAGAAGAAGAAGATGCTTTGAAGAAATATTTCACTGAGCAAGTAAAAGCTGAAGAACAAAGATTCAGACAATGGGAATCAAATATTGTTAATGAAAGGAATAGATTAAATCAAGATTTGGAAGATTTACAGGGGAAGTTGAAGACTTTAGAAGATCAAGTAAAGAAATTACAGTTAAGTAAGAGATAAACTTGAGTGAAATGTTGTGAGCTCATTAAGGAACTTTATGTAGAAATATATTGCGATTTCAATCTTAGGGGGAAGTCCCAGCAATCTGGTAACGGTTTCATGGTGTGCGTTACAAACGGCTTCATGGGGCCAGTAACGACTTCATGGTACCAACAACGACTTCATGGTACCAACAACGACTTCATGGTACCAACAACGACTTCATGGTACCAACAACGGTGTTTAGTGGACCTGAACCCGGATGTCAAATTTTGTGCGATCTGGTAAAAATTTTGTAAGACGGTTATCATCGGCATGGAAAAGAAACATAAGCGTAACTATAAAGCATGCTTAAATTGTAGAGTTCGAAAAGTCAAATGTGATCTTGGATCTGTTGATAATCCTACTGATGGAAAATGTGCTCGATGTAGAAGAGAAAGAAAAGATTGTGTGTTTGTAGAGAGTAAAAGAGGTGGACATGCTAACATTGTTAATGGTAGAAGAAAGAAAGAATTGGAATTGACTGATGATTATCAATTACCTTCAGTATCTAATATCCTTAAACCAGATTATCAAGCTTATCGGGGTAACATGAATCAAATGCCATTACCTCAAACCTCACTAACTTCATCATCATCATCGTTAGTATCACCATCTCCTCAAGCTTACTATGAAAGAACATCCCAATCGCCTGTAGAAACCACCCAACCTTCAAATTACGCTTCATCGGGGCAAAAAAGTGAAGAAGGTCATTTCTCAACTATGGAAGGTGCTTTGGTGTACCTCGCTAAAGCTGCAGGGACTATAGCTAAAGCTGATGAAAGAGATAATATCGATGCTAGTAAACGTCATCAACAGTTGGAAGAAAACTTGAACGATTCCAAATACAAAGAATTGATCACTGAAGATAATCCCAATTCCTCAGCTATTCCGAAACATATTCAAGACCAATCGAATTATCTTAGTATCCCTATAACCCATGAGTTTTCTATTAGACCAAAGGGTGAAAATAAATTATCAAACATCGATTATATTGGAGCCAATGGGCTTTTGACGGAGTTTGAAGCAGAAATGTTGATAAATCTTTTCTTCACTACCATGCATCCATACTTCCCTCATATCCCCCAATTTCTTCATAAACCTCAAGTGTTAGCTGGTTATCCTATCTTATTATGTGCTATCTTAACCATAGCTTCAAGATATCATTCATTGGATGATAATCCCAACGATATAACTACAGGGAATGTTGAAGGAGTGCCTAGGAATATTGAAATTCATGATAAATTATGGTTATATGTTCAAAGATTGATATCACAAACTGTTTGGGCTGAAGCTAGTACCAGATCAATTGGAACTATTTTTGCATTTTTACTTCTCACTGAATGGAATCCTCGTGCCATTCATTGGAGATGGAGTGATTATGCTAATGTTCCGGAAGAAAACCTGGGTCAATCTAAAGATAATTTGGCAGGTCTTGGAGCTATGAGAAGAAGTTATAGAATGGCATGGATGTTAATTGGTTCAGCTGTAAGATTATCTCAAGATATGGGATTTATGGAAGTTAGTCCCAAAACTTTCCTTGCTACTCATGTTAGTGAGATTAATAGTGTGATGAATATCAGTAGAAGATCTATGTTATCTCATTCACTTAGTGAAATAGAAATCGATGATGATGTAAATGTTGATGAGAATTTCGATGAAGATGATAAGGTTCTAGATATGGATGAAGAAGAGATTAAAGAATATTCTTTACAACAACCATTAAAGTTTTCTGAACGTCAAAGAGCTAAGATTGAACTCTTACAAATCATGTCATTGAGTCATGAATCATTATATGGATATAAAGCACAATTAGGTTCATTGAGTCAAAGGCAAAATCTTGCTATTTTGAATGTCATCAGTCCATTATTGAATAATTGGGATAAGAAATATCGTCATCTTATGAAACCAACCACTCCTAAGAACTACAACTTGAGTAATAACTCCAATGCTTTCTTAGATCAGAATTCCAAGAATGCTAAAGAATTATTCGAATGTATTGAATTTGAAGGTTTCATCTTTGAGTTCAATTATGCTAAGTTATATATCTTTTCCTTAGCTTTATCGTCATCGCCGAAAACAGAAACCGATACTTCCAAAAAGAAGCAGAAGAAGGTTAATTTGAAGTTGGATGAAATTTCCAAGTCGGCTAAATACATTGAACATGCATTCTTCGCTGCCAATGAGATGTTACTGGTAGCTCATAGAGTTCATAAGCTTAAGGTATTAAGGTTCATGCCCGTAAGATGGGTAACCAGAATCGTTAGAGCTGTGGCTTTTATAGTGAAATGTTATTTAACTATAGCTGCCCATAAAAAGCTGACTAAAAACCATAATCAATTGGATTCATCGTTTGCTAATTTCGATGCAACGATTTTGTCCTTATCATTGATTCCAGTTGATGAAATCATGTCATCGATTCAAAAGGCTGCTATAACATTACGTGATTGTTCTCCGGATGAATTACATCTTTGTACTAGATATTCCAATGTGTTGATGTATTTATGTTCAGAGATGAAGACCAATTCTAAGAATTTCAATGATGAAGGAATTAACTTTTCTGGTCCTAAATACGACACCCTTCAACGTGATCATAGTAGTATGAGCGTCAATACGACATTCTACCAACCACCGGAAACTTCAACTAACACCACGGTGAATACCCCAGAGAATTTGAAAGAAGAAGTATCTACTCCATTACAAAATCTTATTGGTGATAGTGAAGTGATGGAATGGTTTCTTAATAATAGGAATATTGGGTTGGATTTCGTAGCTCCTTGGACAGAAATGATAGAACAACAATTGAATTCAAGTGATCAATTCAATTTCGATAATGCTATGATGTGACGTCAGAGAGGTACTGTTTAGTAATCGTATCTTCGTGTATTATAAACTAAAGCTCTTTAACTCTTCAGTGTTTTGTAATTCATTCATCATGGTGAACAATGTATTTTGGGAAGTTCCCGATAGGTTGTGAACTCTATTGTTGGTGAACAGATCGATCAAATTCTCATCTTCAAAATCTATATTCGAAAACTTCATATCGAAATCGGGAGCTGGTGGAGGTGGAACCTCTTCATGGTACTCTAAAGTCTTATGGATATTATCTTTAAACATTTTGAATTCGGAAAATGTCGAAAACGGACATGTCTCGTAAGTGTTATAATAATGGTCAGTATAGTTAAACACTGATTTTACTTCAATCACATCCTCAATGTTAAGGTTGAAATCTAGAAGGAAGTCCAATTCCGGAGTCTTAGCAAGATATTCATTGACCTGAAGAAGCTTCTTGATACTGTTTTGAGCATTGATATTACCCTTTTGGGCCATATATTTCAACATTGCCACAGCTTTATTGACAATGTTCAAACACTTTTCATCTGTAATGGATGACATGATGATGATGAGAATTGAAGTATAGAGGTACTGACTATCGTAGAAACCTATGGTGAACAATCTTCCAATTTCGAATAATTTCAAAAGAATGTTAATATTGGCAATAGCAGTGGAAATGGCTTTATTGATAGCTTCTTCAATCTCTATGGGATGTTCATAGATATTGTTATCGACCCTTTTGAATATCAAGGAGATTAAAGGTTTGGTGATGATGGAGATAAGTAAATTGAACCGGAGGAAAAGATTAACAACTTTCCTACCTTTATGTTCAATGATATTACATCCTTTGTATTGGAAAAGATAAGGAACTTCGAAATTCTTAATGAGTTCATTGAAACATGAAAGAACGTTCTTTATCAAAACCCGTTGATTGAATTGATCGGTGTTGATGTAATTGACGGAAATGGTTCTTTTGTGAGCTCCATATATTTTTTGCACCGATTTGGAAATATATTTCCCTAATTGAACATTTAATTCCAAAGAATTCAAATCAAATGAATCATATAAATCAATTGAATTCTCTAAAGGAAGGTCGACATCGGTCTCTGTGTAATCTATTTGGGCTGGCATATTCATTTTAGCTGTCCAAGTGGCATCAGTGATGAAAATTGTCCACCAAAGTCGTTTAGCCTTTTCTCGATAAATCAATGCATCTTTATCATTTTCATCGATATTTAATTGTCTATGGAATCCTTGTGATATGGCTGATCTTATAGCCACTCCGAAATAATTATAAACGGTGTTATAACGGTTCAAATTGGCTGAATATAATGCCATCAATACTGCACTTCGAATGAAATCTAATGAGATTCTTTCATGGGTTAAGTTGAATAACTCACTAGCTATCATATAAAATTGTAAACCAGCAATTTCATCATTAGAACCTCGAAGATTGGATATTTGTTCTCCATAAGCTATCAAGATGAAAAAGTAACATAAAGTTGACCTGGTGATTTGTTTGTTTAAATCTTCAATCATGGTAATATCGTTGAGTTTGATGCTATCGAATAATCTATAAATGATATCTATCGTCCCCATAAGTGACTTATAATCTATAAGGTAAAATTCTGATCCGTAATTCTCAAATACCGTATCAATCAACTGAAGGGCTATATTTTTCATGGGAAGCATCACGTTATGGGAGGTAAGAATCCTCCATTTAATGGATTCATTGGCACTGTCACTGATAAGGAAATTCTCTAGACCTGAATGATTAAATAGGAATTCTCTGGTTTCTTCATTTTGTCTTTCTTGAATTATGGCCTGATATCCAAGAAGGGACCCTTCGATCTTACGAGGTGGAGTTTTTGATGAATTTATTGATTCAGGTGATTTTTGTGTCATTTCCTCGAGGAATTTAACTCTGTCATGTAATTTATTTAGATCACTCTCCATGATGACAATCTTTCTATCCTTTGAGGGATATACACAATCATCACTTCTACCATTGTTTTTACAATTGGCACAAGGTTTCCCTCCTGAACATTTGATTTTAGATACCTTACATCGATTACAAGCGTAATGACTTCGGCCATAAACTTTTAATGGCGTAGGCTTATAAGCACTCATCAAATTATGAATTTTTGCGAAAGTTGCAAAATCCGATAGGAGAAATTTTGACACAATGAGATTTTTTTTTTTTGATCTATTAATCCACAAATAAGTAAATGTGCACAAATAGAAAAATTATTAACCGCCCAGAGTTTTTTTTTCAATTTTTTAAAACCAATCCCATATATTTTAAAACTATATTACACGAAAAAACTTAATACTTTCGAAAAACACGAATATTTACAAAATCTATACATCGAAAACTTCAATCTTAGCTTTAGCATTGTTTGAAGCAGTAACAACACACCAGGTGGCACCTAATGATTTCTCTTGACTATCACCGTTAATACCGTTGTAACCGGTCTTTGATGGATCAATTTCACAATCTAATCCATTACATTTACTTTCATCATCACAGGTGATTCTGATACCGAATTTTGGTTTAACACCATCGAAATCATCTAAATATTTAGGGTTCCAACCAATTTTGATATAAGTGTTTCCACTTTTATCTTGGTTAGCACCAGCAACATAAGGAGCCCAGTTACCTTTGGCTTGATCTTTGGTACCCCAGATACAAGCATCTTCAGTAGAGTAACCTGGAGCGTTAACATAATAATGAGCGGCAGTACCAGCATAATAATCTGGTCCAGGAACAGCTAAGTCATTGTCTTTTCCAGCATCGACTTGAGTTGGAATTAACATAGCTTCGTTACCTGGTAAAACAGTTTGACAAAAAGCAACTTCTTTATCAGCTTTATTGTTGGCGGTTAAAGTTCCAGCACCATCAACACAATAATCTCTATCACCAAAAGGTTTGGAAATAGTACCATCATTGTTACAGTAAATACCACCGTTTTGAGATGATGGATATGAATAAGTGGTGGCGGATTTATCCCATTGGGCCATTAATTGTCCTGATGGACAAGCATAAGGACAGTATGAACCTCCAGTACATTTTTGATCTGGTGATAAAGCCCAACCGGCATTAGATTTATCGGATGTAACAGAGATTAAACCTTGATCAGTTGGAAATTTACAAGTATTATCTCTTTTTTCTAAAGGAGCACCATTAACAGATAAAGCAAAAGCTAAAGTTAAAATTTGACTAAATAACATAATGAATGAATGAATGATTTTTCTTAACTTAAAACTCAAAAGAATGAATAGTTTTAAGTACTAATGAATGTAAAGGTTTATCAACAAAATTTTAAAGTGGATTCTCCATCCATTTAAATAGTTTTCCTTGGTGATGGAAATGGGGTCAAAATTTGACATTGGATCAGAGGCAAATCATACAAAAGAAAATAGGACAGACAGTAATATCTCCTAAAGTAGAAATGTTAGGGTTGCTTAAGTCTAGATTTGACCCTTATTAGTGCATAACGTTTAATGTCACATTAACTAAAGAGAAAATTTTTCACTTGAAAAGTGATATTTCCGCCACCGCTATACAGGACGATTTTTGAAAGTAAAAGAAACATTCCGTTGAAGATCTCTATAGAGAAGTAATTAGACGAAACTTTATTTGACATAGTTGAAGGATGAAGTCACTAAGTGTATTGGGGGGTTCTGTTAATGGTGGAAAGGGTAGACCTGAAGTTGGAATATCTCATCGAACATATTTTCTCATCGGGGGCAGTTCACCGCCTAAAAGATCTCATTACATGCCCATGTTAGGTTAAAGCGTTGAAACGGCTACATCCGATGCTCATAACAAATCTAGGCCAAAAAGTGAAAATTTTCACCGGTATGTTAAAATCTCGAGCTTTTAAGCGAGGGTTACGTAAGCTGGATTTAGGGGTTTAGAGTCAAATAGGAGACCGTTAGTAAGATAATTTAACCTTTTGGGAAAATGATATCCATTTTAACAGCCCCCGATGCAAGGAACACCGATTGAGATCATAAATCTAGATTGCGTGAAAATTTTTCACAAGCCTCTAATTGGCGAGTTGTTTTTGAGCTCGTAAGTTTGACTCACAAGTTAACTCCTATTTATCCTCCGTTTTGTAGATCATCCACTAACTTGTTTAATAATTAGCTTTTAGTGGATATTAAGTTTCATTTGTGGATATACTGGTTTTTGTGGATCTGTGGTGCGAAAAAAAAAAAATCTAGCGATGAGATGAGCTTAGCGTCCAAGGTCAAAACCAATCTTCAGTACCAAAATCTCTGGACCAATGTTACTATTCATCAAGTTCTGGACTTAGAAATAGTATCAGGTATTCCTCCTAACAAATTATCGTCAGTAGATGAAGAAAACCAAGTAGAATGGATCATTCCAAAAATGTTTTCACAGGACAAATTGTCAGTGTCGGAGATCCAGAATTGGTTTAGTAAGATTTTAGAGTTATCGGGTGATATTCCTAGAAGAATCACCATTGCTATTATCAATGATGATTCCACAATTGTATATTATTTCATCCACAATGGGATTACTAAACCTAATCAGAATTAACTTTCTCTATATAATGAATGTATGAATCTTAATGTCTCTATGTAAGGTGAGGTATGACATCACCTCTTCTTGGGAGATTTCAGTCGTTTGATTTCCAAATCCAAGACTTTAGTTGGGGATTGCAGTCTGGTAGGACTGATAGGTTGAGGTGTTGAAGGTTGGAAATAGAATGATGGGAGTCGTTTTACCAGATTTAAACTGTCATTATCGCCAATATCTAATGTATCCTGGGGTATGGTATTTACTTGGGAATGACTTCTGGGTCTAAAATTGTAAATGCTGGTATCGTCTTCTTCTACTTCACTATTATACCCACTCATTCCTACTACAGAATCATGAGGACTGGGTCTGAAAGAAGTATGGGTATTTGTACGTTTAAAATCTTGGTTGTCAAGATTGAACATGACAGATGATGATTTCCGTTGATCCGATATTGATAATTTTTGTCTAACAACCGAGCCTTGACTACCATTAGTGTAATATCTCTTGAGTTCTGAACCTTGACTACTTTCTGTGTTCCTTCTCCTAACTTTGAGACCATCATAGTGAGGGAAATCTTGAGAGTATGACGCATTGTTCAGGCCATAAATGTGACCTTGGTATTCGTTAGCAGGACCGTAAACATCACCACCAACGTAACTTTCAGGTACGTCCTCGAAACTGTGACCTGCACTGTTTTGTAAACTGGGAGAATAACTAGGGTATTGGAGATCTGACCGTGTAATACTTCTAGTACTCCATGCCTGTTTATCACGATACTTTTTCCTTCTTACAGCAAATACAGAACCATAATAGGCTACTAGGCATGAGGTGAATTTAATGCATTCAACCATAAAGTCCACCATCTCGTTTTCTTCGATTAACTTCCCTGAAAATTTGAACTTCTCGTAAAGGGAAAGGAACAAGGAGAAATTGGGTAACTCTTCGGCTCCTGCTTTACGGTTTATCCTGAGATCTTGTGCTATGCTTAGCACCATTTCCCTGAATGTGAAATGTTTGGGTGTCTTAAGGGAAGACTCGAAGTTCTCAAGAATAGTGAATTTATCGGTGAAACTTCGAATAACCTCATCATAGTGAAGACTGGGTGGAAGGAGATTTCCCGACCCGACGTTCCGTGCTTGGATATATTCTGGTGGTTGCATACCGGGGTAATTTATGGTGATGTCGTTGGTCAATGGGCCGGCCATTTCTTGAACTTCCTTACAATACTGGTTTTTTTCGTCTATATGGTGATAAATCCGTTTGGGCAAGTCATGCTCTTGTGGTACATACATGGAATGATTAGGAATGTCGTTCATGGCCACCCTATGTTGATAAATTCTCAGAAAGTAAAGGGTGAAACTAATGATAAGGAATAGGACACAAACGACTATGACAATAAATAACTTAATTCCACTGAACGATGCTGACGCCGTTTGTACGATAACATCAATGGGCGTCACGGCAATAAGCGCCATTAATATCGAGACTAAGATAAATAACGATACTGAATAGATCCATCTGAATAAACGTCTTGGTAGATTGAAGGAAGGAAGTTGTGGACCTATCTCTGTTTTGACGGTATTGACTCTGGTTTGGTAATTGGTAAGCATGTTTGTGATAAGTTTATTGGACCTGGTGGATGTGGGATGAACAAGCCGTAGCCTCTGAGGAGGATACTCTGGTTGTATGGGAGGTATTATATTCATGATGTTGTTTGTTTCGCAACTGAGACTTTAGGTCGATGGATCGCGTGGGATTGGATTTCGCACAGTCGAATTTACCGAGAGATGGCATCAACTGGTGCCGAATGTTGGTGAAGGTTACTGAGAGCTGGCGCAAATGGGTACCAAAAATTAGTGGAATTTACTGAGAGCTGGCACCAATACCGCGATGGAAAACCTCAAATTCGCTTTTATTAACTACTTCCAGATCTTGATCCTGATCCTGATCCTGAAGATGATCCCCTAAACTGTTGTTGCTGTTGTTGTTTGATGAGCATTCTCTTCCTTTTCTCATACTCCATACGACTCAAATCAGCGTTGTTCATTTGCTGATTACCCATAACTGGAGAGTTATTGCTACTCAAGTTAGGTGAACCCAAAGTTGGAGATTGACGCATTTGTTGTTGTTGCATTTGTAATTGCTGCTGCTGTTGGGCGTTCTTAGCCGCTTTCAACATTTGTAATTGATTTCTCTCTTGTGGAGTTAATGATGCCAATTGTTGTTTGGTATTGATGTTTCTTTGATTCATAGGAACATTCATGGCTTGTCCACTGACAGTTCTTCCCTGACCATTGGCTTGTTGTTGCTGCTGTTGTTGTTGCTGCTGTTGTTGTTGCTGCTGACGTAACTTCTGTTGCTGCTGTTGTTGAAGGTTAGCCAAATATGAAGCAGCTAATTTAGTTACTTGATCTTTACCTAAATTAGGATTCTTAGCTTTGATGGAGTTAATGATGGCAGAAACTTGAGCTGGAGCAAATTGAATTCTAGGTTTGTTGGTGTTATTACTACTAGTTGGTGGTACTTGTTGACTGGAACCCATGTTGTTTATTTTAGATGATCCTGGTGGAGGACTAGCTCTTGTACCCATCATAGGAGGTTTTTGTCCATTATTCATAGGAAGATTTTGTCCTGGTTGTGCTTGAGGTTGACCTGGTTGACCTGGTTGACCTGGTTGTTGACCCTGTCTTTGTTGGTATTGCATCATTTGTCTACGTTTTTGAATTTCAATTAATTTCTGTAATTGTTCTCTGGTATAAGGAGTCCCATTAGGAGTTAAAGGTCTACCATTAGCATCATGAGGAACATTTTGTAATGCTTGCTGTAAATAAGCATGAGATGTGGTAGGACTATTACTCGAAGGAGGTCTAGAACCACCACCCATGTTATTAGTTGGCGATACACCTGTGGGTTTAGTACCCTGGGTGATCGGCGGTCTGGTACCGGCATTAACTCCTTGGTTTGCAGTTGCCGAATCGGGTGAAGTAGCATCTCCTTCACTTGAAGATTGAGTGGTTCTTTGAGCTTGTTGTTTCTGTTGGTTAGCTACAGCAGCCATCATTCTGTTTCTAGTAGCTTGTTGATTCAAATAAGCTTCTTGAATGGATTTGTCACGTTCATATTTCAATTTAGATAATTCTGCTGGTGTAGGACATTTATCATTCTTGGTACTGGCTTGTTGAGTATAATCAGTAGCCCTTCTACTATTCATCTTAGCAATATGGGTTTCTCTTTTCTTCATACATTTTCTTATAGAATCGAACATTGAAGCCCATCTTAATCTTCTATGACCTCTTTGAATGGATTCATTGCCTACACCTAAAGGTGAGATTCTTCTTTTGGTGGTTGATTGAGCTCTATGAGCTTGTTCCAACCACTGTTGAGCATTATAAGAATAAGGACCTTTCATATCATTAAATTGGAACTTTTCATTTAATTGGATGTACCTTTCAAAACATTGCCAGGGAGTTCTCCTTTCAATATTAGACTCATAACGTTTCATACTGGCCACGGTGGACAGTAAATGTTCGGAAATAAGATCCCAATTGAAACAGAATTCGGCAACATAATGAATCAATAATTTATCATCACGAGGTAACCAAATTGTTGGTGAACGATATTCAATATTTTTGATCAAAGGTGGTTTTGGAGGTTTAAGATAATTGAACTTACGATGATTTTGTGTACCAAATAATCCTTTTTGATATTCAGGAATCGATTTGGGTTCGATTTTATCAACTTTTTCTTTAACTACCAATTTATGGAATCCTTCATCTTCTTCAGGAGAATAAAGGAGTTTGGATACGGTGATTATATCAGCATGAGTTGATTTCAATGGTTTAGAACCTACGTTTTGTGTAACTTCTTCATCATCAAAAGCAGTAAATTTGGGGAGGTTTCGTATAATCGATTGGTCCATTTTTTGTAAGTCTCTTAAATCCACATGAAGTTTGAATATACTACTTTGGTCTGAAACTTTAGGAGGTATAGTGAAAGATTCTTGAGGGATTGGGGGTTCAATGGAGGTATCTGGTTGAAGAAGAAGATTAACATCGATTGTGGGTTCAGTCTTGATTTCTGTTGGTCCTGAAATTTCCTCTTTGACTTCGACTGAGTCAGCGACTTGATCAGTTTCGGCGACTTGATCAGTTTCTGTACCTTCAGGTTCTTGTTTGACTTCAGGAATATCAAGTTTATCTTCTTCATCGACTTCCATTTTATCAGATTCTGGTACTGAGACAATTTCTGTTGCTTCAGCTGACACTGTCTCTGGTACAGACTCTGCTGTAACCTCAACAGGGGCTATTTGAGCTACCTCATCAGCTACTGCCGCAGCAGCTAACAACTCTTCAACTTCCTCTTCGGTCATTATCTTGATCTCCTTTCTCTTTATCTTCACATCCTTACCACTCCAATAATCCTCAACTGCTCGAGCCATATTCAAACATGCAGCTTTCTTGAACTTTGTTTGTTCTCTGAAATCCATAGCCATCCATTTCCCTTCTTTCATCACGTTATCCCAATGAAATCCAGGTTTCTTTTCTACCATAGGACAAGAATACTTTAAAGGTTGTCTTAAAGACCATTTCCCTTGTCTTTTCAACTCTTCGATTCGGGAATATAACACCGCTATCTTACCTTCCAATAAAGCTGATTCATAACTTTCGGTGGTTAAAGCTTTATGAGCTCCAGGTAAAAGTTTTATCAACGGTAAAGTTTGTGACAAATAATATAACTCTGCCAACGATGATACGTGATGGGGGTTGACGGGATAATGTTGAGGTACTGATAAAACGTCTAAATCAGCCAAATCTTTAGTGATTATATTATCATTAACTTCTTTGGCACTATTGGATATTTCAGTTATTAACTTTGTACGCTTTAAATCATTATTAAGGGAATCTTGAGGTTTCCGTTTATTTGTGGATGTGGTGTACAAAGCCAGATCGATTCTAGATTCCATGAATCTTATAATATCTTCAGGATTCTTCCCAAATAATGAATGGTCGATGGTTTTATTGAGAGTTCTCTTGTTGTTCTTAACGGAGAACTGTTTCATTGAATCCTTATATTTGGGAATATTCTCGAATAAAGGATCGTTGAAGAGGTAGAACAACTCTTCAAAGCGTCTACCTCTTTCAACGAGAGCTCCTTCATGATCAGAGATGGATTCACTGACCATTTGTAGTGGAAGTAAGGTGTTGTTTTTTGAAAAATCTTTTGGTGCGTATGATAAACGGTGTGGAAATCACGTGATTTGATGAGAGTTAAATGATGAGGATGAGAAGGTTTTGATGTGTATAGAGGAGTTGATGGAATTGTAGTTAGATGGTTGTATGACATTAGTTCGAAAGGGTTTCCACAGTGTTGGTGGTATGTTGTTTGGTTGAGTCTTGATACAAAAAAATCAAAAAAATATAAATATGCGAGTTCTGTGGATCGAACACAGGACCTTTAGATCTTCAGTCTAACGCTCTCCCAACTGAGCTAAACCCGCGGTATTTATTACTGTCCTCGGAGTTTGTTCCATAATCGTTCGAAAACTTGATTTTTGAAATTATGTGTTTTCTCCACAACCATGAAGTCTTGAGACTTAATAATCTTTCAGGATCTTTATATGAGCACTATCCACCATCAGGACAATTTCTAGGTGGAAAACTCTTCTCCATCGCCAGATTGTTCAACCATATCTTCTCAGTTTACCACCACCAAAATCGCGTTTTTTATCATGGACAGTCAAGATCTTAACGGGGCTTTCAAGATAGCTAACCTTGCTGTAGCAGGTTTAAGTGTACGTAGAGACCGATATTTAATACTTTTGAAAGAACAGGATACTAACAATATAGGTTTTATCGGGATTATCACAATTATTTAGTGGATTGTATGTATAGAAACATTTACTAAGATTTCTGTTAAAGGACTGATCAGCTCCCTAAACTCACGTTTTTAGTGAATTGGCCAACTATTTGGACTCAATTGAATAGTACTAACATCATAGCCGTGCTTTTATACTCGGAATTTATATCATTGCTTTCGGAGGAGTCATTGGATTATTAGAATTTCAAGTCCCACCTGAAGCCTATGCCTTTGGGTCATTCTTATTCTCATTCATTGGAAGAGGGGTTTTCTACACTTTCATTGGGGTAGCTATTCATGGCGAAAGTATATTCAGAATCTTAGCTGGAGGTATTATCTTCATCATTGGATTAGTTTTCATTGCTTTGGAAGCAGTTCCAAGTATTTCACCTCCAGAGAATATGAATACTGAAGGTATCAGTATTGGTAATGAAGAAGATATTATTTAGTCAATAAATGAAGAGGTTATTAGTGAATAAATGGAAAATTTTAGTTTGGTTGTTTACAGACGATCTCTCGCACTAAATGTCGACCCAACTCCGGACCTATTTTCTCCCACCATTTAGCACCATTTCAGGCTATAAACACACACCTTTCGCACTTATCGCAAGCAACCTTTGTGTTAAAGTAGATGGTAAATGATACCTTTAAAATCCCTAAAAACTCCTTTACGGCCTTCCGATTGACATATCTACCTGCTGAAGAGATTTCAGAAACATCCAAATCAATTTTAATCGGCAATTCCCCCTATATTTACGACAATGATCAAGGTCCAGGTTTAGTAAAAGGAACTGTTAGGAAGGCTAAACTGAAAGCCAGGCGAACTTTTGACAGTACTTTGGATACCTTAACTAAAAGTGTTTACAGAGATGAAAATTTGACTCATAATAAATATCGATTGCATGATCTGGGTCGATTTGATCATATAATTAGTGATATTGAGAATCTGTATTTACAAGATTCAAGTGATTCTTCCGATAATGACGATGTGCTGGTCACAGAAATGGAATGGAATGATTCTTTAGGAATGAATGAAACAGGTCGGAGGACTGTGGATGATGAATCCACAGAAAGTACTCCGTCTTTGCCAACATTGGATTCTCAGTCAATACAAATCCCCATGATTTTAGAGCCTCCATCAATAGCCTCGTCCATTGAAAGGGTAGACACCAATTACACGTACGCTGAGGTGGAGTCTAAACTATCCACAGCTCGGAATGTCAAGTTTCGTAGTAATTCAAGGCGAAATAGTAGAATTGAGATTGCTCATCCAGAACCTATGATCGATATAGCTTTAACTGACCGACATTCTGTTCTTGATGAACGGGAACATCATAAACTACGTAGAAGGTTTAAGGATTTTGCCAAATTCTCCACTGGCAAAGCCAAACATCGTACTAAGGATTTGAGATATAAGATTTTTAAAGGTATAATGAAAACCTATCAAGTAGGAGAAATCATCCTCAAAGAAAAGATTCTTGTATTGACCAAATCCACCCTTCACAATACTCATCTCACCAATTTTGATGAAAACGAACCTTGTGATACTCGAGTTCAAGAACATTGGAGAGAGTATGTGGCCCTTTTAAGAAAATCCGATCACAATTCTATTGTCATACAGTTATACAAGAGCTCTGAACGTCAAGAGAAACCTGATCATGAATATGATTTGACAAGTAAGTTATCTGCTAACTTCTATAGTTTAGTAGATAAGTCTATCAGTTTGACAATTCCTAGAGATAATTGGTGCCTAATTCATATTTTGAAGTTCCACGATAATATGAGGAGTGTTCGATGGCTTTATTTCATCAAACAAGTATTGGGAGATGTTCTTGATAGTACTTTTGATATCTTTATCCCGGAGTTAAAAATGAGTTTGAATGTGAATGTACCTGAATCAGTGGTTCTTGAATCCATCAAGGAGAAACCATTCTTGAAAATCCAAAAATTGGAGTCAGGGTATACTGTTAAACATACAGCATTGATCCAGCATTTATTTGATTCTATCAAGCAACAGATTATTCAAAGTAAAAATCCTGACCTTTTACAATGGTTAGAAAGTACTTCTAGACCATGGTTTTGTTTCAAACATTATGATAGGTTGGAGTGGATTTTTGATGATAGTGAAATCTTCTTTATCAAGAATCAAATTTTCAAACCGAAGTTTAGGTTGGAGATCAGAGATATGACCAATAAACGGGTTATAAGATTTAAAGATTTAACTCCCACAGCTCCATTACCCATAGAAGGTTTCTTATCGAGACTTACGGATATCGGAGGTAACGAACAAAACATGTTCCGGACTTTCTATAAATTATCGTATTTCCATACCTGTGATAATCTTTTATTCTTTACTCAGTTCTATCGAGCTTTGACACCACGGAAAGTTACGTCCCTCGGTGATGAGGTCTTTGAACATTGTTCGTACCAAACTACAGATAAAAACCATATTGAATGGCTTGAAAGTTCAGACTTTGGTGATTTGGATAAATCCGCATTTGAAGAATTTGAACGTAAAGCTCAATTAGTGCTTAAAGCCGATTCAGTCATAGACCTTAACCAGGTGGTGAACATAAGGAAAGTCCCAGCGGACGAACTTAAACTAGCACATAATCTTCTATTTCATATGGCATGGTATGGAGAACCCACCAAAGCCGAAGAAACTTATCTACTTGATTCAGTGTTAGAACTTACCACTCTCAACGAAGGGAAAATCAAGTTACAAGCACCCAATCAGCATTTGAGGGACATTTGGTATGATAGACTTACAAGCATTGCTGGATATTGGAAGATACGTAAACAAGTAGAGGTTGAAATGATCAACGACACAAGAAATCACAACTTGAAGATTTTAAATATCGATGAGTTTGTGGATTCTAACATAAATCAAGAGACTGAGGCTTCAGAGCTTCAAAACTCAGTAGCTAATCCTTTCCTCAATACCATAGATAATGTTTGCATGAGTAACAGTTTAATGATAAGTGGATATCTTTATCAGAAGTATAAGAAACATTCTGATTTCAATAAGTACTTTGTGGCATTAAGTTCGGGTAACTTGATTCTTTACTCGTTATATAAACGGTCTAAGATCACTGGAGAATGGAAACGATCATCGTATTATCGTCACCATTTGACTATCCCTTTATATGATTGTTATCTTTACTCGGGTAATCAGACATCGTTAGATCTTTTGGATAGACAAAAGGAAACGGATTCTACTGACCCGGGAAATAAGTCCCTACCAAGAATCTATGGTGATGGATGGAAGTCTCGTGAAGAGGAATCCATGAGATGTTTTACTTTATGGTTTGGAAGGAAAAGGTCCATCACCAAGAAGAATGATATTAATTTAGAGCCCAAGAACCCCAACTTAATCAAGATGATTAGGAAGTTGGGGGTCACAGGACGAAGCGTGGTTTTCATGGCCAGATCTAGACAGGAAAGAGAGTTATGGGTATCAAGAATTTACACAGAGATAAATCGGAGCAGTGTGTTGTTCAATGTATAGACTAATAATGTCGGCTGATTTCTTTCTCTACATCTTTGATGAGACTTCCCCAATTATGGAGAACATTCTGGATCTTTTCATCATCTGAATCCATGTCACTATCACTGTCTTTGAAGTAAGCATCGACTCTAGGAGTTACTTGAGCTAGAGTCTCTGCGGCTTCATCCAAATACACTGAACTTGTAGAATGGAATTTGAATCTTGTTTGATCAATAGTGGAAGCGGAATTCAAACTGGGTGTATGACTAGACGAATGAATGTAGTTGTAGGTTTCAGAAGACTCAAATGCCATAGCTTTTGAGTCCCCGGACTCCCTCAGTTCCACAAACTCTGTAGACTCTCTTACTTTAAGCGTGGAAGTTAGATACTCCGATGGAAAATTGAATGAACAATCCAGAAGTCCAATACACCATTTCTCTAGTATCAGAGGACTTGAAGAATTGATCCAAACACACTCTCTGCCCAAAACTTTCACCCAACCATTCTCTATGGAGATGTTAAAGTCATGAAGATCTACCACCTTGAATTCTGAGCTGTTGACTACAGACACAAGGTACTTATTAAAGAGGAAACAATTCTTTTCGTCCCAATTCTGGATCTTCCCCCATTTTATCAATAGACTGTCAGCCAAACGCAAGTTTCCCAATCCCGAAAGTGTAGCTAGAGTGATTTTTGTGCATTGGCTCATCAAATTTTGAAGTAACTTGTCTTTCAAATCTTCTAAAGGAAGTAGTTGGTGATGGGCCATTTTGATGTCGAGAGTATTGATGGTGGATATGGTAGGTGAAGGTGAAGTACTCTGTATGGAAGACCGGTAACTGAACATGGATTCATCTCTAGTTAAACGTAGAGGAAGATCTATGGCGGGTTTAGGGCCCTGGGTGGGAATGATGGAGATTCTTTGATCGTGATGTTTTGACAGATCGAATGGATTTCCGAAAATATGTTCTTCCGTACCCATTTCTCCCTCATCAATGATCTTCCGATCATAGTCAATTGACTTGGAGATAGCAAGTTTAAGGAAAGAATCGAAATATTCTTCGTCGACGAATTCAATCTTATCGGTGAATCTTTCACACGATTTACCTTCACAGACAGGTAAGATGATTTGAGCAAGTTTCTCTTTATTAGCAGTGAATGACCCAGAGGTCAACGACTTATCGATGTTATAGATAACTTGGATCTTAAGACATTGTTCATGGACGAAATCCCCACATTTGAGTTCAAGAATATTTTCGTCATCCAACTTACTTTGGATTAGTTCATCGCAAATAAAACATTTGTGGCTACCGACACGTTTGTTGAGCTTGGAATGGTGTGGCTGTTGGGATTGGGTGTAAATGTAAGGTTTGATTCTGGGGCCTTTGTGTTTCTTGTCCTGCCATGTTAAGCCACTAGGAGATTGAGAATAGGCCGAATTAAGGGATGAATTAGAAGATAATGTTGGTGTGGGACTGTAGTCAAAACTAAGAGCTCTACCCTTGGGATAATTATGAGTCTCTATGGTGGATATGGGACTTAAGGATGTGGGAAATCCTACGTCAAATACTGGAGGGGACTTGAAGAAGGTCTTCTTGAACGATTCTTTGATCCTCAATCTAGGACTGGATCTAGGAGTTTTAGGAGTGGGATGATTGAACTTTGTATCGAAATCCATTGGGAAAGGGGATAAAAATAAGGTTGGGGAAGATCTAGGGTTTAAATATTGCAGAAACCTTATCTATAGAGTTTGTGCGGCGGAGTATATATACAGTTGAAGATTGGTTTTCGGTTCATTTTGAGGTTTGAAGTAACTGTAGTGACTTGAACTCACTATCCAGTTCATATCCATGCTTGCCCGACCACAAAAAGGTCATTATGAACTCCAGCTTTCCATGGTTCATTAACGATATGTATCTAATTACTATTCCGTTTTGGGAAAAATGTGTTAAAAATGGTGCGGCTCAGAGTAAAAACGAAAACTTTTCATTTAATCTACGACTATTGGAGGAAAAAACTTTCTGGTGGACCAAAGTGACTTGGCTTGACCCCTCCAAAATCAACAATTATTTTTTGAAATACGATATTAGGTTCTAAAGCCCATAATTTCAAGGTATGATTACCTGGAGAAATATCATGGGTGGTCTCTCTAATCCAAGAATTACGAGCTACAGCATCTTCCCATCCCTTTGGATATGCTGTTGGTTCAGTATTATCTTGATAAACTTGTAACTCCTGAGGCTCTTCATCATCAATAGCAATTGCATATTTTAAAGGTTTGAAAGGATTAATGTTCAAAGATGGTGATAATACCACCGTGATATTTGAAACATTAGAACCAGTAAAACTATAGAAATCATATTCTAAGAAAGAAGAATCCTCATCAGCAGTTTGTGAATCGCTATTCACAGGGAATAATGTCACCCCAGAATCGGTAAGACCGAATCTATCAAGAGCGACATAATAAGTATCATTTTGGGACATGTTCCCGGTGAAATGATGAGCTTCCATGGAAATATAACCATTGGATTCCACAAATACATCTTTTGTATCTTCAGGAACTCTAGTATTGTTAATAGGTAAGTACACATATGAAGGAACAATGTAAAAGTTGGTTGAAACATTGGTGGTGAAGTTCATATATTGTAAACTCCAACCTTCATCAGCTTTATCCCAATCCACTTCGACATCTAACTTCATAGAATTCCAAATAGACTCATTGGATGCACTGAGCTTACCTGTTGATGGAGTAACGTTAACAAAATCATTCCAAGGAGTGATTTCAAATTCAAAATCTAAAGTTCCTCTATTAAACACTTCAATCCATGTCTTACCTGAATAAGGATCCAGTTGAGGTAAGATCAAAGTATTGTTGTTATATGTTCCACCATTGTATTGATTATCACCAGGAATAGACCCATTAGATCCATCAATAGCCAAACCAGCAGATCCACTCATTGATTCGTCTTCAAGTAATAATTCTCCAATGAAAGGCATGGCATTTCTCATAGGATTTTGCCAATATGAGTAACCAAGATGAGGTTGATCCATCATGTGTTCCCATTTCCCATCTAATAATTCATCCCAGGTATTCTTCCATTCATTATCTTCTTTAAATTTAGCTCTCACGTGATCAGCCAAATAATTAGCCTGGTTCCTCCTTTGTTCAATATAAAGCTCATTCTTACCAGCAGAGATGATGATATCATGAACAATGTAACCTGCATGACATGGATGTAACACCAATTCGAAGAATGAAGGTTTAGCTTCATCGGCCAAAGATTCATTATAAACTGTCCAAGCACGATCAGAAAGGTTCTTCCATTGTTCAAGCACAATGTCTGCTTCATTATAATTGATCAAGGAATAAGTGGTGGTGTTAAGAAGTTCATATTTAACCTTACTGGCTAAAAATCCGTAAGTATCAATGATATCAGCGATATCATCTATAATTTCTTCTTCATCAACGAATTCACCAAAAAGCTTATTGGCCCAATGATTAGTCCAATCCAAGATCAGATTAGGTTGACCCCAACGTTCGAAATCATAGGCAATGTCGAAATAATAACTAATAGGAACTTCCAAAGCTTTCATATCACCAACATTGACTACCCAAAAGTCTGTGGCATTTTTGTGGTAAGCTAAATTCAATTGTTCCCAGGTCCTACCTAAAGAAACGGTGTTAATCCATTTATAATCACGAGGATCTCCTACATAATCGAAATGATAGTAAACACCGGCACCTCCACTACGATTTCTTTCTTCACCTTGAGGTAATCTACGAATATTTCCCCAATTGTCATCTACCCATAATAAGATGATATCATCAGGAACTTCCATACCTTCTTCATAATACGTTTGAACTTCTTTGTATAAACACCAAACCTGGGGGATGGTGGTGATGTCGGTATCATTACCAAAACCTTCTTGAAGTAACTTTCTTTGCTCAGCAATAACTTCCTCAATAAGATCGATCTCAACATCTTGGGAAATAGGATTATCACCTAATCCTCTCATTCCATCGACCCAAAGTCCTTCATAATCTTTACCTCTACGAATCCCTTCTCTCCAGAAATCCAAAATATTGTCTTTATTGGTGGTATAATCCCAAGATCCATTGCCTTTGACTGTCCATTCCTCAGTAGCTCTTTGTAAAGGTTCGGTATGAGATGTAGACATAACAATTCCATAATAATCCGCCCAATATTGATTGGTATCATCATCAAGACCAAACATTGATTTCCACATAGCTGGCCATAAAGTATTGGCTTTCAAACGAAGAAGAAGTTCGAATATCGTCATATAGAATTCATGAGTATAATGAGTGTATTCTCCTTTAGGATAGTTCTTGGAAACCCAGCTTGATAATGCCGGTTCTTCATCATTCAAGAAAAATCCTCTATACTTAACACTAGGTTCCTGTTGAATCACCGGAGCGGAGATATTAAAATAAAGCTTATCTCGTTGTGGTATAGCCACATCACTCCAGAAATACCATGGACTAACACCGATTTGTTCCGAAATGGAATATATTCCGTAAATGGTACCTCTTTTATCACTACCAGCAATAACCAAAGTATTACAGTCTTCTACATACTGGATTACGTAAGATTCCCATTTACCTTTAACTGCACTGACATCGATATGATGATAATCTATAAGCGATTGAATCACCCGGGACTTACCGATGGTTCCAATAACAATTGAAGGATCACGATGACAATAGTCGGAACTGTTGCTCAGGGAAATATTGGAAATCCGAAGACTTTCTTCACCAGTGACTTTTTCGAAATCTTTGACTAAATCATTACTAGCTCTTAACACCCCGGGCCAATCATTCGTGTCAATATAGACATTGACATCATCACCTTCATATAAGGGGAAAGTTTCTTTAGATTGGTTGAATACTACATTACCCCATACTAAGGGGAGGAAGACCCACCAAAACTTCATTGATGATAGGAGAGATCTGGGGAGATTTTTATAGTGATCCGGAGAAGTTGAAGAGTATTCCAATAATTAGGTTACTTAAAGGGGTATACCCAAGATTTCAGGAACAATGTAGGTACCCCATATTTACCCCATAAAAATTGCGAGTATTTAAGCATTGTCCAAGTCAGCGAGAGGGCTTAGATGGCGATGGGTATGCTCGCCAAACAGTGCTTAGTGGGTGTGGATGTATATGCTCACCAGATGTTCGAGATGGGACTTTAGTAAAAAGATTCTGGGATTGTTCAAAGGATGGAAGACTTGAAAGAAGGCTAATACCATATTAATCAAATAATTTCCTAGCAACTGCCCCTTGGAATGTTGAGGAGGGGTGATGTTAACAAGACTTCCAAGGTAAAATGTAGTGGGGATATCCGCAATCGGGTCAATTGACCTTCAAATTGACCTTCACAACATGATCATATATTAATGCAATCTGTCACGTGACATATCACGCGCATTCTCAGGTGATATTCTCGGCGATGATAGGAACAATCGGACATCTATCACCGAGTCGTGCACCCTCATTCATGGTCTTCATCTGTCCGGTCAAAAAGTTTCAAAATCTCACTACAACATAATGATTCGTTCAACTCGTTCTTTAGTTAATGGTTCAATTGGATTCACTAAAAGAACCTTAGCCAGTTCTAGTGACATTGTCCAAATCGAATTACCCGCCACTTCTTTCGAAGGGTATAATTTAGAAGAATTACCTGAATTAACCTTTGAAACTGAAAAATCAGCTTTGTTACAAATGTATAAAGATATGGTTATTGTTAGAAGAATGGAAATGGCCGCTGATGCTTTATATAAAGCTAAAAAAATCAGAGGTTTCTGTCATTTATCAGTTGGTCAAGAAGCTATTGCTGTAGGGATCGAACACGCCATCACTCCTCAAGATACTATCATTACATCTTATAGATGTCATGGATTTGCTTATATGAGAGGAGCTTCAGTTAAAGGAGTTTTAGGTGAATTAATGGGTAAAAGATCAGGTGTTTCATACGGTAAAGGTGGTTCTATGCATATGTTTGCCCCAGGATTTTATGGTGGTAATGGTATTGTTGGAGCTCAAGTTCCTTTAGGTGCTGGTTTAGCTTTCGCTCATCAATATAGAAATGAAAAGAATGCTACTTTTGCCTTATATGGTGATGGTGCTGCTAATCAAGGTCAAGTTTTCGAAGCTTATAATATGGCTAAATTATGGGATTTACCTTGTATTTTCGCTTGTGAAAACAATAAATATGGTATGGGAACTTCTGCTTCCAGATCTTCTGCTATGACTGAATATTACAAGAGAGGTCAATACATTCCAGGTTTAAAAATTAATGGTATGGATATTTTAGCTTGTTATCAAGCTTCAAAATTCGCTAAAGATTGGTGTGCTAGTGGTAATGGTCCATTAGTTTTAGAATATGAAACTTATAGATATGGTGGTCATTCAATGTCTGATCCTGGTACTACTTATAGAACTAGAGAAGAAGTTCAAAATATGAGATCAAGAAATGATCCAATTGCTGGTTTAAATGCTATTTTATTAGAAAAAGGTATTGCTACTGAAGAAGAAATTAAAGCTTATGATAAAGAAGCAAGAAAATACGTTGACCAACAAGTTGCTGAAGCTGAAGCTGATGCTCCACCTGAAGCTAAAATGGATATTCTTTTCGAAGATGTTTATGTTAAAGGTACTGAAGTTCCTGAATTAAGAGGTAGAATTTCTGATGATACTTGGAATTTTGAAAAAGGTACTTTCTCTAATAAGGTTTATTAATCAATAGATTTTTCATGATCAATTATTTTTCACTCTCTTTGTTTGTTTCTCTAATCTCTTGGTTTTTGTGGATTAATTTGGTTTTGTGGATTACAAAGAACCACAAAAACAAAAAACCACAAAAACATTAAGGTCTAAATTTCGCACAAAGAGATGAGATGTCAAACCTCAATACAATAATAAAACCCTCCAAATCTAATAATAATGACGTCGATTCCAACCCAACGTCAATGGCAGGCCATGTTGGGATGAAAGACATGGGTGCTAGAGTTGAGCGTGATCAAATTGATAAACCACAAAAGAAAACCCCCGTCTCATCTGATTCTATTGAATTTAATGATATGGGTACTATCGAAGATTTATCTTATTATCCTACTACCAATGATAATCGTCAAGTATTGAACCTTTTAATGATAGAGATCCATAAAAAACTCCCCGATACTACTCACGATGCCATAATTTCTGCCACTGATGTAGTATTGGAGATTTTAAAGAATGATGAATTGGATGCTTCCACTAAGCGTAAAGACATTGATGAGTTGTTGGGTACAAAACTAGATGATTTGGAATTCAATGAATATTTGAACCTTTCAAATCGGATCACAGATTATGGAATTAGTGACAATCAAGAAGATGAAGATGTTGAAATTGCCTTTGAAGATGAAGACGATGAACAACCTGATGAAGTGATCGAAGATGAAGTCAATGAGGATTCAGTCAAACCCCATGATATACCGTTGGATGATACTATCAACGGTGAAGATGCTATCATACGATCAACATCCACAAATGAATCATTATCCACAAAAACGATTTCTGTGGTCGAAATCCACAAAAACTATTTAGATGATTTTAAATTGAATGATGATTTCAAACAGAAATTCTTAAACATAGAAATTGCCACAAAAGATTTCAAAGATGAAATAGATCTTGAACCCAAATCATTAGAGAAATTGTTGGATAATAGATGGAAAATTGTGTTCAAATTGAAATATTTAGAATCAGGATTAGATGCCATCAAACAACAACTTCTTGATATGAACATGTCAGATCTTTTAAATGAGTTTGTGGCACTCGAGAATCCACAAACGAAAAAAAGAAAATTATCTGAAACTGAAGATTCAGATTCAAAGAAGATCAAACCTGTGGTCAGACAACCCAAACTTGTTGACTTGAGTTCCTTGATATTCGACCAAGGGTCTCGTCTTATGGCTTCCACAAAGGTCAAATTACCCAAAGGTTCGTACCAACAGAATAAGAAACTGTACGATATAATCAGTGTACCACCACCAGAGATTTCCCAGGAAATCATCGATGCTAGAAATAATTTAGTTCCTATAAGTACCTTACCTTCATGGGCTCATGAAGCATTTCCCCTGGGAGAAACTTCTACTTTGAACGTTGTACAATCAAAAATCTATCCCATGGCGTTCGAGTCTGATGAAAACATATTACTTTGTGCTCCTACCGGGGCTGGTAAGACCAATGTTGCCATGTTAACTATACTACGGACCATTGGTAATTTCAGGGACAAGAATGGAAAAATCCGTCTTAATGATTTCAAAATCGTTTATATAGCACCATTGAAAGCCTTGGTTTCGGAACAAATGAGAGAATTCCAACGGAGATTGACTAGTTATGGTATCACCGTCAACCAGTTATCGGGGGATTCCTCTTTGAGTAAGTCGGAGATTGTAGATACTCAAATCATCATCACCACGCCGGAAAAATGGGATGTTATCACCCGTAAAACCACCGACTCGTCCTACGTCAACCTTGTAAGGTTAGTGATCATTGATGAGATCCATTTGTTGCATGATGAGAGAGGTCCCGTGTTGGAGAGTATCGTTAGCAGAACTTTGAGACATGTAGAAGAAACCGGGCTTCCGGTGAGATTGGTAGGATTATCTGCTACGTTACCTAATTATGAAGATGTAGCTAAATTCTTAAGAGTGGATAAGGGATTATTCTTCTTCGATGCTGCCTATAGACCGTGTCCTTTAGAACAGAAGTTTGTGGGGATCAAAGAGAAGAAAGCTATCAAGAAACTTGCTGCTATGAATGAAGCTTGTTATGATCAACTTGAAGGGTGTATGGCTAACAATCACCAGATGATTATTTTCGTTCATTCAAGGAAGGAGACTTTCAAGACAGCTCATTGGTTGAAGGAAAAGCTCACCAGTGAAGGTAAATTGGATGGATTCTTGAACGGTGCGGGAGTTAAGGAGATCTTGACCCTGGAAAGTGATAATATGACCAACGAGAGCTTGAAAGATATCCTTCCTTCGGGTATAGGTATCCATCATGCGGGTTTGAACAAGGATGAGAGAAGTGTTGTGGAAGATTTGTTCGCTCAGGGTCATTTGAAGGTGCTTGTTTCCACCGCCACATTAGCTTGGGGGGTCAATTTACCTGCCCATACGGTAGTAATCAAAGGTACAGAGACTTATTCTCCTGAACGAGGGATCTGGGTACAATTATCACCACAGGATATCCTTCAAATGTTAGGGAGAGCTGGTAGACCACGGTACGACAAGAGTGGTGAAGGGGTTATCATCACATCACAAGATGAAATCCAGTACTATTTAGCCATTCTTAACCAGCAATTACCCATAGAATCTCAACTCATGAGTCGTTTGGCCGATAACTTGAACGCTGAGATCGTTCTAGGAACAGTGACATCGTTAGAAGATGCTGTTGGTTGGTTAAGTTATACCTACTTATACATCAGAATGTGTAAAAGTCCCGGTTTGTACCATGTAGGTAGTGATTACAAAGATGATGAAACATTATATTGGAAACGTGTCGATATGGCCCATTCTGCCCTTACGGTCTTACAGGAAAATAAGCTTATTTCCTACGACAATGACCTGAAGATGGTACGACCAACGGAACTTGGAAAAATCGCTTCTCACTATTATATCAAATATGATACCATGAACATGTATAACTCCATGTTAAAGCCATGGTTGACTGAAATAGATATCTTGTCGATATTTTCTCGTTCCGATGAATTCAAATACATTCCTATTCGTCAAGAAGAGAAATTCGAAGTCAAAAAAATGACCGAGAAGTGTCCAATCCCTATCAAAGAATCATCAGCTGACCCGTTATCCAAGATTAATGTCTTATTACAATCATACATCTCCAGATTAACCTTGGATGGGTTTGCTTTGATCTCCGATATGATCTATGTGACCCAATCTGCAGGTAGATTGATTAGAGCTATCTATGAAATCTGTTTAAGGAAGAATTGGTCGTCATTATCGAAGATAACTTTGAATTTGTGTAAGATGATTGAACGAAGAATGTGGTTGACTAACTCCCCATTGCGTCAGTTTGGTTCTTTGGCTTCTAAAGAGATCATTAGAGCCACTGAAACTTCTCATCTTCCATTTGTCACTTATTTCAATTTATCTCCTGAAACTTTAGCCGAAGCCATTAATTTGAAAGGTAATAGTAAGCGAGCTTATCAGTTATTACAACAGTTCCCCAAACTTACCCTTAGTTACTATGCTCAACCATTAACGTCGGATTTATTGAGAGTTCAAGTGGAAGTTGTTCCTGATTGGGATTGGAATTTCTCCATTCATGGGAATTCTCAACAATTCTTGATGTTGGTAGAGGATTGTGATGGTGATACTACGTTATATCGAGATCTGGTTGTAATTGACCGATACCAAGAGAAGAAATCGTTATTGCTCGAATTCACCGTACCATTGGTTGAACCCATTCAACCTAATTATTATGTGACTTTCATCAATGATAAATGGCTTCATTCTGAATTCAGAATCCCTATCAAACTTTCAGATATCAAAGTTCCTAAGAAATCCACTAGTTTTACCAGATTAAATAAAGAAGTTTTAAATGTTTCGGGGTTACAAGTCCGAGAATTTGAAGAATTATTTGATTTTAAGTATTTCAATGGATTCCAAAGTCAAGTGTTCCATTCTTTGTATAATACTGACGATAATGTGTTTATAGGGATGTCTAAAGGATGTGGAAAAACAGTCTGTGGGGAATTAGCTATGTTAAATCATTGGAGAGAAGGTAGAGGTAGAATACTTTACCTTAATCCGTCAATTAAGATCATTGACAAATTGACTAAATATTGGGGACGTAAATTCAATGATATCGGTGGTGGTAAAAGTGTCGATAAGCTTAGTGGAGAGCTAACTAGTGATTTGGCGACACTTTCCGAGAACCATTTAATTCTTGCTACACCTGATCAATTTGAATATATAGCTCGAAGATGGCGTCAAAGAAAAGTCGTTCAAGCCATTGAAATGGTGGTAGCTGATGATATTCATATGTTAGGTACACCAGGGATTAACTATGAGAATTGTATTGCTAAGATGAGATTCATTTCTACACAAGTTGATCATCCTATTCGATTCATAGCTTTGGGGAATCCTTTGGCTACGGGAAGAGACTTTGGTGATTATTTGGGATGTCCTAAACAATCGATTTATAATTTTGATCCTGCTGAAAGGTTTCACAAAATCGAGGAAATCAGATTACAAGGGTCTACGTATATGGATACTCAAGCTTTGGTTAGCAATAATGTCTATCTGACGTATAAATTCTGTAAAGAAAATACTAAGAATGGTAGTAGCATGGTTTTTGTGGCCAATTTCAAGACCTTATTGGACGTAGCTTTTAATTTTGAATCATTAGCTGAAACTGATGACTGGAAGTTAAGCAGAACCGATGAACATTCGTTACTCCACCGAATTGGAGACCATAAAGTGAAAAATTTATTGCAGAAAGGGATTGGGATCTTGCACGACCATATGACACTGATTGAACAAGCGGTGGTGATGAAATATGTCAATGAAGGATGGGTCCTGGTGGTCGTAGCTACTGCTGAATGTGCTGAATATTGTCCTGGTGTTAATAATGTGGTCATCTTAGGAACGGAATACTATGAAGGGAAAGAACATCGATATATAGGATATTCCATCAACACTATTCTTGAGATGATCGGATGTTGTAAGGATGAATTGAATCAAGGGAAAGTTGTTATCCATACCAAAAATAGTGTTATCAATCATTATTCTCGTTTAATCAATGATGGATTACCATTAGAGAGTTACTACCAATCACATATCCATGATATTTTCATCAATGAAATCACCACTCGAGTATTAAAGAATCGTCAAGATTGTATTGATTGGTTAACATTCACCTATTTCTATCGAAGATTACAATTAAACCCCAGTTTCTATGATGTTAAAGATGTTTCTCATATGGGGATTTCGGCGTTTTTATCCGATTTGGTAGAAGATACTATTAAAGATCTTGTTGATGGAGGGTTAGTTGAAGATGAAGATGAAAATAACGATGAAGAAGATGAAGACGATGAAGATACTTTAGTTTCACCATTGAATGGTGCCTTGATAGCTTCTCATTATGGTGTAAGGTACCAAACCATGATGGAACTTAACAAACTCGATAACAAATCCAAATTAAGAAGTATTCTTGAAATCATTTGTTCTGCTAGTGAATTCGAAGATTTATCTATCAGATACAATGAACCCATACTCCTCGAAAAAATCTATAACCAAGTTCCTGTCAAGTCTAACAATGTTGATTTTGAGTCACCATACTTTAAGACGTTTATTCTTCTTCAAGCGCATTTTTCTCGCTTGAAACTTCCTATAGAGTTAGGGAAAGATTTGAAGTTCATTTTGTCCAAAGTTTTGAATATCATCGGTGCTACGGTGGATTTCTTGTCCAGCGAAGGGTACCTTAATTCCATTCAGGCCATTGATTTATCGCAAATGATAGTTCAAGGTTTGTGGAATAGAGATTCACCTATCAAGCAATTACCTCATATTAATGAAGGGATCTTGAGTCGTTGTAAGAAGTATAATGTGGAAACTGTTTATGATATAATGACGTTGGAGGATGATGAAAGAGATGATTTATTACAACTTGAAGGTGAACAGTTGGAAGAAGTGGCGGAATTTGTTAACAAATATCCGAACGTTGATATTTCTTATGAATTACCCGGAGAAATAGTGGCTGATGAACCTTCAGAAGTGATCATTAATTTAGAAAGAGATGAAGATGTGGATGATTTAGATGTGGTGGCACCATATCCTGGAAAGAAAGAACAATGGTGGGTAATTATTGGTGATAGTAGTACCAGACAATTATATGGGATCAAGAAAACTACTATTGCTAAGGAACAACAACAAGTTAAAGTAGATATCACCATACCTAATAGTGGAGAACATGAATTGACGGTGTGGGTGATGTGTGATTCGTACCTTGATGCCGATAAGGAGTTGAAGTTTAAGTGTACAGTAGATTAATGTGTAATACACACGAAGTAAGTAGCTCTCCTATAACTTCTCGCTCCTCTTATAAGCCCTTGGTCTTGCTGGTTGGCCCGACTCTCACCTAGCTCTTGAAACTATGGTTTGAGTGAGTAGCTTAATTAATCAAACCACAGGTAATCCTGTCCTCACTAACTGTTTAACATATAGAGAATATTTCCAGAACTGCAAAAATCACAAAAAAAACGAAAAAATTGAAAGTGTGAAAATGTCTTTGTGTCACCTCTTGTACAACTTATTTACCTTGTTTCTTTGCCATCCGAGTTGGAAGATATCATCTACAAGGTGAATATTACAAGTTTAAAATACAGGTTACCATATTTACAAGTTAACATATTTACAAGTTAATATTACAAGTTAATATTACAAGTTAATATTACAGATTAACATATTTACAGGTTACCACTGAGGGAGCGCGAAAAATCATCATGGAGTTCGGTCCAACAGTTTTGACTCCTTATATCAAGAGTTTACTCCTTGAACATAACAACCTTAGGCCTGACGATGTGTCCAATGTACTCAAATTAATCTTCCGAGGGTTTGCTTCGGACGTCCAAATCGCTGCGTTTTTAACAGGTTTGAAATTTAGACAACTTGATCAAAATGCAGATTACATCGCCGCTGCTGTTAATACCATCATGGAATTCTCCCATCCCATCAGTATTGATCTGGTACCAACCGATGGATACGTAGATATCGTGGGTACTGGAGGAGACGGACAAAATACTTTTAATGTATCAACAGCTTCATCAATAGTATCTGCGGGTATGGGAATACCCGTTTGTAAACATGGAGGTAAAGCATCTACTTCATCTTCAGGGTCAGGTGATTTACTTAAATGCTTAGGTGTTGATTTATTAAAAGTTAACCTGGAAACTGCAGTTAAAGTGTTACTGGAATCAAAATATACTTTCCTTTTCGCTCCTGCCTTTCATAAAGTCATGGAAAAAGTTGCTTCTGTAAGGAAACAATTGGGTGTTCCAACAATTTTCAATATTCTCGGTCCTTTGATCAACCCTGCACCTTTAAAAGCAAGAATTTTAGGGGTTTATTCGAGAAATTTAGGTGAAATCTATGCTCAATGTGTCTTACAGTTAGCTGTTAATGATCCTGTCCACAAACGAACCATGGTGGTTTATGGTGATATAGGCTTGGATGAAATCTCTCCTATTGGTACCACCAGTTGTTGGATCGTTGAAAATGGTAAAATATATCGTCAAACTATATCTCCAAAAGATTTTGGTCTCCCTGAATCTTCCCTTCAATCAGTAAAATCAGGAACTCCTGAAGAAAATGCTATAATTTTAAATCATATTTTAGCTCAAGATAATGAAGAATTCTTAATTCATCAAGATAATGAAGATAATCATCCTATTGTTAATTATATATTGATGAACAGTGCAGCTTTAGCGGTAGTCAGTGATCATGCTAAGAGTTATATAGAAGGTGTTACGTTAGCTAAGGAATCCATTCGTTCAGGTGAAGCTACCAAAGCTTTAGAATCATTTAAATCCTGTTTAAATAGTTTATAAAACACGGTAATAAGTTTGTTTGCCTATCTATTACGTAATCAGTTACTTAAATTTCTTACATAATCAACTTACATAAGCCGCTTACATAAATATTACATAAGCATCAACAATCCAAAAAAAAGTTCGCGTTTCTGTGGATCTTAAAAATCTCATACAAACAAATGATTGGGACTCTTCTTGGAACTCCCAGAGGGAATAAAGTTACCAACAAGAGCTTGGAATTCACTCCCATAGGTAAGGCATCCACCAGGAATCCCACCAAACCCAGTGACCGAAGTCCGCTCAAACCTACGACCAAATTCAACCTCACCACCAAAGTTAATAAGGTAGATACCTTTGATACGTCGTTTGATGCTACTGATTTCAGTCATACCATCAACTCCCCTTATTACACACAGACAGTTCCCGTAGCAACCACAGCTTCGGCCAACCCCCCATCCAATTCCATGGGTAACCCCCCATCTAATGCCATGGGTAACCTTTTAACTGGGACTGTGGCAGTAAAACAGTACCAGGAAGACTACCACAAATTGGAAACGGAAAATTACAATCTAAAGATTCAATTAAAGACGTTACAGCGATACTTCGACAAGACTCCCGAGGAATTGATGACTTTAGTGGATGAAAATATCGACCTTAAGCAGAAATTATACCAATTTGGTACCGAAAACAAGGACTTACGTCGTCAGCTTGAACAGTTAGCTAATGATGAATCCAAGAAAGCTGCAACTGACGATTTAACCCATCATTATGAAGAATTGTTACACAAAAAGCACATTGATCATCAACAAGAGGTTGATTTCTTACAACAAAAACTCCAGGAAGTTCAAAATAACCATCACCATCAAAGTAATGAATTAAAAGCCGATTTCCATGATATTCAAGCGGAAAATGATCATTTTATTGAGGAAATCCGTGGATTAAAAGATGAAATCCATGATTTATCCCACTCTAAGAGCAAATTAACTAGTGAGTTTAATGCTTTGACTCAAGATATCGAAGCTAAGGACGTAGAAGTAGAAGAATTAAGGCGAGAAGTGGAAATTTGGAAGAATAGGTGTCATCAGGCCACAATTACCGATACCGTGGCAGCCGATTCCACTGCTAAGGAGTTATTACACGTACAAAATCAACTCGATGAGTCTCAGTATCAATATCAATCACTTAAGACTAAGTATGATACCTTAAAGACCCATCACGATACTACCAAAGCCCAACTTGAAGATGTCACAGCACAACTCCATGATATTCAATCGCAACTCCATCAAGTCCAATACCAATACGATACGACCAAGAATCATCTCGATAACCTTCGTCAAGAGAATCAACACATTTCGTCTCAGCAATTCACCGGGGAGTTCAATAGCGATAAATTGACCCAGGAAATTCAATATTTGACTGAGGAATTGAAAGCTAGAGAGAAACTGGAAGCTAACTTAAGAGCCCAAATCAACGCTTTGATCAAAGATAAATCTACCACCAATTTCAATGCCTACCAAGCACAAATCGATAGTTTAACCCAATCAGAAGCTAAACTTACCGACATCAATAAGAAACTTCGTAGTGAAATAGCTACCTTAAAAGATGAACTTTTCTTAAGTAACACAAAATCTAATGATTCCAAAATTTTAAGTTTACAAAACCAAAATTCAAAATTGAATGATAAACTCCAATACTACGAGAATGAATTTGAAACCGTTGAAAATGCACTTAAAGTGGCAGAAAATGATATTAAACTCCTTCAAGATAAACTTTCTACCCTTAATGGATCATACCATGAACTTGAACAAGATAACATTGCTCTTGTGAATCAAATCAAATCAAGAGGTTCAGAAGCTTTACTGGAATTGGATCACGTGACACAAAAGAAGTTACAATTTGAAAATCATCAACTTGAACAAGAAATTCAAAGTTTACAAAACCAAATCATTGGATTAAAGAAGAATGCTGAAGATGCTGAAGAATTCCAGTACGAGATTAAACGACTTAAACGAGAAGTAGAGAATAATCGGAACGATGATTATATTGAACAATTAACTGCCGAAATTAATCGATTAAAACGTCTGGGACCTACCACCGCCACCACCCCAAGTTTCCTTGAACACGAATATCAACGTATGGTGATGGAAAGGAATCAACTTCAAATGGAAGTAGATACTACTGCCAATAGACTTCGAGATATGGAGAATAAGTACAAAAAGCTTCAATTGTCGTATGAAGATAAGGAGAATTTGTTAGACGAAATGGAACTAAAACTCCGAGACTTGAAAAGAGCCACCAAGTTCACTCAACTTGAAGACGATGACGAAAAGAATCAGTTTTTGAGGGCCAGGGCCAACTATGAGACCAAAATCAAGGTATTGGAGTTGGAAAATGAGTCCATAAGGAAAGAATATGACTCTCAAGTTCAATATTATAAGACCAAGTTGGCTATGGATAAGGAGAGAGGTCCTATGACTCCACCAGAATCTCCTGTAGTGTCGGTATTGGAGAGACAAGTGGAAGAAGCTTTTAAAGAGAAGGCTGAAGTGGGTAAGGAGTTGGCTCAAGTTAGATGGGAGATTCTTGAGTTACAAGGGAAATTAGTTAAAGCAGAAACTGAGCTTAGTACTGCCAAATCAGAACTTACCACCGTCAGGTCAGAACTCGGTACCACCAAATCAGAACTTACCACCGCCAGATCAGAACTTGGTACCGCCAGATCAGAACTCACCACCACTAAAACCCAGAACGACCGTCTCCTTGATATCAACAACGCTTTTGAACTCAACGAGAAACAATTGAAACAGAAACTCGCCAACACTACCGAGGAGCTCGACAAAGTCACCCGTCATTGTCATAAACTCGTGAGTAAATTGAACGACAGACTTAAGGTTGATGATTTGAATAATCGTTTTGCCAGTACCAACTTATCACCAACTCCTCGTAGAAACAACAGGGATGACCAGTTAAGGTACTACAAGGCCAAGATCTATGACCTTAACCTCAAGTGTAATGACTTACAAGTGATGTATAACTATGTGAGCCAGTGTTTGGAAGGAACGAAGAAGGTTAGAGAGATGATGGGGGTAGAGAAACAGACAAAGCTTACGTTTGCAGTGGTGGCCAAGATGGTTTTGGCAGCAGTGAAGATGAAGAAACGTCAGGAGAGAAGTGATCGAAGAAGAGTTGTTTTGAAGCTGTTAAGGAGTTAACCAGCTTCCTTGTTAGATTAGACTGTATTATAATGTATATTACGTTACTCATAACGTCCAGGAGACTGGCTCCTAGACTCTGTACCACCGGTCCGTAGGGCCATCTAGTGGCTCCTAGATTCTGTACCACCGGTCCATAGGGCCACTAGATGGCCCTACGGATCTGTACTGGTCACTGGTATATAGTAGTCAGTGGTCCTTACTGGTCACCGGTCCTTACTGGTCACCGGTCCTTACTGACCACCGATATGTACCACCAGGACTGTGGTCTAAATCGGCGTATGGAATGATGGCTGTCTCCTACCGACTCTCGGCGTATGACTTCCATAACTCCCCTGCCTTCTACTACTAAAATACTCACTGCTAACATCGGCCAAACTGTCGTTCAAGTCGTTGCCCAAGATATCCAATGTCTCTGGCCCATAGCCGTTCAGGAGGAACTGAGCGATGGTCAAGTCATCCCCCTGGGTGGTGTCGTAAGACGTGTTGAAATTCTGGGGTGGAGGTTTAGCAGCTATGGGCTTAAGAATGGTGTTATCGGCCACTTGGTCTTGGTTCAAGAACCGTTCAAAAATGGCGGTATCCAGCCACACCTTATCCTTAAGGAGACGTTTGTTTTTGTAATATTTGGCACTAAAGTTGGCAGAATTGATGGGGATGGCACCATCTTCTTCATCTTCAAGGAGGAATTGGGGGAATAAATTGGCAGTAGCTTCGAATAAAGCGGTGGTGTCGATATCATCGTAGGGGATGGGAGATTCTTCACGCCATGTTTCCGTGTAAAGGCCCTGGTTAGGGTTGGTAAAATGGGTGAAGTTGTAGTCTGTGTCTTTCATGTTGTGTAAACACTGTGCGAACTGTGAAGCGTGAAGTGCGAAGATTAGCACCAGAAATGGTACCAGAAGTGGTGCCATTATGGAACGAGAGCTGGCACGAGAGCTGGCACGGACTGGTCCTAATAAAATAAATTATGTATTCTACAAACAATGCAGTGGTTCCATCTTTTGGGCACCCAGTGATGGTAGGGTAGTAGTAGAAGGAGTGGTGGAGGTGGTGGACGGTAATGAAGGACCTATGAAGGACCTATGAAGCTCCTACGTAGCTTAACAGGTGCTCAACAGACAGCAAGCGACTCAAACAAGGTCTTTCTCTCTACCAACTCTCCTACCTCATCCATCTTCACCAACTTGAACGACCCTGTACCAATGTTCATCGTCTGTCCCAAGATAATACACTCACTGACCCCCTCGATCTTATCGGTCTTCATATAGAACGCCGCATCGAACAAATGGTCAGTGGTCTTCTCGAACGATGCCAACTGTAACACTGAGTCTCTCATCTTACTCAACCCAAACCTAGTAATACCCAAAACTTCACCTTTGTACGTCATAACATCCCCTAACAATTGGATATGACGAGGATCCACACTCATACCGTGCTTACTCATGGTATAATCGATTTCTCCGATAATAGACGACCTAGCAGCTTCAATTCCCAACACTTCAAATACTTCATGGACGTGATTGGTGACGGTTTTAGTACCAACCACCCCGTCGGTGCTCATGACTTGTTTAAGACCATATCCTTCTACCAATAATTCTTTCTTACCGTCGTCCCGGATATTAATCACCGCTCTGGCGATGTTAGGCAATCCCTTGATACAAATATCAGGTAACACTCTCTTTAAGTGTTGCATACGGAAGAAAAGGGTATTGGAATGATCCTTGAAGTCTCCTGACATCGTACGAGCATCAAGCTTATCACTAATAGTGACAAGAATGTTGATACGGTCTTCTCCTGAGATGGAGACATGAGCAGGAGATATCTTCAACTTAGGAGCATTAGCAATGGCTTGAGCTATGGATTCGATGGATAATTCCAATTGTAACTTCTCAATGGTTTTCAAATCAATCTTTACCGAGAGGTACGCCATGTTGTTACGGTAGACGTCCTGGATGTAGTACGCCACGTCATGAAGAAGAGTCTTTTCCACTCTTCCTTTAACCACACGAGCAGCTATTTCATCGTCATCGTTAACGAGCACGGAATTGATGATGGGGGTGGAGATGACTTTGGAAGCATTGATGATTTCCTTAATACGAGGAACCCCTAAAGTAACATTCATACTGGCAACCCCAGCAAAATGGAAAGTCTTTAAAGTCATCTGGGTACCAGGTTCCCCAATAGATTGGGCCCCAATGGCTCCAACCGCAGTTCCTGGTTCCACTCTAGCACGAGAATATTTATACAAACATTGGGTTAAGAAGGTACTCACGGCTGCGGAAGTGATCTTAAGTAATTGGTTGACGGAATGAACAGTTTCTTCATCATCAATGATGATATCCAAATCATCAGGACGATGGTGGTAAGGATCCAACCCTTTCTTGGCCCTAAAGTCACCTAATTGATGACATTTGGCCCGGAAGAAATCTCTGATGGAATTATAAAATTCTCTTTCGGCATCATTTTGGTCGATGAATTCAATTCTACCACTATCTTCACCGCTAACGACGTTCCCAAGGTTATCATACCTAATTAACTTAGCTTCCAAAGGTTGAAGAATACTTTCAACTTGTTCCATGACTTCAAACGGTAATAAACCTTTATCGCCGTTATTGTGGGTAAGATTAGTACTGTGATCCCATTGACGGACGAAATTAACGGGTTTGGCGTCCCCTTCCATATCAAATGGGTCCAAACCATCACCTCCATAGGTAAATTGTACGATCCCGTTGGAGGAATTTCTCACCGTATGGTCATATTGAGCAGATAAATCTTCTAAAGATTTCATTAATCTACGAGACATATAACCTGTTTCAGCGGTCTTCACCGCCGTATCGACCAACCCTTCTCTACCAGAAATGGCGTGGAAAAGGAACTCAGGAGGACTTAATCCACTAAAGAAAGAATTTCTAACAAACCCTTTAGATTGAGGAGTTTTGGAATTCTTGGTGAAATGAGGTAATGATCTATCTTGGAACCCATCAGGCACACGGTTACCGGAGATAATCTGTTGACCTACCACGGCCACCATCTGGGAAACGTTCAAAGTAGAACCTTTGGACCCACAAGTGGCCATAATTAATGGGGCGTTCAAGGAATCAAGTTCTTTGATACAAACTTCCCCTACTTCTTCTCTAACCTTAGACAATAACCCCCCAATTTTGGCTTCTAACGTTTGTTCTTCGTTACACCCTGGTTGGGTCTCTAATTTACCACGATTATAAAGATCAATGAGCTCATCACATTTAAGATATGCTTGTTCAACCATCAATTCCTTCTTCTTCTTCAATTCGGTACCAGGAGTGACATCGTTGATACCAATGGAGAATCCTCTGTTACCTAAGAATCTAGCACATAACTTCGACATTCTATTCATTGCTTCAGCAGCTTCATGAGGTCCGAAATCTCGTAAGATGGTATAAAACACTGAATGTTTCTTCCCATCTCCTAACAAGGACTTATCCATGACTCCACAAAGAATTTGTGACCCTCTGATGACCACATAACCATCATTAGGCGACATTTCGTTGGCAAACCCTTTAGATGGTGGGATGTAGGTCTTAGCTTTGGCGTCCAAATTAATGATAACCTTAGAATTTCGGTTGGGCTTTATAAGTAATGAGAACACTTGTTTCCCGGTCCATAACGATACTGGTTTCATGATGGCTGGGGGTGGAAGGTCGAACTGAAGGTTGGCATCAGACATCATTGATAAGAGTTGAATCATGGTGGCCCTATCGAAGAAAGAGTCCTTATGACTGATCAAATAACTTCCAGTGATGAAATCTTGGGTGGCAGCAATGATTGGTTCACCGGACTTGGGTGTAAGAAGGTTATTCTTGACCCCCATTAAATTAATGGCTTCAGCACGAGCTTCTTCGGTCTGGGGGACGTGTAAATTCATTTCATCACCATCAAAATCGGCATTATATGGAGTACAAACACATTCATTTAATCTGAACGTTCTCCAAGGTCTGATTTTAGCATAATGGGATAAGATGGATAATCTATGTAAGGAAGGTTGACGATTAAACAACACTACGTCCCCGTCTTCGATATGTCTCTCTACCACATCCCCAATATGAAGATTTTTGGCAATCTTGACTCTATCACCGAATCGAAGGTTACGTTTGGAGTTCTCGTTCTGTTTAAGCACATAATTGGCACCAGGATGAACATCGGGACCGTTTAAAATCAATGATTGAAGTTTCCGTTTATTGTATCGGGTACATTTCTCCGGATAAGTCAAGATCTTGGCCACTCTATCAGGAACAGCCACTTCATCGATCTTTAAGTTTGGATCTGGGGAAATGACAGTTCTACCGGAGAAATCCACTCTTTTCCCCGACAAATTTCCTCTAAATCTCCCTTGTTTCCCCTTCAATCTTTGACAGAACCCTCTGATGGGCTTGGATGACTTCGACGCCCCTCCTGATGATGGCATCAATGCTGGGTTGGCGGAATCGGAGTTAATATACATCGCTACCGATAATTGAAGGTAATCCCATTGTTCCATCAAATTATTGATACTGATTCCTTTATCGATCCCGGCCTTGATAAGGGACGACGTCCATACGATCTCGGTCAATTTGACTGTAAGATCATCTTCATTAGACTGAGCATCCATCATTACTGAGGGTCTGATACAAACTGGTGGCGCAGGTAAATACCTCCATATATACATCTCTGGTCTCCCACCACGAGATGGGTCGATCCCCAATAACTCACATTCCCCTGGAGTTATTTGTTTGAATAAGTTAAGGACTTTCAACGGATTTAAATCTTCAAACATCCGTTTAGTGAATTTTTCAAGTTCAGGGTTTCTGTCGATGATTTGGTCGATTTCTTCGTCCCATACCGCCTTCTCTGGCGTAGGTTTCTTCCCTATCCACCTAAAAGTATCATGAACGATCTTAAGTGCCGCAGGACCTCCACCACTAGCAGCTTTCTTTACCACCCCATTAATATGGTTACATTTAAAACACCTTCTTTGTTTCTTACACTGGTCGACGATGGTCTTAAGAACCTTCATCCGCCTAAGGTTATCGATGAAAGGTCTCCTTAAGTCAGCGAGGAACTTCCTTTTACTTTGTTCGTCTAATAACATTCCTCCACAGTTCTTACAAATACATTGTAAGATTTGGATGATGGATTTGAAGTAACCCACATGAAACACCGGTAATGCCAAACGGATGTGACCAAAATGCCCGTGACATGAGGCCAAGTTCCCATGACAAGTACTACATTCATTGGAATTGGTTGAGATCCCCATCTTTGGATCCAAAGCACCGGCTGATTTCACAGTCCGGCCATTCTCTAGGTCGTAAAGATCTCTGGTTTTGACTTCCACATCAGACTGGGCGACGATTTCTTGGGCTGAGAGTGCTCCAAATTGAAGTGCCTCTATACGTTTAGGGCTAATATCAACCACAAGTTCTTTCATAGTAAAATTTTCAAGATGCGAAGATGAGAAAAGGCCCTGGCATGGGGCCAATTATGGTGCCAGGTGCGGGTCCATGCATGGGTCCAGTTGCCGCACCATCAATAATACCATGATGGTGCGAATAATTTCCTCAACACATTTGCCCTCAACATGTCAGAAGAAGAAAAGATTGTACAAACCTTAGAAGAAGATGATGAATTCGAAGACTTCCCGGTAGACAGTAAATGGACCGAGAAGAGTGGAGGTATTAGTGGAGAAAGTTTGTGGGAAGAAGATTGGGAAGATGATAATAGTGATGAGTTTAGTGAGGAGTTGAGGAAGGAATTAGAGAAGAGTAGGAAGTAGGGTAATGACAGTGCCAGAGGGACTGGCAATAGAACTGACGTCTGTTGACAGGCTGTTGGCAGACTGTTGGTCTTTGACAATGACTCTCGTTGATTGGCATTGGCCCCGACACATGTTGATTGGAACTGCTCACCAATATTGCCCACTAGTGCTCCACTAACACAAAACCATTGTGCTGTATATGGCTAGACCTGGATATGGCTAGACCATTTCCTTGATGTTGGGTTTTGTGACATGTGGTTCTGTGGACATGGCCCTTCAATCGTAGTTGGGAAGCCATAACGCTGTCACTGATCACCAGCCTTTACTATACCAGTGTCAATGGTACCCACCACTCCCTAAACCAATAAAATATGATAATGTACAAAAATTTAGCCTCATGTCTCACCAGTATCTCACCAGTCTCTCACCAACAGGCTCCAACAGGATCCAACTTATCGATAACTGATGTTATTTGTTTCAGAATAGAGTTACCCGGACGCGACATCAAATCTGAAACAAATCTGAAACAAAAATTACTTAACTGACAAGAAATTATCAATGATGTTCATTACTATACATTGGGTGTAAGAAAGATGCAAGAAAGGTGCAAGAAGCAGGAGGGACGTGGGTCTACACAGTTCCCTGGAACTAAGCGTAGAAATTCACAGACTTACTCTTTCTGGCTTGAACTTCTCCAATAGCTTCAACAAAATCTTCATGTCTTATAACCGATTTCCCATTTCTTAAGGCAATCATTCCAGCTTCTACCGTTACAGCTTTTAATTGAGCCCCATTAAATTCATCGGTCGATCTGGCTAATTCTCTCCAATTAACAGAATTATTATCACAATTTAATTTCCTAGCATGAATCTTTAAAACTGATTCTCTGGCTTCTTCTGAAGGTAAAGGAAATTCGATCTTTCTATCTAATCTTCCTGATCTTAAAAGCGCGGGATCTAAAGTATCAACTCTATTGGTAGCTGCCAATACTTTAACTCTATCATCAGATCCGAACCCATCTAATTGATTCAATAATTCCAACATCGTTCTTTGAACTTCACGATCTCCTGATTTATCAGAATCAAATCTTTTTGTACCAATAGCATCTAATTCATCAATGAAAATAATAGTAGGAGCTTTCTCTTTAGCTAAGGCAAAGGCATCTCTCACTAACTTAGCACCATCCCCAATAAACATTTGAACTAATTGAGGAGCAGCAAGTTTTAAAAATGTCGCACCTGATTGAGCAGCACAAGCTCTAGCTAACAAAGTCTTCCCCGTACCTGGAGGTCCATACATTAATGCTCCTTTAGGTGGTTTTATACCTAAATTTTTGAATTTTTCCGCTTGTTTCATAGGTAAAACCACTGCTTCGATCAATTCTTCAATTTGTTTATCTAATCCTCCAATATCACTATAATCTTCGGTAGGTTTTTCATCAACTTCCATAGCTTTAACTCTAGAATCATACTCCGATGGAAGGGTATCTAAGATAAGGTAACTATCCTTGTTGACTCCGATCAAGTCATTAGGTTTCAATTCGGAAGAGTCAACTAATCCTATTAATGGTAAGAAGATGGTTTGACGAGTAGATGTCTTGATGACGGCTGATTTACCTGATCTGACGGCATCTAAATCAACATTGGCTCCTTGTTCTTCTGCTTCCTTCTCTACGTCAAGATCCAATAATTCCACCACATTTCCTACGAGATAAGGCAATTGCTTGTTATTATTGATCTTATCTTGGTTATCTTTGATTCTCTCTAACATCACTGTCTTCTCGTGACTTAACCTTTGACTTTCAGATTTCATCACTTTGATGTCGTTATCGAGTAATTTGGTACGATTGCCGATATCGTAGGTCGATAAACTTAAGATTTCATCATCAATTTGATCTTGTCCTTCTAATTCTTCTAAAGTACTCATAGTGATGAATGGAAGTTCTTGCCACTCGAGTGCGAAATTATGTTTTTGGTAGTGTATCACGTGAATGATCATGTGATGCGCACGCGATAAGTTGCCTAACGCGAATATTTTATTTGGTAGATGATTGATCTTGGGATTCTGGAAGAATTAACGAGACGGTTAACGATTGAGTGTTTGAAAGGTATGTAGGAGAGGAGAAGATGATCGGGGGAGAGAAAGGGTTCCATTTGGTGAAATTTGGACCAGATTTGGACCAGATTTGGACCAAATTAGGGCTATTTGAGCCAGGTGGGTCTTGGGCCTTATCTGTTTGACTTCGCTTCCTTGAAAAGCAAAACTAACTTTTAGCTCGTGATTTGGCCTATTGCCCTTATTCTAAGTTCAGGGTTGGGTGTACCATACTCACGGAAGACGGGGAATTTATTTCGGGAGCAAATGTAGAGAATGCTTCCTATGGGGCAGGGATTTGTGCTGAACGTACAACCATTGTCACTGCATCAGTATGTAAATTATCTAGCGACGAGTGTCATTGGCGGTCCAAGCACTCACTTTTGCACAAATTACTAACCAATAGAACCAGGGAAAACGTAAATTTAAACTCATCGCCATTTCTGGTGATACCGATGAACCTCTAGCTCCTTGTGGTGTTTGTAGACAAGTCATCAGAGAGTTCAGTAAGGACATCCCTATTGTCATGTTGAACAAAACAGGTGAAAAAGTTAGGGTGAAAATGTTACTGGAAATGTTACCTTTCAGTTTTGGACCCGAAGATCTTGGTGTACTGATGTGAGCATCAGAGTCTCTGGTAATGGAGTCACCTTTGGCATGGATATAAATATATATGATTATTGTGCTTACTCTTTTGGGAAAGGGTCGACAAAAGGGTTCTGACGGATTAAACGAGTTAAATCCGTGGTGAAGTAGAAGCAACCCCATCTCCATACTTCAAGAGCCATCCCAGGTCAATTTGAAACCAATACACCAAATATTCAAAGTTGGCGGCTAATGTATTTGTGGATTGACAAATTAGTTACCACAAATTCAAAAAATATTTATTACACACGGTGGTAGCGGTGCGAACCACACCCTCGCACCACTACCACCAGATCTCTTCATTTGTGGTGCGTAAAAGTAATCTCTTCGCGGTGCAAAATTTTCAAATGATCTGTACCTCCGTTGTTTGTGGTAAAGAAACCACAAGTAACTTGAAATGTCCTGTTTGTCTTAAACAAGGCATTGAAAGTGTTTTCTGTGATCAAACCTGTTTCCGTACCAGTTGGTCTCAACATAAATTCATTCATCCACAAGAAGATGACCAACCTTACAATCCATTCCCAAGTTTCAATTATCGTGGTGATCTTAGACCTACCTATCCTTTAAGTGCCCGTAGAGCCATCCCCAAACATATAAAGCTCCCTGATTACGCCAAGGACGGTAAACCAATCAGTGAAATCAAAAATGACAGATTAGGTAAAATTCCTACCTTGAGCCCTAAAGAGATAGATAAGATCAGAAAAGTTGGTAAGATTTCTAGAGAAATTTTAGATATTGTTGCTGGTCACGTGAAACCGGGTGTTACAACTGATGAATTAGATGCTATATTACACAAAGAATGTATCAAAAGAAATTGTTATCCATCACCTTTGAATTATTACAATTTCCCTAAAAGTTTCTGTACTTCAATCAATGAAATCATTTGTCACGGTATTCCTGACCAGACGCCATTAAAAGATGGTGATATCGTTAATTTAGACGTATCCATCTATTACCTTGGGTTCCATTCGGATTTAAACGAAACCTATTATGTGGGAGATAAAGCTAAAGCTAATCCAGAATTAGTCAGATTAGTTGAAACCACTCGTGAAGCTCTTGATTTGGCTATAGCCGCCGTTAAACCAGGTTTAGCGTTTAGAGAAATCGGTAATATTATTGAAGCTCATGCTACTAAAAATAATGTTTCTGTGGTTAAAACTTATTGTGGTCATGGTACAAATACATTATTTCATTGTCAACCTAATATTCCTCATTATGCTAAAAATAAAGCTATTGGGATTGCAAAACCAGGTATGGTGTTCACCATTGAACCTATGTTGAATTTAGGTACATATAAAGATATTACATGGCCAGATAATTGGACATCTTCTACTCAAGATGGGAAAGCTTCAGCTCAATTTGAACATATGATGTTGGTCACTGAAGACGGTTGTGAAGTTTTGACAGCCAGGACGGCAACTTCACCTGGAGGACCAGTAGCTAGAATATAAGACCTCTAAACATTCTTAGAAATACATTCTGTAATATATGAATTCTTTCCAAGGAGCAGAAAAAAAAATTCTCTAGTGCCACATTTCCAGGGCCTCTCGCCCTATTGTCCCCTTATTCAAACGGTCCCAACCGTTTCATCGCCATGAACATCAGTTTGGACGTCAGTTACACAAAAACCAGACAACAACCCAACTTTAGTGCTTAACACCGACCATCAGGGGACGTGACATATCTGTGTGATGATTTATTCAACCGCCTTATGTGTGGCCTGTTAAAATAATTTCACTTCGAAGGACGGCGCCAGTTTAGGGGGGCTGGGTTCACACACGGACTCAAGGGTAGGGTGAATGAAGTTTGGGTTGGTATGGGGTTTGTGGTGTTTGGATAATGTATTTGTGGACAATCTTTTTGTGGATTGTGTTTTTGTAATCCATTTCCGGTAACAGTCCTTTTGTAATCCATTTCTGGTAATTCAGTGGTTCCAGCTTGAGCTTAAGCTTGAGCTCCAATAGCCAGCCTAAGCCAATGGTGGCCATCTCTGCATACCTTATCAGACTAAGCCTTATGGTGGCGCTAAGGAGATCCAGTTGATACTATGACTGCTACCAACCTTCACCTGGAGGGTAAGATACTTTGGTGCCATAGGTTATTATACTTCAGTCGCCATCAACCCTCCACCCCAAACGTCGACATAATCTCGGCCAAGATTATGTTCATAGGTCCATTGAACTCCGGCAGATCTTCCCCCTTAGCCAATCTCCCTCTTAACCTCCCTTTCAAACTCCCCTAAATCCCTCAGACACCCCCAAAACTACCGTTTTAACTCCCCAACCTTCAGATGCTACAGTTTCTAACATCAACAGAACGATGAACAAAATGTCAACAAAAAAAACTTCCTTGGTTCCAAGGAAAGTTCGACAAAGAAAAGAGAGGTCTATAAGCTCAAATACTTAAACTGAGAGATTCTAACCCTCTGAAATAGGGGGGATCACAAATCCGCCAGTGATAGGAACTCTAATGGAAAACCCGTCTTCGAACTCATTTAGGAGCCTCATACGGCATAGCCCAAGCCCTTTCCATTGAACAATTAAACTTTATAAAAAAAAATTTCTGCCTTTGTGTTACAATAAGTTAAAATACAATCCACAAAAACAACTTTGTTGATATTGTCCGGAGATGAAAGGTGAGATTTCAAATTTCCATCGCAAAGGTTGAAATTTGCGACTAGTGCATAATTTTTGATCAAAGCCAAAACTTCTCTGGAAAAATAAACTTTGAGATACCAACCGTTTTATTTTTAATGGTGTGATTAGATGACAGGAGGGAAGTGGAGGTCAAATTCCATTGAGGCATTAAGTTGAAATTTAGGAGGAGGGAATTTTGGGGGGAACAAACTTCGCAAAAGAAGGTTGTAATAACAGGAATTTATACTTTGGAAAACATTCCAATTTGCCGATTTGAATGAACTTTAGAGGATTTACGCAAGTGGAATTGGTAGAGTGACTTTTCCAAAGTGGCAATTCCATTGACCGAATTTTTTTTTTTTTTGCATTAGTGGAACTTTCGACCCGCAATCAGGAACATCCGCAAAAATGATTTTTTTTTTAAATTCTCCTATTTGTGTCAAATATCCACAAACACAGAAAAAATGAAAAAAAAATTTTATCCACCATTCAAAAAATAAACCATCGACAAAAACTACGTACCTAAAAAAAGAAACAAACTCGGTCAAAGTTTTTGTTTGACAAGTTAATGGATGCAAATTAGCAAACATTACATTAAGCTCATGGTTGTCGGTAATAAATGACTTCCAGCCCGAGGGGGATGAATCAGTGAATTATCATTGGATGCACTAAAGTACCTAAAAGTGCTCGGGCCGCCCTGGGGAAATTTCATACTTACCAGCCGTAAAACCTTTTTTAAGAAACTCTACGTAAACATTTAAGTAAGGTTACACCAAGTGAAGTAAAACCACCATGGAATTCCGCTGTCATATATTTGAGAGGGTTACAAAGGAATTTATCTGATTGTGTAATATAACTTAAAAAAATGTAAGCCCCCCTTTCCGAATTGCTTAAGTCCATTAACTTGAAAAGTTGGAATTTTTTTTTTCTTTTGGTTTGATGACAGTTGAATGTTGTTTTTGTAAACCTCGCTTACGTAATCGGGCTTTTTGTGGATTCATGCAATGATTTGAAGGTGCATGATTTTAGTCAATAGGGTTAAGAAGGTCGAAACGATGGGAAGAGGGCGAGGGTGAAAGTTAAAGGTTGATGAAGTTTGGGAGATGAATTGTAAGAGAGAGAGAAAATGCAATATAACTAATAGTTAGATAGGTTTAGAGGCAGATAGGTTTCAGGAGTTTACACGCGCGGGTAACGGTGGGGGGTACTGTTCGGTGAAGTTACTGCGGGATGGGGAGAGTGCGCGACAGAGGGAGTGGCAGTAGCGAGGGAGAGACAGGGAGAGTGAGACAGTGCGACAGAGATTGAGACAGTGAGAGTGGGACAGCGCGACAGATTCAGTGCCAGTAGTGCGACTCCGCGACAGTCTCGGTGCGACAGGACAAAATTTACTGTCACAGTGGCGACAGTGCGACAGAAATCTGAAAAAATTTTCGCGTTCATCCATCATGTCTATTCAACTACTCAACCCTAAAGCTGAAAGTCTTAGACGTTCCCAAGCGTTACAAGTCAACATCGCTGCCGCCACCGGCTTACAGTCGGTGTTAAGTTCGAATCTTGGACCTAAAGGAACATTGAAGTTATTGGTCGATGGTGCTGGAAGTTTAAAGCTCACCAAAGACGGGAAAGTATTACTTAGTGAAATGCAAATCCAACATCCCACTGCCGTTATGATTGCTAGAGCTGCCACCGCTCAAGATGAAATCACTGGTGATGGTACCACCACCGTGGTATTGTTAGTAGGAGAATTGCTCAAACAATGTGAAAGATACCTTTTAGAAGGAATTCACCCCCGTATCATCATTGATGGGTTTGATCTCGCTAAAACCCTCACCTTGAAATACTTGGATGACTTCAAAATCGCTAAAGACCAACAAGACTTCGATAGGGAGTTCTTACTTCAAATAGCCAAGACTTCATTGATGACTAAAGTCTCCCCAGAGTTAACCGCAGTTTTAAGTCCAATTGTCACCGATGCGGTGTTATCTGTTAAGGACAATGATTCCATCGACTTACACATGATCGAAATCATGACCATGCAATACGGAGACGCTAAAGATACCGAACTTATTCAAGGATTGGTGTTGGATCATGGTGCTAGACACCCCGACATGCCTAAAAGGTTAGAAAACTGTCACGTATTGATCTTAAACGTATCATTAGAATATGAAAAGACCGAAGTCAACTCAGGATTCTTCTACAGTAACGTAGAACAAAGAGAAAAGTTGGTAGCCAGTGAAAGAAAATTCGTCGATGAAAAATTAAAGAAAATCATCGATTTGAAAAACTCTGTTTGTGAATTGGGTACAAATGAAAATTTCGTTATTATCAATCAAAAAGGGATCGATCCTATGTCCCTTGACGTTTTGGCCAAAAACGGAATTTTAGCCTTGCGCAGAGCCAAAAGAAGAAATATGGAGCGATTACAATTGATCTGCGGAGGGGAAGCGCAAAATTCCGTTGATGACTTATCTCCTTCCATTTTGGGATACAGTGGATTAGTGTATGAGAATAGCATTGGGGAAGATAAATTCACTTATGTTACTGAGAATAAGCAACCAAAATCCGTCAGTATATTGATTAAAGGGTCAAATAATTATATCATTCAACAAACCAAAGATGCTATACGTGATGGATTAAGATCTATTAAGAATGTATTATATGATAAATCCATAGTTCCAGGAGCTGGGGCCTTCTATCTTAGTTGTAATAACTACTTATTGAATACCAAAGAAATTAAGGGGAAACAAAAAATCGGGGCCAAGATCTTTGCTGAAGCTTTATTGATAATTCCTAAATTATTGAGTATCAATGGAGGATTAGATGCTTTGGAGACTTTAACCAACTGTCAAGATGAAATCTTGGAAGGTAGAAAAGTAGGTATTGACTTAAAGACCGGTGAACCAATGGATCCTTCATTAGAAGGAATTTGGGATAGTTATAGAGTTATTAGAAATGCCATTAGTTCAGCTACTGGGATTGCATCTAACTTGTTATTATGTGATGAGTTGTTAAAAGCAGGGAAATCTTCATTAAAACAAGGTCCTGGAGGTCAACCATCAGGTCCAATGCCTGGAATGCCTGGAGGAATGCCTGGAGGAATGCCTGGAATGCCAGGGATGTAGGAAGGTGTAAATAGGATTAATGTAAATATATTTGCCGAACTTGTGTTTGCAGCCATTTGCCATAAAAGCCACCATTTGTCATGTTTGCAGCCTGGCTTGTCATATAAGCTGCCATGTTTGTCATATAAGCTGCCATATTTGTCATGTCTGTAGCCACTTGCAGCCATTTACCATGTCTACAGCCGTGCCTGTCAAATTTGCAGCCCAAAACCCCATCATCACCTCTTCCTCCACCGGATATACACCCATTACGGCCGGAGGTAATATTATCTCCCTTTATCAAAATTAACTGCACGTATTTTTACCCCAAACACTTAACACCGAAGCGGTTGGGAGAAGTAAACCCACTGGATGTCGCGCGACATTATCAGATATAATCGGAGTTTAATTTTATGGTAAACTTTATTCAGTGTCTGACTTTATGGAATTATTCCTTGAAGACTACAAACCAACAGCTTATCTCTGGGAACTGTTTAACCCCAATGTTTCAGTAATTTTTTAACTAAAAACTTCTCTCCCTGCACCCTTGTCAACATAATTAATTTTTTTTCTCTCTGTCTGTCCTTCAAACAATCCACAAATACAAATTAGGAAATCGTCTCCGCGGAAATCCACAAACACATAATTTTTATCCCAAAGGTCTCCAACTTGTCCTTTGAATGGCCAAACTCTATGAAAAGCACTTCGGAATAATTCGTCGTAGAAAATTACCCCTGTAAGTGTCATTCTCCAAAATAAATTGCCCTCATACTTCGAACAATTATTATCTATAACGCCTTACTTCTCGCATCAAAAATTCCATTTGTCAGTTTTACTGCATCAAAAGAAAATTGAAAAAAAAATCCTTTCTTATCTCCTCATGTTTCCATATGTCCAGCCCTTTCATCATAGTTTGGATTTTCCAACCTTCTTGTGCGTAACTCCTAATTTACCTTATCACTAGGTAACCTAACCCAAATTCCCGCGTGGAAAAGGAAATTTAGAACTCTATGCAGACCCCTTTCATATCAAAAGTTGTCTTCCACATAGGTTTTTTTTTTTTTTTTGAGTGGGAATTATAATATAAATAGTTTTCCATTCCAAAGAAAAAATAACCAATCTTGAATTTATTGATTTTTTAGATCAATTGAATTTTTCTCCCGTTTTGTGTTAATAATCCACAAAAGTAAAATATTTCAATTACGGGTATTAAACCATTTTTCATTTTAAAAGGTCATAATTCCATTAAGTGCGCCTACAACTTGTTATTAGTAAAAAAAATCGACGTTAACAGGTTTGGAATAAACTGGGTAATTGAAGGTTGATATAGTTTTTTTAAATATAGAAGCTATTAGACTTGAAATTGATCCATAATTGATAAAAGTGCACAAATACGATATACAAACCAATACATAAATCCATTGAAATTAAGGAATTAATTGGGTAATTTGTAGATTACTGAAGAATCCACAAACACCATAAGCACAAATACAAAGTTTACAAACACAAAAGTTTACAAATACGAAAGTTTACAAGCACAAGTTTACAAACACAAAAGTTTACAAACACAAGTTTACAAACACAAAAGTTTACAAACACAAGTTTACAAACACAAAAGTTTACAAACACAAAAGTTTACAAACACAAAAGTTTACAAACACAAAAAACCACAAATACAAACTTTTACACCTTTACACATAGAGTCAGTTTTTTTGTATCATTATAGAGACTCATTATGGACTGGAACAATAAATCATATGTTTCCGATAAAAAATCATCCAACGATTCTATAACCACTGAAAATTCCACTTCCACCACAGCTACCAGTGTCCCCGATAAGAATCTCCCCCCAGTTAATAATTTACCCTTCAATCTGCCAGGCCAATCCCCCGTAAATAACGTCATGCCAATACCTTCTCATCTAGGCCACCATTTACCCCAACAAATTGTACCACCTCCATCAGACACCAACCAAGTAATGTACCAAATGAATGGTAACCTTTATCAATCATATCCCGTTTACCAAGTTTACCCTGAATATTCCGATCACCAACCATCTCCACAAACATATCAACGAATAAGTGACATGGAGGACAAAGACGGTAAGAAACGGAAGAAATCCACCTCATCAGCATCATCAACGTCATCCAAATCTCCCGTACTGAGTTCGGCGAAAATGCCCGCCAAAAGATCTCGTATGGGATGTATCACATGTAGGCAAAGAAAGAAACGATGCTGTGAAACCAAACCCAAATGTACTGAATGTACCCGGTTGAAGTTGAACTGTGTATGGCCAGCTCCTGGTACGGAGCATAAGAACAAGAGTAAAGAGTTGAAAGAGGAAGAAAATGTGATGTATCATGAAATCTACGGGAAGATTAAGGTGTTGAGGGGGATTGTAGAATATAAGAGTGATGAAGCTCCCACGAATAACGAGTTTGATAAATAGAATGTATAATAGTTTGTACTGATCTGTTGAATCTGTTGAATCTGTTGCGTAGCGACAGATTCACCAGAACGTTCTCTGAGCTTTCTCTAAGTGTAGGCAGATCTCTGGGTAAATTTGACACATTCGAGGCGAGCATAGACTGAGAGGAGGTGAGCGTAGGCAGAGCATAGACCGAGAGCAGGTAAGCGTAGGCAGATCTCTCGGTAAATACACCGCATCCAGCGAGCGCGGTGAGTGCTTGCGCCAGGAATCTTCGCAAACCTGTCGCTACGCTCCAGGTTCGCGCTTCGTCACATTCGCACCAACTCAAAATCTTCAACATGTCCCTTAGATCCAAACAAATTCAATCCCTTGAACGGATGCTCCATCTTAACCAAGATGGCCAGCCAGATCTCACCCTCGCGTCTAAGACGGAAGAAATCATCTGGAAAGCGTTGGTCCTCGATAAAAAATCCCAATCCATCGTATCATCAGTTCTCAGAGTCAACGACCTTTTACGTTGTGGTATCACCATCCATCAATTAATCACCACTTCCCGAAGTCCCCTCCCCGATGCTCCTGCCATTTACTTCGTGGAACCAACCAAAGAAAACATTCTCCTTATAATTGAAGATTTACGCCACGATACTTACGACCAATTGTTCATTAACTTTACTGCCTCCATCGACCGGGAATTATTAGAACTGTTCGCTAAAGAAGTTTCCCTTATAGGTAAGAGCCACAAAATCAAACAAGTATTTGATCAATACCTTAATTTCATCGTTACCGAACCTAATTTGTTCTCGTTAGATTACCACCATATCTTCACTAAATTTAATCATCCTACCACCACTGAGGATGATATCAATGGCCTTGCTAATGACCTTTCTAATGGACTTTTATCATTAATTCTCACCGCGGGAGATATCCCTATAATTAGATGTCAACGGAACGGGCCCGCGGAATTCATCGCCCAACAATTAGACACTAAACTTAGGGATTACTTATCCAATACTAAGAATTTGGCCCCGCCAGTGGTCAGTAAACGTTCAGTGATGGTGATTATGGACCGAAATATCGATTTATCCTCAATGTTTCATCATTCTTGGATCTATCAATGTATGATTAGTGATGTATTCAATCTTAAACGTAATACCATCACTTTACCGGACGGGAAAAATTATGATATCGACCCCAAGGATTTTTTTTGGTCGAAAAATAGTCAATTACCGTTCCCTGACGTGGTAGAAAATGCTAATTTGGAATTAGAAACCTATAAACATGATGCTCAACAATTAACTGCTAAGACTGGTATCACCTCATTGAATGATATCGACCCCCTGGCTCCTCATTCTACTTCCGATACCGTCAAAATGCAACAAGCCGTGGATGCCCTCCCTGAATTGACCGCTCGTAAGGCCACTCTCGACATGCACATGGACGTATTGGCTTCCTTATTGAAGGAATTGGAATCAAAGTCCTTAGATAAGTTCTTTGAAGTGGAAACCAACTATAATAACCCCAAGATTACTACCGAGTTCATGGACTTATTGAACGACCAGCCAAAAAAGGATAACATTATCGATAAATTAAGAACTTTTATAATTTTATTTCTTGTTTGTGACTTGCCACAAACATACATTGTGGAGGTTAAGGCCAAATTTCAACAATTGGATCCTTCGTTGGATTTAAGCTGTTTACAATATTTTGAGAAATTCAAGAATATCTCCAGATTATCGTCATTGGCTAGAGATGATGAAGGTAGTGATGATAGTATCAACATCAATAACAACTCAGCTTTGTTCAATAACTTATCATCGCGTTTATATGGGTTGACAGAAGGGAAGTTATCTGAAGGTTTGTCGTCCCTCACTTCGGGGTTGAAGAAATTATTGCCACAAAAGAAAAATTTACCATTAACTAATATCGTGGAAGCAATAATGGACCCAACTAATGCTAATAGTGGTAGTGTGCAACTTACTGATGATTATTTGTACTTGGACCCCAAGTCAAGGGGGGGACATTCAAAACCTCCTAAAAGACAAAGTTATGATGAAGCGTTGGTGTTTGTAGTTGGAGGAGGGAATTATTTGGAGTACCAGAATTTACAAGAGTTTGTGGTAGAGAAAGGTGAAGGAGTTAAATCGGTGGTTTATGGATCTTCCAATATAATGTCGGCCGTAGACTTTTTACAGGAATGTAATAGTTTAGGGAAGTTGTAGGATTTAATGTATATCGATAGATTTGAATTTGACCACCTATTTGACCTATTTGACCTATTTGTGTACTTTGACCACAAACATGAAAATATCAATTTCCGTATTTGTGTACTATGACCACAAACACATAAAAATTTCCAAAACTCTTCAAAACCTCACCCTTCATACACTCTGTACAGTTCTATCGACGGCTAGCCATTTAATAGAGTTCACCATCATGGTAGTGGGTGAGAATTTAAGTTTTTGGAAAATTTTGTTTTTGTGGATTATAAAAACCACAAACACAAAAAAACCACAAACACAAAAAAACCACAAACACAAAAAAACCACTAATCGCTTCAAAGTACAAAGAGTAACAGAGTAAAACATCAACATCTCATTAAATATATCCACTACTTTCTTCCAATACTTTAATAGATCTTTTCGAATCTAAAAATAATATTTCACATTCTTCAATATCATCTACAGTAATTTCTTGACGATTAGCAGTTTTAGCTAAAATGCCCGCTGGACTCAATAATTGTAAAGCATATCTTAAGGAATTATTAATTCCATGTAATGATAACTTATCTAAAGCTTCATTACTAACATTTAACCCTTCTAACCCAGCTCTTTTACCAATAATAATCTTGATCTCTTCTTGATTATAAGCTAAAGTTCTAACAATCAATAATCTATCAATTAAATCCGGTGGACATCCATGAGGAGCTTTAATATCATCATCCGTACCTCTAATAGTAGTTAACCCTCTATTAGAAGCTAATACCACAATTGGAGCCATTAAACTTTCTAACGCTTTATTCAAGTAAGTGAAGATTTCAATATCTAACATGTTAACTTCATCAATGAATAAAACTCCAGGAATAAGTTCAGCAACTCCTTGATCGATATACTTACTTACCACTTTATTGACTTCAGATCTCAATTTATCGGTAATTTCCGTCTTTTTTGGCTTTAATAATTGTCCCATCATTGATAATACATCTTGACCTCCTTGTGGTCTAGCATTTGCTACATCTAAATCATGTAAAGTAACATCTTGAACAATTTCTTTCTTTTTGTGAACTTCACCTTTTGGTAACGGCACGTACTCTTCGGCTTCTAAATCGAATTCAGTAGCGTAGGCGTCAGATCTCCCTACTCGTTTAACACTACCGGTGTTAGCTTCGATATAAATGACATCTCCTATAGTAACGCGTTCTTTTTGGATACTTTCATAGATAGAAGGATCAAGTCTAAGGTTCTTGGTACCTTTAGCAGTTTTCAATCCAACAATAACATGACTAATGGTCTTACCGTAACCTCCCAAGGGGTTTTCACTTTCTTCAGGGGTAAGTTCAATGACTTCACCTTCATAGACCTCTTTAGTTTCTTTGATTCTAAGACCAATGGCTCTTCTGAAGTTTTCCATAAGGGCAGCAGTTTTCTTGACTTCGGCAGAATATAATTCACTACCAACGATAGGACAGAAGGGAACTTTAGGACCGAGTTCTTGGGAGATGGCCAATGCAAGGGCAGTTTTACCAGTACCTGGAGGACCAGCTAAAAGGATAGCTCTACCACTCATTTTCTTGGATTTGATTAAATCCACAATAATACCACAAGCTTCACGAGCATCATTTTGACCAACGAAACCTCCTTCGATTTTTTTGGCCACACCTTTTTCATCCAAGCCCAAGCCTTTGATGTGGGTATGGGCGGCGGTTCTTGCTTCTCTTGATTGGGTGTCTTTAACTTCAGTTATTTGAACCATGTTATGAAAAGTTTTTTCGTGAGCTCAGTTCGAACGTCAGTGAGAACTGGGAGTGCGCACAAAATACAGTGCGCACAAATAGGGAGAGATAACCACAAATACAGTGCGATCACTAAGGAGGGAGTACACAAATAGACAGTACACAAACACAAAAACCACAAACACATAAACCACAAACACAAAAACCACAAACACAAAAACCACAAACACAAAAATCACAAACAGGAATAAAGTCGGTACCAACACAAAATCAAATACAAACTTGACATCACGTGTAGATGCACATGACAGCACGCCTCGATGGGTAACACGTCTACGACAATCACGTGCTACGCACATGATTCTTGTCACATGCTACGCTCATCATCCCCCAAGTGGATATATTTCTCCACACATAGCCTCTCCTCCTTCCTATGCTTAATCTATGACATGGATCTTCATCCGTAATATTTCACAAAAATAAAATTCCATCGATAAAATTCCTTTTTGTGATAACTCTATTTGTGGTTTCTTGTATTTGTGGTCACTCAAGTTTTTCTTATGTGAGACATTAACTATTACACAAAGCCTCGATCATGATGTCAATTTTCTGTATGTCTGTGATCGCATAATAATATTACTTAACTTTGGGTCGAGAAATATGTAAAGAACAGGTAGTCACAGTTAAACTTCACTTAAGTGCATGTTACAGGTTAGATCCCCATTAACTTACATTTACAAGTTAAGTATACAAAGAAAAATGCTTGAGTTGACCAGTATAATGTGCATCTTACCTATTGACCAACCACAACCTTAAAATTTTTTTTCTGACTCTTCCCTATGGTTCCATCGTCTACGCCTTACACCTACGGAATCTTCTTCTACATCGTCAAACTAACAATACTATTGTTCCTACCAACGATGGTTCCAGATTTCCTTCCCAAGGCATCGGTGTGTTTGCCTGGGAAATCCGAATTTCCCTCACTTCTTGAATTAACAGGTGTATGCTCATCAATTTGAATTTATGTGCATAGTGCATAAATCCTCAAAAATTTTATTTGCGGTGTTTAGGTTTGCGATTTTCTTTTTACTACGCCGAAGACATTTTTCCTTACCGGGGGGGGG